AGGTTAGAAAGAAAACCTAGTCATATTTCGATTAATTTAAGATTAGAAGTAGAAAGAAAAACGTTCAGATCTCCTTTCTTTTATTTAGTGTGACGATCAAACGCCATTATTAACAACAGAATTTGTACCAACGATTAAAAATTCATCAAATCATACGACTCGTAAATATTCTCTCAATGCACTGTTACCACTCGTACGTCCTTCGAACTCGCATCCGTTTTGTTCTTCATTGACGTCTACGAATGCCGACGGCGAGAATTGTAACAGCAATAGTATCGATTTGAAATCCCGACGGCGCGCAACCTTTGCCTCAGTCCTTCGTCGAAACTCTTTCGCTAGACAACCACGTGTTTTCTGTTCGACAATCGATTCCACGACGTCGACAACAACCAAAACCATATCTTCGCAAACAGTTCCTGTTGATTCCGACAATAGCGATCGATCATCATTCTTACCATATCAATCCACTACTTCGTTCAAAACTCATCATTGTAAAAAAGCGTCGAGTATAACATCAATTGGGTCAACAACATTACCATCTTATCAAAAAGCTTTCATGCAAAAAATTGAACGTTTTCGCTTCATTGATGATAGTGCTTCGAGCACAACAACAGTGACGTCACCTGTAGAAAGTATCGAGCGTGCAAATAATCATCAAGCGTGTAGTCATTTAATAACAAATGCTTTCGACCAATTTCATCAGTATAACCAGGTTAGGTGCCGTCACACAACCGATGACGATGACAGTGATGCTAATTCACTAATCGATCGTCTAAATGCGGATCTATTAGCTAATGGTTCATATTCCGATATGAATATTCTCAATCGAACAATTTCACCCAAACCGATTCAACCACATTCACAAACATTCAAACCCGTCAATGGCAAATCTTTACAACCAGTAGCGGTGAGTTGAAACATTCTGCGTTTTACTGTAGAAAATAGAAACATTGTTTTTCCTTTTCCTTCACCAACGAATGCGATTCATTCATTCATTCATTCATTTATTATTTGCGTATTTATCCAGACATTATTATTTTGTTAGTAAATACACCGACGAAGAAAACATTACACATCTGAATGATTTCTTTTCTTTTTTTTTCGTCTTGTTAAAAATAGATCGTCATGTTTTGTTTGATTTCTTTGTTGTTGTTCGATAGAATGCATCTACTACTCAAACAAATGATTATCAACGTTCAACACCAATTAATATTCCACATTCGAATACAACTTTACCATTGTCAAAACAACGACATCAAGTAGATGTCAATGGCCATTCACGTTCCATGGAATTTCAGTCTTTAGCAACAAAACGCGAACCTCTTGCTCGACCAGTGGCATTGATTTCAACGATTCATGAAACATCATCGACATCATCGACAGCAACTCTTACATCTATACGTAGTTTGACTAGTCTAGAATTCGATGACAATAGCAAACCATCCGGTGTTCTTGTCGACGATGATTTTCTTCCGATGTCATCACCAATCGATGAACATTTCTGGGATATGACAAAGAAATCATCATCGTGTTTTACCAACAATGACTGTTTCCCGAACGTTGGCTCGTCGCCTGATGTTGAAGTCAAACATTTCGATGTACCACGATCTCATCTATTATCTGAAACATCATGTGATGAAGATGATGATGAAGACAGCGTTTCATCAATGAATCAACCAGAAAAATATTCCATATATGAATTCAAAGTTAAAGAACTGCAAAAGCCAATCGTTACCGTCAAACCCATTTCATCCTCAGCACAGAAAGTCTCCGAAAATGCACTCTATGATAAATCGTCTTCTACTCCGTCCACAATGTCTGCAGAACAGTTTGGCAATAACAGTAATTCGAATTCCACATGTATGTAGACGCATCCAATGTATCTATCACATCGATTTATTGTTACTTTTGTTTTAGCTGTTGATCAAACCACAGATGAATCCGTATCGTTGAAAAGTTCAGCAACAAAGCGTTCAGACTTCTATTGTGATACAATAACAACTCCACAATCTCAAATCACATCCGAAGAGGATGATACACAGGAAAGCTCAGCTAACGACATATCCGAAGGCGATGATAGTGCTGATAATGGAGAAATCGATCTTGTGCAAGAATTTGAATTATCACAAAAGGAAGAGCAGCACAAAATCAATAATCTTTGGACAACCGATGATCGTGATATATTCATCATGCAAGAAGATGATTTACTTTCCGCGTTAATCTCAACACCAACCGAAGGGAACCGTACTCAGCCGACTTCGATCATGAAAATAACAGCGACAAACAAAACATTGGATAATTCAGACGATCAAACATCTCAACAGCAAGCATTAAAACCGAAAGTACGTTTCAATCTTGATCCTCAATACGAACGCGAACGTGAATGGAATAAAGTGACAAAATTACTTGGGAACAGTGTTGAATGGACCGATGAATTCGAGGTGTAGCATAAAGAAAGAATTCTTCATGTTTATTGTACAGCTATTTAGTTAATTACACGATTGCCAGATATGTGTTAAGTTGAGAGTTTAATTCAGAAAACAAACTAGAAGTTCAACGCTTTCACTTCACTCACATGTGTAATGCAATACAATTAGAAAGTTTCTCCTTTTTCTTGCTTTGTTTGCAAAGAAGATTAAACTCATATTTGCCATGAATATTTTTTCTCTTCTTTCCATTTAATTTATAATAAAATTCATATCAAACGACATACTTTTTCAATTAGTAACAGAAGACTTCTTCGTCGAAAAATATCATTTTACTAGATGTAAAAAATGCCTATTGACAAGCAAAGCGAATCAATAATCGGTTGATGGAAGATTTTCATCGTCACTCTTTTTATCGTGTTCAGATATGATGATAATACCATCATTCTCACTATCTGTCAGCGTGGAATTCGTTACACGAGAAGCGATCGGTCGAACCGATGGGATCGCTGGGAACTGTGATCGATTTAGGAAAGTTTCTTTGAGCAATTGAACTTCTTGTCTAATTTCATTGATGACTGACGAGGACGGATGAGCATTCGATGTTCGAATCTTTAGATCTAATTGATCGGATGCTTGCTCAAGTTTAACAACGCTTGTTTGCATATCTTCAATGGTCTTTTGAAGACTTTTTATGGTTTCTTGCAATTCGTTCGGTTGATTCTATTATTGAAATAGAAGAAAAATTCGTTTAGGATAAACAGATTTACTTACTGAACGAAACGAGCGTTTGATTAGTTGTATGAGAAATACGAGAAGCCCAGCGATAGCTACATCTTTCACAAAACGATATAAATAGGATGATGGTTGCTTTGGATTGCTTTGTTCTATTGTCTCTGCAGATATCAATGAAATTCTAGACGAATCAATCGATCGAAAATGAGAAACTCAACCTTGCGACGGTAGACGTTGAAAAGCGTGATTGATTTCAGTATCCGTCAGACCTGAAATGACGAGGTTTGTTCGGAGGAGCGAAGACGGACAAGTTCGACTGACCCTTCTTTTGTAAAAATACACGTTTTCTTTCCATATCTTCACTGGCAATCTTCGGATTCTGTAGAAAACCAGCAGCTATCTCAACCTAAATTGCGAGAAAAATAGAGATTTGGTAACATTGAAAGTTCTCCTCGTACCATATCTGATCGAATGTTGTCTGGCATCGAGGTTTGATCGGTCATCGTATCTGAAGCTATCGGCAACTTTTTCCTTCGGATATCGAAAGAAAGAAAACGAGATAAGTGGTAGACAGACTTTGTGAGTCATTCATCTTTCTATTCGAGTTCAAACTCGTCAATAAGAACGTCGCAGAGGTCTCCGTTGATCTCGCATAATAATTTTTTCGCGTCATTATTATTCATTTGTGTGTAAAATCAATAAAAAGCACTCGTGGAAAACTAGATATTTGTTTACATGACGTCACTTTGTCACTATATAAAATCGTCCAATTGACATGCTTTCATGTGCGAACTCATCACAGAGTCTTTTAGATTTATTATTTCTAGGTCATAGAATGTTTTATCACGTCAGCATGGAACAGTGTACATTACGATGCGATCACGTTGATTTTCGACTAGAACCTTGGTTGTATCAATCATAGAAATATGTAATAGAGCTTTTTTCTGCACTTATCGAGGTATTTATCATAACTTTTCTCTTCCTGTATTTTGAAAAAAAATACTCGCTTTTTATTGCTTATCATCAGCTTTATAGCATTGTGTTTGTCTAAACTATTTGTGTTATTCTTTTTCAATCCTATATAGATCTAAAAGTATTAGCATGGCGTCTCGTCCGACAACAGCCACTCGACGTAGCAGTGCGTCGATACATCCGTTTCCAAATCCATCGTCGGTTTGTATTGTTCTCGGTGCACAATGGGGCGATGAAGTACGTAAATAGTGAAAGGAGATTTTTCGATCAGTAATATGGAATCGTTCGTTAGGGAAAGGGCAAATTAGTCGATCTATTGGCATCGGAAGCTGATATTGTCTGTCGTTGTCAAGTAAATCGTTGTTGACAATTCAGTCGAACAATTTGTTTGAATAATTCAATTTCCATAGGGTGGAAATAATGCAGGACATAGTGTCGTTGTTGAAGGCGTTGAATACGATTTTCATATGCTTCCATCTGGTTTTCATCTTCAAAATTGTGTGAATATCATTGGTAAAGAGCTTTAACCGAAGTTCATAAACGGAAGATAAAGTGATGCGTGTTTAGGTAATGGTTGTGTCGTCAATCTTCCTGAATTAGTAGAAGAAATACAAAAGAATGAATCACGAGGTGTTACCAATTGGAAGGAACGATTGTTAATTTCCGATCGAGCACATTTGGGTAAGAAGAAAGAGAGATTGTTCGTATTGAGAAAGTGAATCTGAATATCTCTTATCTTAGTATTCGATTTTCATAAGTTAAGTGATGGATTAATCGAACGAGGACGTGGAACGAGCAGGTATACATTAGTGAACAACTAAATTGAGTTGATGATCATTCCAACATGAATTCTAGTCTCGGTACAACCAAAAAAGGAATTGGACCAACATATTCGTCCAAAGTAAGGGTCTATTATGTCTTATGATCGTACGGATAATCAGCGATTTTCAGGCAACACGCAATGGAATTCGTGTCGTTGACTTAATAGGCGACTTTTCTATCTTTACTGACAAGTTACGCAGTCTTTATAATTACTATAAATTAACCTTTCCCGATTTGGATATTGATATTGAAAAAACTATCGAACAATTCAAAGGACTAGCTGAATACTTCCGTCCAATGATCATTGATACGATTGCTTATTTGAATCAATCGATTCTTGATGGCTCGAAAAAGATTCTTGTCGAAGGTGCCAATGCTACCATGCTCGATATCGATTTTGGTAAATTTCAAAAATTTGACAAACTAGAAGAAGAAGATTATCTCTTCAGGTACATATCCATACGTTACTTCATCGAATTGCAGTGTTGGTGGTGTGTGCACTGGTCTTGGTCTTGCCCCCAAATATATCGGTGATATCTATGGGGTTGTGAAAGCTTATACGACGCGTGTCGGTGACGGTGTCTTTCCTACTGAATTGAAGAATGTATGTACAAAAGACAGTTGAATTAATATCGACATTCACTTTTCGATTAGGAAATTGGCGAACATTTACAAACACGCGGCCGCGAATGGGGTGTAACCACTGGTCGAAAACGCCGTTGTGGTTGGCTCGATCTTGTTTTGTTGCGATATACAACCATGATCAATGGTTTTACGGCATTGTGTTTAACAAAACTTGACACACTTGATGAATTAGCGGAAATCAAAATTGCGACAACTTACAAGCGCAATGGCGTGGAGTTGCCAAGTTTTCCAGGTACAAGAATAAACTTATCTCTATACAAGCTCTTTCTACTTTCAACTGTTCCCTCGTTTAGCTTCCGTTGATACAATGCATGATATCGAAGTTGAGTACGTGACATTTCCTGGTTGGCGAGGACGTTCGACATCGGAATGTCGTACATTTAACTCTCTTCCACACAATGCTCGTCTATACGTTCAATTTATCGAACAATTTCTCGGTGTTCCTGGTTTGTTATCGACTTAAATTCTCTACTTCTTTTCAAATTTCTCTTCTAGTGAAATGGATCGGTGTAGGCAAAGATCGTATGGCCATGATTCGTTGTTTTTAAGAATTTTCCCATGAACTCGATATACTAGAAACACAGACAGTATTCAACTATTAACTATCTCTGCTTCATTTTTCTTTTGAAAGCAAAGAAAAATTCATTATGCTTTTTGTTTTGTATGAACTAAATACAATAAGCTTTTCAAATTACAAAAGAGTCTCCTTTTTCTCCTTACGCCTTCAGTGATCATAAAATGGAAACTATCACTCCCAAATGAATGTTTTGCGTAGCATTTCATTTTCATCAAATGTCATATAGAAAAGAGAAGTAATTATATTTTGCATTGCACATTAATTGAGTAGCCTTACGTTCGTCTTTGGTAATTACTATAATAACTTACATTAAGTATACTCATGACGACGAAGAGCGTCATCAGAGCATGTATTCAAGAAAAAAAAACAAGTCAAGTAGTTAGTCAACGTTTGAATCAACATATGACCTGCATATTTACTGTAATTACACTCTTTCGCGCGCATGAATTTGCTGTCGGGTAGACAAAATGGGTATCTTTTCGTCTTTCATCGGTGTGTAGTTATGCTGAAATAATCCGATGTCATCTGCGAATATTCTCTATGATAGTCACGAGTATACATGAATAATATTCATTTCATATGAAAAACGTAGTTAACAAAGGTGCGTGCTCCTTTGTGTGTGATGTATATTGGCTATTTGATTTTAGACCAATCAGATTCGCGCATCTGACCTCTTCGATGAGTAAAGGAAAAAAAAAGTTTTCGAATAAAATAGCAAAACTTTCTCCTGTGTTTAGTTGATTAAATAAAAAAGAAGAAAAATGCAAAAAAATTATTTTCATTCAATTCAATCAGCTGACTTAACCAATGTATGTATGTTTCTGTCACACGCTCGTCTCTCTCTCTCTCTCTCAACAACAATAATATATAGATTCATTCTGTCGTTTATTCTTCACCTTCTAGATCATTTTCGACGTAATACGTGTAACTTTAGATAAATTTTTAGTTTAATTCAAATGTCAAAAACATACGTACGATGAAGATGCCTTTCCCTAAATTATTCATTGTTTTGTTCATTATTAGGTTCTCCGTATCCAATCCTCGGAAGGTACCAAACGAGTTGACATCACTCCTCAAGATACAAACAAACAAATCTACGACAAAGTAAAACAAAATGAAGAAAGGGCATTTTTGAAATCAATTTCACACTATTTCAGGTTGCTCAAACGTTTTCATTACCATCGACAGATGGATTTACGTTGTATAAAGAAAAAAATAAACGATCACCTGTATCTCGATCATCAACGAAAAATGCTTTAAAACATGGCGATATGATCTATTTAGTTCCTGAACAAGAAAATTTATTCCCGCCTGAAGTAACTTCATCACCACATGTACCATTAGATTTCAAATCGGATACACCAACTAATGGAAATAGTTATGCATCACCTAAAATTGGATCGTTTCAATCCAACTCCATAGGAAAAATGAATGTCAGCAGTATTGATGTCAAAGAGGATGAGGTTGATGTACAATTAGATAAGATCGATGGACGAATACCTCGAAAACGAGATCCACAATTGTATGAAGCAGATGTTTTTCGCGAACAACTTATTTTTGTTGTGTTTTCCCCTGTCTGTTTAGGTGTCATCATAATATTCATGGAAAATGTATTCACTGTATACCGATTGAACCCTATGACGAGGAATTTTTAAAAAATCGAAATCCACCGATAAAACACATGTCATTTCGAGCATACATCAGAAAACTACAAAGTTCATCGCATAGTGACAGGTAAATTGCTTGATTTTAGAATTTTATCTGGTACGATTCGATGTTGTGGTTTTAGAACGACATTCGCCAGCTTAGAAAACATCAGTTGCTCGATAAAAGACAAATGTCCAACTGGTCATGCACCATGGCCGAAAGGTAACGATTTGTAGAAAAGAAAGTCCAATATTTTTGTGAAGAAAAATCCTTCTCTCAGGTGTTTGCACTAAATGTCAACCGAATCCCGTTACGCTAATGCGACAGGTATGATTTATTGCTTCGCGTCTACAAAAATTGATGCTAATACCGGTGTTCGAATTTCTAGTCATATCGTCATGTCGACAATATCATGTTCGAGAATGGAAACATGGTCAACCGTTTTCTGAACTATTGGCGATTATCAGGTCATCAACGGATTGGTTTTCTATACGGACGATATGAAGTATACGATGGTGTGCCACTTGGTGTTCGTGCAGTTATTGCTGCTATTTATGAACCACCACAAGTTCGTATTGATGAAGTTGCGAATGAGTTCAGTACTGTTGGTTCATTGTATTTTCTAGGAAACATCGAGAGACAGTGTTAAATTGAATCTTCCAGATCCACATGAAGCATTGATTGATGATCTAGCTCGTCGTCTCAATGTTCGTCGAATCGGATGGATTTTCACTGATCTTGTACCAGATGAATCCAAGTCTGGTGGTGGTCCTGTTCTTCATCATCGGGGTAATGTAGTACGTATCAAATAAAGAGTGAATTTTTTCGAAAAGAAGTTCAATGTCTTTTTTTTCTCTTACAGAACTCCTACTTTTTAAGTGCGCAAGAATGTATAACAGCAGCTTGGCTGCAAAACAAACATCCAAATATATGCAAGTGCTCGCCGGATGGTTATTTTGGCTCGAAATTTGTCACTGTCGTTGTTACCGGTGATGCGTCAGGTCAAATTCATTTCGAAGGCTATCAAGTTTCCAATCAGTGCATGGCTTTAGAAAAGTCAAAAATTTTACTACCTACATACGACGCACCCGAGCTGGGTTTTATCAAAGAGACAAGTTCCGAACAATACGTTCCTGACGTTTACTATAAAGTGAAAAACACATGCAATAAATTGATTTAAACCTTTATTTCATTTTATAGGAAAAAGATTCGTATAATAACGAAATTATGAAAATAGCCCGTCCATTACCACTTGAATATCTTATCATTGACGTTCCAACAGGTTTTCCTTCGGCTGATGCTCAAATACAATCAACATTTAATGATGATTGTGCGTCAGTGAAAACGCCATTTTGTGTAGAAAATCGAATGCAAATTGGAGAATTACAAGTAAGACAAAGTCAACATTTGACTTCGATATTCAATCATTTCTATAGGATATGAATGCATTAGCATCATATTTAAAACAATTTTCAAAAACTGGTGCTACAGGTGTGACGACATCAAGTGCAAGTCAATATAAAGCAACAGATATTCTCGCTGATATCCATCTATTAAGATATTTGGCTGTCAATGACATTATTTCATTTTCAATGGTAAGGCGACCTATTCTTCGATTCCTGCGATGGGTGATGTTTCTTTAGGATCAATTGGATCCTTTACTTGACTCTCTACGTACGAATGATCTTAACGGTGTTGAGACATGGATGGAAGGTTCTGATTGGCAGACGATTGTTCAAGTGCTTCAAACTCAAAGTATGTCTAAATCAAATGGATTTTGTTTTCACAAATGAAATGTTACTTGTTTTTAGCTCCTGGTTCACCAGAATTAGCAAATCGACCATCTTATATGGATTATGAAGATCAAACCGATTTAGCTTCGACTTTGTCTCAATGGAATTGTCCGCGTTGTACTTTTATCAATCCTGGCTCCTCTCGAACATGTGAAATCTGTTCATGTGAAAAGGGTTCTTAGTCGCAAATTCTCTCCTTTCTCATAGAAATTTTCTTTGATGCTTATTTATTTCTATCTCACATACTGAAGCCAGCAGAATAAAACCAATTGTCAATCGAGATATTAAAAAAAAACACAGAAATTCTAATTCTAATTTGTTGTTTATTTGTTTTTCTTTTCTTTTTTATTCCAGATTGTTATGTTCTACTGAAATTCGACTTCTATTCAAAAGATACCACTGAAAAACGATTATGAGTGCACTTGCTAATCGACCAAATAGTGGAGCGATTGGTGGAGTTCCTGGTAGCAGCACTGATGGCTCAACAGATAACAATGTTCTTTCGCAATATAAGGTGCTCACTCTAACATTCAATCAAGACTGCACGTAAGTTGTCATATTCATCCTATGAATGAATCTATTCGTGCAAATTTGTCTAGATCACTCGCAATGGGTACACGAAAAACGTATGCATTATTCACGATAAGTCAAGATAATAAAATCGATGAAATATACGATTGTGGTAAGTATGATGAATGAACTCGGTTGTTGATGATTGCACTTTTTTAGCCTATGACGATGTCTGTATAATTGAACGTCTATTCTCAAGTTCATTGACAGCACTTGTCAGTAATCAAGCGCCACGGAAATTAAAAGTTTGTCATTTTAAAAAGGGAACGGAAATATGTTCGTATTCATTTGCGAATACAATTCTCGCCGTTAAGCTTAATCGATTGGTGAGGAAGAAGAGTTGGAAACTGAAACAGATGTCTATTTTTTTCTTTTTGAATTCTAGCGGCTCATTGTCTGTTTGGAAGAAAGCATTTACATCCATAACATGCGCGATATGAAAGTCTTACATACGATTCGAGATGTACCATCCAATCGTGAAGGTCTTTGCGCCCTATCATCGAATAGTGAAAATTCATATTTAGCGTATCCGGGCAGTTCTATAACTGGTGAAATACAAGTTTTCGATACATTAAATCTAGTATGTCGACAAATAATTAAAAATAATGAAGATAATTATTTTGCTATTGTATATCTTTAGAAACCAGGTATTATGATTAGCGCACATGAAAGTCCACTCACTGCAATGGCGTTTGATATGACTGGAACCAAATTGGCTACAGCGTCGAATAAAGTATGTTGACAGTCAATTCGAGTATATGCATACAAATATATGAATGAATTGTTTTCTAGGGGACGGTGATTCGTGTTCATAGTGCGATCGATGGCACTCGACTTTTTGAATTTCGTCGAGGAGTTCGACGGTATGTAACATCTACGTTCTACTTAGTTTGAGCTGTAGTCCTTACAGAACGAATGGAATGTCACCGAACACACAAATCCTCTTTTCTTCAAATACGATCGCCATATGATTCCAATATGCTTCTTCTTTTTTCTAGAGTTGCAACCATCTATTCATTAGCATTTAGTCCTGACGCAATGTTCTTAGCAGCATCAAGCAATACGGAAACAATTCATATATTCCGTCTCGCTAATCCGAAAGAAAAGTAATTCTTTACCTATTTCAATTTTATTCATGTCTAACATGGTCATGGTTCGTTCAGAGCACCGGAGGAGGCGACATGGATGGGTTACTTTGGTCGCAAATTGAGTGACGTCGCCCATTATTTACCGAAACAAACATCTGAAGTCTTAACACAAGACCGATCATTTGCATTTGTACACTTACAATCACCTGGCATGAAAACAACAATTGCTATGAATGTGTATGTTGATGAGATGTGAACATCTCTCGATAATATCTTTATTTGATTCTTTTTCAAGATTAAACAAAACATTGAAGTTATTCGTCGCCGGTTACGATGGCGTTGTTTGTGTCTATGAAGTAAACACAATTGATGGCGGTGAATGCAAGCAAATCAGTCAATATCTCTTATTCAGTATGTCTCCTAATACAACTAATCAACAAGCATTAACAACAACAACAAATGAAACGCGAAATTCGCTTGGTAAAGATCATTCATTGCTGAGAAAGTTTCATTTCGATTGTGATTTTAGACGGCGGTTCTACACGAGTCTATCCAAACAATGTTTTAGCAAATGATAATGCATCGATTCCATTATCATCCACACCACCACCAACAAGTCCAACATCGGGCAAAAATCTTGTTCATCCTTCATCAAATATTTCCATTGATGAACAAAATTTTCCTCGATTACCATCTCCTCCACAAGGTGTTTATGATTAGTTCATTCGTTCATCTAGTGTATTGTACAGGGTGCCTGTGTGTTTTATATTTATTCTCTTTTCTGTCTCCATATATACAAACATATACACATATATCCTCACTAAAAACAAAGAAAACCCATTAAGAAGAAACCCATGTCTGGTCATTCGTAAATCTTATTTTCAGCGGTTTTTCTTTTCTTTCGTTCTCATCAACAAAGTTCTCTTCATTTTCTTTTTGTATTTTTCTTTATACATATGTAATTAAATCTATCAGTTTTCGAATGACTACTGTACATATATATATATATATATACATATGCATATATGGTGTTCTTTGTCGTACTCTTCTTCTGGTTCTTCTTTCGTTTTCTGACATAACACCCTGTTTCATTTTTTTTCTCTTCTTACATTGTATAGAACCGCCACTTGGATAAAAAAAAGAAGCAAGGTTCTTTTTATTGATCTTAATTCGTTTCGTTATTTGAAAGAGAGAAAGTAAGCACAGGCACAAGTTTCTATGTCAAGTATCAATTTTTCTTCTAGTGTGGGTGTATTTATTTGCATGATTGAAGACCAAATTTCGAAGTTCGATTAGCGATCGTTTTGCTCGTTATATGCTTCATTAGGACGCAAAAATAAGTTCGATAAACAACGAGTGTCGATCAATAAACATTTGATCAGACACAAATCGATTAGTAGTATGACGTTAAAACATACAGATTCGATCATTAATAACAGAGAGAGCAACGTTCTGAGTTGCGAGTCGATTGACGTCGCCATGTTATGCATATGTGTATGTCATTCAGTTAACGGGCAAGTTCTTTTTTTTCTCTCTCATTAATTATTACGGTGTAATCAAGTGCTTTTTATTTTACTTAAAAAATACTTCGCGGAAGATCAGCACCGGTTTCGAACGTTGCCCATTTTTCCCGTGGAATATCTTTGAAAATAGTTTCCAATCGTTGTTGACCGTCAACATCATTAGCATACTTTCGAATGAAAATTTTCGCTATACGATCTGGATAGTTTGCGTAGACGCTCGCATAGATATCCGAATCTTTTTGAAAGATATCACCGAGTAGAATGAACCGACGATTGCGTGTATTCTGTAAGAACATTTCTAACGTTTCCGTTTTCTTCTTGATGTAATTTGACGACATGAAAAACGAGATAAAGTTCACATCGAACCATGTGAAATGTCTCATGTGAGCCGAACCCGATGGGAACTGTTCCCGGTCAAAAAATTCACGTAAAAACGGATATAATTGATCGGGCGATGCTGTCAGATATGCAAAGGTTGCATTGTACTGACCTGCCCAGTGTCGATAGATCTCGGCCATACCTGGTACTGCTTTGAAATCGCCACTAAACGTGTTAATTAATGTTTGAGTCGATGACGTCACTTCAGTTATTTTAATTGTATCATCAATATCACTGATGAAAGTTACACCTTCGTCGTCACATAAATAAACTTCACCTTGCGTTTTGATGTTCTTTTTTGGAATTGACGCTTGGAAAGTAACTTTACCTCCATTGCCACCTGGTTGACGAAGCAATTCAATTTCCTCATTGGTCATCGTAAATGGATTTTTAATACGGCCTTCATTATCGGTTTTTGTACACATCGATCGGGTGAGACCATCAATACACACATCTTTCTTTTCTTTTCCTTCGGCTGTGAACATTTTCACTCGGTTTCGATCCAGATCTTTCTGAACAATAAGCTCCAAGGATTTCTCCATCAATAAAGCTTTCACAGGATTTTCTTCGTAATGCCATCCTTGATTGTATAAAGTCCATTGCGATGCTGACGAACGATCACGAAACGCAACTGATGGAACAAGGAACAGACCTTTCTTGTCGAAAAGAAAGGCGTTTGTTATTGATGATGATGTAAAAACAACACTCAAGAGGAGAAGTAAAACACGACCCATGATCAACGAGTACTGACTGAGAATAGCTGTGCACGATATTCATATTTATCCTGCATATCATGGCTTAGATTGACTAATCTCTTAATGTACATTCAGAGTCATTTCGATATAACTTACTTTCTCTTTTGTTCTCATTTATTCAAAGACGACAGAAATCACGTTGTATCATTTTACAGGTAAATATTTGAATAGTAAATTACGTTACCTGTACTGTCAATTTCAATTAATAGAGAATTATCGACTTTAAATAAGAAAAATCAAATCTGCCTGTTTTGCTTTTATTTCAATCTGTATACATGCAAAAACAAACGACACACATACACACACATACACACACAACGAGTCATAAATATATATTTTTTTTAAAAAAGAGCTAAGAATACTCATTCAATAAGATAAATGAACAATCTAATAGAAATCAGTCACATTCATTCATACATTCAATAGATCATTGAAACGGAAATCATGCCCTTCAGGAAATGCAGTTTTTTTTATTGAGCGTCACTTGATACGTCAAGTATTCATTCGAACTAGAAGTGTGTGCATTCTCTACTCAGTTAACTATAAAATTTTATTACATATATGCCTTTTATCATCTCATTCCTTCCATGACGGATAACAACATGAATTAATGTTGATATCAATTGCGCATGATCGCCTCCTCCGCCTCCATATTCATACGAGATCGATCCTCGTTGTGAATGGTCATTCCAAGGCAAGTGACTTGAAGCAATAGGCGATGGATCACTACCATCCAATGAGCCATGTGTTGATGGAAATGTTCGACCATTGCTTAACGTTGCTGTACTTGATGAACAAGGACTAGCAAAGAGTGTAGCAACCATGTTGGAGTCAAGCATCTGATCGATTCTCTTGAATTGTCGTTGTAGTTCAAAGGTTATCGTGAAGACATGCTTCTGTAATAATCGTGTACAATTGAGATATTTCAATAAAATTCGTTGATCGATTTGTTGTATTTCAACATGGACATTTTTCGTAAAACAAGGTACTAGTTTTCTATGCTCACCTTTGCAAACATGTAAACAAATAGAACAAAAGGTCACGAGTGTTACTACATGCAACCAAAACATGTATAAGATGTTTTCGAGCGTGTATAATATTGTACAATGAAAGCAAAAGGGTAGAATTTTTCTCTGTCTCTCTTCCTCTCTCGTCCGGTCCCCTCTGTTTGTACATATGTAACCCAGTAAAAGAAAGAACGAATGTGCTCAAATCAATAAACGCAATGTATGAGTCGAGGTAATTTTCGTCCACTTATTTTGTCATAGCCGCACACGGTTCTGTCACATACGCGTTTCTCTCTATCCCCCTCCTCCTCCTCCTCTCTCGCCTTTCGTATTCGTGTCGAGCACAACTACCTTTCGTTTCAAATCATGTTACATGTATGACGGTCAAAAGCGACTTTTTTTCATCAATAGAAACAAGAAAGAGACAGAGAGCAGAAAAAGAAAAACATTTCTCTTCATTTACCTAGTTTTTTTCCTCTCTCTATTGGCCGGTTGCTCTGCATTGCTGCTACTATGGTTTTTTGCGCACCCGAGTGACGAACTTTTTTGTTCGCATATTTCTCGAGTACTTCGTCATATTAGCACATATCGAAAGTAGACATACCGAACGTTAATGGAATATACGATCGATGGAAGTTCTATTCTAAGACAATATTAAATATGAAGAAATTCAGTTACATATTTATGTGTTAACAACGAGAAAAAAAGAGCAATTTCTTCCTTTCTTTTCATCTCTTTTTTTTCTTTTCTTCAATACTTTTTTTTCTACAGTATAAACACTTTGCACCTTAAAATGCAAGTATCATCACTGAATCGATTACGCCGCACATGCACAAGTTTTCTTTTCGAATGCTTTGCTTCATCAACTATATAATGATTAGTCTGTCGATGTCTATCAGGATTTAGTCTGTTGAGATTTTCATCCAAGGAGATATATTCGCGTAAAGAGTCGAAGAAAAGAAAATAGCTTTGCCCAATTGTTTTCCAATGTATTTTTTTTCGTAGTTACAGAAGCATCCAACGATGCGAATCGAACATGAGTATGTTGACGAAAACACATTGCCTGCGTTTTGTGTTTGTTTCTTTCTTTCTTCCTTTTTCATTTCTTTTTTTTTTTGACTTGTAATATATACGACAAGTATTTAACAGAAAGCTTCCATAGGTAGAGAAGTACATCAATCGTTGAGAGCAGTTGCTTCTTTTACTAATGCTATTTCTCCTCCTGCTGCTGCTGTATGATGACAGACAGCGGAGTACACATTTCCCTTCTTCGTCTTTGGTTGCCCATTGTTTCATCATGGTTTTGCGGTACTTCATGTTTTCATTGCGTATAGAAAGCAAATAGACAGGAGAGAGAGAGAGAGACGGAGGCGCGTTGCACATGTGCTGTTCGACATTGTCGAAGTGTCTTTTCTGTCGAGAGAAGAAACGAAGGGAAGGAGAAAGCTATTTTGGCCTGTATGCTCGTTTCATCTATAATTCATGCTTGATTATTCACTCCTCGCGCATACAGCCTCCAGCACTTTTTGCTGTTTGCTAGTTAACTTGCTTTATTCGCAATTGTTCTATACTAGATCGCCCGACAAGTCGCTTGTTTTTTTTCATTCCAAAAGTCTTTTAATTAGTTAATTACTTCATCTGTCTTCGTATATATATATTCTTATTCTTCTGGTTAAGTATTATTCTTATTCTTTTTTATGATCGCTCTATGATCAAGGTAATTGTTATCGTATCACGATGTACTAGAACACAGAATCGCATTAGTTACATCGTCGACATTTATTAATATCCATCTATTTATACAATAGAAAACAAGAATAAGCTTGCGAGTTATTTCCCCTGTGAGAGCATTGAATACCTTGACATGACGATTCTGGAATCAATCACGTATGCATTTTCACGACGTGATATTGACTTTGGATAATAGATTTTAAATATAGATAAAGAAAAAAAAATCGTTCTCTTCCTTTTCTTTGTTTATCAAAATCTAATGAAAACTCTATACGACGTGCGTGTGTATATATAGCTCATTTTCAATCATAGTCATTAAGGCAATAAAATCTTATTTAATGAGCCTTCCGTTTGTCGATGAATCTCGTTTCTCGACATGGATTGCAACACTGGCACACGCACACCTTTCCAAGACGTAAGAGTGCACTCGCAACATCATTCCCATAGGAAGACGAAGAAAAAGGAAAAGAGAAAAAATGAAGAGCCGTTGTTATCGACAGCGACATACACTGATGAGAAGTAAAAGATGTGAAATTTAACAACTAAGAACAGCGAAACAGACTCGTTTTTTTTCCTTATTCTTTAATGTCTGTCAGCTTGTCTCGTTAAATCATTAGACGTTCTATACGATCGCCTTTGTAAGAGTAGTAGTCGTCGACTTCTCATCATTACCGTTGTATAGAGAAACAGAGCATAAATTAGAGAAGAAAAAAGGGGAAAAAGAGAAAGATATTGTTAAACGAGTAATAGATTTTCAACACGAAAGATATTTTTATTAGCTCAAGTTTTTGTTTTCTCTAATCACCTTTGGTTTGAGAAGAACAAGAATATAGAGAATAAGATACAGAGAAATGAAAATGTTGATTTTATTCTTTTTTTTTTCTCTTCTATTTAAGGGTGTCTATAGATTTTTGACAAAGGAAAAGATTAGACAAAAAAAGGAAGAGAAAAAGAAACGACCTGGCACGAGCTTGGGGTGGTTTTAATACACTTTCTTCATTTAACTGACATGTGAACGTTGCACGCAAACAAAGAAAAATGTCTACTGAACTGGCTAATTATACAACGTGGAGTTGTCAAAAATTCAAATGTTCCGCTCGTGGTCTCATCTTACCATTTGGTAAATAAGTCGTTTGCTTTTCGTCGCAACAAGATCTCATTTTTTGTCTATTATGTAATAGGTATCGAAGCATGCATGTCAATACCATTGCGAGCCACACTCTATTTCATATTCCTTCTCTATCTCTTTCTTGGTATTGCAATTATTGCTGATATCTTCATGTCCGCTATTGAAACGATCACATCCAGACGACGTAAAATTCAATATCCCGATCCGCTACAAAAAGATAAATATTTAACAGTCGAAGTTCGACTATGGAATGATACTGTTGCTAATTTAACATTGATGGCGCTCGGTTCAAGTTCACCAGAAATTCTCCTATCAATTATTGAAATTATCGGCAATCGTTTCGAGGCCGGAGAACTTGGACCAGGCACAAGTAAGAAAGAAATACGATCGCTTGTTTTTTTCAATTAGCAACTAATAGGATCAACTATCCTAAAAATGAAAAAAAATGTCATTAAAATAGACGTACATACATACTATTTGGATAAAGCAACAAACGTTAAGGTCATGATATTATAGTTCGGCCTTTGAAATTCGTCAGTTGTTGATTATATATGACAATAGAGAACTTTTCGAGAAACCAATTTGTTTCATTGTTTTTTTTTAAACATTGCATCGAAAGGTTAGATTTATTATTGTCTCTAATTATCTGTAAATACTGAAGAGAAGAGGAGTTTTTTTTCCTTTTCGGTTGACGAGTAAAAAAAGATAAATTTTTTTCTTTTCAGTCGTGGGCTCTGCGGCTTACAATCTTCTTATGATCTCTGCCTTATGTATTACGGCAATAAAGACCCCCGAGACACGACGAATCAAATTGTATAGTGTCTTTATGGTAAGTAACTAGCTTTTCTTCTAAGATATCAAATGATGAGAATTCTTCATTTCTAGATCACGTCATTCTTTGGCTTCTTCGCCTATATTTGGATGTTCATCGTTCTTTCGGTTATATCAAAAGACGTTGTCGACCTTTGGGAAGCTGTTATAACATTTCTTATGTTTCCATTGGTGGTCATTTTAGCTTTTCTCGTAGGAGACTACATAAGAAAAAAAATCGATACCAGCGAGTTTTCTGTGTTTTTCTTTTATGTACCGTTAGGCTGAAAAGAACTTCTATGCTTCAAACAAAATCGACATGGAAGAAGAAGAACAAACACTCATACTAAGTAAGAATTCTCCTGTCGATGGTGAATGTAAATTGATCGGTGTCTATTTTAGCTCCTCCTGAACTTGATTCAACTGGTGCTGCACGAACTTTTCGTAAAGATGAATTGTTACAATTCTTACGTGTATGTTAATGAATCGACTCTGAAATCACGGAAAAGTCTTCTTCATTTCTTACAATTAGGATCTTGGTCAATCATCTAATCTGTCATTGGAAGATAAAGCCCAATTATTTGCAGCTAAATTAAGTGAAAGTATGCATAGATCACGTATGCAGTATCGAATTCAAGGATCACGTATGCTCACCGGTGGTAAATCTTTGTTTGTCAATCTTCCCGACAAGCTCCAAGAGGTTTGTAGAGAGAATGAATACGTAAAGGAGAATTTCTTCTTCTCTTCTTCTTTTCACTCTGATCATATTGACTTCATTTCCATGAACTTATTCTTCGTCTTGCATCTATATAAATACAATTCAGATACACGGTCGATTACAAACACATAAAACCAGCGAATGGAAAGAGGAAGTAGCTGCTGCTGTTCAAGCACCACATGAAGTACCATGTCTTGAACTGAATGCTGACGAATATGCCGTACTCGAAAACGAACAAATTTGTGAAGTTGGCGTTAGACGATTGGGCCCTGTTGACGTTGCCATACGATTCAGGTGTTTTGAAGTAGCTCGCTCATACATTCATTGATGCATGTCTATGCTATGATACCAAAACGACACAATATACATAGATGTAGATAACTTCTTTCACCGACTATTTTCTTCCACGGTTACGATTACAACAAATATTACTATTACTTCTTCTTCTTCTTCTTCTTCTTGATCATCACAGATTTGATCTTAATTTCTATTTATAATTACATTTATATATATATACACTTATTGGTTCAGGTTAAAACAGTTTAGACTGATTCGTTTAGATCTATCAACGAGCTGTCAAACCACAGTCATCAGATGGAAATCTTCCAGCTGACCAACCAATCGGTGGTCGAAAAGGCACACTGTCGAAATTAGATTTTGATGACGATCCTCAGATGGCGGTTCTTGAGTTTGCTTCTCCTAGTTATGCTGTACTGGAACGCGAACAGCGTGTAACTGTCGAAGTCGTCAGATACGGTTACACGAATTCGACTATATTATTTCGGTATGTCCCAACGATATTCCGTGTCTGTGTTTCGAAATATCGTACCCTGTTTTGTCCTTGACTGTATTGATCAAATCTAAAATGTCCTATATTCAGTGTTGCAAAAAAGACAGGATTTAAGACACTATTATTACGTAGAAGAGCACAATTTGCATGTTTCACACCTGCTTCGCTATAGTCGGTTTTTCTTTGCACATCTTCTCAATGAACTATGCCACTACCTCACATCACCAAATGACGCATCTGCACATTTAATAACATTGCTTTTAGTATTCGTTCTATTAATAAATTTTTCTTAATAGACTCGATACAATAGACGGTACAGCGACAGCTGGTGAAGACTATGTCAAATTATCCGAAGAATTTCGAATGGAGCCCGGTCAACAAGAGAAGAAAATTACCATTCATGTAATCGATGATAATCAATGGGAACCAGATGAAACATTCTTCGTGAAGCTATCTTTACCCGAAGGCGAAGAGACACGTACCAAACTAGGATCGAAAACAGTTGCATTGGTAACTATTATCAACGATGATGGTAAACGATTTGAACGCAAGAGAGAAGATATATAATCTGTTGTTTTCGTTTTCAGAACCGGGCTATATTGAATTCGAAGAAACAATTAATTTAGTAAAAGAAAGCGTTGGCAAAGCAGAAATTAAAGTCGTTCGTATCAATGGTGCTGATGGCAAAGTTTCAGTGCACTATCGAACTAAAGATATCGATGCGGTAGGAACGAAAGATTATGAACGTAAGTTCACGAATGTCGATTGTTGGCTTGTTTGTAACGGAAATGGTTTGGGTTATTTCAGCTATTGATACTGAATTAGTCTTTGAGCACGGTGAAATTTCAAAAATCATCGCCATACCGATTATAAATGATCTTGAAGCCGAAAAAGATGAAAGTTTTGCGGTTGAATTATATGATCCAACTGGTGGTGCACAAATAGGTAAACATCCGCGAACAGTTGTTACAATTATCAATGATGATGGTAAATGTATTCGTCTGGAATGATCATAACGATAATCGTTGATTATTTAGATTATAAAACCATGGCAAATAAAATGGCTTCGCTTGTTCAAGTGGATATTGATAAATTAAGTGTAACGAAAACGTCCTGGGGACAACAATTTCGTGATGCCATGAATGTGAACGGTGGCGATTTAGAAACCGCAAAATTTGGTCATTACGTTGGCCATTCACTTTCGTTCTTCTGGAAAGTTCTCTTTGCTTTCGTTCCTCCAACCTCCATTGCTGGTGGTTGGTTAACATTTTTCGTTTCACTTTTATTCATTGCTATCCTAACGGCTGTTGTTGGTGATGTAGCAGCTATATTTGGTTGTCTTGTCGGATTGAAAGATAGTATCACAGCTATATCCTTTGTTGCTCTTGGTACATCATTACCTGATACATTTGCCTCGATGATTGCAGCGAAAAATTCGAAAACAGCCGACGATGCTATTGGAAATGTGACGGGATCGAATAGTGTCAACGTATTTCTTGGCTTAGGACTTCCTTGGCTTGTCGCTGCTATCTATTGGGAATCTAAGGTACGAAAATCATTTGTCAAAAACCATAAACAAGTCGTCTGCCTTTTCAGAATCTTCCATTTACGGTCAAAGCAGGCGATTTATCCTTTAGTGTACTTGTCTTTTCTATTTGCTGTGTTCTTGGTATGACCGTCCTTATCCTTCGACGATACTTAGGCTTTTTCGGCAAGGCTGAATTAGGTAAGGAGAAGCTCGCTGATAGAAAACCGGAAATCTTTTGTATCGATTTTTTCTCTAGGCGGTCCAACAATACCCAAGTATGTATGTTCGATCTTTTTTGTTCTGCTCTGGGTTGGCTATTTGACATTATCTGGTCTTCAAGCTTACGGACATATTAAATGGCAAAGTTAAGACAGAAAATTATAATTAGTGAAAAACATTCGTAGACGATTTTATTCTTTTTATTTTTATCTTCATATTAATTGGCGCATCTGTGATTTTATACACACAACAAAAAAAAAAGGAAAGAATCAATGAGGTTTTTCTATCTGTTCGATCAAAAACAAAATCTACTAATAATGAAGTATTTCGACAAAAAACATGTTCGTCTGTTCGTACAGTTTGTCATTATTTTAGTATGCAGTAATTTTAGTGAACAGATGAAAACAAAATTCAAAATAATATCCTTTTTTTCTTCGTTCGTTCGTTGTTTTTTTTTCTGTACAAGTGAACTCAGGACTGTGTTGTGGTTTCTTTCCTTCACTACTTATTCTCCTTTATCCTTCATCACCATTGCTTTATTTTATAAAGAATATTATCTAAAGTGACTTTACTCCTATTTACATTTGTGTGTGTATTATTGTGCCTTTATCTACTCTTTAATGTGAGTGTATTTCTTCTCGTTTTCCCCTCAACTTCTTATGTCTAATGTTTCATAACAGACAGTAGTTCTGACATTATTCTTTGAAATAAAGTACAAAACGATTTTCTTTTAATTCAAAAGAGATTGTCATCGGTAAGCGATTCGGAGATAAACATCTTTCGTTGAGACGATTAGAAATCGTGTATGGAGAGCGGAATGAATGTTCTTTCATGCGGAAGAGTTCGATTCGTGACTATACCAAAATCATTTTTCAATTGAGTAAATTATGACAATATTTGTCCTTATGTACACGCAGACATCTCTCGTGTGGTGGAAGCGAATGAAATTGATTACATCAATCCTGAACTATTGTCTTCATACACGACTTTATCACAATAATCATTCGTGAATGACTTTACTTAAACGTGTATAATCCGGGTATTTTAGTCTAATTGGTATTATTGATATCATTGAAGTAAATGTTTTGGAGAAGTCAAAATGAATGACGTCTGACAGGACATTTGTTATTGTTTTTTGTAATAACTTATGACAAGTAAAGAGTCAATTAGACAGTGCGTCTCAGAACAACCTTCGCGTCTGACAGAAATGAAATTCTCTTCCAAAAGAATGGCCGTTGATGAAAACATGGTACGAAAAAACTACATATTGTTAATCGAATGAGGTTTACTACTACTGAAAAGAGAATCATTGTTGACTGATGACTTAAATTCATGTTTATTGTCATTCATCAAAATATCAAATGACTATATATTTCCTACATGAAGCCGTGTGGTCGTATACATTAATATTTGAGAGAAATGTTGTGTACATGAAACTGATCATTTTCATTCATACATTGCATTTGAATAGAGTTGATTGTTTTATCGAGAGTGTCCATGATAACACAATTTACTCAACAACTTCTGTATTGTGTATAATGACGAGTGTCTATAAAAGTGAAAGGTCATGTTTTAAAATAAAGTCTTTTTTTGCGAAAAAAGAACAACACATCATCTTCTAATGTCGAGAGAAAAAGAGTAATACAAGTCGTTTTTATGTTCAAATGTATAACGATAAGATATAAATTTGAGAAAGACCTTGATTTTATTAATTATTATCAATAAAAGTGTGTGAAATCTAGCTGATTTGTCTTTACATTTATCGAAAACAATGTTTATCTAACAAGGTTCTTTCTTTTTTTTTTCATCATGTATAAATACGAAATTTTTTTCGTTTCTATCAAGAGCAAATAAATCTGATGACTATTTTTTGTTCTATTCCTGTTCTTGTCAGAGCATTAGATTGTATTTCATAGGTGCATATCAATACGAAACTAATGACTTAGATCGACGTCGTTTTAACATCTGTCATCGTGTAAAAAAGTATGGATTATACTGAAATTATTGACAATGCTAAGCGATTTGTTGGTGACGACAAGAAGACAACAACAGTACATGATGATTTGCTCGTTGATCGTTTGCATAATCGATATACAGTCGCGATTTTAATTTGTTTTTGCATTGCAATATCAACATATGATTATCTTGGTAAGTTCGATGGAAACATTTCATTCGATCTCTCATATCATTGCAGGTGATCCATTACAATGTTGGGTACCCGCTCAATTCACTGATAATTACGAAGATTACACTAATCGTTTATGTTACATACAAAACACATATCATGTATCGAAAAATGAATTCATTCCGCGAGATATGAACTTACGTCATGAACGAACGTTGAAATATTATCAGTGGATGCATTTCGTTCTTCTCTTGCAAGCTTTATTTTTCAGTCTACCAAGATTTCTCTGGCAATCATTTAATGACAAATTTGGTCTATCGATCGGAGTTCTAGTGGATGCATCGAGTCAATCCGAAATGTTTGATACTGATAAAGAACGAGATGCTGGTTTGTCTATGACATAATCATTTCTATAAAGCATTTGACGCTTTCTTTAGTCATACAATACGTATCGGATTGTTTGCAGCGCTATGAAGAATATATTAATCCTTTGAAGTACAACAGACCATCGTTTTTCGAACGTTTACGTCGTCAATGTCGTTTGGTTTGTCAAGCACGTACAGGTGCATCCTTGACCTGTTTCTATATATTTATCAAATTACTTTATATAATCAATTTATTCTTTCAACTATCGTTTCTTCAATATTTTCTTAGTTACTATGATGTCAGCTATTTTCAATACGGATTCTATGTCTTTCGTCAATTGATCTCCGGATTACCATTACCGGAAAGTCGATTATTTCCACGAATAACTCTATGCGACTTCCGCATACGGGAATTAGGCGAACAACATCTGTACACAGTTGAATGTATATTAGTCATTAATATCTTTTTGGAAAAGATATACATCATCTTGTGGGTTTGGTTCACTTTCCTATTATTGATAACTGCGATTGATCTAATTCGTTTTCTCTATCGAATGTTTGTTCATGATTCACGGGACTCGTTTATTCGAGAAAATTTAGAATTAATGATTAAAAACAATGCAAATGACGATCGATACATTGCGAATTTTCTCAAGTATTTTCCCATTGATAATCTGTTTATCTTACGAATCATGGCGTCCAATTCAAATTCGTTGATCACAGCGGAAGTTCTTCATGAATTGTTTCGACGAAAGTTTTATCGAGATTCGGACGTTTAATTGTGAGAAAAGAGACAATATTTTCGTGAATAATGTTTTATTTGACAGAAAAGAAATTTACAATTTAGAAAAATAATGTTTGTAAATACTCGTCGAATTCGTCCTCTCTAAATAGAATGATGTCAAAATAAAACTCATATCGAATCGTAGAATACACACCTTGTTGCTTCACGAGTTTCTGCTAACGATTTTGACCATATTTGTCCATCATCTTGAAGTGTTATTGTGTCATCATCGTCATCAAGTCGACTTTTCTTTTGTACAGACGATGATGATGCTTCTTCGCTAACATCTGTCGCTTGACTTTCATCCGCTTCTTTCTCTTTCGGTACGAATTCTTTTACTCTAAAAGCTCAAGAATATCGAACAGGAAAAGATCGAGAATGATCGAGATTTACTTATGACCAAAATGAAGCTTCTTTGTGCATGATGGGCATAATCCTAAATCCGAATAAAAACATCGTTTATACTCCATCAACATTAAAAGCACACGTACTTAATTTGACGAGAGCATCTCGTTTCTTCCCATGTTCAACATAACCAAACAAAACTTCCCAACTGCGTAAATACTCTTTTTCGTCACAACGTTTTTCACTGCAGATAAATTGACCTACCAATCAAAGCAAAAGTTGAATAATCGGACAAGATTCAAATGCAAGCACCTTTGCCACTAACAACTTCGCTGTCGATTCGCCATCGCATAGCAATTTTCTTCTCTTGCCACTTGCTCAGATCACATATACAATACTCTTTAAACAGCTTGTCATAGTATTTCTTTGCCAAACGTTTGCCCCTAAAATCGAGGAACCGTTTTGTTGAGTAAAGCGCGGCGAAAACTTCCGTCATCGTACCATGTTTCATCAGGAGCATCTTCATCGTCATCCCATAAGAATCGATGTTCACTTCGGACTATATCCAAATCATTTTTATCTTTTGAACTGAAATATAAATGCATTTGACATAAACAGCCGATTGATTCTGTTCAATCCGCTTACGAGTCTCGTTTAAATAGTTCATCAAACGATTTTCCTTGAGAATAATAACGAACATAATCATTTACTAAGCGTTTGTGACGCTCGTAAGCATTCATAGCCATGAATTGTGAACGAAATCTTTCTCTACATGATCAGTTTCAGATTTTCAAATGAATCAATCATAAATATGTACTTATTTGCACTGGCAACTCGATCTTCCTTTCGAGCGAGACCACCACCACCACCCGTAGTCGTTTGAAAAGTAGTTTTTTCCGACAGATCTTCACGTTTTCGTCTAGAATACACAAAGAAAAACTAGATTCGGCTTTACACACATAAGTATTAACTCACTTCTTTTCATCACGTTCAGCGTTATCAAATTCTGAATTCAAATCTGATACTTCATCGACCTACGGAGGGTAAATTATTGATGTGATTTATCATCGAGTAGCGCATAACATACATGAGCTAAATCGGTAATTCGTGCCATCGATCTTCTATTATGATATCTTGAACAGAAAAGCCCTTCCCATTGAAAATTCTTTTCTCATAGGAAAAGGAATATTATTTATTATGAACATAGAGAAAAGAAAGAACTACACGACGAGATTTGCAAACAAAACAACAAGAAAATCCATGCCCAGTACATAGAAGTGTGCCATTGTACTCCGTATTAATTAAGATTCATCCTGTTAAAGAAGTTCATCCAGCTCCATGGAAGAATTTATTCAATATTGACAGCTGTCAGAAATCGATTCGGATGTCTATTGCTCTTGATGTATTCTTAATTGATATTTTTTTCCTATTTCACTCATTCGACGGATTGTTAAAACAAATCGGCAATCGAACGTTGTTATTTCTCGTTTTTCTTTTTCTTCTAACTATTCTCTATATATGGAAACTTAGGTAATCTAGTTGCGTGATACTTCAGTTTTTCTTTCTAAAAGAGCATTTTCTTTTACTTTCAACAAGAGGTTGACCAAGCTGTTGTTCATTTATATATATTTTAACCACGAGGAGATGATCAAAGTATTTTCTTTACACGCGTTATGTTCAAAGAACGATTCAAAAGATTTAACTCAACTTCATTAAAGCCAAGCTCACGATTCCAAAGAAATCATATGCTACCAACTACACCAACAACTATAACAACAAACAATTCACAATTTTCTATAACGAATTACACTCGATTTTTACGGAGAACATCGAAAATTACGCGTGAACGATGTTATTTGCTTCTCATTCAATTACTATTCTATACTATTGTTATTATTATTATCTATGTTCGATTCGGACAAATCAATGCTAGACAAATCCGAATTCTTTCGATTCTCAATCCAAATCATAATTCTACACTTCATCAAGATTCTCACAATCGACCTAACCATCATAATCAGTAAGTGAAGTATGTTTTATTTAATTAAGGAAAGAGCATTTTTCTCCATTTTGAAAGGCGTAATCCTGACTGTTCCTGTCATTCATTTTCATATCCGAAACGAAATCGTACTACGCGTTGTCTGGAACTCTATGTGGGCTTAACAGAAGTTGTCTCGAATGTTTTCTGTCCGATATCTTCGACAGACAACGAAGACGAGCAATGGCTTGTCATTCAAGATCGACAAACAAATCATATTAGTTTCAATCGAACATGGCTGGAATATCAACGAGGATTTGGTAATGTTCAAGATCAAATCGATTTTTGGATTGGAAATGAAAATTTATACTGGCTAACTAACAATTTTCCGTGTCGTCTCAAAATTGAACTAACCGATTGGCATAATGAAACTCGAAAAGCTATATATGAGATATTCTATATTTCGAATCAAAATGATGACTATCGTCTACAAATCGATGGATACAGCGGTAATATGGAAGTATTCAATAGATTTGATAGTAAGCTATTAGAAAATGAAGTCGACTCTATCATCTCTTCCCATCGCATAGGTTTCTCTCGATGGCATAATAATGCGCCATTTTCCACCTATGATCACTATACGACAAACACTATAAATTGTCCTCACTTACACGGCGGTAGTGGATGGTGGTATCATTCCGGTGGTGATTGCGCACATGTACATTTGAATGGTTTTCTCCCAACACATGCTGACGGACTTGTTCCATTCAACACAGGTATTTTGTGGGTAGGTTGGAAAGCTGATCGACATTATTCATATCAACATGTTCAGATGGCTATGCAACCGAAATTACGACGAGATCGTGGTCGTCATCGACGATGAAAAATAGTTTGTGTTTTCTTCGAAATTTATAACATGATGACTTTGTTCGTTAGAATAAATCAAAGAATATTATCTGAAAAAAGAATATCTAGCACCTGTGTGACCTTGAATTTGATTTCCTCACTGACGATATGATGTCCATATGTAAAGAAGACAAATAATTTCTGATTTTGTGCTCTAAGTATGGTTAAATATATTGTACTATATTTCGATGGAAACAAAACAAACAACATCAAACACATCCATAACATCTTTAGTCATACAACGTTTAAAATATAAATAAAATGATAATAATTTTTTTTTCTCTTAAATGAAATATAATAACAATAAACGAGTACTAAACACAACGTGGATTCATTCTTTTTTCTTGTCCGCAACTTCCGATGTTGACGGATGGTCTTCATAAGCAAACATTGTTGTCCAATCCTTGCAAACCAATGCCGTTAACAATGGAAATCCAAGACAAAGTGGAACGATGTAGAGCAAAGCTGGCTGACCATGTTTGAAGATTTGAAGAACAAGAATAGTAATGAATAAAGCAATGATGTAAGCCACAAATGACGCACTGAAATAACGTGTTGATGATGGCTTACGAGTCACATCGTAGCGAAGCATCAAAGCAATGAACGCTCCTGGAACGACAATGTCACCTAAATAGATAAACAATATTGAAAATGAATTCATATCAAGTAGAAAAATCATACCGAGTCCGAGCATAGCAAACTTATTTGCTGTGAATATGCCATTTTCAATCAGATCTTGGGGAAATATTAATTTAATTGGTGCATCGAATGATTTCGCCACGGTAATCATAACTACAATGAAGAGAACAACAAATGAATAAATAGTTCAACAGGTATATATGAATCCTTACCGTTTGTACCGAAAACCCAGAAGATATCGTAAATGAATAGACCACCAAGTAAAACGCATCCATTGAAAACCCTAGAGTCAATTAAATTTTCAAACAATTGCAACGAAATATATCCTCGATAGTTACTTGTTGAAATGAAGAATTTCAATTGCATTAATAGAGAAAGCAATACCAAATATATTATTAGCAATCCAATGGCGTTTAAGTAAATACCAGACGCCGACCAAAATGCAACCAAACAGAGTCACAACATCGACAAGATCAAATTTAAAGTCCACATGCATGATGTCGTTATTATTTGAGGCTTGATTTTCTGAGAGTTTCACGTGAAATTGTCTTTCACGAAGTTTATTCAACGCTGGTAAACGTAGTTTACTTAAAGCGGGTTGTATAGCACGAAAGAGTGCAACAATGCCAATGAGAAAGAAGTAGATGTTTAAAACGAACGTTATGTATTCCTTTGAAACGAGTAATATAACGAGATAGATGCCAAATAAAAATCCACTCGCAATGAAAGGAAACATGGCCGCTAGAAAAACAAAGATTATCGTTGAAAAACTTCTTTTTCTGAGAAAAAAAAAACAATTGTAACTTACCATCTTTGGCAGTAAGTACATCAGGTTTTTCACCTGAACTTTTTTGTTTATTTTTACGTATAATTGATCGATATGAACCCAAATAAACACAGAGTAGTGCAGCAAAAACAAGAAAGGAATAGGATAATAACATTCCTTCTGTACTTGCCACAAAAGGTTGCTTTTGTGTTGAATTTGTATCATTAAGTACATCTACTGTGTCAAGTAAAGGTGATAATGTTGCATTTTCTGTTGATGCCGCCATGTTTTCGTTTTAGAGACTGGACTGAAACGACTATTATTAATCTCCTGTATTCTATATCTATATCCACGACGCATATATACGATTCGAAGTTCGACAAGCGCCAATCATTAGTAGAGATAGATGTCTCACTAATTACGAATAAAGTCGACGTTTACATTCTATTTTTCCCCCATATGAAATTGTGTAGGTGTCAATATTAGCAGTGAAGCGTTGATGTCAAAAATAGAAAAGTGACGATAAATGGAAGATAATTATATTCATATGAGTAGGAGGAATAATTTACCTATAACTATTATTCTTCAAAATCAATAAATATCATGCAAAAACTCGTATATGTAATAGTTATGTCAATCTTATTTATGTTCCAGTCATTTCAACGACTATTGTTAGATAATTCATCTAATCTCATTACTAATTACATTGTGGCGATAGAAAAGAACGATAGTAGTTAATCTAATCAATAGAAAAGCTATCTATGTTAACATATTCGATACCTATTCTAATCACTGTAAATATTTCGTAGTTATAATCATTTCATCCAAATACTTTATCAAGCGACTGAACATGTCATTTTCTATGTAGAAAATCGAATTGTTTTCTTCGTTACGCACATTATTTTAGCATTAGAAAAACGCAGCCAATCATGCAAATGGACAGAGGGCTAGAAAACTGTTGATTATTGGTGTACAGGATAATGTTCTGTCAATAAACAACACAACGTATAGTAGGCAATTATTTTGCCTGTTGTCTTTTTTTTTTATACGATTTCATCAACCACCATGTCGAAGGCTATCGACGAAAAAACGCAATCGATCGTTAAACAATGCAGATCCATACCAAGAGATGCTATTGAAAATCTTCCCAATTATAAAAAACTAGAATTCATTTCTGCAATGCAATCGACAGGATTCTGTGATATTTACCTTGTCTTAGCTATCACATTTGGTCTTGTTGGAATATTTACGGCTAGTATTCCTTATTTTGGTATTGCACGTTTTCTTCATTACTCCTATGATAAAGCATTTGGGATTGATATCTACCGGGAAGAATGTTTAGCACCCAAACTTGAATTTTTAATTGATACATTTCGTCCAGTCACATCTTGTGACATATGTCGTAATATTACTGAAATTGAACGTGTATCAAAGATAACACGGGATGAGTTCGAAGCGAAGTATGCATACACAAATCGTCCTGTTATTATAACTGATGCGATGAATGATTGGTTGGCTTTGGAAGAATTCGATTTTAAATTTTTCAAACGTCTCTATCGAACAAATTCCAGTGCACTTCGCGCAGTAGAAGAGAAGTGTCAATTTTTTCCCTATAAGAACAAGAATGAATTTGAAACGTTGGGCGATGTCTTCGAAATGGATTTAGATCGAGCTTATATGATCGATGAAAACTATCGACCATGGTATGTTGGATGGAGTAATTGTGATTATTCGACAGCTTATCTCCTTCGTCAATACTATTCGAGACCATATTTTCTGCCTGAACGTTCAGAATCTAGTAAACTAGATTGGATTTTTATGGTATGATTGATTCGATGGAAGTAAATTATTGAATGTCTTCGTTTTTTTTTGTTTCATCATAGGGAACACCAGGACTTGGTGCACATATGCATATTGATAATGTTGATTTACCCTCATGGCAAGCACAAGTACGTGGACGAAAGCGGTGGACACTGCGACCAGTGCCTGAATGTCATTTCGTTTGTCGAGAATTCAGTTTTACCGTTGAACCAGGAGAAATCATTGTACTCAACACAAATGTCTGGTACCACAAAACCTTTGTTGCGAGTGACGATGAAATTAGTATTACAATAGGATCAGAGTTTGACTGATGATGTTTTTCCTTTTGGTGCTATTATATTTCAATGAACAAAGTTTTTATCTCTGTTTGTACTTATCATGTTTTTCACTGAGTGAAAATAGACTTAACATTTTCGGTGAATATTCAATAACACAGATTACTCGTTCTATTTTCATGCTATGCTACTGTGGTTAAGATTAATCTAATCTCTCGCTATTTGTCGGTTAAAGATATAAATAAACATCTATACTACATGATCGCGAGGAACTTGTGCAAGAAAAGATGCATTTTGTGTCGGTTAGTCTATTGTTATTTTCATTAAAGAATAAAACTGATTAGTAGCATAAAAATATTAGAGGATTAAGTAAGAAAAATGATTTCAATCGAAGGGCAAAGAAAAGCCAAATTTTGATTTTATTGATTCGTTGTTCTAGCATTGTCTTGGTACGGCGGTGGTGAGTACGAATTATTATCGTCTTCGTCCGAATTTCGATCGGTACGCTGTATTCTGATAATTTTATTCCAGCCGGGTTGGAAATTGTCATCTGCGAGTTGTCGATAGAGTTCTTTCTCAGCTTCATACAATTTAACATCGATGAATTTCTTCCATATTAACGTGATAATTAACGCCAACAAGCAAATAAGTGATAGTATTGTTGCTAAAATAAACAAAAGACAGAATCTTTCGAATCGTAGACTTCAGTTTCGCACTCACAACAAAACACTAAAAACAATCCGCTATCACCATGATAAATAGTCTTTCGATCAGACGATGTAATATGTCCCGGTGCATAAAAAGATGATGCGCCAACGAACATCATCACACATACGAGAAGTACAGATATTACCAACGAAAAGAGAAAGGTAGTCCAGATAAAAACAACAATGTATGCTACATAGGCGTTATTTGCATTGTAAAGTACCAAAATTGTTGAAGCCCAAGATGGGAATATTGCCAAATTCACAAGAAACAAAACACACGAAACTAGTATCAAAATAAGACTGAAATATTCCGGTCGACTTGCTCTTGTATATGTATCACACGTAATAGTCAAACTAGTATGAGTATTACTACAGAACTTCCATAGACCGAATGAACCATGAATGTATGGTTTTACATGGTAAAATGCTGTATTTTGTGCTGTGTGCAAAGTACTATTTACCATAATTTCTTCAAATCTAAACCAATGATTGGATTGAAAGCCTAATAAGAGGACGAGAGCAACAACTGTTATAAGAATACTTGTTATTGTTAACGGCCATTTCAGCAGTGAATAATCATTCACTGTGCTGATCATCGCCGCGAATCGACGCGCACTTTTCATCACGTCTGATGGTACTTCGTCTTCTTCTTATCACATGACACTCATAAATGACCTAAACAAAATGTATAGAAGACGCAACATGTGCATGACTGTATGTTATGAGACGCTAATTTTTGTTATTCGTGCGCAGTTAGTATGGTATACACATATAATGAGAAACAAAAAAAGAATTGTCTCGAAAACACAGAGATACACATCGACTGTATATACCAACGTAACTAACTCGTGGGCAAGGGAAAAACACGATGACAAAACAACAAAATGTACAACATATAGACGATAGGGTGATGATTATTTGTATAAAATCGTTACGAAATTGGCTCTAGTATCACCTATGATTCGTGCGTCCATGTGTTTTCGATTGGCAAACTTTTATGCATCGATGATTTGCGTGGTAGTATAGAATAAAATAGAATAGAATAGAATAGAAGAAACAAGCAAGCGATACAGACTGCTTCGTGCGATCTCGACAGATGTCGTAAGACGTCGATCTGAGGATTTCCATAGTTTATCATACATGTATGTAATTGCACCACTTCAATTGATTTCAGTAGAAATACGATGTTCGTGTGGTTAATCATCGACTGGAAAGCGCGGCGTCTTTCTGTAACCGGAGCTACTTCTGGGGTCGGATTGTGTGAATGACTTGCGGGCGGGAGTCCTGCTTGTCGTTGTTCTATGTTGATCGAGCGTCCGCACGAAGCTTGGCATCGACATGGTGAATGTTGAGGAATCTCTTTCACCAGGGCGACTAAGGAAGGTTGAACCGGCTGAGGCGCGAAATGCGAGCAAGTCAAAGACCTCATGTTAAGCAGTCGTGGGATAGCGCTTGTGAATAGACAGCGGCAGGCAGCCCGTCCAATATAGTTGGACCGCAGTCTGTTTTTTTTATTTCTTCAAAGAAATAATCTGATTCATTATTATTCTTGATGAACTCATTGAAAAATTTATTAAAAAGGAAATATGTTATTGTTGAAAAAAAAAACAACAAAAATAAATAAATATCTAGATAAATATTTTCGTAGACAAGTCTTTCAAACAAATCACCGATGAAAATCAAATCGATTCTTAACTTTCTGCTGTTGTTCCACCACTTCCTGATTCATATTGTCGTCGAAAACAATCTCCAATAGGAAAGAAATCCCATTTACGACTCTGATACATTTCCCAAACATAACTTTCCTAAATAGCAAACAAATTATTCCATTGAACCATTCATTTGGCATCTAACTAACCTGTCCTGTATGTTCAGTATCAGGTTTATTTAGCAGATGTGTTAAAAAGAACAAATAATTTGCGAAATTATGTTCTGCTGTCGTATGAGTCTGAAACATGCGAAGTATCACGTTTAGTTTTTAATTCATATCGTATCTCACTTCGAAACCATGTGGTTCTTTATCGAAATAATCTTGACCGATTCCGCAAATGAAACATTTTGACTAGATAGAACCATTGAGTTTCGTAAATAGAGAACGAATTCGCTACATACTTCAAGTGTTTCCTTGACTGAATCAAGTTGTTCACGAAGATCTCCGAATGCGTCAATGATCAAACCTTGAATAATAGCCAAAAGAATAACAATGATAAAGAAGAAGAATGTTATATCAAAAACAATTCGATATAATTCCAACGGATCACCATTCGGTGATTCGAGTTCATCGCCGATACCACCACCAGCTCGAATACCCGAATATAAATGAAATTTGAAACACTAATAGGAAAAATCAATGGTGATTCCAAAGTCAAATATGTTTCTAAAAAACTTACAGTAAACATATCTTTACAATTCTCTTCACGTTCTTCATCCTCTTCTTTAGTGTAAAATTTGCGAAAAAAGTTAAATGCAATTACAGTATAAAGATAAACAACAACAGTCATTAACATAATTGTTAGAAGTAACTAGAAGAAAGTTATACAACTAGAGAAATTCGTTCTAAGAAGACGCATACTTGTCGACCGTTGTGAGTAATGGATTTTAAGATTGTACTTAACGCTTTGACACTTATTGCCACATCGAGTAAATGAATAGCAAAGACGAAATATGTATAGTTGCCAATGACAGAGAATAAGAAGTAAAAGAAGACGTATAGAAATGACTACAATAGATCGAAATAGATGAATTTCCAGTTCTTTTTTTAAAGTTTACATTATCCGTAAAAATCACACCCCATTTCCAAATTTGATAACGTAAATCGATTGATTTTATTCTAGAATGTTGAGTAGATACGCAATCGTTATTCGAACTGACCTACTTTCCCCATAAACCCGTTTCGATTGGTTTAACAATTTCAAACTTTCCTGGTGTATCAGTTTTCTCCATGCCCAGAAATCGATTCAGTTCATCGTAATCAAATTGATCGGCATATTTATTTCGCACCTTCTTTTTAACGAATTTATCCCAGTAAGAATCGGGAAATGACTTGGAACTTATAACAAGCTTATGCCATTCACGTGACAAATAAGATAATAGCCAAGAATTATTTTCACTTGGCTGATCAATTAACCAAGCACCTTCAAATTCTAATTTTCGAGCGATTTCTTTCTCTCGTTTGAATATAACTAATGGAACCTACAAGAGAAATGTGAGTTGGAGAAGTTCTTCGCATAGGTTTACTTTTAATTTGTAGTAACTGATCATCATTAAAAACGCGATTGACGAATGTAGAAAGGCGCTGAGTTTCAACAGATAAACCATAAAGTAATTTTTCGGATCCATCATGATGACTTCGTTTTCGTCATCGTCAACGCGTTCAATTGCATCGGAAGGGGTTGTGGAGGGCGAAGATGTTGGTATTGCCTAGAATATTTAAAGATCAGATTCAGATTGATTCAAGGAAATTGATAGGTGAAAGTTTACTTTATAAAATAACATAAGAAAGTTGATGACAAAAGCAAGACAAAGGGCCATGAATTTCAATTGATGATAGTTTCTTGCTACCAATGCCTAATTTCAATGTAAAACGTACAGCTTTTTTCCGATTGTCTAGTCTTTCTTCTTTACCAGCGCTTTTTTTCCAAAATCAGCGGGGCCTTGTGGTTCTGGATGAATAATTTCATCATCGTCGATGATTCCTACATTGGTACCACTCGATGGTCGCTTGTGATGATATTCTGCTTTAATATCAATCTAAATAAACAACAAGAAATAGATTGAAAGGCATAAATTAATCGGATATGCACAGTGAGAGCATGTTTTGATTGTTCAATTAAGTTTTGTGACATATTGATTGTTGCCGTTAGTTGTGGCTGATGAGGTACACTAGCTGTTATTGAATGGTGATGTTGATTAGCGTATGTCGCTGGTGACAGATGTGTTGTTGTTGTAATCGAAGATGGCACGTGTGAAGATTTCGATGAATCAATATTATGTACGAATAAAGGCTTTTGATGAATGTCGAAAGGTCTAGTGTGTTCAAAATTAAGTAAGTTGATCTCTTCAGGTGTTAGAGACATTCTAGCAAAGGGTGAAATCAGTATAGGAAGGTATAGAACTTGAATGTGTTACTTTGTATGTAGTGCAGTATCTAAATGATGACTTGTACCCAGTGCATTTGTTGTTATCGAATTTGTTCGACCAGTAAGACCGCTTTGCATAACATTTAACGATGCTAGAAATATTTCGGAACTTCAGCTTATCATTTTGAGACATAGAAGACATACGTAATCGATGATCACGACGTTTTGTCGATAGAGGAAGAACATTTCTATCCGAGTGTTTTCGTTCTTGATGTGTGTCTTCATGCATCATGGAAGAGATACAGTACGCTAACGTTCTGCAGATAAAATTCATAAAATTAAAGATAACACGTAATGAACTTTTCATTCCTTAACATACCTTATGCTACACGCGATGATAAAGAAGAGCAGCCGAACGCATCCGGTCAATAACGAAACAAATCCTTTGATCACATCTATAAACGTCAGTTGTCGAACTTGTTGATATCCTTGTTGAATTGTTGTTGGATGAAGCAGGTAAAATAGATATTTGATACTGAACCAAGTATTAGAGAAGATCGATTTGAGAGAATTAGCTGTAGTTGATTGAGTAAGACCGAATTCACCACTAGGTGATACGGATGTGCGTAATTCTTGTTCGTCATCCTCGCCGCTGAGGGCAACTGCATGTTGCATCTAGAGAAAATCGACTCGATATGAGCACATCTGTATGCATACAATCATACTTCAAAAATAGTATCTTCGCAGAAGTTAATAAATTGTTCCAGTTTTTCTTTATCGTCCGTTTCATTGACGACTAAATGTAAAAATGCTTTTTTCGATTCCTAAAATAAAAACATCTTCTTTTCAAAAGCAGCAACTTTTCCTTGACAGAAAGTCGAACTTTAATATGTGGTTTATTCCATTGATCGATATTTGATTCAGTTATTTCAAAATAAACACGTTCGATATAACCAGCTCCACCTTTGATTTCAATTCTTCCGAGATAATCTTGAAAATGTGACAGGAAACTTTTGCTCTTATCCATTAAACGCTGCAAGCGTGTATCATGTGGCATATGCTCAGACAAATTAGTTAGCAGAACTGCCATATTAAAACCAATATCTTTTGCCGGTGTATGAAATCGTTCGGTAAACTCCATGAAATCGATCTTTCCATCTTGATTCGTATCCACACACATAAGAATGTAATCTATATCTTGACTAAAAAATACATGGATCGATTGAGAAAGGTGTTGGTCGGGTACGAAAAGATTTTTACCTCGAATACATTTTTTGTGCTTCCATAGCCCGACGAAATTCCTTTGGAGATATAAATCCATCCTTATTCGCATCAAATTCTTGAAAAGCCTCCGAAGCTGTTAACCCTTTCATTTTAAGAAATATATCGAAAAATTGTAATAATAGTTCCACATTGGTCTGAGATTCAATCAATGTATCAACCATTTGTTTACCAACTAATTTTCAAAGAAAGTTTTAAATAATAAAGGAAAAGATCGAGACAACTTACTTGGACCATTGAGTACATTTCCTAGAAAACAGACAATAGTAAACCTTAATGGAAAGATCTTCAACTACCTTCAAGCATTGATAGTAGCATGATTATCATATCTTTTTGTAGCTTAATAAGCTCACGTAATAATTCGATTTGTAATGGATCCTACGGAAGGAAAAAAGAATGTGATAAGTATGCGATTAGTAAAAAACATTTTTACTTGAGATAGTTTTCGTTGCATATGTGCGAAAAGATAGAGGAAGCCAGATATTGCGTCCCACAAACGACTGTTCGCTAAAGCCAGTTGATTTTGTGAACATGGGCCCTAGAAAAGAACGTATCAGCTATGTAGATGAAGAGTATCTTGGACTGTTGTGGTAGAATTCACTTGAATGTATTCAGTCAATGTATTGAAAACTTGTTTTGCTACGCTGATGGCTCGACAAAAATTTTCTCTTCCATGTGCATCAACTGTTTCCTTGCCTGAGTAATGCCAATAGAAATCCATGAGTGATTCCTAAACCGAACAAAAACATTTCGAATCTCTACATAGTTTCTCTTCGACTACTTGTAGTGTCAGTAGATAGTCGACAGTACAAATGATAATATTGACATTTGTATTACTTCCCGGTTGCGAACGAAGATAGTTTTGAAATTCGAGATTATGTCCTTCACATAGAAGCTGACAAAAACGGAAAAGTGAGATGGTAAAATCAGCATCGTGTAGATTTTTTTCGCCAGCCATGCCTTCCGAACCGACGCCTAATGTACGAACATGTTGATTCAGAACGCCTGGAAGCAATTCTTAAACATACCAAGAACTTCGGCTTTGATACAACGTTCAAATGTGTCCAGATCCAGAACACTGCAATTTGCCATTAATGCAGCTAATGAAGTAAAACATCCGACATCTTTTGTTTCTTTCAAATAATCCAGCATTCGCTAAAATTTGAATGCTCATATGTTTTGATGCAAAAAAATCTTCAACTTACTTTCTGTACTTCTCGATTACCACCATGTAAGAGTGATATACCAAGTTGTAATGTTTTCTGGAGCATTTCATTATTTTCACCTAAATGTTTTATTTGAACTTGCAATGATTCTATTTCACGGAAAATCTTACCTTTGCTTGCGCTTATGTACAACAGAACAGTTTCGGCAGCACCTCGATTAGCTAAACGATTCTGTTCATACAGTAATTTTTGTTTCTCCATTTCTTGTTCCTACGCATATTCTTTTGTAAAGAGTCAATAGTTCTTTTAGTTATATTTACTTGAAAAGATTTCACGTCATCCCCTCCACCATCGTCATCATCTTCAGCAATGATACAACTCTAAAAAAAGTGATTATGCATGTTGAATTCCTCATTAAGGGCACATCTTACTTTACTCATAATTGTTGAATATGACACATGTAGAGGATCCTCACTAACAGAGACTATCTGTGCTGTCGTGGCCGATCGATTTAAACATTGCAGTAACTGCCGTAATGGATCGGGTCGAATCGTCATTGTTAATATCAAACTCTCCGTTTCCGTTTTCGTTTCTTCTTTAACCACGGTTACTTCTTGATCAGCAATATCTTCATTATTCTCTTCCTACAATTATAAAAAAAATCAACAATCGAATGTTTCCTGGCAATGTTAATATTTACACATAGATTTTCAATTAAACGTGCTCGAATATCCTCTTCCGTTTCTAGCCAGAGTTCTCGATAGGTACGTAGAAACATATTCATTGCTCGATGACGTATAACAGAATGCAGTGGTGCCATACGAAAGCAAGCCATAATTGCTTTCTTACGTTGAGACGAAACGAGTTTTCGCCGGGTATTTCGACGATGTGCTGGAGAATGATCAACAAAATTCAAACCAAATAAAACCTTCGACATTTTTAACATTTTCTTGATTGACGTCTCATGAGAATGGATCATTTCCGCATGACGTGATTTCGAACCAATCTTACGATACAGTGCACTTTGCCAAGTATTTTTATTCACTATTTCGCCCTAGAAATACGTATATCAACGAGAGAAATGAACAATGAAGAGACGAGCATGTAGGTACTTGTTCTTGAGCCAGACATATATCTCGAAGAAATTCTTCGATGGCTTCTTCTTCATCCGTCTACAAAAAAATGAACATTTCGATTGGCTCAAGTATACCGAAAAGTTCGTAACATACCGATAAATCGAGTAAATTTTGATCTTCTGATGAATTTTCTACTTTTTCAATTTGCTCGAGTTTCATCTAAGAATTCGAATGCCAAAATCAAGGAAAACATGTTCAAACATAGTTTTACTTCAATCATTTTTTGTTTCGCTAATTGCACGAGTTCTTGCTCTCGTCCACCGAATGTATTTATTCCAATAGGTAACAAACGCTTTATGCAGGCGACTGTTAACGACGTAAATTTCTCTCGATCCACTCGACGTTTCTTACGCTTTGGCTTTCCAGTCATATCTTTCTGGTTTTTCATTGGAAGAACATTCACTGGTTCTTTAGTTCCGCTCGGCATTAGCACACTAGTATTATCAATGTTATGTTGACTGGCAAAATTGATCTCTTCGCGTTTGAAAAACTAAGAGAGCGAACTTACAATAATGTCCTTCCGATTACTCTCAAACCTACTTTTGATTTACACCAAGTAGAAAACACTTCTGCCATGTTATTATACAATTGATCAGCGTGCACGTCACCGTGTTTGAGCCAGTACGAACGGTGAATGTCAACATATTTGATCAATAGGGGTCCAAAGGCATACACATCACGGACAAGAATTTCATAATCCTGACCAAAATGCTCGTTGATATAGAATGATGATAAATTCTAGAAAACTTACTTTTATTAGATTCGCCTCAAGATCCTCACGTTCAATCGATTCTATTCGAGTAGCATGCTTTAGATATTGCTCCTGTGCATAGATATCAGCACATTTCATTTTCAAACAGTTGGACAAAGGTACAAAGTATGGTTGAAGAAGATTCGTTGATGAATTGAATATAATTGCTTGAGTGTACACTTGAACAAAGCAATTATTCTTTTCGGGGAAATCTCTTCGAAAACAAAATATTTTACCCGCAATACGTTTCATCCATGGCGCTTCAACTGCACCAAGATTCTTATTGATCAATTTCAAAACACTACCCAAGACTGAATTCATGTGATTTGCTGTGACGTTTGATACTTTCGGTCTAACAACAGAGAACTTATCAATCGTATAGAAAATGAAAGATGAAGAAGACATACTCAGTTACTTGTTTGCTTTTCTGTGCTCCAATTGACCACCAATAGGACAGATATGAACAAACACATGGTAAAATAACTTCCACGACATATGGTGCTTCTTCATATTTGACTTTAGATTCAGCATGTTCCTCGATATCTGTGATGATTTTTGAGAGATGAGGAATTGTCAACGAAACATTTGTCATGACATCTATTTTAAATGATAAAAGTCGATTAGATTATATAAGAGACTTTCTCATACCATGTGCTTCTGGTGATAAAAGTGAGACATCAGTTGCATTTTTATTATTTTCATTGAATTCCGGTTCGAAGAATGCCACTGGAAAACAAGTGGCAAACGCTGTTAAACAATCGCCGAGTAACGGACGGTAACGATTCAATTCATCGATAATCCATTGTCTTCGAATGAAAAACAAAACTTTTCATTCAGAAACTCAACTGACACTTTGAGATTTACCGGTCAACAAATTTTGCACCTTGCGTCCCAATGACCCATAACGAATGTAGAATTTTATAGCCAGCTAATTGAATTTCATTGACTGAAAACAATTGATAAGATATCAAAATGACTATTCTCGAATTCTTACCGAATAGATCAGCACCATAATTATTCTTACCCAAATGATCAAGCATAGAATACAATACAGGTAAAAGAACCATATGTAGATATATTAAACTCGTTGTACCGCGATGTAATGTACCCTTGATATTACTAAATCGATTTTCTTCGAGATTGCGTACAGTTTGATTTAAATCTTCTGCGATATTGTTAAACAATGGCAATAGCGAAGCACGAACCATTTCTTGACTGTTCTTCATCACCGAACTAAAAGCAAGCATAGAAAGCAAAGTGTGATCTGAAATCGACTATTTGGTACCAACCTAACATCAATTGCTCGAACGAGAACTTTCAAACAACGGACTGAGATACTAACGTCATTGCCAAATGCATTGAACCTTTCACGTAATAAATAGGCCAATTTACAGAACAGACTACAGCACATTTCTTTCTCTTTTACTGATGCACAACCAATACCAGATTTGATTGACGATGGCGTTATGAAATAGTCTCGATGTGCTCGAAAGTACTTCTCAATCAATGGTAGAACCACTTTGCCGAAAAATTTCACATCTTTTGTTATGATACTGTACGTTTCGTGCAATGAAAACTTCGAGCTTTCTTTATAATTTTGCATTGTGAACGAGGCACGCTCGACATATTCGAGTAGCTTTTCCAACAAACTATAAGCAAAGCGATTTTCATTGAAAATTCCTGATGGCGATGTCGTAAGATGTGGATTCAATGATATGTCGATCGATTCTTGATCCGTCATCGGCCTAGAAGATTATTAGAGATTACAAAAGTACGAATCCGACTTTTATCTTACCTAATCACGCGATAACCAGATACGCTGAGATATCTAACCAAATCTTGATAGAATTTCAAATCTTTTTGCTTCTCGGTATCTGTTAATAGCTCATAGTGCACCAGTCGAGAATGAAGACCACCACCTAGAATGGCAAATGAAAAAAGAAGAGTCATTCATTATGAAGGCATGAAAATCAATCTTTACCAATAGCAGTTAGACGAAATTTCAATGCTTTAGCCCAAATTTCATGAGCGTTTTTAGCTAATGCTTCGGATAATTCCTAACAATATATAGACAATGATATATCAAAACCAATGAACGCTTTTATCAAATCTTTCTCACCTGCATTTCTCGATTCATTGTTACACTACTGAAATCCATCGCTTTCGGAACATAATCCAACGTGTTTTTATCCTAAATGGAAATATCCTTTTGGATACCCGTGAGTTCGATTACTAAAAGTCTTACTTTTCCTTTCTTTCGTTGAAGTGGCTTCGTTGGAACACGTGTCAGACCTGTACCAGTCTTTTCTAATTGATAATGTAACCTTTCAATAGATTTCAGTGCTTCCCGAATGGGATCTTCGAGCTTTGCAATTTCCTGCAAGAAATGTTTCAAGGTAAACTCGTGTTCAACCGCACTATGAAATCAACCTTTCGATCAAGTTGCTTATACGATTTTAGATTCGGATGTTGACGAAATTTAGCATTGATTTTTTCACCATATGTCCAGCCTTGTTCAATCTAGATAGTAACATGCGTGTTAAGCTTCTAATTTGTATTCTGTAATTACTTTAGTATATGACCATTGATCATGGACACTTTCAGCATAAGCTTTAACAAGCTCATCCAATGCTGGAGTTAGTAAAACACTAGAAATTTTCATTCAAAATTAGAGTTCTCTTGAAAGGAGATTCACTGACGTGGTCGTATCCACTGGTTTGGGCTCATACGGACGTTCCATTTCGAATTTTTCCCGTTCATGTTCGAGATGTTCTTCGTGAGTAGACGGATATGCATAGTCTGGCGACAGAGCGCTGCCAATAGCTATGAAAAACAATCGCATGTCTCGCTCTGTATCTATCCCGAGAAAAAGATGAACGTACCGGTCAAACACGGCAACGCTTTGCCAAACAATTCAGGATCATAATCCTACAATTGACCGAATAAGATAAAGCTTTTGTTCAATTTAATTTACGTACTCGTGAGGCCAGGGCATCGAAAATCTTTTGAAATAACAGCATGGTTAAACGTTTTTCCTCTTCCGTTGCAGCAACTGTATAATAACGACAGCATCTTTCATACCATTGTGTTAACATCTAAACCGATCTCTCTACACGATTCATCGTAATTATTGTGATTAACATACTCTCAATGGCACTATTGTTTGCTCGGTCAATACAGGTATATCGTGAACGAGTTGTTTTAATAACGGAGTCATCATGGATGGTTTCAATTGACTAAATTAAGAAATTTTGAATCTGAATCTTTTAATCTTCTTCGAAGCAATACCTGGCAAAAACAAGTAAGAAATCACAGATGACATCTAATTGACTCTTTGTCAATGAATGACTTTTCGATAGACGATAAACCAGATGTAAGATCAATTGAAGAAGTGTTGAGCGATGATCACAATCATCAAAATAATGTGCATGAGATTTCATTAATGGAATCACATTCGTACATAGATAACGATTTAGTGCTAACGCCATATCGCTGTCGGTGACAATGGCCTATGAACAATGATATAGAAAAGAAATGAAGTGAAGATTAGTATTACTCTTTCTAGGATGGTTGCAGCGCGAATGTCAGGAATAAACGCATCTTCGATGAGATTGAAAAATGTTTCTTGATCTGGAATACCATAGACACGTTCGAGAAACAGTATTGTAGACATTTTATGAGCAGGTAATAGACCCGGTGGCATTGAATTTTCATCTTGAATGAAAGAGAAAAATGAACACGAGGTTGTGTATATGAAATTATTGTTTAGTTACACGGTAGAAGAAATCTAAGACCAAGTACACCTTCGAGATCGTGCATGGAGACAAGACTTTTAAGGATTGATTTCGCGCGAACAGCATTGGGTTTGCCTACACGAATCAATTCGTCTGATGGCGCACATCGACCTAATAACTCCACCAAAATAGCATAAAATGACAATTCTGCTGCACCCAAATCGATGTACTCTTCTTCCTCGACATATGGTAAACGAACTTGAAGGTGATCACTAAAACCACACGAGTGTAGACATCTTTAATCAATCGTTCGTTAACTCACAATTCTTCACTCAAATTATGCATGCTTTCATCATTGATTATTTCTTGATAGGCGGCTTCAACAACTGGATTATCAGGATCTTGTCGTCTCGCAATATAAAGTGATTGTGCAATGCCTTCGCGTATCGCTTTTAATAAACCGCCACCTTCACCTCTCAACGCTGGTCCTAGACAATCCGGCCGACGGATAAGTAGTCGAACAACTAAGTCAGCATTTTCTTCCACGGTATCGCCTACGATAAAGATTGTTTTGGAAATCCAAAACATACTATTTATTCGACTTACCATTTACCCATACACAGAATTTCAAAAAATCAAGAAATCTAATCCATGAAGAAAAAAAAATGATTGTTCGCTCCAAATCATCATCATCTATCCTACCGTTCGCCATCAACAGGATCCCAACCAATATCATGATAGCCTTGTAGAAATAGTTCTTCATTTCTCGTTGTACCGCAACGGGATAAATACGATGCGATTTTTTCTAAATGTGACTCTCGCAAAGCCAACGCTAGTTCATTATTATCCATTACACTGGCACAGGCGACATCCAATGGTGCTGAGCCACGAAGTGACGGACGAGCTGAAACAGAAAACAATGATGTATTCGACGTATTTCCATCATTATTCGTTTCATACAAAGTAGCATGGAACTATTTTCTAATAGATAACTTAGATGTTCGAACATGGCTCGTTGATTGTGTCTTGATGTTCGACAAAAATATGATAGAAATTTACAACAAGTCGTGACAAGTTCAACTTTATCATCCTAAACAAACGCAAAGCATCATTTCTGTCAATGAAAGGCAAAACATATACTTTAGCCGGATGACTTTCCAAATTTTCACCACTTTCGCTTGTTTGCTTCAAACCATCGGTTTCATTCATGGATGTTTGCTCCTGCTTACTTTTATTCAAACGATTCACCATAATCGCCATTACGGTCTCATGCACACAGAGTGAACGCATCAGATCAGGGTGTTGATAAAACACCCGATTGTCCATAATATCACTAGATTGGTCACTAATTATAGATCCTATCTAAAGAAAATCGAAACTTACTTCAAACAGGATATCATAATGTCTTCTTCTTCGGAATCCATCTGCACGGTTAAAAGAGCACGAATGATACTTAATTTACGCAGTAGTAGCAATATATCAACTTTAGATGATTCATTAACGGTATAAGTTCGTTCGAGACTTCGGGAAATCTGTGAAGAAGGCGAGAATAGTTGTTCAGAAGTGTGCAATGCTACGCTTACCTCCCCAATACCATCGTATTGATCGTAAATTAGTTTGAACATCTCCCGAACTAAATTTGGATCACTGATATTAGTCGATCGGCCCCATTTGATAACTGTCGACTTGATCACTTCCGACAATGTTTCTAATGTGCAAAGAATAAGTCTCTCTCCTCGAAAGTTTATCGTTCAACTTACTTTCCGTATTATATGTGATTTGTTTATTTTGAATCTCTTTTTCTTCCTCCTTCTTTTTCAATGAATATCGTATAACTGTTTCCAATAATCGTGGGAACAGTGCGACCTGTTCATTGGAATCCACTTGCGTTATCTTTACTGTTTCGTTCAAGATTTCGTCTAGCTATTTTCAAAGAAACAAACAAAACTCAGACGTCAGATTCGTTCTCGTTCTAACCTCGACCACATGCTGTAACGCAAGAAGATTCGAATGGAAATTTTTCATCATCAGCTTTAGTTCATCATGGATTCCATCTTGATGTGCATTTGTTGCGTCAGTCAAAAGAGCTTTGAAATTCATCAATGCTTGCATCTAGAGAAATTGATAAATCTCTTTCAAGAAAATAAGTCTTGCTAACGTTTACTTGATCTTTCGGTGGACAACGAAACTCTCGTGTTTTCTTTGCCATCAATGCCGGTGATAGATTCGCCTCTTGCAAAGTATGATAACGCCGTTTTTGATCCTAAATCGGACGATTTTAGCGTTCTTTCTCATACGAAAAGGTTCATACCGCTTGTAATCTGGCAACGAATTCTTCGGAAAATGAGATGATACCTTCAACACGGTATTGTAATTGATAACGACACAGGTGTTGTAAAATATAACACAGTTGAAGTTTAACGGGCTCATCTAATCTCATTTGAAATAAACCTTTCTTGAAATGTCGATCGAGTTGAAAGTGAAACGATGTTGGATCGATTAAAGTCAATAATTGTCGAATGTCATTTTCTTCTAGAAGAAGAAGAAACAAAGAGCACGTTTTAGATGAATTAGTAGTTGCTAATATATTCTGACCAAGTGATCCCATCACTAGAAGAGCGTCGACCAACTGAAGTATTGGTCTGCAAAAGAAGAGACAGAAAAGAATCGCGGTAAAAACTTTGTTGTTAAGTTATTTACACAAGCCAATTCGCATATGAACCACCAGCTGGATCTCGAAGGACGGTCGCACTCTTCTCAACTGCATCCGTCAATGAGTTCAGGATGTATTCCTTCAGATTTGGAACGTTGAATGGTGGCGGAACTAAGAGTTTCCGTTCACGGTCAGTCTTGAAACTTAAAAATGATAAAATCAAATGAATCAGATTTTCTTTTAGTGGATATTTTCATCGAAATAGATACTCTTCTTCTTTGATCAACTTAGGTCGAATAGTGACGAAGTGCTCCGTTGCTGGTATGTGTGTTGTTGTTGCAAACTTTTGTCTCTGTTCGAAGGTGTTGTATGGACTTAGCAGTTTATTATTTCGGAGCGAAGTTGATAGAGGAATAATAAACTCAGTTGACGTTAAATTTCTATGAAACCGAAAACAAAATGTCAATTCATAAACAGTTCAGTATTTTAGAGTAAAACCTCGTTTTGATGTGTGGTTCAAAATGTAATGCGATGAGTAATTCGTGGATAGCGATCCGAACGGGCCCACAAATGTCTGAACGAAAGAAAGCAAGTCTTACGAGATAGAGAACGATTTCGTATTGAACTTACAAGTATTTTTGACACAGTACATCAGTTGTTTCTCATCGACAAGTTTGCAAATTTCATGCGATACACGATTATTTCCTTGAGCACATATCGAACTATAGAGTCGTAATGTATTCGAACAGAAACTGCAAAATAAGATGTAGTTTTCATCAAAGAAGCAAGAGACAGTATACCTGAGATTATCCTCATCCTCGACTAAGCTCAACATATCGGTGCACCGGTCGTCTTCAGGGATGTAGACGGCTTCCATATGAACTAAATTGCAAGACAAGGGTGAAAAGAAAGTCTGAAAAAAGCATTTTTTACCAGGGTCTTCCACAAAGACACTCCATCCGCGAATATCAGATAATTTCAGCTGTTGACAACGAACATTTGCATTGGGCACACGTGACCAATGGCAATGAACTAAAGATTGCAACTGCAAACGTGGTGGTAATCGTGGAATAAAACGTTCGTCACGGTTTAAACTGGGAAATAGACCTGCGGTTAGTGGTAAACAATTCTAAACGACACAAGATATAATTCATCATTCTATTCATCGTAAATCTTACTTTGATACGTCCTAGTTCGAATTGTAAGACTTCTTTCACAGTCGGTTCTACAAATACGGCTGGATACAATTTCGTACTGGGTTCAACCTAGATCATCATCATTGAAAACATGTCAGTCTTTCTCTAGAAGTACACTTACTTGAAGTTTCTGCGATGATTCTTTTCCGTTCACATAGAATGTTAGTTGTCCTGTTGACGTATCACATAAACATCCAATTAGCAGTCCACTACTTACACGTCGGGCAATATTTTCTTTGTCTATCATATTATCCAATAGATCGTTTGCAGAAAACATATAAGCATCTTGTCGTTGAGTACTTTCCACAATTAAACCATCATCGGCAGTTTGAATTAATGTACAGCGTCGAATTAATTTCGATAATTTGTTCGTCGATGTATCATCACGTCGGTAGATAGGTCTAAATTTCGATGTTACCCAGCCGACGTATACAAAACGTGGGTTTTGACCAGGTAAAATTCTTACTGCATAATAATACTCATGAACATGTTCGTTAATAACGCGTACATCATCGTATTCGGAACTTTTTACTTGTTGATCGAGAAACTCTCCATCTGCATCACTAATTGATCTTCGTCCTTCCACACTCCCTGTTGGCTTCAATGGAACCTTCAATGCGGGTGGTGGTTGTAAGTGTTGGTTAATATTCGGTGCATTGGCACTATCTATAATTGCTGACTTGATCGTACGCTTGTCTGCGTGTTGTTCTTTGAGAAAATAACTGAAAATGTTATTGATTTTACTTGCCGATGAGCGCCGTTGCGGTTTCCGCCGTGGAGTAACAGGCGAGGAGCTTTTACGTGATGAGGCAGGTGCGTTTCGAAACGATGATTGCTCGCGAAATTTAACTAATGAATTATGTGGATCACGTCCTAACTTATTGGCTAATGGCAGATCAGCATGTTCGATGGACACTCGTGGTGGAGATGAGAAAGGTTTTTGTGAAAATGAAAAACTATTTCTCTCCGTTTGAGATTCAAGATAATGATTCAGAGCAATCTTCCGTCGTTCGAGCGTCACATACCTTTGCGAAGTAGATAGATTTTACATGAACAAACAATAAGAAATGAGTGTTACCTTGGAACGAATTTGTCATGACATGAGATTGGAAGAGATAATCGTAGAAATTCAAATTCAACTCTCTCCAACGTTCCGAATAATCGCGATTCAAGTTTGATCATCGGTGGATCATCACGGCTAAAGAACGAAAATGGAATCGAAAAGCAACTCGATGCAGATCGTACCTTGCACCGATTCGAATAACAGAAAATGACGGTGAGTCCGATTTGATCGACTGAAAATTCGGTATGAAATTTGAATACCAAAATGTCAGACTTCGTGACATATTACTAAAAGTAGTAATCGATGATCGATAAACAACAGCTATGAAAATCTACGGAGTACTACTTACACACAGAATGGTTCATAGCCTTCTTGTAAACCGCACGATGTGAAATATTTCAATGAATTAACATCTTGTCCGAAATTCAAACGAGCTTTTTGCCCACTGAATGTGGTTAATACAGGTACGAAGCCGATATCATCGATTTCCAATTCATCAAAAGCGATTTCATTGCCATAATTATCGAGAATTAATTCGCCATTCAACGAAAAACTTATTGTTTTATCATGTAGATCAATCATACAGCCGATAATATCATGCTTAGTCCATGGTTTACCGAAACTTTCATAAGTATCTTGATGCAAACGTTGAGCGTTCAAACCATCGAATGCATAGCCATACGAATCGGTACCAAGTGGATAGTAAGCATCAAGTTTTGATGCATGTCCCCATCCGATCAACACTCGACCTGTAGTTAAGATTTCGACTTCGTAATACCATTTGCCACGCATGACAGCAAACGTTCGTTCAGCACGGTATGTTCGATATGTTAATAAACGTTCTTTATTAGCCGTATCTTTATCCTCTCGATCAAGATCCTTGACGTCACCAATGGGTGTATCTATTGTGTAACCATAAGCAAGAAGAGTTTTGACTGTTTCACTTGCTGTATCACGATTGATCTTTTTTATACATTCATCAATGACTGAAAACGGTAGTAAATAAGGACTGCGTTTTTGAAGAGGATTCTAAAATAGATCCGATTTATATATGATGAAATACTAAAAGAGTTTTTTTCCCTGCTTACATCCGACACTCCATATGTAAATCCATCTTTGATTCTTTCCGCTGTCCAAACATTATGTATATTTTCGGCTAGAACTTCAACTAACTCATCCATTTTTGTCGATAGAGTAACATTCGCTAAGTCTAACGGTTGCGGCTTATATCCATTCGATTGTGCATATGTTTGCGGTAGTTTCATCGCTTTCATTCTTCGATCATCATTCTTCGTTTCTAAACCAATATGATAACCGAATGCTAACAAGCTTTTCAAATTCTCTGTTGCTGTTGATAAATGCTTTTGTCTCTCATCCGGTGCCAGATTTTCAAAGAAAGTTAAACACGGATGTCGTTTTTGTGCATCATCTCGGTACTAAATTCACGAAAAAGAAACAGACGTCGGGTTGATTTTTCGAATTGATTCAAATAAAAAATATACTTCGCCATATTTCCATCCATTGGCAATTTTTGACATGGCCCACAGCTCGTGGATGTTTTCTGCCAGCTGTTCGCAGACCTTTTCTAGATGTGCTGGTAAGATTATATGACTTGTTCGTACTGGCTGCGGTGTAAACGCAATATTATGTTGGATTTGTGTAGGACCAGCCAAACGATTTCGTTCGACATTTCCAAATGTAAAACATGGTTCAATGCAAAGTTTCTGTTTCAATAGCATTGCTTCGTGAAGAGGCGCAGCACTATCCGGTGGTCGATGAATGAATCGGCCATGCTCTCCACCAAGTAAGAATCGACAACTAGAATGATCTTTACAAGTAAACTATGATTATTCGATCGATTTAACAAACCTCACACGCGATGATAATGATATCACCGGATAAAACATTCCAGTCAAATTGAATCCGCGTAAAAGAGCTTTGATAGGAACACCGTTCAATGAAAACCACATTTCCGGCATATTCAAATCCAGTAGACATCCAATAACATCATTCTTTTTCAAGGCAATTCCTTGAGATTGATCATTAAATACATTATAAGAACGGCCAGCGAACCAAATGTTTCTACCGTCGAAACCGTACGAGTACGTATTATCACCTATGCCGTTGGCTGAAAAGCCATCGCCATGTCCAGGTGATGGTTGAAAATGAGTTGTTGCCCAGCCAACACGTACATGTGGCTGCATATGTGTAACTTGTTCAATGTAATCGATAATAACTTCAAAGTACCATTTGCGATACATCGATTCACCATCTTCGATACCAACGACAATATTTGGACGCATGCTAAACAAAAAAACCGTGTACATTGTTCATAGAACGAGAATTTTTATTTAGTTTGAAATTCACTTGATGATTGTGTTAGTATAATCGATTAGTTCTTATTCAACTACCAAGGTCATTACATGTATCCAATACGATATGCAGTCAAGCATAAAATTTGTCATTATTTATATTCTATTATCAGGTAATTAGAGCTCATCGCATTTGTTGACGATCTGTAATCGATTTTACGGCTAGCAAAACTAATTATTCCGAACGGGATCTCAAACATCAAGGTTTTCGTCTGTCAATTGTATCATTGTGTTATATTATCATACTGATCATCTGTGCTTACCAAGTAACATGGTCAACAAGTGCAGTTTGCAAAAGAAGATCACGCCGTTGTAAGATATTTTCGCAAATCAGATTCTGATTCGCACGTACAGCTACACCATTATTGACACATAAAGAGCAGAGAACATCGAGCACTTTCGGATCACGACCGTTTCTATCCAGCAGACCGATGACTGGAAGATTTCCAATATAAATATTCAAAATTCGACAAACAATGACTTACTCGCGAGTATATGTGCTTCTGTAATCATATTCAAAACTTCAGGACTATCAACAAGTACACTGTGAAGTACTTCGAGAGCTCCACTGGACGCTTGTTGTGATTGAAGGCGATTGACAAGCCAATTAAGTCGTGCACTTTGAGCAAAATTCGAACAATTAGCTCGATTACCTTTTATCAACGCTGCTAAGACAACATAGAGTTTATTTGTAATATCTTCGATTTTTTCTTCAACGCCTTCTAATAGTGTCGATTTATCTCGACGTTCGCTAAAAAAGTTTATTGCTGCAATTAATATTCGTATCATTCCCTAAAAAGAAAAGAGAGCAAGTGAAGATTTTCATCCGCTGCAGTTGCCAATCTGAATTTACTTCTTCTTGAAAAAGATCTTGTCGGTTCTTCAATATCTTCAGACGTAGCTGCTTTTCTTCATGATCAAGTGATGATGATGGTTGTGCGAAAAATCGAATCAAATCCTGTAAAAGTGCTTGAATGGCATCGCTTTTACCCAACAGATGATTGATCATTTCGGAATCGATTGACATCGGACTGAAGAGAACAATTGATATGGAATTATACCAGTTCATTCAAGTAAATCTTTACTCAGTTCGATTGAATCTTCCAAGCATCGCGCTACATATTCGAATCACAATTGCCGTTTTTTGGTCTTGTTCCTGTGCTCGTACGAGTCGAAAACAATCATCCATATGACCTTCAACAGCTGGGATAATCTACTCGAACAGATGATATCGCAAATGAAGAAAACAGATCGAATATTTCTACTCGTTTTTCTTCGACTTTCCCAATTCCTTTTATTGTCAATTGAAGTGTTTCGTAACTAATCCAAAGATCTGAATCCACGTGACGTATGAAGACGATCGCATCACCATATTTGATGGTCGGTACACCTAAATTATCTTCTTCCTCTTGATTCTCTTCTGATTGTTTTTCCTAGTTCAAGCAGAAAACAAATGTTACAGTTCGTTCTCCATCGTTATCTATTATTTACTTTCGACATGCGCAATTCGAATGTGATCGCAATCGGACTGGCATTCTTTTTCGGTATACACGTTACTCGTGGACCTACAATTTGACTTCTTTTTTTTTCAAAGAGAATCACAAGAAAATGTTTTAATGATTACCATTCTCATCACCAAGTACGGCGAGATACAGACCAGATGTGATATGTCGAAGACGAATCAAGGCATTCCATCCGATAAAACCACTATACCATCTGAAAGGAGAGATCAATTCAAGACTCTTATTCACATATTCTCAATCACAAGCATTTACTTGGTTTTAAATGGTTCAATACGCCATAATGACCGTGCTTGAGAACAAGCAGTACCACCTTTGATGAATAGACTAGAACGACAAGATATTGTTTGTGTCTCAGTCGAATGATTGATGTCTTACCTTCCTGCATCATCAATTGTCGAGGAGTCCGGTGGTAGAGTTGTTATACAATGATCCATATTACCATGCATTAATCGTAGAACATCACCACCAAGGACAAATCCTAATGATCCAATGAGAATCATTTCCATCAAGTCTTTGAATTCGGTAGAACAAACCTGGATTTTTAATTCGTGCTATTCCGCTGGATATCGGTACAAGACTCCAAACTTGTTGACGAAACGAAGCATTCACTCGACCACGTTCACTGTTGGACATGTATGCATGCTAACAACGAAACCACATAGATATGTCCTGCATTCGATATAAATCTCTCACCAAATAACGTTCAGAGAAAACAGATACTAGAATAACATCATCATTGAATCGCACTTTTTCACCTTCACTTCGTTGCTTCGATGCAGGATGAATCGTCCACCAGCATGATTCACCTAGAACAACGTCAAAACATGATCATCATTGCTTTGCACAATCTTACCTATCGCATCTTCTTTCAGACCCACATCAAAAGCCAATTTATCATTGGATGTACTTGTCGATAAGCAACTCAGATACTAAACTTAGAAAACTGTATTGGAAAAACAAACAAGTTTCTTCATCGTACCATTTGACTACGATAATGTCGAAGGAGTACTGCATGGCCGTACAAAAGTGTTCGAAATGTTTGTCCACCTTGACTTGCTGATGATTCGGCTGAAGTTGTATTGACCATTTCTTGTAGAGCTCGAACGGATACTGCTTGTTCCAAAAGAAATATACATGATGCCAAATCAGGACAACAAACCTAAGATCACAACAGTACGTTGACTAGTATGTCAATTCTACTGATTTTACTTCATTGGAAATATCTTCCAGATAACACATTCGATTTCCAACTGCTTCAGCTGATAATGCCATACGCTTGAGGCTCGAAACAGGTATACAACTGAGACATATGTGATCTTCCTACAAATGCTAATAAGTTAGATGAGTTTTAAAGAAGACAAAATGTACTGTTCGTATAAACTGAATATCTTCAGCTTCAGCCCCTATGATATGTTCATCAGCCATGTTTACAATCGATATCCACTTATATCACCATCATCATCACAATGCTCATTTAGATCTAGAAGAAGAAGAAGAAGAAAAGAAAGAAATACGCATATCTCATTTGTATATGCATTGCTAGTTGATTTCATCAATCAAATCGAATCGTTTGATATGTCGCCAATACATTGACAAGGAATGGACGTCAAGGACACAAAAGCATGTAATAGAAAACGACAAGATGATATTCAACTCTGTTATACTTGCGTGATGCTATCACTAATACGTTTCGATTATCAACGATATATAGAAGAAAATACACCATATAAACATACAATGTCAACTTACGGTTTCATTATATAATAACATCATTATCATTCAAAGTGATAGTCAAACTTTTGAAAATCTCTGATTGAATAAACTCGAACAGTTTGACATGATACTGACTGTTGAGTGAAGAGGAGCTCGGAAATCAATAATTCATTATGTCAAGAAATTTTTACCTAATGAAGAGGATAAATAGAATGTGACAGAGAAATACCAGTCTAATTATATAACACCAGTTTGTCTTTCTTCACATTGATCGGAGAATGCGAGGAATATACATCTTTTTACGACTGATGAATATGTCTCTTCCTATTGATACGAAGGCCACCCTCGAATAAGGCGAAGGGAGAGAGGGGGGAGAAGAGTTCTGTAGAGAACTACTACGATGCGAGAAGAACCCGACATAATCGCCCATCATTTGTCTGTCCATATGTTAAAGCATTAAATAGACTCTAGTGGCAACAGTTGTTATTATGTTTAATACCGTTTAACGAGTATGCAGTAGTACATAGAGAAGTTTATTCTTTGACGATTTCTATTAGCTTTAAGATAAATCCACGGGGAGATGTTGAAAATCAAGTCTTCCAATGATTTTGTTATTGGCAAGACAAAAAAACATACATTATCGCTAGAATTGATTATGCATATGTTACTTCCATTTTCGACAATTGATAAAGAGAATGTCAACAAGATGCACATGCATTGCTTTTGATTAACAACTTATTAGAATCTGATATACCGCATTAAGATGTAAAGTTAATTGCGGTTAATCCGTGATTAAATCTCTGTTTGATGAAGCGGGATTGTATTGGGGAGAAGAAGGATTAAAAATCGATGGTCGAATATGGCAGAAAATAAACACCTGGAACCACAAATAAATATCTTTTAGCAGATATACCAGAATGTTTGCTGTATCGCATATTTTTCATATATATATATATTTATTTACATAAACAAACAGGAAATTTAGAATATTTTGTTTAGTAGCAGAGAAGAAGCTTTAGTCAAATGTTCTCTCGGTTGATTAAACTGACCGAGGAAAGGATCCGGAAAGTTTTATGTACGGATGAACATTAATAGATTTCGTCGATTTCCGATCTTATGAGAATGTCATCGCTATATTTTCCATAGTAGGCGGGAACGACAGAACTTTTCTCGGTATATTCCAAACAACAGAGGTCGTGTTTGTCTGTTGTTAAGGTGCTTGTAGAGAAAAAAACAAAAGTATTTTTAAGAGTGACTAGAGTCAAGAGGTTTCTTGTATAAATTAAATATTTATTATGAAAGAAAATTAGGTTGCAAAAGGCAATGCTTTCGAAAAATCTCTGATTAAATAATGAACAAAGGAGTAAAGACGAAAAAAAACAGAGGGAAGTGGATTACATGATAATACAACCGATATGTTTATCGGTGAGACGATGGGCTGATTGATAATTTTGAAGAAATTCAAGTTGTCGAACATTAAATGAACCACGACGACGTGCACGAACAAAATCGATTGATTCTTGTCGATTCATTCCTGCTTCGCGCAAGGCCATTGCAACAAGCACAGGTGATCTATTATCATCGAAATGAGAATAAAAGAAAAACCTTGATCAAAACAAACTAACCGTCCAAGGCCGTGAATACAGTGTACAGCGATGCAGCCATTCTTATTTTCTTTAACGATATTCAACCATTTTTCACGAACTAATGAATCGGGCGCACTTCCATCAGGATATTCCAAATTCTGAAAGATAACTAATTGCCGATCAAGACTCGAATTTTCGAGCAAAACATACATAAACTCTAATCCCAGCAGCTTCTAACAACTTTGTATCGTAGGTTTTTTCCGATACGCGTACTACAGATGTTACTCCGTATTTCGAACAAACCTAAGCAAAGAAAAATCATCGAGGTTATGAAACAGTTGAAGATGCCTACTTCAGCAAACGATTGAACATTATCGTCGTTGGGACTATCCGTAATAAGGAAGCGCAGATGTTTATAACGCAGTTCAGTCACTGATGGATATGTAAAATCATGTATTAAAGGCATTTTTGTTAACACAGAAAAAGAAAACCAAAGGTTTAATCTCTAATTTTAGTTGATATAAGACACCAATCAAATTTCTTTGAACAATATCGAAAAGAATTCGATTTCTTCCAATGGCGTACTAGTCAATGTTGCGCTCGACAATATTCCCTCGAGACCGTGCAGCTGAGCGCGTATTCACTCTATGAAACAAAAATGAACATTGTCAAATCTTCAGATTTTCGATAGAATTTACCGTTTGCTTTGGTGTATATTCACCAACAACAATCGTAGTCATGGAATATTAATAGAAACTTTCGTTGTTGTTCGCTAATGTAATTGTCTGAATGAATATAATCTAAAATAGGTAGTGATTTTTCCATTCAATCAAGGAGGAAAACTTTGTAATGCATAGCTAAACTCAAATGAAAGACGAAGAAGGAAAACCCACGCGACACACCGAGACGATTTCGACATGATGATGTATAATGAAAGAAACACTGACACTTCTAATGACTGAATTGCGAAAGATAGAAATATGTTAACAAAAGGAAAAAAAATTACATCAGCAAAGAAAAGAATGATTGTAGCTCGTTGCACTGTCGTTGTTTTTGCTTTAGAGTCGCTATAGATGCGACAAGCAAACGTGCTGCGTTGCTCGTATGTTTCTTTACAGGAATGTGTGTACGCAATATATTTCTCAACAGCGTATAACAATCCTCCAGCAGCCCAAGAGGAGAAGAAAGAAGAGAAAAACATCACGCAGATAGGTCCTATCGACAAGCAAATACATGCATCATTAACAAAATTCTGTCAGAGCAGGGCAATAACAACACGAAGAGAGTGCTAGTTTTCTTCTTCTTCTTCTTCTTCTCGAAAAGATGACATAGAGGGCATCCGGGTCATATGTGGCATATCAAGTGAATCTATGATGACGTTCCTATAAAAATGTTGACGTATTTGTATGTCAATCTGATAGTAGTACTGACGACTTATTTTTCTGTCGTTTACGAAAAAAAAAAAGAATAACAAACAAACAGTTACTCATTCTTTCTCTTTTATTGTTGATCGTTCTTGTTCAGATTTAATATCATATATAATAGGTAATTGATCAATGCCATATTGTTTCATTCCGATCTGGTCGGAGAGGTTTTCTCTATTGAAACGTTTTGACGATGTGGATCGATAGAAATAATGATGAAGATGTTGATCCTGAAAACAAAACGTTTTCAAAAATATGGAGAAAAATGAAAAGAATTCTTGATTGTATGGGATCGAAGAGTATTTAGTTAAGGTCATAATAAGGTTATTCAAATGGAAGTTCGATGACGATGCGATGTCAAAGCGTTGATGGAGTAGATAAAAATATTCTATTTGCGTGATGGTTGCCCCGTGCACGTTCGCCAGAATCGTTTCATACAATTCACTTTTATCCACCAAAGAGAAATGCGTTGGTGAATATGTATTGATGATTGTTTCGAAAAATAATGATAGAGAACCTGAATACAAAAATGAGAATGTCTCTGTATTAAACATCGTATCATATATTTTTAATGTAATCTATTTATCTATTTATAGATGCTAGTCGGCGAATGCTTTTATTCTATTAATTCACAGTTCGCATCTTGTGAAGTGTAGTGAACTTTCCCGCGAAACAAGAGAGGAAAGAACTTACGCGAAGATATATGCGGATAATGTTTCAGAAAGAATTCTTTGGTTTTCATTGCATAGACCAATGAACTTGGTTTCGAATTGTTAATTAGAAGCTTTCGGATCTGGTTTTCTTCTTCTTGGACTTCTTCCAAAGTTGTGTCATTTGTCACTTGGATGTTTCGAGTGAATATCTTCGATAAACTTTTCATATATCTTAGTTTGGAATGATTGTCCGTAATCGATTCTAATAGGACCGATGTTCGTCCGTAGAATTGATAGTTTCGAATTGATTCTAAATAAATCAATCGATTCAAATTCTGCAACCATAATGAATAAGAAAATAGGTGTTTATTTGATAGATTTTGAATAAATTCATCGAATAATTCATCGTATATCGATTGAAGTAGAATCAGAATGATAATCATTGTAAGTGCGCTCCATTCGAAGTCTAGTGTTGTGCATAAGAAACGTCGACCAGTTGATTTGGTTTGAGTGATGATTGTACACATCGATTGAAAATATGTTCGAGTATCATCATCAAAAGGGAAATAAACCTGTTGACAAATCAGTTCACAGAAATGAAGAAGAATCGTATGGAGATATGCAGCTGATTGAAATATGCACCGAGATATGTACGGTTTAATCATTGGTTGGATATAATCATTGTAATAAAAGACTAGATTTCCTGCGTGAATATTGCATTTTTCCAGATTGAATCGATCACGTCCTGTCGCTCGCATCCAGTTTGGTAAATAGGTTTTTATATTATAATACGGAAGTTTATTCGTATTGATCCATTCAATCAACTGTTTGATGGTTATTGGACAATTGATTAACGTTGATGCACTATCCCAAATAAAGGACAAAAAAAGACCTTTCAACTAGATGAACCCTATCTTACCAATGGATCAAACCGACAAGAATATCTAAGTTGATTACACATAGATTCTTTTTGATCACATGTGTGTTCGTTTTTGCTAAGTGATCATATCGTTCTGAGTAGACAAGTTTCGAAAGTAGATTAGTTTTTAATCTTCTCTCTTCCTGTTTGATTAGTGCTCGCTGTTGATTAGTTTCAAGAATCCCATTTGACGATAAATATCGCAAATAGAGCATAAATGCACATTCTTGAAAGTCCTTATGTTTCTCGTGTTTCAAGCAACTTAATTGAATAATAGATTGAACTTGAAGGTTTAATATATAACTGTAAACTTCGTAAGTGCTCCAAACATGCTGTTCCATCAGTAACTGTTCATTGTCGTCAACTGATAGTTCATTCAAACGTGAAATAGTTTCATCTGTTTGATTAGTCGATGGTAAAATTGTTTCATTTGCTTCGAAGATTTCAATTTTTGGAAGTGTTTCATCGAGCATCGATGTACCTATTGTTTGATCACGTACGCGTCGACCTAACTGAGCATTACCTTCATTCGCAAAGGAAACATGTATTTGAAGCGCGATATTTTGTGATTGACAGATCATACAGTAGAGTCGTCCATCAATATGTTCGAATTGATTCGAACCACAATTCTGACACAACTGATGTGACATTGTATTAGAATAGATGATTCTACTTCAGGTAATTCTAATAAGATATAAATAGATAAAGTGAAATATTCGTGGGAATAGCAGTTTTTCTGATTACCAATTGTCATCAAACAAAGTCACACATAGACATTGTTGCATGCTCGATCAAATTCTATTGGATAATGTAGATGACTAATCAGATAATGATGTTCAATACATATTTTCGCGTGAAAAATTTCGTTCAGAAAATTCATTGGATATCGAATTTGATTATTCAAAAGATAAAGTTATGTCCTATTGGACGAAAACACATGTTCTTTGTTTTCATCATCAAGCGGCGGGAAGAATACTCTGTTGTGTGTACATTGAACATCATTTGACATGGAAGACACGCAGCAAAACTCGCCGGATGATTGGAGTAAGTCAGACTCACTTGAATTGATTCTTGTCACGATAACTTTTTCTGTTAAAGATATCACATTTTGTGTATTTGGCACTGCTTGTTCGAATACTCAACTTCTTACCGCACTTGATGATCGATATGTTTTTGAATGTGTTAAGAATGAAACCGAAATGAATAAGATTCTAGCGGAAACAAAAGATGGCCTTTTGAAACGTCAATTGAAAATCTATATTGTCGATTCATTTGATGAAGAAACCTTTCACAATTTGCGAGAAAATGATAATATTTATATAATTAGTTCCGAACTTGTTTTACTTTGCGCTGAAAAGAAAATTGTATGTATACATGAAAGGATTATTCGGCAGAGCGATGAGAATACCTTTTGAAATCATTTAGGATATTCCTGTACCAAGAAAGAATCGACCGTTGTATTCTCAACAATTAGAATCGGCTGTTATTTGTTTTGTTGGTAGTGCCCGACGTGAAACTCACGTAAGTATCACTCAATTTTATACTGTTCTTGGAATAACTTGACGGTTGTACTCTTTTGTAGGCTAAATTTAGTGATATTGTTCATTATCTTGGTGGATCTGTTCGAAAGGATTATAGTGAACAAGTAACTCACGTTATTTCATTTGCAAATCTCGGTGAAAAATATCTGGTACGATCTTTGTTTTCGATGTCATTCTTTCGAAAGAAAGTTTGTTTCAGACGGCATTTAACATGGAAAGAAGCGAAATTTTAACCGAAGATTGGCTTGTTGAATGTTGGAAAGAAAGAAATAATCGATCATTGAATATGTTGGACGCCGATTTCATTCGAAAATATCGAGCTAAACCTTTACATAACCTTTGCTTATTCTTCTATGGTACTAGTGATGATACAGAACAACATCATCTCCATACATTAACGCTCGACAATGGTAAGCATTGAGATATGAATTGTTCAAACACAATTCCATCTTTTTTTCTATTCAGGTGGATATACAACGAATGAGATTTCGGATGCGACTCATGTTATATTTTGTAATGGAATGGATGTGAATACGTTTCTGACATCGTATCCTTCGTACAAGAGAAAACATCGTCAACATATAGTTAATGTTCAGGTAGGTTCATCTGGTGCAATGAGATTGACACGAGGTACACTCGTTGAATTTTGGAGAATCAAAATGTTTTTCAACTTTCGGGGAATAGTTATCATCATCACAAGGAAGCAATTAGTTAGAAAGAATGATTATAAAATATATCTAGGAAACACACACAGAGTCTTATATTCATTAATGTAATTGTTTTGTTTCACTGAAAGGTCAATGTAGAGTCTGTAAAAAAATTGGAATATGTGACAATCATTTTGTTATATACATTAAATAGCATCTTTCAGTTGTCTTCTCAATGTTTCATTGTAGTGGTTTTGGGAATGCTTATGTCTGATGGGTAAAGCTGACGAGTCGATTTATGGAATAAAACTTCCTGATATGAATGAATTAGTGGCATCGGATTCGCCCCGAACAATTTTATCGACCTCGTTGAATGACTCAAATTACCTTCATACCACGTCTGTTAAACGTAAACGACGAAAAGAATCAGATTCGAATAACGAAACGACTTTGTCGCCGAATTCAAAACGGTTTAACAATAGTAATGAAAATGAAGATGGCCTTGATGAAGATATTCAAACAAAAGTTGTCAACGTGAAAAAAGATAATAAATATTTGATTGCAATGGAAATTCGAGAGACAGAAAGAAACTATGTGACGATGTTGGGAAATATCATACGGGTAAATCACTGAACGATGAAGTTTGTAACATTAAGTCGCTTTTTACAATAGATTTTCAAAACGGAAATGGAGAACGATGATCGTCGAAATGGTCCTATTCTTACTAAAGTTGAAAGTACTCAAATTTTTGGAAATATCGAAGAAATCTATCATTTACATTTGGCAATCGGTGAACAAATGGATAAAGCAATTAATGAAGAGAGTTGCATTGGTTCCGTTTTCTTAAACAATGTAAGATTTTTATCTAAAACATTCGTACGAAGTCAAATCTTTTCTCTTTACAGACTACCGAACTTTTACGTGTATATCAACCCTATACAAAGTTCTACGACAAAACTATTCAAGCAATTCATTTCCTTGAGAAGAATAACTCACGATTTTATGCATATCTCAAAGTAATTTCCAAGATTGCTTTGTTTAGATGAAAAAAAAAACCGGTTTCTCTATTTGAATAGATTTGCGAACACAAATCGGAATTGGGCAAACAACATCTAGTCGATCTGATGATTCGACCCATTCAACGTTTACCAAGTGTTTTATTGCTTTTAGAACGTTTACTCAAATATACATCTGATGCTCATCCAGATTATCAACAATTGATTGAAACGATTGATAAATTGCGTGATGTGACCAAAAAGCTCAATGAAGAGCGTGGAAAAACCGAAAAACATCTTTCATTGTTTAGTATTGTAAATAGTATTGAGAATTGTCCCGTAAGTAGTTACAAGAATCAATGGAGTTTTCTATTGTATGCGTATATTTAGCCTGAATTACTTGCTGCACATCGTGATTACTTACAAAAATTCAATTTAACTGAACTTTCGCAAGAATTAACCGGAAAACGAACACATTTAACACTTTTTCTTTTTTCCGATTGTATTGAAGTATGTCAAATGATTTGCCTAAACTGACTTAATTTCATCTATATCATCTTGTTTTCATTAGATTACAAAACTACGTGTAAATACATGGAAAACATCATTCGTCAAATCCTACAAACATGTCGCATTGATTCAACTTAGTGATGTACATAGTTTATTTGATATTCCGTCATCTAATGATGGTATGATTACGAACCTCTCGTACCGTACGTATTTGTAACATTGCGCTATTCTAGATTATGAACAATTTGGTATGCTGTGTTCCATCGATGGGCAAGCTCGGCAATTGATCTTTCGTGTAGCCGATAATACCAATATGTCAATGACTCGATCTCATTTTACTGAATCGGTGACATCACTATCGACTATATCAAGTCTAAATCAAACAAATAAAAGTGAAGTTTTACAACATTTAGCAAAAGCTATTGCCGAAGAACGTTGTTTACTTGATAAAACCTCGCTACTTGAAAATGTTGCATCAGAAAATCGGCCATTACAGCCTTTATCGTCCGTTGATTATATGCCCGATAGCGATACCTTGTCAACTCATTCAACCATAAGTGCGACAAGTAGCGGATTGAATTCTGTTGGAAGTGTTCTAAGAAGGTAAAGATAGACATTTGTTCGTTAAGTATAGTTTATCTCACTTTGCTTTTAGTGGCTTATGTCGAGCGAAAAGTCGACTTAGTCGAACATTTTCCTTCAGTCCGATTTCATCGAAAAATCGCTTGAAAAAAATGTTAACATCGAATAGTTCATTATTACATCTCGGTGAGAAAGATAATGAAAATTTTAACTCAACGAAACGTTTAAGTGTTCCATCTCGACAAGTACGTACATCGACACAGACTGTTACTATATACTAATCCTTTCCTTTTTCATAGGATTCATTCACAAGTGAATGTAATTTTCCGCGATCACCATCGAGATTGATGCACTCAATACAAGAACATTAGTTCATCGTTATGTATCTTTGTTTTATATGACGTTTGCTCGGAATGAGCATGTACAGAGAAATTGTATCCAAGAAAATAAATCAATAGATCCTGTATAAATGCAAACAACTGACTAGAAGTTCAAAGCATCTTTGCGAGTAGTAAACGGGTTATCTGTGTTCACATTTATATTCAAATTTAACTCAATTTCCGACCTTGTCATTTTATATCAAAATCCAATCGGATTTCTTTATGGTTATCTAAATCAAAGAGTTGTGACATTTCTAATTGACATGACATGATAGCAGAGAATTTATCATGTAGAAGATATTTCCATCCATCACATCGGAAGTAATGCCATAAGGCAAATAATCTAATCTGATAGAGAATAAAAAAACAAGAGTCTTTCGAAAAATTTCTCTTGCTTGAAATCATATCAATCGCTGAGTCCCCCAAAACTCCAAATTCAACTTTCCCTTATCATTAATTATATATGTCGACCAAGGCAAAACAAGCAGAAAATCTAATCTTCTTTGTTTCTTTTTCTTCTGTTCTCTTCAAACAGGAAGTTGATTGGAGTTAGATAAGAACTCACGCTGCTTTTGCTACGGACTCATCGCGTGTCCCACGTATGATGTCTTGTTCCAATACATATTTTAGTTCTTTTCAAGATTGTCGACTGCACAATGAAATCACACCATTGTTTGAAGGCAGGGCAATTAATCAATCAGTTCTACTCAAACTGAATTTACATAATCAGTTTTTTGTGTCGAAAAAGCATATGATCATCAGAATAATTACTAATCATTTATCGACCTCGATAAATATTTTCGTAGAAAATCGTCGAGAACGGCTTCGGAGAGGGATAAAAAAAAAACGAGACTCACTAGAAATTACCATAATTTTTTCATCAGCGGCGAGTGTAGCTAGTCAAATTTTCCCGATCGGTTCTCTCGAGCTTGAATTGATGAGGAGGAAAGGATTTGTATTCGTTCTCTTTCTTATGATATGCACTTCAGTTTTTTTTTTCTGTCTACTAATTAACATGAGCTCGAAAATAGGCTTCTGTTACTTCGGCCAGAAAAGAAACGCGAGAGGGTGAGGGTAGCAAGTAGAATTTGGCTAATATGATTTTCCGAGATAAATTTCTCTGATACGTCCTTTTTGTATACATGTCAGGTAAACAGATAAGACAAGAAATGAGATTCGATTTTTTCTCTCAACATAATGACGTCTCATGCAATGAGAGAGGGAGATCGAATAGAGATGCTTGTCTAAGCATGAGCTTGCGATTTATTACTTACGCTCCTCGGAATTTCCTTTCTTTTTTTTTCTTCGAGTTGGAAGCATAAGACTTCGCGTCAGTCATGGCAGAAAGTCGAATTGGCAATAGCACAAACTTAACACATGAGAATTCGGTCTCAATTGAATATTTTAAAAAAGTGAGCGTTCATGTAAAGTTCTCTCGGGACAGAATAGGGTATGAATGTTATTCTAGTGCTTAAACACGGCGAAAGAATGTGAGGACAAACTTGGTCAACGACGTGCACATGTGAATCTTGGTTTAACGTACTTGAAATTCGAAGATTTCGATCAAGCACTTTATCATTATCGGTAAGGGCAAGTCAGTCTGGATTGAATTGAAATCAAGGCAAGATCTGTATTCTAGAGAAGCAAGCACTATTGGTGAATCCACTAATGACGAGTTATTTCTAGCGCAGGTTTATTTTATAATCGCCTGTATTCATCATTTAAAACAAGATTACCGATCAGCTATATATTTCCATGAGAAACATTTAAATTATGCTCAAAAACTACAAGATACCACAGGTCAATGTCAAGCTTATTTGCTGTTAAGTCAATTACATGACAAAATAAACCAATATGATAAAGGAAAGAAATTTCAGAATTTGTATGCAGCTTTGAAACGAGTGATGAACGCCGATGAAATGAAGTCTGCTTCGAAGAATAAACTAAACAAGGTTTGTTTTTCTCAATGAGTATATCGACGTTTTATTGAGATGTTTTAGAACCTTCGTGCTGAGTCTATCACACTGACACTGACGGATTCACATCCTCCACAATCATCGCGTTCGCACTCAGCTCTTCCTGGCGGTTTGAATAGTACGAATAAAAAGCCGAGAGCAGGTTTCATGCAGAATTTAACCAAGAAACCAATGATAAAGTCGTTACAAACACAAGTAAAGCTGCAAATTCAATTGAAGTGAAAATCGCATGATTGATCTTTTTAGTCAGCAAGTACGGATACGGAAGAACTAGTTGATGTTGTTCATCGCATGCAAAACACGCGTTTAGATGATCAACGATGTGAAATGAGAGTTTCGCCGAAGGATAAAAATGAACAATGTATGTATTTTTCTTTCAATTAACAAGTATTATCACAGATCTATTGAACCTCTTGTAGGTGCACATACTCAAATTGAAGATATATGGAAGACCATCGATCGTTTACAAAAATTTCGTTTTGATGATCAACGAACAAGTTTTCGACGACTGACGGCCCGTTCTCATTCACCTTCGGATGAATCCTTCTTCGATCAACTTGCCAAATGTCAAGTAAAATCGGATGCCAAGGACACTTTGCGCTTACTGTCTCATTTGTTTCTATCGGATAGGATTCTCGTTTGGACGATCAACGAGCTGTACTTTTACCCATCGGTTCATCCATAGTTCGCCCGGTGTCAGCTACGACAATCATTACTCCTTCGAGTATTTCTATCCATGAATCAACATCGAAAACATTGCCGAACACAGAATTTCTTTCACTTTTTAATCGTTTACAAGCACACTATCGCGAAGAACAAATCTTCGATTCATCATGGACAAAACGAACGGACGTAAATATTTGACGCAAATTACTTCCGACGATACTGATTGTATGGTATATGTTCATTAGCATGATCTATTTTTTGCGCTGTATGAAAATCGATTTGGCCTTTATTAACAAGACGAGAATCTGTAGAACGAACACTAGTTGGTGGTAAAACATTTCCCAATACCAATGATTGCTCAGCTTCATCCGATAATGACGCATAATAATGAACAATCTAATCGAAAAAAGAGAGACATTTCGAAACGATAGAATCGAATACAGATGATACTTTTTCGATAATCTGAGTTCGTCTTGACAGGCGACTATCATTTTCATCGGAACAATATTTCAGTACTGCTAACAGCATATCAGTAACTTTTTCCAGTACGAATGGTATGCTCCATCGAAATGCATCGAGAAAATTCGGTAGAACATAAGGATGTTTCACCCATCTATAAGTTCGACAGTTTATTCATTAAAGTTCGATGGAGAGTATTACTTGTATTGAAAAACATGCATTACTGAACCATCGTATCGTAATATCGCACCACGATTTTTATAGACTTCACCTAAAAATCAGTCTCTGGCAATGCTATGAATAGTTTCAATGATGTATTTACAATAGTTCGGTGCTGAAAAGATTGTCACCAACGTGGGAAATAAAGTCTTCTCATGTTTTTTATACATTTTACAACCAGCGGATTGAACTTGATGAGCACGAATGACACAGAGAAGATCATTATCATCAAGAAATTTACATATTGCTTTGTAAGACACATTATAGGAACAACCACGCGGTCCATTATGGGTAAACATTTCATATCTTTGATCGAGTTTTTCATTATCATAACTATCGGTCGGATCAGCCCAGAGAATGTCACATAAAGGTCCTTCGAAAAAATGAACCGAGCCGTTAATTTGATTTAGTCGAGTGGCCAGTACCTTTCGTCGGTGGTTCCATTGCTCGATCGAGATCTGTTATTTCTCGAATCTGTCGTATTTCTGGCGATAGACATCCATGTATACAAAATAATTGACTTTGAACTAAAGCTGCGATTGGCAGACAATCGAATGATTTCATACATTCTTCGTAAAAGACATCGCCTAGCTTGAGCAGACACTCATCTTTGAAACTAAATTTAATCGTATGAAGAATCTAGATGAATGGGCGAATAGTGCACCTACGTGAAATAAACAGTTAAGTTACGACCTAGAAGAAACTGATTCGTTTTTCGAGAAATTGATTAGAGAACCTTACATTCGTGGTTGCCACGAAGGAGAAAGAATGTATCAGGATGAGCAATTTTAACTGCCCAAAGATAGAGCACGACTTCAACGGAAAATTGGCCACGATCAACATAATCACCCAGAAATAAATATCTGTAGACAAGATAGAACTTGTAAATGCTAGGAGAACGAAGATCTTGGTTACCGATTCGATGCAACATCACCGCCTTTCTCAAACATTTTCAACTAAAATCATCATTCAAATGCAATTCTATTTGGTCCGATATGAATTCGATACCATATCAAAAAATTGACCATGGATATCGCCGACAATCGTCACCGGTGTGCTAATTTCGAGCATATTCGGTTCTCGTGCCGTTAGCTCCCGACCTCGGATCATGATGGTCAAAGCTGCATCTAATTGTAAGCGACCTTCTGCTTCCAGATGTTGCAAAAGTAACGACAAATTCGGTTTATCTACATTTTAAAACAAGCAAATAAGAAACTCGACTGATGGCATCGATCTTTTACCTACCACTTGTTCCAAAGATTTCCTTTACAGTCAATAGATGAGCAGGTGGATATGGTATATGATTCATGACGCGCTCCGTATTTGAATAGATTTGCTTTTCATGTTTAATTGTTGTTCGAATACTATTCTTCTTCGCCTGCTGATATTTCTTCATTTTTCTTATATGCACGCGCGCATAAATATTTCTTTCTTTATTATTATATTCATTAAAAACAAATTCTTTCGACAAAACTTTATTTATATACATATGCCACTGCGTATTGACTATGATGTGAACCTGATGTTGATGTTCGATCAAATCCTTTGTCATTTGTCGGCGCTGTCTGTAGAAAGGAGCCCGCAGTTGTATCAGATGACGGTTGTAATGTGTCATAGATCGATCGAGTTAATGTTCGTAGGTACCGACGTTGATTAGCGTGATATCGATAGACTAGAAAACCAGCAACAGAGACAAATATAATTACCATCATCACCTAGAGATGGTACTCAATGAATCGAAATTTTTCAAAGAATTCTCAGTTACAACAATGACTATAATGATCCAATCTGTAGATGAATGTAGTTTTGTAGCAATTGTTGCTGAAACAGATAACTAGAATGTCGAAAGATTTCTTGTAAAGAATACTAATTACATGAAACGATGTCCGATTCATTGCCGTGAGTCGATGGATTACTGGTAGACAGCTTGAGCTGGATGAGAATGAAATCAATAGAGAAAAACGAAAAATTAGTGTAACTAATAAGCGCGTCTACTACTGCTGAACTGAAAGACATGATTTATCTTTCGATTGGTTTGATAAAAAAAAACGGTAGAGAACGTTAGTAGTCTCTGTATATGTTGAATATTTATTTATTCAGTCCCGAAGAAGAAGAAGCATGGTCGGTGTAAACATAATTGAAAGTGTATTCGGTGTAACAAAAAATAAAAATGAAATTAAAAAGTAATCTAATCGTTTCATTCGATATGTAAACAATGTTTTGATATAGATACACTCTTTCCACGTCCGATGGATTTGAAGTTTCTTTAATAAGCTATGGGGCTGCAATTCAATCTATTCGACAACCGGATAAGGATAATCAAATAACAGAGATCACTCTTGGTTATGATACTTTACAAGGTAAGCAGAAAGATCTACAAAATACTGAAATTGTCAGGAGAAGATGTTTAGAATACGTTGATGGTCAATCGTTTTTTGGTGCAACTGTTGGTCGAGTAGCAAGTCGAATAAAGAATGGACGTTTTGAATTAGATGGAAAAGTGTATGAACTAGATAAAAGTGACAGTACAAAGAAGCATTACCTTCATGGCACTTTCCACAAACGTGTTTGGGATAGTACAACAGAAAATGGAGACACGGTTGTCTTCAAATACCAAAGTCCAGATGGTAAATGTTTGATTTGTATTGGTTAGATTGAATGCATGCTCTTTCGTCTCTGTGTAGGTGAAAGTGGATTTCCTGGTCAAGTTGATTGTGTTGTGAAGTATACGTTGACAAATGATCATCGATTAACATTGGACTTTCATGCAACAACAACAAAGCCAACACCAATAAATATCACCAATCATGTTTACTTTAACCTGGCTGGAGATGTAACGAAGACTTTCTTTTCATTACTGAGAAAAAACTAATTATTCACATTATCTAGGGTAGTGGAACAATACTTGATCATCTATTCGAAGTATCTGCGGAGAAATACACTCCATTAGATGACGAACTGATTCCAACAGGTAATCGATTTGTCGTTTCGGTAGTTAGTGATTGATTTTCTTAATCTAGGGGAAATCGCATCGGTCGAAAACACGCCGTTTGATTTCAGAAAAAGAACTCCAATTGGCGAACGTATCAATGAGTCATTCGATGGTTACGATATGATGTTTGTCATCGAGGGCGAAGGAAAACGTTCATTTAGCAAGTTCGTATTTTTCACCAACAATAGAAAAAGTGTTCTTTTTCGATTTTCCATCAATTAGACTGGTTCATCAACCAAGTGGACGTGCAATATCCATTGAGTCGACTCAAAAAGGTCTTCAACTCTATACAGGAAACTTTCTTAATGGTAACCATGGTCGCAACGGACATGTCTACAAAAAATATGGTGCTCTCTGTTTGGAAACGCAAAATTATACTGACTGCCTTAACTATCAAGTAAATACCAATCTCATCATTACCATAAATCCTATATTACTATTGTGTTTAGCCAATGTTTCCAAGTAGTATTCTCCATCCTGGTGAGAAATACCACGAACAAACAACATTCCATTTTTATGTTGAACAATAGATTGCCTTCTATCACATATAACACTATTTTTACCGTGATTGTTTTCTTGATTTTCCGTAATCAGTATATTAAAAGACATACAGTATTTAGCAGAAGAATCAAGAACATCTTGATGAATGTAGTGTTGTTTCGCTTTAATCTTGAGATACATTCTTTTTTCAAGTCGAATATGAATATGAGTAACTTTATTTTAAGAGTTAAGAAAATAAGTTTGCGAACTAGAATCAAAGAAGTATAAGTTCAAAAAGAGAAGATTTCAAATTTGGTTAGTAGGTTAGTTTGGAGTGTCTAGCCGTTTCTTGTAAGTACGGAAATTAACGTCGATCTATCAATTATGATAAACTATCGGCTTCTTCTGATGATTCTGATGCCTGAGCATGTGATCTACGTTCAACATCTGAAATATGAAAACGTAGAAATGTATCCTCGTAGTTTGACTATAATACTTACTGTCGAACATCTTTTTCATTACTGCAAGTTGTTCGCGTTTGGAAAGGCCTACTTTTTTAAGTATACCTAAAGAGAATGTGAAATGAAACAATTCCACTTCCTGAATCAAGTACATGAAGATCTGAGCTCCTTTAACAAATACGTAGCTACTCTTTCTTTCATAGAATAGAAATCTATGTGACATGGATATCACAAAATAGGCTAATTTTGTACGCATTCTGGTGTGAAAAGGTCAAGATGTTTCGATTTAACCTATTTTTGAAAGCACACTCTACTCTGTTGTATCTGTCTGCTGTTTTGGCGATGAAAAGATGCCTTTAAGAGTATCCTAGTTGAGGTCGGTATTTTCAGTTACATGGATCAAACACGTGAAATAATTCAATCGATTGCCATATGTTGACAGGTTCGTTTTATTAACTTCACTCGCGAGAAGTTTCTTTAAAATAAAAACAAATCATAATTCTTACCTTCGACCCACTTCTTAACATCATCCCAGACTGAGCGAGTATCAAATAATTCGTTTGATTCACTTTCTCGGTTAACACTAGGTGCCGATTGAACCACGTTGTGGGTTAAAAATAAAAGAGCCACCAGTACTACTAAAGTGATTAGTATTGATCGATTCATTGTGCCTGTGTTGATATCACTTATTAACTATACAATAACCACCCGTCACTGAATTGAATCTAGGCTTTTTATGCGACTACGCGAAATTTTCACGGCTGGATTGCTATAAAAGAAATAATAAAAATCTTCTGTTATCGTCGATAGCAAGTGAACAACATTAAATATGTTACAGAAAGAGAAAAATATTCGCTGTTCTGTAATATCTGGTAAGATACACTGACTGTATGCTCAGTATTTGGAAAAAAAATCATCGATGCGTATCGAAAATAACAGAGTCATATATTTTTTATGTTTATAAAGAAATTTAAGCAGGCGAACGATTTATGATTAGTTGCCTCATGATCTTTCATCTGAATTTCATCCGGACAATGAAGCGTTTTTTTTCATCTTTGTGACCAGTTGTCATAGGTAAATTTCGAGAAAAATGGTCACCATTTTGTTCTTCTCCATAGTAGACGACCTTTATGATTAGTAATGAAAATCAAGTTCAAATTTATACGCGATTTGAGATAAAAGTACAACTAATAACTCAGTCGATTCATTCTCTCATTGAGAATCCGTCCAATACTTTTCATCGTACAAAACACAATTACGATGAGGGTGTACAGCTGCGTTTTTCTATTAAATTCTGATTGTTTTCATACAATCTTAACAGAATTCTTCACTCTATTCATGCAAAATGTTGGGTCTAATTTCGTTCGTCACAGCAGAATGTCACGATATACTTTTTCATCAAGGAGTTCAGCCAATGATTTGGAAGTTTTATTCTACTCCTGAGATAACTGTCAAGTGTGATCGTAAATTTATGTTTAACTCAATCATATAGGATAGGAAATCTTTTGAGATATAAAAGAAAGAACGGATAAAAACAGTTGGTTCGAAAGTTGAATAGAGTTCGAGTTAGTGAGATAGTATTTATGACAAGATCTTTATTTTGATGTTGCTGGAGAGCTTCAATCGATTCAAACGATGCGACGTTTATTGTGAGCGATGGGTCGACGTCGTTCTACACTTTTTGATACGGAACGGGTCTCGTCAAACTGCGATGCAGGTTCAACAGCTAAACAAGTAGAAATTCGAGTAGAAATTCGCTCAGTAAACGCAAAAAGCACTCACCACGAAGGATCTGTCTTAATATCTCACGCTTGTCTTCCACTTTACGAATGCCGAGGTCCATGAAAACATCTTAAGCAAGAAACATAAATAAAATAAGAACTGTTTCTAAAAAACAAGTCGCAATCGAACTTTGTCACCAGTTATTTATCTAACCAGCTTTACACCTACGCCACAAGCTCTCAAATCAGTAACGATGACGCCAACGTCTCGGACAGATGTACTTCACAATCCCCTACCTTGTAAAAATTCGGTGAAACTACTGATTCCTCGCTTGTCAGCAGCTTCATTTGATTCTTCATCCTGTTCAAAACTGCGTGGAGCCGATTGAACAAAACAATTTGTAAACAGTAAAACTGCTAATAAAACGAATAAAATCGATTGATTCATCGTATCTATGTTATCGTTGAATTCTATTCGTTGCACACGTTTGATCAGTAAATAGCTTACAATCACTCGTCAAATTGACGAAAAGCAAAAAACTACGAACAGTTTTTTCGTTCGTTGATACGTCGTTATGTGATGATTGTTGTCAAGAAAATCATCGATGCATGCCGAAAAATATCATCGCCGACACATGCACATCGATTTTCATTCGCTCTGTTTTAACTTCAGTCAATCCAATAACTCCCTTTGACTTGTTCATAGCAGATCAATTTTAAGATCGCATTCAACACATCTGATTATAAGCACAGAAATATGCCTTCAATGAACAGGCATCCATTTGAAATCAGTCAGCTATGATATAACCTGACATAGATGGAAGCGAAAGAAAGAAAAAAATTTGACAAGTACTTTTATTAAAACTTGAATACACTCATTCAATTGTATTAGATGAATAATATAAATCTCGTACAATATTTACATCTTATGCCGATATGCAAACATCGAATAAAAGAAAAAGAAAATTACATTCATAACATGTTCTTCGGAAATGACAAATTTCGAAGTAATGAGAATTCAAATGTATATATTATGTTTACAACACATCATATGTATCAAATAATGTTCTCTCAAACTGTAATACAACATATTTGTTTAGTTTCTGCTCTCCGATACGACTTCTTATCCTTAATTAAAGTAAGCCTATACTTTGGGAAATCATTTTTATGTACTCACATCAGAATAACTTACACTATTCATTGTATTATGTTAACACGATAAACATCATTCATGTCAATTCTTTTGCTTCGAGTGTTTGTCGCGTCGAAAAGTACTGCTATGTCTCTATATCAACTGATCAAATATCTGTGAGATGAAATTTGAATCAACGCCTTTTTCTCTTGCTCTTCGTGCCGAATATCATTGTCATTATTCGCGTATAGAACATGCATATACACACCAAAGTAAACGTTGACTCGTGTTCCTAGTCGAAAGAATTTCTGTCATAAGCGCACACAAGATTTGAGTATGTTCATGAGAAATGGTAATCGTAATGGACACATCTTGAGGTCAAAACTTGTCAAGCGCATGACAAACTGAGTTCGACTAGGGAGTATTGTTCAAACTTTCTACTTCATTAGAGTTGTATTCAAGAAAAAGAACTGAATTTTATTACATTGAATTCGGAAAAGGAAAAAGTGTTTTTTTTCTTCTTCTATTTGACGTGTTTCCTTAGATCAAAATCCAATTTATCATTTAACTCATATATTCTCGATTGACACTATGTCAACTGTGAGAAGAGTATCGACATTCACTTTTTTTTTCTCTCTTTCTCATTGTAATAGTCAGGAAATACTATTAGATTTACTGAATACATTGTCTCGATTTTTTTTTGTGATTTGAGTATTATTAAGATCTTGTCAAGAGATTCTTGAAGTATTTTTTTGCCCCTTTCTTTCTCTTTCTTTTTGTCTATTCTCATTCCCTTTTTCATTTCTGCAGGGAAAACATTTTCTTCATCGCATGCGCACAACGCTCTTGAACAAAGAGAGAATAAGGATAAGAAAGTCAGTTAAAAAATACACACATTCAACTAGCTAACAACGTTTACGTAGTAATAAACTCGATTACATCGTTTATTTACAAATACTTTCTTATATCTCCTGTATTACACATTTCTCTTTCTATTTTCAGATGACCGAATAATACGATGCTCAAAATATGACACACTTCGTCATCTACAATGATAATTAATTACCGTCGGCAAGATCACATCTATCTATTATGTGTAATATGCACTGCCTTTATGATTCTTACAAGTATTATCAATATAGTCTACATCGTTCGACGTTCATTAGCAACTCATGTCATTGATAATCGAACGCAAACATTCCTTAATTCATTAGAAGAGAATGCAACTATAAAAACGTCAAAGAAAACCATATCGAAAACTGATCAACACTTTGAAAGAACATACAAGACTTTCCTACATTCCTTTGTTGAAACTTATGTCTCCACTACACAAAATCGTACGATAACTTTGAACTATTGTCCACCAGTGCCGCCAAATCTTCAAGGTTCCCTCGTAGTCAACAACGTTCCAGATAATTTTTCCATCGCGACAAACTCATCCTATTATCCCAACGTGGAACTCGGAGGTCATTATCACCCAACAACATGCTTAGCTCGACATAAAATTGCTATTATTGTTCCATATCGAGATCGATTGGATATATTAAAACATTTTCTGTACCATACGCATCAAATCGTCCAACGACAACAATTAGATTATCGAATTTATGTTTGTGAACAAGCTTATAACAAAACTTTCAATAAAGGCATTGTTATGAATGGTTGTTTCAAAGAAATTCTTAAGCTCCAACCTGATACGCCCTGTTTTATAATGCACGATGTTGATCTATTATTGATCGATGATCGAAATATGTATACGTGTCCGATCTTTCCACGTCATTTAAGTGTCGCTATTGATAAATTTCATTTCTATCTGCCATATACTCAACTCGTTGGCGGAGTTCTAGGTAAGAACACTTCATCAAACTCTCTCTATCATTGTACCATAGACGTATGAATAATTTACATAATGATAGATTGAATAAACACTCGCTTTTCATACGCACTTCTCTCTCCGACAAAATACAAAAGGAGAAGAAAAACAAATTTCATCAATGCAACGCCCAGTAACTATTCTTTGACAAATATGAGAAGAAATAGAAAGAGAACATCTTGCGTGACTAATTAGTTACGGGCAGAAAAGGAAATCTATCGCTATCCTCACGCGTTCGTTACTCTTATGAGAACAGACTGCTTTGCCTAGTTCTTTGCGGAATATATATTTCACAGTTAATAAATATTCAATGGTGATAAGTAGCGCACCGAAGGTTATGTGAACGTCTTTTTAGACATAATATATTTCCTCATTAAATCACGAATGAAAAGAACGTACGTTGACAAGGATTAGTCGCTGTAGTAACCAACGAGGAAAATTAGATCGACTATTTTTCCTAAAGAATAAACATTGAAGAGGAAGCAGCCAAATTTTCCTCAACGATGTTTTTTCGTATTCTGATAGTCAATGAATTGAACTATAGAAATCATTTTTTATTCAAAATTTCTTTTAGCTATGCGTCGTGAACATTACGTTCTTGTGAATGGTTATTCAACAAATTATTGGGGATGGGGTGGAGAAGACGATGACATGTATGCTCGAATAGTGAATAAAAATTTGAAAGTCGAACGTCCACCAGCATCTGTGGCTCGTTATAAAATGTTAAAACATACGCATCAAAAACTAAACCCTTCCCGAATGAAAGTTCTTCGAACTGCACACATTCGAATTGATTCTGATGGTGTGAATAACGTCAAATATACGCTACTGAACACAACTTTGTACCATCTTTACACACATTTTCTGATTGATGTCGGCGAAGAACCGAAATGATTCTTCAGATTCATATAAATATATATATTTTTTGTTTTATTTTAAGTTATGAAGAGAAAAACAAAACTGATTTTAGAAAATAAAATTGTTGTTTTTCGTTGTTATCGATGGAATAAATTTTTAACCAAAACTACATTGATTTTCATCAGTCGCATCTCCGCAATGGTTTCGTCCGTCGCAGGATAGTTGCTTGGAAATACAATTTCGGTTTTTACACAAGAAAAAGCCGAGATTTTGCGGACAAGCAGCGATCACTAACATAAAACGAAAACACAAATCAAATCCTTTTGTTTACATCTACGAAATTCTACTTGGGAAATGAAGTGCAACTGTCATTTGATATCCACTCGATTCAACAGCAGCATTGCTTGTAAAATTCAACGATAGCTGTGTTGACGCAGTCTACACAAACGAACGTCAACATCTTATTTTAACTTTAAATAAATACAAACAGTGTATGTCAGCACTGCCGGTGCACCGCATTGTTGTTTAACGTCCTTATTGAGTAATGTAGTTCCATCATAAATACGTAAGGAGTCGCCAGCACAATCTGTAATATCCATTTTCTCAACGGTGACTACCAATCGTTGACTTGGCTGTGCAGTACGAAATTTCACAACGCAATTCATATTTGGTTTGTATTTACTGCTGCTTGTTAATTGAAGTGCAATGCCTGGTTTACTATCACCATCGAGAATGATGACATCACCTCCACACATTTTATCCATGTAATCTAAATGCACGAAGATGAATTGGAATACGAGGATGGTATTTGGTCTTCGAAAATTTTACATTTTTCCGAGGATTTAGCAGCAGAGATTGAAATGATGAGAATCGAGATACATGAGAAAAGTAAAATTACTTTCGTCGCCATTTTGTATCAGTTAAGTAATGTAACGAAAGTATAGAATCTTTCGAAATATATAAAGAACAGAGAGTAATCCAGTCTTGAGGTGACACTATGAGTCAAATTGATATTTTTCGCAAAAAATAAAGTAATGATGAGAGCTAATCCTTAGAAAAACTATTCAACTGACCATCTGTGCGGTATATGTGACAAAATTTTTATTTTATAGAAAGAAAAACTAATCATCGGGATGAAGAAGTACAGAAAATAAAACAAAATACTTTAGTCTCGAACGTTACACAACGTAGATCTTCATCTCATTATCATTGTACTGACGTTGTTTCTCGTTTTGATACTTCGTTGTTCGTGTTGAATATAACAAATATTTCAATTCGATGCGTTTAATGATCGTTGATGAATGAATGTGTGTTTGTCGTCGACGATGCGATCGACGTCGTTTCTTTTGATGTGAGGATGATTTTTTAATTAATGTTATCAGCGAAATCGACAAATCCATTTTTCGATGAGATTGACTGGATGTCGATAATGTTGATGATAATGGTTGCGAACAAGAAGATTTTGTTGATCGCTTCGGTGTGGATGTCAACGGGATGTACGAATGAAAGGAATCCATACTTGGAAGTAAAGATGATCTATTGATGTCGAACATTTCTGTGTTTGTGTTTAATTATGTTATGAAGTGAAGTAAATAGAGTAGCTATTTATAAAGAAGAGAAACGACCAAACAATGCTGGGATTGTATATATGAATACTAATTGCTCGAGAGAAAGTTGATTCCCTTATCAAGTAAACATTGACAAGTGACTGCTAAACGTTGACAGACGAAAGATTCAATATTTTGAAATTGACAAGAAAGATATTCTCATCGTTGTCAATATATATCTTTCTTCTTAATGAAGTTCAATATCAATCTTTGATCGATATGTATTATTGAAGAGAAAGAGAACAAGTTCGAATATAAGGTGTGAATTGACAAAGCAAACAATGACGCGTGCCATATCGAACACAATGACAACATTGAGCAGAGAACAATTAAACATGGTATAGAAAGGTGACAACTAATTACCGAACAACGTAATATTTACTGCATCATATTGTAAACAAACAACTTGCGATTTGCCTCATCCATCGACAGAGATTTGACTTTCAATGCTATTCTAACAATGAATAATGCACGAGATAATTAGGCAAAAATGAGAATATCTGTTAAATGGATCCATTCACAACGAAGTGTTGGCACGAGCTTCGTGCTGTTGGGAAATCTGTGCGTTTGATTAACTTGCAAGGAAGAAAAACAAAGTCAATATCGTGAAACTACATCGCTTGTTCGCATGTAACAAGTCAAACAGCTGTTCGTTTATACATAGAGAAATATATTTATCAATAATAATGATAATTAAAGAACTAAGAAGAAAAAAAAAAACCAAACGGATTGCACAAATACGAGATTAAGATTCGAAATGAGGCACGCGCACACATGTACAATACAGATTTTGTATGTTATTAAGACACAAGAAGCAAATGACTTGTTTTTTTTTGACTAGAAGTAAAAAAGAAAGAAAGAAAGGAGAGATCGAGGTATGATTGCTTTTGTATTAACGAAGACTAGATCCAAGTAGATGCTTGTCGATACTGCCACCGGAGAGTAGAGCACTACCACTATTTGAAAAACTTTCAGTTGGATTTCGAATGACAATTGATAGACGACCAGGTTTAATTCCAAGCTAGAACGAAAATACAGAAGGATACATGACTGACGAGCAGAGAATTCGAGATAATGGCAAGAAAATTGATAGTATAAAATCATATCACTAAAATTGGATAAATGAAATGATTCAATGAAGCAAACAACAGGACAAAAGACATCGGCAGTATGATAACTGAATATAATGATTTTAAGCATTGTTTAATGATGGTTTTGAAAAAAAAATGATATCTCATTCAAGCAGTTTCATTGCCATACAGAAAGGTTAGAGGTATCGCACAACACTATCAATTGATTCCTAGTTCATTCTTTGTTAAAGACTCTAAGTGCAAGGGAAAATATGGGAATAGGCAGACAGAGAGTAAAATAATAGATTAAATATGAATAAATATATGTATGCTTTGCTTTATTACAAGTGCATTCGCTCGATATGCTACATTAGTACTTTTTGGATAACTAAAATCAAAATAATAAGAACAACAAACAAAACAAAAGAAATGAAATGATGTGTCAGAAATTCACAGCAGATTCACACGAAATCACTAGGAACAAACTATTCTGACTATTACATTCGAGATTTTTTTCTTGCCAAAATCAAATTGTCAAATAGACAATATGGGAGTTTACTTTTACACATGTTTGACCAAGAAATAGAAATCATGAGATACAGCTCCATGGAATGATGTAAGAAAAGATGACTTACTTTCTTTTTGCCTCCTGCTAACAGTTCTTTATACGCCTCCGAACGTAAAAATCGAGCGTATGTATCACGATTCATTAAATTAAAGATATGATCCTATGAAATGAAAACAATGGTAAATGTTGAGGAAATCGTTCGAAGTATTCGAACCTGAGCTTCGTCAAATGTATATCGATTAGGGAGATTAGCCATATTGTTTTTAGTTAAATTCATGACACGTTGATCAATATTGATAGAATAATAAGCACCTAGTTGAAACCGAAGTTATTACAATTTGCTACTTTCATATAGAAAGATTTCTTTCTTTCTTTCCGTACGTACCTGGTGACAGGAATTCATTGTAGATTTCCTTGACACGATTAAGAACATCGTTTTGAGGCGTATGAAAACGTAATTGAATGCATGCTTCGTAGAAACGCAGATTTTCACTCGAATATTCTTTATCAAGAAACTTCCAGAAATAATCTCGACCGATGGGATCTTTTAGTAATTCATTGATTGAAAATCCCCAGCGTTTGACACGTCTTGATGAAATATCTTTGGGATTACCGGCTTTCTCTAATTCCCATAGATCCATTGAATCGGTTATCCCTATGGAACAAGAAAACAAAACATGATGTCAAGGAAAAAAGAAGTCGTCTTCTTCTTTCTTTCTTACATGGATTTGATGGTTCACACAGAGTTATAAATGGATCGAACTCTGCATATTGTTCAAAATAGGAAACAAACGTTTCACAAACTTTAGACGTTTTCAAACAGCGTCTATCAATTCGGTGTTTGAGAAATTCAATTTCTTGAAACATTTGTTCTCTCAGGACATTTTCATCACATTGACATAGTAACGATGGTCGTATCTGTGGTAGATTATAAGATGGACTGGGACTAGTCGTTGCTGCTGTTGGTCCGGTTGTCAACAGGCCAACAGTCATAGTTATCAAATTTCTATTAGCAGCAAATGCTAATGCCGACGCTGGAGCAGTGTTTATTGTTGAGACTGTGGTTGCTTTTCGATAAGCATCAATTAGTAGACGTGGCGTGATATAGGATATTTTTCTTCGCATTAGTTTTTTTATGTCCTGTTCTGTTGTATTGATGCAACCAGGCGCTGGTCGATGAACATCCCAGAAAGCACGTTCCTGGGAATCGAGAACATTACGCTCGAATTTATCTCGCTTTTTATCAATTCTATGAAAAATAATCTGGTGCAAAGACATGGAGAAGAGTAATTAGTTTTACTTGATTTGAGCTTCAGCTTGCATATAGATGAATTCCCATTTCCGAGCAAATAGTTTCTGTAGTCGAGCTAGATTCTCAGCTTCATAATCAGCTAGCTCCAAACGTGTTTTGTTCTGCATGGTTCGTTTACATAAGTACACAGCTAAAAAGGACAATTTTCATCATTTCATTCAAGAGATGTTTTTACCATAATCAATGTTATCTGCTTCGCCGTGATTTGATGGCCAAAAATAAGGTGTCTAAAGGAGAAAAAGACGACAAAGAGATAGACTACGATAAAATCTAATAGAACAAAGATGATCTTTACTTGAAACCGATAGAATGTTCCATCATTTTTCACGGTTAATACGTGATCTTCAATCGGAAGAATCTGAAAAATATTCTTCATGTAAATCTGTTTATTAATTAAAACAAAGTCTTACATAGCCATGAGACGATATCAGATTGGCCAGATGAAGTGCTTCGGCTAAAAATACATTTTGATGAATAGAAAAAACGAAGATCGATCTCATTTTACCTGTATCATCCACATCGAGTGTTTTCAATATCCACTGGATTAAATCGCCGCCAGTCAGAACGCTGGGAATTTTTGACATGAAACTCTTGACGGATTTGATCGGCAAACCAGTATTATCGTCTTGCATTCGTTCCAGTAATGATTCGATCTAAGAATACCATTGTAAAGAGCTCTTTTGAAATGAATCTAAATGAAAATTACTCGTTTGTACGTAAATAAATTCGGAATTTCATATTCCGGATTGACACCTTCCATTAGGCCTGAATTACAAGTTGAAAGATGATTCGTTGTCGTTGGTACACCACCATCAGTTATTGCTATTGAGTCATTCAATGGTAGTCGTTCGTCAGGATCATTATTTGTTGTTAAGGCTGTTGTTTGTGGTGCACTTATGCGAACCATTTCCAGAGTTAAGTGGTCACTCAATGAGTCATCATCAGTAAAAGACGCTCGAATACGAGCGGCCATTCAACGATAACGAACAGCAACCATGGCAATTACATTATCTAAATAGAAAGAGATAGAGAGAAAGAAGGAAATAAACAAATGAAAAACTCGAGTTTAGAGCGTTTTGGTATTCACGAATGGCGACAACAAAGAGAAAACAGATGTAGAACAATAATGATAGAAAAGAAAAGAACATGGAACGGCTTTTTATGAATGTCTTCTTTCTTTTTTGCGTCCAAATCCGTTCAAGACATTGCTGGAGCTAATCGATTGACAAAGGCAATTGTATTGTGACAAAGTCGAGCGACGAATGGTGGACACGCTGGTCTGCTACATAGATTTTCAATAGCTAGACGAAGTTCGGTAAAGGTTGTACGAGTATATGGATTTCTCTGCGATGTATAACGTAGAGTAAGAAAGCGATAATACATGAAAATTAAGAGAAAGTTGGAACGTGCGACAAATATTGAAATGATTAGGACAGGCATGAGTAAAATTTCATTTAAGGCAATAAATTGAAGCAGACTGATCTGGTTTGTAGTAACACGTGTGCATAGTTGTTGTATTGCTGGAAAATTTGTTAGGATCTGTGGTAGAAACGAACAAGAGTGTAGAACAGCATAGGTTGCAATTGGTATAAGTACGATTGTCATCGGTGTTCCACTCAAGAATAAAAATGAATACATCAAGTAATGTGCGCTATCCTCACGAAATAAGTAGAAGAAAAACTCTCGTGACAATGTGAAACGAGGTATTCTTTGACGAAGACGCAGAATTGAAGTGACAATCGCTGCTAACAATGCTTTTGAATAATAGACATTCGATTCCGAACGAAAAAAAGGCAAAATAAACATGATTGTGAAGAAAATTGTTGCTAAACGCGATAATAAGAGAACAGCGTCTGTCTTACGTTCAAGTAGAGCATTAATGAACGAGGGTGAAGATTGAGATGGTGGTGGACGGCGTGGCGCAGTAGATGCAGATGCTGATGCAGACGCTGATGCTTCATTATCTGTATTTTGATTTGGAGATGAATCCGAATTTGTTGACACGTCTTCGACGAGAACCATTGTTTTGTGGAAAATATGTATATATGCTTACTGAGATCTTCTGAATATCATTACACGACAGAACGAACGGAAGACAGAACAACAACACTATCGATAGGCGATAGAGTCAATGTGTTGCTTTCATAGCAAGTAGCGCCTATTGATTTAATCCTAACTTAATTAGTTATCATATCGATACAAGAATTTTATTTTATTATCTAGTAAATAGACTCATACATACACATATATGAATGTCTGTTGGCTATTAGCGCCTTTAACTTTTTCCATTGGTTTGGAAAAAAAAAGCTCTTGAATGAATAGGCAGATTTTTGTCATCAAATTCATGTCAAAGGACATTATAGACGCGCAGATCAAGTGCTGTCTCATCATCTGTCTATAAATATTATAATAATGAGATTCATTTCTTTTGTGTAAGAACTCAACAGCGTACAATTATCGACTAATTATTACATAAAAGCCACATATATTCTCAAATATAAACGAGAAATATAGGTTGAGTGCAAAGTAGAAAAAAAAAATTAATCTACACAAAATCTATCTCAGTATTGTATTCGTTGTCTCAAAGGAAAAGAAAACTGAAAATAATTTATAGTACGGAATAAAAACATGCGATACATCACCAGTTAATAAATATCATTGATTTTCATTTTAGTCATCTGAAAACATGCAATACAGCTAACATCTATACAATACCAGAAAATAAATTTCATTAGGAAATAATGAGAATTGATGGCCTTTTGATTGGGTTCTAAATTGAATCGTGTATTGTTGAACGGAGAGATTTTTATTTATACATCCGGTCTCAAATAGAGCGTCGTTATCGGAAAGGATTTCTTTAGCTAATAAATCAAATCATGACATATCTCCTATATAATAAATCAGGCGAGAGACAAACGATGATTATTTTTCAAGAAGATAAATGACAGCGGCATAAGTAAAAATAGTTAAAATGATGCTATCGTTAACCAATGGGCTAATACGAAAAAGCGCATTTCTATTTGCGAACATAGGTATATAATACAAGAAGTTCTAAACGAACAGTACATTATCATTTGAGATATTTCATTCATATGGCTAAATAACAAGCAATGATAGAACGAATAGACGTTTTCTTTCGAGGATAGTTCACAGATTCGATTCGTGTCTTAGACTGATTGACGCAGAAAACGTTGAAAAAAAACGCTTGACTGATTTACTCCGAAACTATACATGCTCTGATGTTACCTTCCTATATAGCTATTGATGAGTACATGAACGAGAGAGAAAAAAGTTATGCAAAGCTTGTCTGATGGTGTAGAATGGAAAGAAAAAAAAATCTCATCATTGTACATAGACGATCGAAAAAAAAGAGAAACGTGAGTTATACAATTGTTTAATGAAACAACATATCTCACGGTCAGTCATACCAACGAAAAGTAAGAGACGTCTATGAATCAAAAATACCATGTGTTATAATCGAAATTTATTGAAAAAGCTCTAATATCCATCAAAAACGATGCTTTTGGCTAGCGCTTTGCTGATAAATAATATTATTCTATTTGTTCTTGAAACTGTTGGTTACCATACATGTCATAGTGGTAGGCATATATTTGTTATTGAGTCTCAATATCTTCCAACATGTTCAAATAGTGATACTACTCCTCGATGGCTATTATCATCTATGTCAAGCTATTTTGTGTACGGTACGAATAGTTTCGCAGCTCGTGAGTTGAATGCATATATAATTATAAGGAACGATGTTTAACTCTGCATCCATAGATTCAATATAGATGTACCGCTCGTCATACATATGGATTGGCTCGAAGTAAACTCTTACTTTTTTGAATACACGTAGACAAGTATATGATATTGAATTCCTTGATTCTTTCCTTAGTTGGTGTTCTTGGTGAATTGGTGGCTTTCATTTGTTTTATAGCTCTGTCTGTATCGGTGTTTTTTGAGAGTATTAAACATGTTGTTAATGTTATCTTCGTCAATTCACAACGAGAGAACAATAGCACAAGTTTGTTTTCTGCTCATAGTCATGGTAAAAATATTCACTTGAAACTAAAGGCAAGTCGTCTAACACAATGCCTTCATTTAGAACAAAATCTTAATCTTACTAATTATACACATTTCATTCTTGGTATCGGTATCTACGGTACTATTTCGAATTGTCTACTGGGCTTTGTAATACTATGTAAATATGATGAAAAATTCTGTATTAGAGTTTAGTTTCGAAACTTACATACATAGGTATTGTCATAAAACGTTCGATTAAGTTCGAAAAGCAATTGAAACAGAGAAGACCAAGCTTGAAACAACCATTACCAAGAAAATTATTATCAAAATCACGTATGTAACACGAACTGTAAATAGTAGTTTTCATTCTCATCTTCAAATTTAATGTATTTTCCTTATTATACACATCTAAGAATGCTATTCACTTGATTTAGATCTAATTACTGATACATTATCCATTCGTCATTCCTATCTTCAAGTTCTAAACATGTTACTTGGTCCAGTAGCTATATTTGTTTGTGGTATTTTACTAGTAATGTTATCCGACAAACAACATATCATTATTTCATTCACTCGTCTTGTTGATCCGATCGTTTGCTGTTCTCTTTTTCTTTCATATATTCTTATAATTTTTATTCCAAGTAGATTTCTTTGCCGACTTTATTCATCACTTTGTTTAAGCAATCATCTATTCTAGTGCGTCATGTCATGCATCTTGTTCTGCAAGCCAATCCATGCGATCTAAAGGCTGAACAAGTGGAAAAAATACTTTGTGATTCTGTGCGTATAAAACTAATCGATTTGAATAGAGAGAGATAAAACAACAACGAGAAACATCATTTAGATTACAGGTATTGTGAGTATACACGAACTACATATTTGGCGTTTAACGCCACAACGGACATTAGCAACTGTGCACATCATATTCAATACAACCGATGACATACTCACAAAATATACAGATATTAGTTTTATATTTCAAACACTCCACATCGATCATGTTACAATTCAACCTGAATTTGCTTTGGTATAGTTTGTATAGAATTCATACGAGTGCACAAAACATATGTTTGTATTTACTATTTAGCCTACGGATGAAATTGAAAAATTAGGTTGCCATTATCAATGTGTGACAAGCAGCAATGAATGTGAACCACTACGCTGTTGTGAATATTCTATAATCAATAGACCTTGATAAGTCATAATTACACTGCAAACTTTGCTTTTCTGTAACTCGTCTCAATAATTTCCCTTTTGTCATAAAACAAATACTAATTAATAAAGTTAAATTCTATTTTCACACATATAATTGTAGACGTAAGATAAACTATGAAGGATATTAGTATCACTAAATCTGTCGATGTCAATGAAACACAGATTGCGTGAGAACTACTCAAGCAAAACCTATGGTATTTTGCAGTACACTTTATCAGCGATCATTCTAAATATTGAATAGCAATCAACCTGAAGAATGCTAGTTAAACATCCGATTGCAAAATGAGTGCATTTTTTTTCGTTTAATTAAAAATCAAATACAACTAAATTCATTTATCATCACCGGCGTATTACTACAATTAGTCGTACTACGACAATACTGACGATACTTGTTAGTATAAACTTATAGTACTGAATCAAAGTTCTACCTAGTGATAAATTCCAAGGATATACATTTTCGAATGTGTTTCGAAATTTTTGAATTAATGATTGAATGTCGCCGTTAATCTCTAATGCCACATGCATAGCACGACCTTGAAAAATAATTTCTTCAGAATATCCATGTTGAACGAATAAGTCACTGTCATTTTTATCTCCTGTTGAATTGTGGATTAATCGTGTTAGTTGAACATCGAAATAAATGTTATTTACTAGAGTTTCTTTCACAAATTTCTCCATTCGATCATCACGTGGACCGTATAAAAGTGCACTTTGAATGTTTGCAGATTCGTCGTAATGCGTACTAACACGAAGTTTGTGTTGAAAGAAAACATCATAAACAGTAAAGGAAACTTTATCTGTTGTATTATCAGCTGTAAGGTCAGTGACAACTGATAGTAAATAAGCATTAAAACGATAAAAATGGCCATTGTGCTCAAAGACGATGAGAAATCCTGGAAATTTCAAATTGAAATACCACGGAATCATAGCAAATGAAAAGAATAAACTTGGTGGTGATGTTCCCAATGGAAGATTTTCCCATTGATTCGCTTGTCCCCATGACCATACTGTCGGAAACGAGTATCCCCAATCTTTTTCGAGATAACCTACACCATGAACAGACATACTGTCCGAATGATTGATTTTGATCGAACCCTGAACTTGATATTTTAAGCTTAGTACATGATGATTACATTGCATTGTTGGTATCCATGAGAACGGGCCCATCGTTCCTGGTATTAACCAAGATAGATCAGGTATTGTTAAATGCGAAGATAATGTTAGATTCATCTGAAAGCTTTCCGAAGCATCATCCGTAGATTTCGGTTGGATATTAACGATCATTTTGTCATAGGAGAATATATTTTCGTCTTGACCAATTGTTGCCAAAAATTCATCGGTTGACGAGTGAAATGATTCGAAGGGGAAACGAAAATAATGCGATATGTTATTATAAGCAATCATCATGAATGCAAAACGATCATAATCGTTTCTATGTACACCTGGTATGACGATGACGCTGTAATTCAGTTCTTCAAAGCTTAATTTAAAATACCATCCTTCGAAGAATACTCCACTCGAAACAAAATCACCTAAAATATCGCAACCGAAAGCAAGTTTTTATTGAAATAAGAAGAAGTCTCTCGTACCGTGATATCGATCCGCATGATAAGCGAGTCTGAGAGATTTGTAATTCAAACTCCAATAGACAAGAGCAAAAAGTGCACATACGAGAAGAACGAATCTTGACCCGAGCATAGTCAACGTGATGAAATGTTATTTAAAAAAAGAGAGAAATAACTGCATGCAGGTAAATATATAGGAGAAAAACAAGAAAAAAAGGATTGTTTTCAAAGCAAGATTCGTATCATTTTATCTGTATTTTTGCTCTAGTTCGGAGTTTATCTCTGAATCATTGATCACATAAGGTGATACTATTGTTTTGGAATTGATAGCTTGCAAGAAGGAATGTATCATATTTGAACTACATGCATAACTAACTACTAAGGACAAAGTTAGCCGAGTTTTATTCACTGTATCCATACTTTATTAATTCAAACGGGGCATCTAGCACGTTGTATATTGTATTCTTGTTAACTGAAATCCAGTTATACGCTAATTAATTGTACTCAATGCACTACATGAACTGATTCGAGTGACATCTATTGAGTTCTATGTATGGAACGAGAAGAAATTTGAACCATTGATTTTCAATCAACTGACTCATCATCAATTTGGCGACGCTGACTTGGTAGAAAAGGAAAAGAAATGACTATATTGCTGATCACGATTGGAGACGAGACGAGAAGAAAAGAAAGCTTTTTTATATTTATTCATTCTTGGGTTGTATTTGTCATACAACTCTATATGTCTCATATGAAAACATGTGGGCGTGCATATTTCATGATGTTTTCTACAGTACTTTAAACAATTCCTGTTGTTTTTCTTTTAGATGAACGGTTTCAATCGTATTCGAGCAACACTTCGCCATACATTGTTTTCGAATGATAGTAGTTCAAGTCCAACGATGGCGCGACGTGAAGATTTTCCGATTCTGAATCGTCATTTATCTTCCTACGAACGTTTCGATTTATCAACAGGTGGCCAAGGAGCTTCATCAACATCCTTTCATAATATTAATCCTTTGAATACATCATCGTCACATGTGCCCATCATCGAAACAACGAGTGATGGAGTTGAATTCTTACCGAATAACGCTAAACGAACATTACGGACGATTCCTGGCGTTTTTTGCCCCATTGCTTTATCGATGTTTTCTATTTCATTATTTATGCGTATGGGATTTGTTGTTGCCAATGCTGGAGTTTTACAAACTTTACTACAATTTGGTCTTTGTTTTATTATCCTTTTTTGTACGTTACTAAGCGTGTGTGCATTAGCTACTAATGGAGCTATTGAAGGTGGCGGCGTTTATCACATGATATCACGCGCCTTAGGACCTGAATTTGGTGGTTCAATTGGTGTTCTCTTCTTCTTTGCTAACGTCATCGGAAATGGTCAAAGTGTTGCTGCTCTTGTCGAAGCAATCGTAGCTAGTTTTGGACCCGGAAGTATGTCAAATTATTCATTGTCGAACAAATTAATTGATTCTTTTCTTTGAACATTTCAAGGTAAAGCCAATGCATTTGAAGATTCACATTGGTGGAGAATTTTATATGGAACTTTTATTAATATAATTAGTCTTGTTACCTGTCTCTTAGGCTCATCGTTGTTTTCCATGGCCACATTTTTCATCTTTATACTTGTTAGTTTTGTTTATCTCATGGTTGTTGTTTCATTCTTTGTGAAAAGTCCCTTGCAAGTATTGATACCAAAGGTGAACACATACGTTTATGATCAACAAGCATCGTTGTACAATAAAACGGATCTTATCTATGGAAATTATACTGGATTCAGTTCAGCAACAATGCGAGAAAATACATATGCGAATTATACGATCGATTACACAACAGGCGACACGATGGACTTTGCAACTGTTTTTGGCGTTTTATTTTCAAGCATCACTGGTCTTTTAGCTGGGGCAAATATGTCTGGTAAGAATACGAATGCCAATTCTTAGTTAGCATAGAATCTTCGAATTGTATTTCGAGTAGAAAAACGCATCGAGAACAAATTCATTATGTTTCAAGTGCCTATTTTCTATTTAGGGGAATTAAAACGACCAAGTCGTAGTATTCCAACTGGATCTGTTACCGCTCTTCTTTTCGTGTTTTTTATTCTTATCACAGAAGCATTACTCATGGCTGGTACTACTAGCAGGTTTGTTCGAAGAAATAGAATCATCACACGAATTCAAATCGGTTTCTGTTCTTCAGATTCGTCTTGACCAATAATTACCTTTTTCTACAAGATATTAATATTTGGGAACCGTTTGTTGTGATCGGTATAATTGCGGCTACTTTTTCCGCGTGCCTCTCTGGTCTCGTCGGCGCATCAAGAATTTTAGAGGCATTAGCAATTGATGAAATTTTTGGTAAAACCATTTTTTGCCTTTTGCTAACATGAGAGTGGACATCCTATTCGTTAAGGTCCCTTATTTCATTGGATTCGCGGAGGAACAACACATCGAGGTAACCCATGGGCTGCTGTTCTATTTACATTCATCCTTGTACAAGTAATTTGATTGAGTAGTAAGATATTCGATTCGATTCGATTGTTTTTCTCAATTTAGTTAACTCTATTGATTGGCTCGATGAATAAAATTGCTCCGATCGTGACCATATTCTTTCTCTTGGCTTATTTCGCTGTGAATCTATCGTGCTTAGCACTTGATTTAGCATCAGCACCGAATTTTCGACCAACGTTTAAATACTTTTCATGGCATACTGCTCTGATAGGTGCTGTTGGATCGATTATCATGTGTTTTATTGTTTCGGCTGCTTTTGCATCGATTGCTATCGGAGTCTTGATCGGATTTATTTGTATGCTTCATTTAAGAGATTTTCCACGCGCATCGTGGGGTTCCATATCGCAAGCTCTTATATTTCACCAGGTTACTTCGTTTTGTTTTCGAACTTCGCTGCTAAACTGTAATCGTATTTTAGGTTCGAAAGTATCTTCTCATGCTCGATCCTCGTAAAGAACACGTGAAATTTTGGCGTCCACAAATGCTATTACTTGTTTCCAATCCACGTTCATCAATCAACCTGATTGACTTTGTTAACGATATGAAGAAAGGTGGTCTGTTTATCCTGGGTCATGTCAAAACGGGTCATATGGATGTAGGATCAAATGATGTCTGTTCACAAGAATATCCTTACTGGGTCTCATTGATTGATAATATGAAAATAAAAGCATTTGTGGATATGACATTGGCGCCGACGATTCGAGATGGTGTTTTGCAGTTAATGCGATTATCAGGATTAGGTATGTCTGATCGACATCATCGTTTGAGTACAACACTGCAGATGAGATCTCTAGAGAAATATAATTCGTAGTGTGAATTGTCGAGTTGACATAAGAATATACTTCAAACAATAGACGCGAAGTGTTACTTCGTCATCTTTTCCAATTTTGTCACAAATGTCACACCTAGTAGGTATAACCAGACTCCGCTAGAACTATGTACATCGTTTCTCTAATAAACACTAAAAAAGAAGTTTTTTTTTTAAAATTATCTTCTTTTCCTAGGTGGTCTTCGTCCGAATACAGTTATCCTTGGTTTCTATGATGGTGCAACACCAGAAGATAAATTACGCAATCGTTCATTTTTCAAAAGACGTTGGCTCAAGTCGAGTACGCCTATCAATACGCTGGCTACACCTGCATTTCATCAACAAGAAACTATACAATCTGGTAGAATGGAAGGTGCAAGTACAATCACTTTGAATTCATTCAATAGTTCTACTGCAATTAATGGAAATGATATGTACCCGATATTTAATTTTGGAGGTAAATTGAAATCGTTTATTGTTTCTTAATGGTCAAACCAAATTATATTTAGAATTACGGCAAGAAAATGAAGAAAAAGAACTCGATGCACATTCCTATGTGCAAATAATAAAGGATGCACTCCATTTGAATAAAAGTGTTTGTTTGGCTCGAAACTTTCATCAATTACAAAAGGATGAGATTGAAATCAACAGACGGAAGGTCTTTGTCGACATTTGGCCAGTAAGTTCTTAACTTATCACAAACATATTCATGACTTTTGTTCTGTTTAGGTCAATTTTATCTTTCCGGAAACGTCAACTCAGTTTGACGTCACGTGTTTGTATATGCTGCAATTAGCAACGATTCTAGCAATGGTTAAGCCATGGAAAACTCGTGCTACCCTACGCGTTTTTCTTTGTATTGATGCGATCAACGACAATGCATTGCGTACTCAGCAACATTTGGACGAACTACTTAGTCAATTACGTATCAACGCTCAAACACGAATGATCGCTTGGGAAAACGTCACGAGCTTATTGAACATCGCTCCGACAGTGACTAATGATAGTGCTGCAACAATTCCTGTTGAACAGCAGGCTTCAGCAACAACGACAACAACAGCCGCGTCAACTAACTCGTTCGTTGATATCAATGATGTCTATGTTCGTGGTGTGAATGAACTAATTCGGCAACAATGTGATAACACATCATGTTTGTATCTGTACTTACCACGTCCACCGAAAGACAAAACACTTTCTCAACGTTATATACGCGTTTTGGATATGCTATCAAATGATCTCCCACCCGTTATGTTCGTACATGGTGTGTCATCCGTCACATGTACACAATTATAAATTTCAATCAAAAATATTCATTTTCGTCAGAATATTTCCTATCTATTCTCTTTTAGATCTCTTTTATTGCTCTGTTTTTTGTATTGTTGACTTATACAATAAGTGCTTTGTCTATAAATGTTTTTCTCTCATTCATTTTTCTTTTTAGCCACTAATAATAATCTTTGTATGTGATCTGTTTTTCGTTTGTGTGTGTATCTTTATTTAAGATGTCTCATCCTCAACCTATTCTATTCAATAATGAATGGTCCATTAGTACAAGTCATGGCTCAATCTTAGCATCCGAAGGTGACAGACGCCAGGAGTACGAAACTGGTCTCGGCACACATCATTTACCAGAGATGATCTTTGATAAAACAACACTGAAAATTGTTCATATAAAAAAGAAATTAGAAATCATCTTTAATGCATTCGATGCATTGAAACATGTTGATATGTATAATAACATCGAACAAATTCCTAAAGTCTCGATGAGTGATGTCTGGACAAAGTCACGTAGTAAAGATAGAGAATTAGATTATGTCAAGCCGTACGATTGGACATATACAACGAGATACCAAGGTAAACCGTCCATTCAGATGGATGGATGCATGAGTGATAGATGTAGATGATCCTTCCACTTTTTTGTTTCAAGGTACTTTGTGTTCATCGAATGAGCATGCATGGCGTGTCGAAGCAACGAATCAACAGCTTGATTTAGAGAAACTCAAACGACAAGAGCCGATCTTATTCTACGATGAATTAACACTCTATGATGATGAATTAGCTGACAATGGTACGTCAAATTTAACATTGAAAATTCGTTGTATGCCAAGCGGATATTTTGTTCTTCTACGATATTTTCTGCGCGTCGATGGCGTACTTTTTCGATGCTTTGATACACGCTATCATTATGAAGTTGGCAATTGTTATGTATTACGCGAGTATATCGAACGCGAATCGCCTGTCTCATCGTTAAAGCCTGAATTTCAATCAACGTCGGATATCAATGCAGTGATCACGCAATTGAAAATAAATAAACATCAATTAGAAAAACTGTTTTTTGAAGAAACTACGAAGTAGATTTTATCAAATAAATGCTGTTCGTCCTTCATTTCTCATTTATCATCAAGTATTTATTTCCGGAATAACTTTGAACAAATGGCGTGCTATTCTTGAGTTAGTTAGATGGCGAAGCAAAGGAATGATGTGTGTGTGTGTGTAATGCAAAGAAGTTTTCTCACATGTCATGGCCATTTTGTTAGTGAAAGTTCGTCTAAATAGAAACTACAGTAATTCTCGTTGAAGAGGTCTTTTGAGTTCCCAGATGCAACTGGATGCACTGAGCATTGTTTCCAATCTTACTCGAAACACTTGTGAAGCTTAAAATAGTCTCAGTCGGGAAGATCTACTTATGTCACTCTAATCATGCGATGACTTGAATTCACATCAATCCACCTACACATCTTGATTATACAAGTAGATAGTCTATAAGAGTGTTCAATTACATAAGTGTGCCTAGATCTCAATCATACACGAAGAAATCTCATTAGAAACTTTCCAGCCGATCGGGTTTTACAGTTCATAGCAAAAGAATACAGTTCACTCATCTTGGAAACATTTTCTTGATAAAGAAAGTTGATTCAACTACGAATTCAACAACATTTATTTCCAAAACGAGTTTATTTCATGCGTAATTGTGTTAATTCAGATTTCAAGGTTTGCCATTGATGTCATATACCGTCGTAAATATCATCTTGAACCAGTTCAATAGTTCTCTTCTTCTGCAGGTTGTAGTACGGTTCGTGATCAACAAATCGACTTAATATTGAGTTAAATCCATACGGATCGAACACTTGTCGTCGAGTTAAATACAAATCGTCAAGAATAGACGGTGGAATCTCATCCGAATAGAAGGCTGATGGATACGGTAAAACTTGATTAAAGGATACACAGAGCATAGCAATGATAAGGCAGACGTATGCTAAAAGAAGTTTCTTGTACTGATGCGTGAAAAGACAAGAATTAAGAAGATTTGACTTACTGGAAACCATTGGTAAAATATATCTATTGCTTGTCGTTTAATTTTTCTAATGTAGTGTATCGCGATACTTTTCTTATATACTTATAAGCCGTTGAACATCACTTCAATACACATGGGTAGTGCGTAGGATAAAACAACTCTCTCTTTCTCTGGTACTCTTTCCTTCCAGTTGAACAAGAACAATAGAGAATAGAAAAGTAATTATATGACCTAGTGCAAGATTGTGCTAATAACTTCTCTATATGCGTTACGACGATCTTAGAGGTGAATGCAAGCAATGGTGTAATCTCGAACTTTATTAAGTATTAGATAACAGTAACACAATAAGGAAAGAAAATATTTTATTAGCTAATAGTACATATCATATGCCGTAGTTTTTCTATTAGCAAATATTTTCATAAACATATTGAAAGCGTAGGTTCGTGATATTGCATCAAGTACGTGGCGAAATCTCCGTTTGCCCATGTTTTGTGAAGAAGATCATTTTAATTTAATTTTGCTAATGTCATGAGAAGTTCAAGTCAAAGTCAATTTTGTTGAAGTGAAAATTCTAATAAACAAAATGACTTTCTTCTATGGTTGGTATAATGTGGTTGAAGGAAAATTAATCTTTAAATGATGTTCAAACCCGATAAGTGGATATCTTGATAAACAAAAGATGAGAATATAAACACGACAAATTTTTCGTTTCTTTAAAAACGAAGCATCTGTTTGAATTTATGATAATAGACGTGAATATTTCATCCGCATATGATTATTCTGTGTTATAATTGTCAGATAGTCACCAAATAGTCTTTTGGCACATGTCAATCCTCGAATGTGAAGACTTTTCTTGCTAAAACTCTTCGAAACTTAAAATGTCATTGCGATCTAGTCTCAAGTCAGAGATCGACCGAATGACTTGTTTAAAGCTCAATCGGAATGATTTGTTACTGTAAAATCGATGCCAATTGTAATACTAAATCCTGTACAAATAGTCTCTTTCAAAATCTTCTCTCTTGTCTAATGAGGATCATTATCGAATCGGTCTCGAATAGCATTCAAACGACGTCATTCGTGATGCAAAAGAACAAGATCTTTGAAACCGATCATATTCGATGCTTTTTTGCACTTAAACAAGCTCATATTCTATGTAGATAATGATGCATGTCGTCAGTGTATTATTCACTCTAATAATACCTATTAAGGGTGATTATCTCTCGCTCTTCCTTTCGCTTGGAAACATCTGGTAAGACGAAATTATATTCGAGTTTAAAAAAAAACCAAACTCTTGTGTATACGAATGAACAGTCTGCGTGGGTGTTCATTGTTTGGACATGTCTTTTTTATGATTAATTGAGTAAAATTAACGGAGCATAAGATATTGACATATCAATAATAATTCCTTTGTTGTTCTGTCAATATCTGTCAGTTTCCTCGATCAGCTACGATCCGTTATCGTTTACTATGATCGAGAGTTGTCTCTCTTTTTTTTATTATTATTTCGGAACAAGATTCGTTTCTATGCATTGAAAGTGTTATAAACTAATTTGATAACAAGTTCATAAAAATAATTGCGGATGTAGGAAGAGAAAACGAGACGATAAGGAGAAAAAGAGATAGATAGATAGATAGATAGATAGAAAATCTTTCCAAGAGATTCAGATCTATTTCTTCATCATTCTTATAAGACGAACACGCACACGCAGACATCCACGACAAATGGCCATGCATTATCATTTATCATTTCCATTGATGCTTATTTTTGTTCTTTGCAATTTTTACTGTTACTCATCACCTATCTCGTATACTGACCAAAATGAACAAGAACAAATTATAACACCAGCTTATGTGGATGAGCCGAATCTGATCAAAGCATCGATGAAAAATCATGAAANAGACATCCACGACAAATGGCCATGCATTATCATTTATCATTTCCATTGATGCTTATTTTTGTTCTTTGCAATTTTTACTGTTACTCATCACCTATCTCGTATACTGACCAAAATGAACAAGAACAAATTATAACACCAGCTTATGTGGATGAGCCGAATCTGATCAAAGCATCGATGAAAAATCATGAAACGAACGCCGACTATTGGAAAATCTTGTGTGTACTTTATGATGATTGTTATTCGAAAGAACGTCAAGACTACGTTCGTGCTGCGATTAAACCCAAACGTTTAACGTCCAATCTATTTCACGGTATTCCGAAATTCGGCAAACGCGCTTTTACATCGGCATTTTCGGGTATACCGAAATTCGGCTAAGCGAACTAGCCAAATGACTTTCTTCGTTTTTAAAGCAATTGAAATAAGTTTCAAGAAAAATAATCTAGAAAAAGTAATTGTTGTGCGTTTTCAAATTTCTTGTTTATTTTTGTCGAAAAAAAAACAACAGTATTTGTGTATACATTCGATCAGAGAATGGTTCATAACAGTAAAAGCGAATCCACTTCAAATGAAATCGATGACTTGTCTTTTTCTCTTGTAATCAAACAAACTCCATTCTAATATGTTCTCAAAGAAACATCGTTTAGCGATACTATGAAAGTAATACTCTAATCTAGTAATCATCAGAAGTATTCTCATCGTATTTCGAAACGTATTGTTTAATGAACGTGTGATCTTACTGAAGGATATTCTCAGTTGTTCTCGGGTTTTCACACTATGCTTTTTTAGAAATTAGAATGCAGCAGCTGTTGTTAATAAGTTCATTTCAGTAATGACACGTTATCTTTCTCCTATTTGGGAGAAAGTAAACAGCCGATGAAACGGCGAGTTTGCTTCAGAGAAGTAAAAAAGCGGAGATTAGCATGTACTCGATGAATTTGATCAATAGAATCGTTGGAATTATGTTCCATTCAAAGAGAGAACCCGCTATTTTCATGACATTAATCGAGTTCAGTTGGCACCTACGTGATCGAAAGAAAACCAAACAAGCACATGTAAGAATTCGAACTAGATACGATATTTATACACTAAAACGGCATATTTCGTTTCAATAACCTTTCACTTTACATATTTTGTGTGTCAATTTACAAACGTATGTAACCGATGGCGAACTATAGAATGAATGCAAGCGAAAACAATGATCTTGATTAGAGCATCTTCGAGGTGAAGGCTTATCTTCATCCGTATTGATAGATACAAACAAGCCCTTGATAGTCATTCAGCGACGGATGTTGTGCAGGAGCTGATGCTGAATAATTACTAGAAAAAACGAGAACCAAGATTTGATGGTTCAAAGAAACAATTAAGTGTATAAGCTGGCGAGGATTACACATATATATATATATCAGAGATTGTAATGAAGGTTATTTCAGCAGGAAATATCAAGGCGGAGTAAAGAACAAGAGTTTCTATCAAATGATGTTCTCGGAGAGAAATTCATCGATGTTAGTTTGTTTCGCATTCTTCTCCTTCAACTTCACTGAACGAACTTTATGGTATCTGACATATCATTTTGGATCGTTCACTAATGTTTCCATCAGATAAACATGCGCATTCAGAGAAACACTTTCATACTCATCATTTCGATGAGAAAAATCCTATGAACTACCACATTAGTAATCCGAAACGTCGACGAACGAAATTTATGCGGAACATATGTCATTCGAGACACACATCAGCAGGGCAGAAAGATTTCTTATATTTTCAACGAACCAGTATAAATTATTTATTCAAAAAAACAGAATCACAAACAGTACATTTCAAAACTTTTCTCTAGTCGTGTTTACATACAAAAGAAAAGGCAATGTCTTCACGATTGATTGTTGTTTGCACTTGTCATTGCGTCTAAATGCGGTTCCTCGTTATTCTTCATTGTCATTGGGCCTGTCGGGGAGTGTGGCGATGTAACAATTTCTCTTGCGTATAACTCAGCGTCGAAATCATTTGTTGTCATGTCTAATTGTTGCGCCGAAGAATAACGTTGATGTTGTTCGAATGCAGATGCATATGAATGATGAACTAAATGCAAATCATCATACTGATAATCGTCGATGGATTTTGGTATCTCGTGACGACGACTTAATTCCAGTGTTTTGGCTTCTTTCATAGCTGCCAACTGGTTTACCGGTTTGTTATATTTCGATTTTGGCGGAACTATTGTATTGCTATTCTTTTGCTTTCGACGGCGAGTTTGTATGCCTTCTTTAACCATGTTCAATGGACGAGCAACCTAAACAACGTAGTAGGAGGAGAATAAGTCATGCGAAAAGTTTTGAGTTTTACATGATGAAGCTTATAGTATAGACCACAGGCATTACAAACAGGTTCTCCATCGGAGTTTCGTCGCCATAAGGTTGTCGTTTGAGTTTGACAATTAGCACATTGAAGACCTGAACGTCGTGGATTAGTTAAAGTCTAGAAATAAATATCGAATAGAAAGGTGATAGTTAAATCAAACTTGACTTACTCGTTTAGTATTCGTTTCAGAAATCGATTTGTTATTCTACGTAGACACAAGACAAGGAAACATCGTGTGCTTCTTCGTTTAAGCAACTTACACAAGTATTGTTTTTCGTTGTTGAATATGTTCTATCTGTGTCTTGAAGAGCTAACGTTGATAACATTTTTGTTGTTGATTGTGACAGTGGAAGTGAATATGAAGTATCCATAGCAGTTGAACGGATGTGATCTTCATCATCCTGAAAGAACATTGGTTTTCGAAGGTTATTCTTTATTTCTTGCGAACAAATTTCCTTACTGTTCGTTGCGAATGTCGTTGTAATGCTCGATCTGAACTATCTGCTCGATATCGTAGACGACAAGCGTTACAAAAGTAATGTCCTGTGTCATCATGTCGCCAAAGTGGTACCGATGTTATTCCACATGTAACACATTGATGTGTGTTCGATGCATCTATACATGAAGCGGTAATACACGGCATATACGTTCCACCAGTGGCAGCATCTTGCCAAAAGTGTGCTTGATCGGTTTGATGTGATGGAAAATGCGCTAGTTCAGCAATGTTAGGTATGGTTGTCGGTTGATATGCTAGATAATGTTGATGTTCATTGGATGGCCATGATTGAAGAGTACCATTATCACAAAAGAGTTGTCTCGATCGAGCTACTTCGTCGTAGGATAAATGCGAAGCAGGATGAAGACTTGATAGCGATGGTGAATACAAAACTGTAAGAGAAGGTGAGAGATAGAGAAAGGAAATTGTATTATATAACTATGATACCTTGCTGTAAATGTGCATAATTCTGTTGAAATGGATCGATCATACCTTCTCCATAGTACACTATTGGATCCGTATAAGACTGAAGATCGGATCTGATGAATGCATTTGAAAACGAAGGTGATTCTATTCATTGTCATACGATGATTTATAGATATCAATGATGATCATCTAGTCTTACCGTTGTTTGCTACATACTGCTCGGATTGAGAATGATCCAACGAAACGATATTGATATTCTTCAATGATGTTGGCTCGGTATAAACGGGATCGACTGCAGACGTTTGTTGTCGATCACCTACCAATGAGGACGATGTGGTATGACTACTATTCGATTGATTACTATGTTCACCTTCTGGATCTGTATTTTCATTCTTGACTATTGATTTAACTAATGGTTCTTCATTGTTTTGTGCCCAAGTTGATGACATTCTGATGATAAACTAATGTCACTGTAACAAGATGAAAGTTTTTAGTGATATTTGTTAGGGAAATTAACGTACCCTTGAAAAACATCCTTAGTCAATCTCGTATCTTACTGTACTATTTTAAAAAAATGCTCTATTCGAGTAAAACGATAAGAATCTTCTCTTTCTATGCCTGCTGTTCTCATTCCAGGCTGTGGGGTGGTACGAAAATTTTGATAAAAATTATCGCTGGTGATTATCGTTATAAAAATGTCATTTATCAAAACGAAAATGTCGAGAAACAAGATAGAGTCGACTTTCATGAAACACAACAGCACACGACTAAACTTATCGGAAGGATGTCTCTTACCTGATGTCTACTTGCAAAAAGACAATAAGCTACTCGTATGTGTATTCAAATTAAATAAAAAGTCGAAATAAGACGACAAAGGATGATTCTGTTGTTTTTTCTCTTCTTCGTCTGTCTTGACTCATGACTATTCGGTGGGTCTTTCCAGGATATGTAAATGAAATACATGCACGTACAAGATTCAACGAAAAAAAAATTCCTGTCCGCTGCTAATTCGATATATGAAACAGCAATTCAATCGAACTTTTATCTACATAGGTACGATAAGATCTGAACAATTCAATGAATGACTTCGAAGAATTACTCATTACACTTTGAATATGAAATATAAGAAAAAAAGAGCATTTTCGTCGTGTGCTGTTATCAGTCAGAACAAATAGAATGGCTTACATCCCCTTTTTTTTCTCATTGATGAAATCTCAATGAAAAGCAAATAGTCAAGTTGTGAAGAGAAAAGTAAATAAAACAAGTGAGATAACGAAGTTAAAGAATAGACAACATCATTTTCAAAATGATCAATAGAATTCTTCTCTTCAGCAATATGACATCATTTCGAAAGAATGAACAACAAGTTTATGTCTTTGATCTGTAGAATTAGTGACTGTGATTTAAATAGACGTAACAATGTTTCGAATAAAAAAGGGTTATTTTGATCAATTTTAACACACATGCACGCACATAAAGAAGGAATAGATATTGTTTGACTTAAACCGAATCGTAAGTTGCGCGACTCTCAGAAGAAGATCTTGAACAGATACCAAGCGTAGTACGGCAACCTTCCTAAAGTTGAAGACATGATTTTATTTCGGATTATTCGTATCGGTAAATATTTATACTTACGATAGCAAGTAATGGTAATGATATCCAAAATTCTGCTTGGGGAATCAAATGGATACCTGATTTATGTTTGTAAAGGCCATTGTATGCTACACCGACTAGAAAATAAGCTATCAGGACAGAGAATAATCTAAAAATCAATGCATAATTCTTGACACATGTTTGAAAGTTTCCTACGTACATTAGAAGGAAAACTGATCCGCCGCTTAATCCTTTCTTAGGTTCATCTTCGTGTATACATGCCCCTGGAAAGTCGAATGTCATCGTAGTCTACAAGATCGTGATGATGAAAGGAGATTTTCTCAAATTACAACACATGGGAGACGTACTAAACATTGGTCATCAATTTCAATATCGGTTGGCTCTGGTGTATTTGCTGTCTCATCACCAACAGGTGCAAACCAGTGCGATTGAAGATTACATCGAAATTTGATTTTAAATGACGGCGCACAAGTAGTTGTGTTTGATACAGTTTGATTGGGCGCTCGGGCAAAGAGAGCGTAGAAACCTTTTTCTCCCGGATCTAAACGAGATCACATATTTGATTTCTCTGTCATGATGATGGTTGTTGTTCTATAAAAAGAATGATTATCTCGATGATAAATTTACCATTTTCATAAAAGACTGTTGTTGAAAGAGCACCAAGAACCGTTATATTCGATGACGCTGACGAGTTTTGACATGCCGAGTATTCGTTAAGACAATTAGGAGCTAAAGAAGACAACACGCATGGATGAGTTTTCGCACGGCAAAAAAAAACCCAAACAAACATGCCTGTTTGACAAAAGCTGAAAAAATAAGTGCAATTAGCGGCTGGATGACCAAGGCATTGATAATCTGCTGTAACTCGCCATTGAACAGCACTAGAGAATGGAAAAGTTGAAGTTTCTATGAACTACATTCGCTCGGAATTACTTCAGTAAAAATTTCGTATCGTAACCTTCCAACGAATTACATATGGTGTGTTGTGCAGAAGCATGATAAATTAAACATAGTAGGAGCAGTCCGATGGATGTTAGGCTTATGTGCATCATGACTCTTTTTGTGTATTCAAACGAATGAAATGTTCGAATGTATGATAAGATTTCTAACTTACCTTCGTCTTTGTGATAACAAGAGCAAGAACAATAACAAGAAAATAGAACGCAACGCATATAAGAATCTTTATTAATCACCGAAATAACAAAGAGAAGCAGAAGAAAAGAATATGGTTAGAAAGATAACAAAGCGTAAAACTACGAAATATGTCTATTCATTTAGGAGAGAATCAGTGTCCAGTCGGCTGTTACAGACGGGCCAGGTCGTCGAATAACGAGCATTTGAGAAGTTTCTTGATAACTATGCAATGGAATGGCTTGTTTGTCACCTGAATTTATCGTAACTCGAGCGGGATTTTTTGGATAACCGAGAATAACTATGCGTTCAATCCAAGCGTCGGTTTCAAATCTAGCTGAGTTATCGACAGATCTAAACAGATTCATGAATCAAAATTGAAAGCAGATCCTAGTATCGACGAATGACATACGTGGATTTTAGTTCATTATTTTTAAATGTGAAACGACGATGAATAAATTCATGTTTATGACGATAGTTATATGTTTGACCATCATCCAGATAGAATTCACCTTCAGCTTCATTCTAAATAATGAACATGAAATATGAATGAGTTCGAAAAGAGACTAATAGTGTTGTTATTCACATTTCGATCGAGCGCAACAACCAGAGTAATCGGATCATGTATAGCAAGCATTGATGCACGTCGTTTTCGTAAGCGTTGTGGAATAATTGAACCACCGCGTTGATAAACAGGAATCTAAAGTAAACAGAAACCTCAGAATGATCCTTTTGTCGAATCGATATGTTTTCATTACGGATTCCATGTCAACATTGATAAGAGCGGTCTCCGAGCCATTGTGTTGAACAAATGTTCGTATATCATACCAAACCTTGATGAAAGAAATATAAATAAAACACTTTTTGCAAGAACTTTTTTACCGAATTTTTTCCCGGAAAGTAGAGTGTCACTTGATTGACATCTGCGTCCGTAACCGGATAAACAAGAAGACCATTGCCTATTAAAACGAAAGTTTAATGTTTCCTCCAATGAAATCAATTCATTACTCTATGATACATACCAACCATAAATGAATCTTCCGTTTTAAATGTATTTGTATCGGATGGAAAGTTGGCCCATAGTGGCAACATTGGTGGTACACCATCTTTTTCTTGTTTACGAAATAGGGTATACCAAAAAGGTAGATAAGTATAACGTTGTTCGATCGCTTGTCGAATTAACCGTGTATTGTCATCACCGAATAGCCAAGGTTCACGACGAGCTGTGTCGATATGGGCATGTTCACGATAAAATGGTTGAAATGCGGCAGCCTAATGAATGAAAAGAACACATAGAGAGGAAAGAAGACAATGCGATTTTGATTTCACGTACTTGGTACCATCGAACGAGTAATTTCGCATCAGGATTGAAGAAGAATCCACCAACATCAGCGCCAATGAAACCGATGCCAGTAACTGATAAGCTCAGCAACATCGGAACAGCCATTTTCAAATGACTCCAGTGAGCAGCATTGTCACCTGTCCAAACGGCTGATGTTCGCTGCGTACCAGCAAAAAACGAACGTGTTAAAATAAATGGTCGAATATTTCCATGAGAACGTTCCAACAGGCCATCGAAAGTTGCCATATGTTGAAGCATACCATATAGATTATGCACATCACGATTTTCCCATCCACCGAAGTGTACAAGATCCTTCGGGAATGTAACTTCTGGTCCATTGAATACCGAGGGTTCATTCATATCATTCCAAATGAAAAGATTTGATGTCGAGCCTTTGTAGTTATTGTAGGAGTATCTTTGAGAGTACCATTTGTAGATTTCAGGATTGAAGTAGTCGAGCCACATCGATGAACCTAAGGGCGAACAAATGACATCAATAGATCAGATTTTCCGTAGGCAATTTTTACCTGGCCAACACCATCCTTCGAAGTCTGATCCTTCTTTTGATTTAACGAAATATCCAAGCGATTTGGCTTCGGCATACAATTGGTATCCATCATCTTTTTTAATATGAGGATCACTGATCGTAACCATTTTCCTTCCGTACACAGCCATGTCATCTTGTAGTTTTTCCGGATTAGGAAACTTCGATGTGTCCCATGTAAAGTAACGTTTGCCATTCGTATGTTCAATATCAAGCCAAATAACGTCAAGTGGAATTTGATGTTGTTCAAAACCATTGTTAACACTAATTCACAAACAATGATTCTCGAGAATTCAACTATATAAATCAAACACTTACCCTCGTACATCATCTTCATCATTATAATTCCAACGACATTGATGATAAGCAATTGCCCAAAGCTAAACAAAGATGGAGTTGTCTCGATTGTGATTCTACCAGTTCAACATACCGGCGGTGTTGGTACAGTTCCCGTAAGAGTTGTATATTGTTTGAAAACATCGTTTGGTGTTGGTCCCAAGAAGAAGAAACCATCGAAAATACCTGATTCAAACATCCAATGTGTTGTCACTTCCGGTACTTCATTATTCTCATTGTTTGATTTTGAACCAAAGAAACTGGTGATTGTCGAAAAAAGATTCTTAACGAAAAGCAAAACGAACATTTAATAATTCTTTGTTTTGACAATATTTTAGAAAAATTTCTTGTCACTTTAAGATCAAAAAAATAAAAATTATCATCATTTGATTAGTCATGCGGAATTACTGAATGAAAAGGATTTTGAAAGTTTATTGAAATTAGATGGTGTTCTTTTGCGGCTGATCACATGCAAAAACACGTGTCTTTTGATTACCTGAGATTTTAACCAGTTACTCTGCAAGACAAAAAACAAACTCCATTACTCAGAAACAAACATTCGCGCATGAGATCCCGTTTTCTTTCGAGAAATGTTCTTACTTTTGTGTTCAATTTATCGTTCTGAACATCGATCCAACCTTCAGCAGCATTCAACCAGAAGAAACCAACAGTTGCATGTTCACTAGAAATAACATAAGATATTCTACACAACACGCAGATGCCCTATTCAAATTACTTATGAGCAAGCATATAAGGAATTGAGCCATACAAAGCCATAGGATTGTTAATATCATATTCAAAAATATCCAAATTGAATAAACGATATGGATCTGTTTCACTGAAGTTAAAACAAAAGAATTTCAATAAGATTTTAGATGAAGAAATCAAACGTACTGAGTTGAGCGAAGTGCAAAGGCATCAGCATGTTCAGGGATACCATAAACATTTTCGAAGTTTAGAAAATTAACATCAACACCAATCGACGATGGACCTTTTAAATAAAATATTACTGACATTTCGCATTCGATGACAATATAAACAACACCTACCATACGGTTTGGAATCGTGATGTGTTTTGAATGTTTCTTCCCACATACCATCTTCATTGTCTTCCTTCTAAGAAAATATCTTTTCAATAGAATTCATCTGTACATGAACAACTTACGTTGTCTTCAGCTGGAGTTCCATCAGATCTAGAACATGGAAAGAAATCAAAGAAAACAGGTTGATGAAACCGATTCATACCCGGGCTTCTTTCGATAATGTTCGAAGTTGAACATATTTTTCGAATTGACACTCATAACGAATATGTCATTAGTAAACAAATCTAGTCGAAATGGTTTTGCATTGAGTAGAAATCGAGCTGATTTATCGAATCGTCCTTCGATTTGATTTCCATCTGATTTCGTAATGTTCACCCTAAACATTCGCATTTTATCATCTAGCAGAGCACTCCTCGTTCTCCTCACTTAACAAGTTTCGGTTCGCCGACCAATACAGATTGCACTTCATAACGTTTTCGAATCGGATTTATCTCATTGATTTTCACTCGTAGTGAATTCTGTTCAAGCGTGTACAAATCTAATTGAAATTTGACATGCGTTTTCAACGTGTTGAGTAGAGTAAATTGTAGATGTCCATTTGCAAGCGTTTCCATTGAGCTAAGGTCAACTTCATAGGGTGATGTTTCCGGTTTATATTTACGTTGTCGACTAAGAAAAGACTCATACGATTAAATACGTTAATTAGTATGGCAATTTCGAGAAAGGAGAATACAAACCGGCAAAATGCACTTTGATCACATGTTTTAAAGTTGTTCCGATCGACGTTTTCAATCGGTGGGATATTTAGAATAAGAATTAGACCTAATAAATGCCAAAATCTAATCATTTTCCCGTCGTTTTTGTTAGTCTGTTTTGTAACAGATGTGAACTGCGAACACAACAGTACAACACGACACACCGATGGATGGAATGGAATGATTGGCGAAGTTTTGGAAGCCATAGATTGGTTAAGGAAAAGATCAATGGATTTGAACTGGTCAACAAAGTTTTCATTTTAAAATGAAAATCATTTTTAAATTCAAAAAAGATATTCTTGAAAAATTTAGAACGATTAAAGGAATTTTCAATAGATGTCGCATTCGTATGTACTGATAAGCATAACTATGATACCGAAAGATAAACGACAGAGTTGTTAAGACATGTCAATAATACGATGAGTAAGTCGAAATAAAGTGAAAAGATATTGATTTCTAAGAGTAGAATCTTGTAGCTGAAATAACCAGAAAATTAACAACTAGATCTACGAATAAGGGTCATTCCGAATTCTATCGTCATGTAATTTTGCCAAGCAAAACCTACGCGGAGAGACATAAAGTTTGTCGAGCTTGATTTTCGATTCATTCGCTGATCTTTTTTCCCTTCAGTCGTCACCCAAAGAAGTTAAAGAAGCGGCACGAACTTATAACAAACAACCGCCATTGTCAAATGCCGATATTGAAAGGTATTTATCAAAATCTCACTGATCAAATATGCAATTCTCGTTCTAAATAGACAACGGAGTTCATTGCAGCGTCAACTATCCATAGATATGCTTCGTCAAGGTTATCATCAAGCGTTTCGTGAATTGTCTGATATACTAACATGGCAAAAAGATAATCGCGAACAGTCAAGAAGTGAACAACCACAAGTTTTAATAGAAGATAATGCCGATAAATTACGTTTTCTTTCCATATATTTAACTAAAGCTGAAGAGGCCGAACGAAGACGTAAGTTGTTCAACCTTTCTTCATAATTAAAATTACTTTTTTTTCTCGAATTTAGGTCAATATGCAAAGATGTATGAAAGCTATCTAGCTATGGCATCATTTTTTCGTGAAGCAGAAGATTATTGGCTATCGGATTATTTTTACAAGAAATGCTTGACTATCGCTCAAGCCTATTCACAACTCGATACTGAATTGGTTGCTCGGGCTTATCTAAATATTGGATCAGTCTATGAGAGACACGGTAAGCTATAGTTAAATGAACCGATCGAGCGTGAATACCTACGAGGAAAACCTCGGGTATATGTTTAGGTGATCTGATGCAAGCTTTAGCAAGTTTTAAACAGTATTATCAAGCCGGTGAAAACTATTATGATCTACGAACGAATGCAAATCTTCAATTAGTACGTATATACATGAAATTAGCAGAACGACGAACCACGAATGAAAAATTGGATTTTATGGTTAAAGCCTACGAAGCATCGATACAGAGTAAAAGCGTAAACAGTTCATTGTTCTATGGTGACAACTTCATTTTCTCTTAGGCGATGATAAGAAAATTGAGAATGAGATTCGCTACAAATTAGGGCTACTCTATCTTGAGCTTAATGATATTGATGCAGCACTACAATATTTAGAGAAATATTACGACTATTGCCAGCAAGTTAATGATGATGAAGGTTTCGGTCAAGCAAGTGAAGCGATTGCTATTTGTTACCAAAAGTATCGACTGAATACTCTCGATCGACTCACTCTTTCAAATCTTGTAGGAAATCAAATATCGAAAAAAGCACGGAATATTTAACAAAATATCTTCAGAAAGCTTCGGGACAGAAAGGCAGTCATCAATATACGAAAGCTTGCAATGCACTCGGTTTGATCAACGCTACACTGGTAGATTCTGAATCTCCGGATTTTATTTGCATATTTCATGTTTGTTTGATATTAGGGGGACTATGACTCTGCCATTGCATCCTGTAGCAAAGCGTACAGTATTTCATTAGCAACTCGTTCTTCTGATCTTGATCGTTGTCGCCTTCTATATGGTATAGCTAATGGATTGAAATTACGAGGCTGCTTTAACGAACACATCGATCAAATGAATACAAAGAATTTACTTGACTGGAAGCAGACAAGACTCGAAAGTCACTTAACAAAATCGAAGAATTAGATTTTCCTCGGCTTTTTATTATTCTTTTTCATGTTCTCTTCTCTCTAACCGCTTAATGACGATAAACCATTGTTTTGTATTGTAACGATCAAATTGGCAAGTGTAGCATCCGGATGTGTTGCTTGTAATTTTGCCCATTCAGCAACAACACGATTGAATTCAGAAATACCTAAATTAGATCGAAACGAAGTTTTTTCCCGTGCAAACGAGCTATTCTAGAAATGATTTACTCATGCAAAAACCAGCCACGGGTACCATTGATTTGCAGCAAACGAGATGATTTTCGGGACATTGACTGTTTTCGACATCTGGAACAAGTTCATGACCATAGGCAAGATGTGAAGTTGGTCTATGTAGAAGACAGACAAAAAACCAGAATCATTCAAACATCTCATATAAACTTTACACATGTTGGATGCCATATGTTGAACATTTCGACCATCCACCAAAACCACAGCTATCATAACCATTATGGACTGCTTGTGTTTGTCCGGTGGGTTCCCAACGAATGTAAGTGGTGGTAATAACTTTCATTTTCGCTGGATTTCCATTTTTACAGCACCATGTACTAGAAAAGTCAAAATAAAATCTGGTGTTTTCAAAAAACGGAAAGAGTTCATTACACTTCATCAGCACGATCTTCCGATACAGCTCGAGCTTCAAGGAATGCTTGTTGGTAGACAGATGGTAACGAGCGAAGATTTAGATTCGATAAAATTTCTCGCTGTTGATCAATATCAGCAGACGATTGAACTAGATTATATGGAATAAGAATATTTATCAGTGTTAATTAGAAAGGTATGACGGAAATTTACGTGAAATATCGAGCAAGAAACTAAGAATCAATGAGCAAATCAATAATTTCATTCTGATATTGCGTTTCGGAACAATAGAAACATAAAATAAAAACAGTATTAACAGACAAAAATATATAATTGACCGTGGGAATAAGCGCCAGGTGACTTTTTTATAGAGGCGTTGGCCGGCATTATCTATAATGCTAACTGTCAAGAAATCAATAAGTATTTACATCACAATAGACATTTTTATTTATTCTCACAACTTTTAGAATGAACATAAGTATCTGTAGTAAAAACCGAATTGTAAGTCGCTTCGTTATCCAACCGTGTTGCCTCACGCATAGTCGATATTGACATCGTCGCTGCCATTATTCCTTGTGAACATTCCATACGAATAGGCACAATCGGCGGTCCATACGCCCAGTTTCGATAGCAAATTCTCAATTGAGTATCGAAACAAAGTATTGTCGTCAGAAATAGACTAACACCTATGCTGATCACTCCAATGCCAATCAAAGCTGTTTTCTTCGTTTCGGATATAACGCCGGTGACAATGAGCGTTAAACCAATAATAAGCGTAAGACAAGTTGTAATAATACATGACTGACCAATTGTATGAGTATATGGATCTTCACGCATGATTCCCGGGGTAATGTGAGTGTTTCGTATTCGGCCATTGAAGAAGAACATTTTTTCGATCGACTTTGGAAAACTTCCCAACACAAATCGAATGAATGACGGAAGAGATCCTACGGATAAGTTCAAGAAGAAATAAGCTCAGTAAGAATTGAAATAGGAGAAGATGCTATTTACTTTGCTAGAGAATGGGCGAGTACTATTGAATAACAATTATTATAGGAAACGTCGTACAGCACGGAAATAGGAGAGCGGTAAGCATGAAATGTGAGTGAGGATAAAATGATGAATTTTGCATGTTAATATGAGTTCGTCTGTTTTTGACCCAGTTCTTTATCAGCTACTTGATACTATACTGAAAATGGCAGAAGAATTCTGTGCTTCTATTCTCGCTAGATGGCGCATATATCACCACGTCTGAATATCCGCGATTGATAACGGAAAGTCTATATTAAGAGCTATGGAATTCAACTTTCAAGAAAACGAATTTCTAAATGAATTTCGGTGATATTAAAATGGTCTGAGAATTGAAAAATGGAATTGGTCCATTGATGGAATCCAGCGAATTATATAAGACGATGAATCACTCTACCACAGCGAAAGAGGGCACTTCTTTGTGTACCGAATATTTACTCTGTTGATTTATCGGACCCAACAAACATAATGAGTTTTCTCTCGAGAGTTTCTTCGAGAAGTCTTTGTCCGAGCTTGAATTCATTAAGATCGAATGTAAGCTCAAGTCATTCTTAATCGCTCTTAAACTGTTCGGTTCGTCTAGGTCTTAACACGCTCCTTGGCAGCTCAAGCAACTCAGTCACGTAACACCGATGCCAAACATACCACAGGCAATCGCGTATGTAACAAATAATGTTGATGATTTTCCTGCTATTATGCTCTTTCGTTTCAGATTGCTTCCAATTATAAAATCATCGATCATACCTATGATTCTGTCGTAGTTGGCGCTGGAGGTGCTGGTCTCCGGGCTGCATATGGTCTTTCAACAAATGGCTTTAAAACCGCCGTTATCAGTAAATTGTTTCCTACACGTAGTCATACTGTTGCCGCACAAGTAAGTCGATAAACTTGAAGAAAAAACGACAGTCTAGCGCAAACCTGTCGATCTTTAGGGTGGTATCAATGCTGCATTGGGAAATATGGAGGGTGATGATTGGCGATGGCATATGTATGATACAGTTAAAGGCTCTGATTGGCTTGGAGATCAAGATGCTATTCATTATATGGCTGAAGAAGCTCCACGTGCTGTTGTTGAAGTACGTAGCTGAATTTCTTCTCTTTTTCATTTTGTTTTATTGTTTTCTTCCATTGAAAAGCTGGAAAACATTGGTATGCCATTCAGTCGTACACCTGAAGGAAAAATTTTACAACGTGCCTTTGGTGGTCAATCGTATGATTTTGGTCGTGGTGGTCAGGCCCGTCGTTGCTGTTGTGTTGCTGATCGTACAGGTCATGCTATGTTGCATACTCTCTATGGTCAAGTAAGTTGCTTCGATTTGAATGTTAAATGAACACTCATTGTTTTTCTAATTATTTTAGTCATTAAAATATAATACAGATTATTTTATTGAATATTTTGCTTTGGATCTATTTATGAACCAAGATAAAACACAATGTCTCGGTGTCATTGCCATGAATCTTGAAGACGGTAGTCTTCATCGGTTCCGTGCCAATAATACTGTCTTAGCAACTGGGTATGACTAGAAAGTGCTTTTCTCAAAAACTACGTTGTAAACTTTTAGCGGCTATGGACGTGCCTACTTTTCGTGTACATCAGCACATACATGTACTGGCGATGGTAATGCTATGGTTACTCGTGCTGGTCTTAAAAATCAAGATTTAGAATTCGTTCAATTCCATCCTACTGGTAATTAAGTCGTTGCTAAGTACAATCGTATGCGATGCCATTCATTGTAGGTATTTATGGCGCTGGTTGTTTGATGACTGAAGGTTGCCGCGGTGAAGGTGGTTTTCTTATCAATAGCAATGGTGAACGTTTTATGGAACGATATGCACCTGTTGCTAAGGATCTTGCATCCCGTGATGTCGTTTCACGTGCAATGACCATTGAGATTCGTGAAGGACGGTGAGAACATGCTTGCGCCTGACATTGATGAAGACCTATTATTTTCCATCCCGTTTTTAGTGGTGTTGGAAAGGAAAAAGATCACATCTACCTTCAATTAAGCCATTTGGATCCAAAATTATTACACGAACGTTTACCTGGTATCAGCGAAACTGCACATATCTTTTCTGGCGTTGATGTTACCAAACAACCCATTCCGGTCCTACCAACAGTTCACTATAATATGGGTGGTGTACCAACCAATTACAAGGGTCAAGTTATTCAAGAGAAGAATGGTAAAGATGTCGTCGTCAAAGGTTTATACGCAGCAGGTGAAGCAGCATGCGCTAGTGTTCACGGTGCGAATCGCTTAGGAGCCAACTCCTTACTGGATTTGGTCGTTTTTGGCCGAGCATGCGCCAATACAATTTCTGCCGAAAATAAACCAGGAGAATCATTTGCTGAATTGCCATCGGTTTGTTGAAAATAATTTTTATGAGAACGAACGGACGAACTTCTATTGAAATTTGATTTTAGAATGCCGGTGAAGCTTCAATAGCCAATTTAGATCGAATCCGTAATGCGAATGGATCGATTTCAACCGCTGACCTTCGTCTCAAAATGCAAAAGGTTTGTATAACTAATGAAACAGTCATCACTTCCAATGTAATCTTGCATCGTTCAGACCATGCAAATACACGCTGCCGTCTTCCGAGATGGTGAAACATTGAAAAAAGGCTGTGATCTTATGGATGGTATCTTCCAAGAACAAAAGAACCTTAAAATCAAAGATCGTGGCGTCATTTGGAATTCGGATTTGATTGAAACATTGGAATTGCAAAACTTATTATTGAATGCAATGCAAACCATCTACGGAGCCGAAGCACGCAAAGAAAGTCGAGGTGCTCATGCACGCGAAGATTATCCTGTAAGGATTAGAATTTAATCGAAACAGTTACAAATGTTTTGTTAAACTTTCGTTTAGAATCGTGTCGACGAATATGATTATTCAAACTTAGAAAAGAATCCCATCGCCAATCAAAAGAAGAAATCCGTGGAAGAACATTGGCGCAAGCATACATTATCTTATACAGATCCTGATACAGGAAAAGTGAGAGAAAAAGAGCAAGTGACATTCTATCTGAACACTGTTTATTCTTTGTTTTAGACAACATTATCCTATCGAGCAGTTATTGATCATACATTAGACCAAAATCGTTGCCAATCCGTACCACCCAAACCTCGTGTCTACTAAGAACAAGAGCATAACAATGAGATCTGAAGTATAACATGGACTCTAGACTTTTTTCCCGAGAACACTTTTTTTCTGTTAATATTTACTTTTCTCTCCTATTTTAAAAAAAATATAGACATTTATTAACGATTTAGCATTAGATAGCTAATTATTTCTCATGTGTAAAATTGATCTTAATCGATGAATCAAAGCGTATATAATCACTGATTATGTCTTATCGTGTAATACGTTTTTTATTGGGTGATTGCATTGAATATAATACACAAGTTCATAAAATTGCATTCGTAAGAAACATCAATGTCCTCGAGGACGACCCTATGTGAAAAATGATGGTATCTTTCTGACCGGTTACACATAGATGTGTTTTTAATGAACTGTGACGCATCATTTGCCATGGACAATATCCAACATAAATAAAAACACGTGAAATTTGTTGTAGGAAGTCTTTTTCATGGTCACATTGATTTCTATTGAGAATATACATGCGGAGATTTACGTTCATTACGGATCTGACCGATCGTATGCATGGGAAGTAAGTGTTTTGAAGATATGTTGGGTGAGCAGAGAGGGCCATGTTTATTGTTTAGTCAAATACATGATGGGTAGATTGTAATCGAAGTTATGAAACACAAACTAGGAAAAAAGCAATTTGCAGGTCAAGGTTCTGGAGTGTTGGCAAACTTCAAGAGTATGGGAAATAGTCTTGAGTTGAGTGATAACGTTTACATCAACGAAGCTGTGTGTGAGTTCTTCGGAAGAAATATTTTATTTAATAAATTGCAGACAAAACTTAAAACAAGTGAGAATAATCTTAATAATAGTCTACTTCTAGTCTAATAGAAGTATACGCTACAAAAAAAAAGTCGTGTTTTTAATCTTCATCTGAGTAAAGACAAAGATTTTGAATATAAGAACGAGAGGAGAAAATAATAAGATCAGCGATTGACCTGATTATTTTGATAAAACAAAATTCGATTCTTTCGATAAGAAAGAATCGAATAAATAGTCTAATAGATTAAAATAATAACACTAATTTTGCTTTAATAAGGAATCGTTTCGGAGGAGATACCAAAATGAGCAAATTGGCTTGTTAAATCTTCTTTCGTACCTAAGGAAACAAATGAAGAGACCTTGGTTCAAACGAGAGACGACGTTTTCTTGTTTTACTTGAGAAAAAATTATGATGCTCCTTTGCCAATTGTAGAACCTTGGAATCTTCCACAGTTTTGGTTGATTTTGTTTCTTGAATAAGATTTTCAAAGGTCGGAGCGTAATTTGCATTGTTACTATTAACTTCGCCGTACAATTGTTTTTGTGGAGAAGCAGCGGGTGATTTACTAAAGCTTGGGTCGAGATTATCTAGTAGTATTGATGAATTCTTATTATTAAATAGTGCCGGAGGAGACTAGATGAATGATGAAATAGAAAGCATCGAAAACAGAGATAGAAAGCTATGGATACATACGAGATCTACATTTAGACCTAGTTCTTTGATTTGAGCTAATAGTTGATCAGTATCAAGTAGACTATCTCCATAATTCTTCGCGTAATTCGTCGGATCTTCAGGCGTGACTCCTAATCGTTGAAATTGGCGAATAACACGTGTTTGTATAGGTTCATATCTGCAAGGATATAGAACAAGTAAAAGACAAAAGTCGTTCGAATATCATACGTTATGATAACATTTTTTGGTGGAGGATATGGTTTTGATTCTTTCGCTCGATGAACAACAACTGGACGTTTGTACAGAGCTTCATATGGTATCCATCGTTCGATGATTACGTCCCGTGGTTTAGGAGGCAATCGTGGAAGATTTTCAATGATAACTGACCGCGGTGGTGGTGGAATCGGTGGAAGCGTTCGGGTGATGACTGTTGCTACAAGGAAAACGAGCGGATTTATTCTATATACATATGAGAATTAGGTTAGAACTGACCAGTCATTGCCGAAGGTGCCGTCGGTGGTTTTTCACGAAGAATAATTGGTGGAGGTGATAGAGGCGGTGGTGGATGCTGACGAATAACCTAATTAACAAGAGAAAAAGATGTTTTGTTTGAAGCCGAGAGATTTTCGCTTACGAGCGGTGGCGGCGGTGGAGGTTGTGGTGCGCGCACTTCTCGAATAATCAACGGTGCTTGTGGCACGGGTGGTGGCTGTAAAAACCGTACCATAATGTTTTGATTGTAGACAATCGGGTTCGTTGTTGAGGTTTTACGAATAACTTTTGGTTCGGGATCATAGTATAAATTTTTAGTTCGAACCAGTGTTTCGTAGTCAGCTTCCGAGTTTGGCTTTTCAGTTGGAGAAGCTCGACGAAACTTCGTGGTATCTCCTTGTGGTGAAAAGCCCAACTGAACCGATTGATCAATTGTTCCTTCGACTGGTGGAGAATTCGGATAGGAACTTGTTCCAATCTTCTCTCCTAGTAACTGTTCCCAACTGTGAATTTCAGTATCCAGTTGAGTATTATTACCACCAGTTGTCGAAGTTGTTGCGGTATAAGGTTCCGAATATTGGAATTCTCCCCCAACATTAAATGCTTGACTATCATCAAGCGTTGATATTTGAGAATATCCATTTGAATGTTCCATCGTAGGCGAACTTATAACTGATATCCGATCGTTCTTCAGTGGATGTGGAGCGTCCGACTTCGGTCGATGGATGAATTTGTTTGTATTATAAGAAGAAATGACATATCGTTTCTTTTTCATTTTTTCTTTGTCTTGTAGATAATGTTGCACCTACCCTCGAATTGAACCGAATAAATTAGGTATGATAACGTAGTAATCAACGCTGGCAGGTTTTTTTTTGATTGACTAGTTTGCCATTGACTATTCTCTCTTTTCTTCCTTCCGTCTTCTTCTTTTTCCTTTGTAACTATTCTTTTCTTTTTGGTCGTCATCGTTTTTTCTCTTCGTTTTCGTAAATTGAAAAAAAAAGAAGAAAGTTATGTCAAAATATGTATGACCGACTAAAGATGATAGTGTGTGAACGATTATTCATGTGTAACATTAGACTTTCGTCTCCTTGAAATTACTTGTCCATATGATGAAATACTGTTCAAGCTATGATCCAAGGCTTTCTATAATATACTACGGTATATAATGACAAAAGTTTCCGGACAATTATTTCTATCAGTGCAATTAAATACAGCAAATTAGAAATACTTTTTCGATTATACCAATACCAACAAGGTTCAATGATCTATTAGAAATCAAATACTGTTCCTATGTTCTCTTTCTTTATTTGCTAAAATCGTGCGCACACACACACACACATACACACGGAAATCAATCAAATGTATGCAATTGTCCTTAGTCGAATGCAAGTTTTAAAATTTGACCACACTCTTGTTGATGAACTTCGCCAATAGCGACAGCGGGTGTACCGAGGACATCGCGGCCAGCATATTTGAGCTAGAGGGAACAAAAAGGCATCACTGAGCGTTACACGGTAAATTAACGCATACGAAAAACTGAACCGTTTCTAACTTACATGAATTCCCACGATGTTTTCAAATCTTGATTTAACGAAAACCCAAGCACCTTGATTGCGATGCTCTTCTTGACACCAGATGAATTCCTTGGCGTTTTTGTACTTCTTCGTTTCTTGTCGCAATTCGTCGGCAGGGAATGGACACAGCTCTTCGAGACGGACAATGGCCACATCATCTCGTTTTCGTTTTTCGCGTTCATCATTCAATGTGTAATAATGCTTTCCGCTAGTAAATAGAACACGACGAACCTTTTCCGGATTGATTTTTGTCTGAATATTGAAACAGTTTTTCAGTAATCAGAATGACAATTGTTGAGCATACTTTAGAGATATTATCGGTTAGAACAGGTAAGAAATGCGTACTGTCGCTCATTTCTGCCAACGAAGAAACGCAGTCAGGATGACGAAGTAGAATTTTTGGTCCGGCGACAATCAATGGTTTACGAAAGTTTCGTATCATCTAAATAGAAATGAAATAATTACATTTTTCATTTGCATTGAACTTCAATCAAATCAATTTCCTTTTAGCAGAACTAATTTTCTAATACTTATTCTATTGATCGATACTATTTATTTTTCTAGAAGTTAGAGTATCATTTGCAAAGTCGAGAATAGCTATCACTTTTGAATGATAATGGACAATAGAATTTACCTGACGTCGTAACAGATGAAAATATTGAGCAGGTGTAGTCGGATTGACAATTTGCATATTGACATCGTCACCATCAATGCCATCTTCTTTACTGTCTGTCATCTGAAAACATTCTTTTTCTATTTCGTCAAATGTACGTGCTCATTATTGACCTGTAAAAATCGTTCGATATGACAACTACTATGTTCCGGTCCAGCACCATCCATGCCGTGTGGCAATAACATGACAATACCGGATTGTGTCAGAAATTTTACTACAAACAAATATTTTGTTCTCCGTTATTCTCCTGTCGAAATACTCACGTTCACCACCGCTGATATAAGTATCAATAATAATTTGTGCACCGTTAAAAAAATCACCGAATTGAGCTTCCCATATAACGAGATTCTTTGGATCATGAATACTAAAACCGTAGTCAAAACCAAGTACTGCTTCTTCAGAAAGAATACTGTTACAAATCTTGAAATAGATATTCAATTTCAACGGTTTTTTTTCTCTAGAACTATTTCGAACTTTACTTCAAGAAAGCCTTGCTTAGAATCCATTGCATTCAATGGAATATAAACATCATCGTCTTTTTGATTTACAAGCATGCCGTGCCGTTGACTGAAAGTTCCTCGACCAACATCTTGACCACTTATACGAATATTATAACCTATAGAAAGTCGATTTTCTGATGAAAATTGTTCTTTACTATTTAACCTTGGAGAAGTAAGGATCCGAATGCGAGTGCTTCAGCTGTTGACCAATCTAAGCCCGTACCAGCTTCGATACGCTGTTGTCGTTTTTGTACGTGTGATCGAGCAATTGTTGAGTGCACGTGCTACGAAATATTCAAACACTGACGAAAAGAAAATCATCAAAAAAACAGAATCCTACAAAGTCTTCAGGTACAGCGACAGATTTAGCACCAATGTATTTCAACAAATTCTGATCAAGTCCGGTATTCCATTGAGATCGAGTCAATCTTGCTTGAATGATACCAGACCATTGCCGTTCGAGATGCGGTGCCTAAAATTGCACATAAAAAACTATTAAAAAAAAAAGAGATTAATATCAGCATGAACACCTTACTTTTGGCTGATACGCATCCGCATTGGCAAATTGCTCTTCTAAATGTTTTCGAAACGCCTGAATTTTGTCATCTAATTCCTTATCGGCATGTTGCTCCTGTTGATAAAATTCTTGCACTTTTTTATACATTGAAGGTTGAGTAAATGTTGGATCATCCAGTTCATTGTGACCGTGTTTGCGAAAACAAACCAAGTCGACAACAATGTCCTTACGAAAAAGATCACGATATTCACATGATAATTGAACAGCTTGCGCAATTTCCTAATATTTAAAAACGATAAATCAATCCTTAATGTCAATAAACTGAAATTTACTTGTGGACATTGACCATTAACGTGAATCACTGGACAATTGACGACTTTAGCGAAATCCGTACAATAGCGTGATGAACTTTAGTTGAAAAAACAATTAATCCTAAGAGTATTGAACATAAATCACTTTATTTCTATTTACCGTGCTAAATGTTGAGGTGTTGTATAACCGATTTGATTATTCGTAACAAGATGAATGCTTCCTCCTATCGAATAATGTGGGAGATGACTCAATTGAAATGTTTCAGGAATAATGCCCTAGAGAAAGATTACATATTTATTCTATACAAACACGAACAAAGAAAATTAAAGCAACAGAACTCTCACCCACGGAGAATCAGTCGATATACATCAGATTACTTCACACTGATTCCATAAGTGTCAACTCAACGTCTTTACAACTAACTTATTGATATTTTTTGTTCTTAGTTTGTACCTGTCCAGCAAATGATGCGTCGCCATGAACTTGAATACACAAAGCTTTATCCCCATGTCGTCCAGCATTGTCTGAGTCAGCATAATGACCATCTTTCAATGATAATTGACATGCCCGAGTTTTTCCAACAGCAACAGGATTATTGGCCTTGTTGTTTTTAATAAACAGAAACGATAAAAAGATCGGAAGAAAAGACTTTCGAGTACTTCTAAATGCGATGGATTAGGAATAAGTGAAACATGAAGTGTTTTGCCATCATAAGTCAAATCCGTCGATGTATCTGAATGGATAAGAAGATTAAAGAACGGATATGATATTTTAGACAAAAAAAAACTCACAAAGATGCGAGAGAACGTCGCCGGTCGATTTCGCATCTTTGGGAAATTCACGTTTGCCTTTTATTTTTCGAAACATTGTCTCAGCTGGATAATTGAGTAAGCATACAAGAAGATTATTTCGACCTCGATGAGGCATGCAAACAATGACATTTTCGATATTCACTAGATAATAAATATTCATTAGAGACATCGAAGCCTTTGGCCAAAAGATGAGAAACCTACGTTGAGTAGACTGTTGAAATACTAAGTCGAAAAAAGCCATCATGCCCTCAGCTCCTTCGCCACTGTAACGTTTCAACGTCGGAAATTTGGCTTGTAAAAATTGATCAAATGCCTGCGAACATGAAATTTCTTGTCTGAACAATCATGTTATCTTTGTGTGTTAATCAAAGGATCTTCTCGAGGGAAATTAGAATGATGATTAGAGATAACAGGAGAGATATGGATGTCGCCTTCGACATATCAATAATCAATGGTCGAACTCAAGCAAAACTTCAAAAAAGAAAACAGATGGAATTTTACTTCACATTTACGCATCTGTTCACTAATCCGTTGTTGAAGATCAGAGGAGATTGATGATGAACAACGTAATTGTTCAAATCGACGAGCAATCCAAAGACGTTCAATGTCACTCTAAAGATTTATATGTGTAGAGAGAATCATTAATCTAATCTCTATTTGTTTCGTTTTCAACCCACTTCAATGTATTCACATTCTAAGCTTATTGATTGACAATAGGTATCATTGAGTTGTCGAATCCAATCAGTTTTATTCTTCGGAATTGATTGGCCATTGGCTAAGCCAAATAACGATCGAGCATCTTGTTCATTTTCAAGATGGAAATCTGCTGTAAATAATTTCTCATCCAATTCCGGAATTGATCTAAAGAGAGAGAAGAAGTTGATCTTTTCATTCTGTCTTTTCCCCTCTCATTTTTTTTCTCTTATTGATTCATAAATCAATTGAGTCGTTTTCTCACGTGTTAACATTGATTCCCAATGGATCGATCTTAGCTAGACGATGACCATGCTTACGATAAGCGTCAATAAGTAATGCCACATGAGGATTAGCTTGACGTGCTTGATTATAATCACCTACATATTGACGAGAAAAAAAAAGTTGGTCATTATGAACATTATTATCATCGAATCGAATGTATTTACAAAGTGTTTTCTCCACTTCATTGACATTTCCAAGTGTTTTTAATTGAGTATTATATCCGAAGACTTTAGTTTGATGTTTATATGTCCGGATAAGATTAGTTTGAATAAATGCTAATCGTTGTTGAACAATACGCAGATGCATCTGAAAATATGGTGACAGATGTCAATAGATGAACAGCTCTCGTTCTCCACATGTAGTGACATTTCTGAATGATCGAATTTGTTCATCATGGGGTGGTGATTTGTTCGAGAAGTGGAAGAAGAAAATCAATTATGATGTGTTAGTCCTCATTGAAGCCATCCGGATGTGACCTTATTTTTCTTTCTCAACATCATCATCAAAGGCAAGTAAAAGAGACAGGGTGTGTATATGCATATGTACGAATGAGAAAGACGAAGGAACGTTCAATTGAAATTTTCCCCTCCGAAAGTAATTCCGCATGCATTCAATCGACTGTGAAATACAAGAAAAAGGAAAAAAGACAGTCTAGTTCACTTCCGCCGGCATCTGGTTAAATGATTGTCTCAACCAAAACGAAGAAGAAGAAAACGAAGGATGAAAGTTGTGTTAATAAGAATGAAGAAGCAAGTTGTACAAAATAAAAAAAAAAGAAGAAGAAGAAGAAGAAGAAGAAGAAAACATAACCAAGCAAAACTAGACATCGACAAATACAAGACAACAATAAGAAGAGAAACGAAGCAGCGAGAAAAGAAAAGAATTTATGGAGTGTGTTTGTGTTTTGTTGTATGCTTATGTACGATGGACACTGTTCGCGATGAGAGGTAAATATATCCAAGGAATTATATCCTTTTTCATTCGTCATCGTACCTGAGCAGAACGAATCTTAGTAAAAAAATACACGTTAGACTAGAGAAACAAACAAATTTCAACGATGAAGAGTAGCGAATAGTAATGAAAATGCTAATAAGATCATAGTTGCTAATGAAATTGTCGTTGTTGAACTGCTAGATACTTTCGATTGAACTTGACGGGCATCTTTGACAATTTTGATAGCTCGCGTGCCCTTTTCATTGCCATTAACAGTTAGTTTTACTAGAAAACCATTGTTAAGTAAATATTGGTAATAGTTTTCTACCGAGCCATTTTTCATCGGCGGTAATGGAAGTGATGTTAATTTATTTCGGTCAAACGTAACGATGCTTCGATATTTGCCTTTGGATTCGTCTTTCGTTTCGATCGTTATGCCAGCGTCCGATGTTACTAGTCTTTGATCGGACTGACGAAGCCAGGTTAATTGTGGCGCAGGATTTCCATTGTACGAACATTCGATACTTGATTGATCTTTACGAGGATCGACAAATTGACGTTCGGAACAATCAAGAAAATTTGGGGTGAATAAAACGTTAAGCGTTTCAGTTGCTACTCGTTCGGTGTTACCTATTCAAGGCAGAAAGATGATGTAGTGTATTAACACAGGAAATGAACTAAGTTTGAACTCACCTTGTCTAACTGAACAAGTTAATGTTGAATTATGCCAATCAGCTTTTGGTGTGATGGTCATTTGCCAGACGAACTTCTGTGGAAATGAATTACTGTCCGATAAATCACTTTTACCATCTTTAGTAATTTCTGTTTGATCGCGCAGAATTCGATGTCGGACATATGGGTAAAAATCATCTACTTGACATTTTATTGTTGTCTTAGTATTTTCATGTAATGGTCCACCCAAATCAATTACCCATACTGGTGTTGCTAATTGCATCACATACAAATCTTTTGTTTGTTTTGGTATCGATTCTTCACAATCAGGACAATTACATTCATATCTCGCTGAATCTTCCATCTGTAAACTTCGAATACGTATGTGATTCTTTCGTACGAATTCATATCGATGGTTTTGATGATTCCTAAACACATCCGGTGCGTCATCCGTTGGTGCGGTTAATAATGTCCGCGATACGGGTGTACGTTTGCCAGTTTTATAATCGACGTACCATAGTTGAAGAGGTTCGCTCTGAGCATTTGGTTGAATTTGTCCGCATTGTATTTCGACTTTTGCATAACGTGACATATACTTCTCATCGGGAGTAAATGTTAAGTTTATCGATGGTCGAGCTAGTTGAACAATTGGAATGACGATGGCGACTGTGATAATCGAAGTTATAATATACATTATTTAAATATTGATACTAAATAGAAATATGGTCAAGGTTTTGTTCTTAATTAAATCATTACGTGTACAGAAATCAATATTTACATAGTTTCGTTCTCCTCTCTCATTAATAGAAATCTATATGGGTTCCCAGCATGATGAGTCCGAAAGCGATGACTCTGATCTCAGCGACTAGTTTAATTAAAACACATACCAGCGTAGATTTGTTAATTGTTTTTTCTAATTTAACAATTTCACATTAATTTTTTCGCATATTCCAGTCGCGATTGTTAGTTAGAAACGACGATAATTTCGAATCGTATTAAGCTTCTCTCCCTTCCGACTTCCGCGAATGTAGTTGAATGGGCAAATGATGTTGATGACGAGAAACGAAGGAAAGAGAAGAAGAAAGACCGACTACGCTCATATCCTTTTCTTCTCTCCTCCTTCTCCCTTCGCCCTCTCTTCCTCTCTCTCTCTCTCTTTCTCCTCTCCTTATGCAATGAACGCGTGCGCCCGCACGTCCTCGGTCAAGTGCCTGTAAGAAAGAAGACTATCCCAGGCAAAAAACGGCGAATAAAAAAAAGCAAAAAATAATAACGACAATATTTCACTAGGCAATCTCCTGGAAGTGCGGAGAAAATCAACACCTGCTTATATTTAAGAAATTAACTTGAATTAAATGCAGAGCGACGAATTCTTCTCGTCTATACCGTCTTCTTTCTGATGTCATTCCAGTTCAATAGTTCTGGAAAATCTCCTTCTGCTTCTTCTTTTTCTTTGCAGCACTATTCGAATACGTGCGGAGCGCACGACCGTGAACGGAAAGAAAATTTTCAAGGCTATCGTTGCCAACTCAATCGATGATAGTGAAAACAAGAAGTAAAGAGAAGAAAAAAACATTAGTACAATATCGGACATCGTCATTCTCTTTTAATTTTCCTCCGTTTCTTTTGTCCTTCTAATCATCTAGTACGGGGTAAATGTGTCTGTCTATTTGTTCATTATTCGAACAAAAGAGGAGATTCCATGGAGAGATCGCGTTCTGAATGTTCAATACGACATTGATCTAAATAGAGGGAGAATATAAATGAATGTCCGCATGAATAGTATATATGTCTATATGTATACATATGCATATATAAGACAGACAGATGGCTTTAAAATTAGTTGATTGCAAATCCCCTTAGTCATCATTGGAAATAATTTCTGCAGTTCTATCGAACGAGAAAATTTAGGAAGACACCTGCTAACAAAAGAAAAGAAGAGAGAGAGAGTCTCTTTTTTATACATTTACATTGATAGCTGTATATTGTTTCTACTGTTTAGTAATTTCTTTTCACTACCCATTGACAATCGTTATTCATTTGATCAAACATATACAAAGTGATGATCACTCGCACCGGATGTAGGCGCCAGATTGGCATCCATACCGCGCTAGATGTTCACAAAACATTAACAGACAAAGTAGTGATAACCCTGAACAAAACTCGCAATTATTTCTCAGTGCAGTCATGGCCATTGACATACTGCAGAAGCATAACAACGAGAGAAGAACGATTAATCGAAGATAGAAAGATATATAACAGGCCCAATCTAACAACTTATTGCTACTCGAAGGCATAATATTCGTTAATCGTCTGATGTTGTCATCTCATCGTCAATATTTTGATACGAGCTTTTATATTTCCACACATCGACATAATATATACATTCGTTTGTTCATGTTCACACAACTCCATCTCCTCCCCTTTCTTTCACTGCTTACTGATTATTACATGATACGAATGATAAGAACTACTAAATACAATAGCTCAATTTTTTGCAGAAGGAGGAGCATCAGACAAAATACGATTGAATTTCTTTCTTTCTTTCTTTCTTTCTCTTTATATCAGACACTATGTATTTATTTCTCATGCATTGATGCAATGTATGATGTAACAATAGATGAATTCATCTATGTAACAACGACAATGAAGACCAACTCCCAACTATTCTTCGTTTCTTTTCTTTTTTCTAATGAATAATTTAATCTAACGATGCACAATCTTGCTTAGTCTTCCTTCTCTAGTTTACATTTACTATGTAAATAACGAAAACAAAGAAGTAAAATACTCTCAAGGGGACAAAGCTAGAATCTCCTTCGTTTTAAGCTTGAAGAATGTGATCATGATGAAATTTGATAGTTTACCGACAAGATGTTCATTACTATTGTTCATTGACATGCAATGTTTACAAACAATTAGTACGCCTAGCACATAAATTTCGAATCGACTTAAACAAATCAACTAATTCCGAGTATTTTCTTTTGTCGAAGAACATTTCATTCGAACTGACTGCTTGTCAAAAATGATTAGACTTAATGATTGCATAACGAGCACTCTACTTTGGATAGTATCTCATGAAAATCATCATTTCTTTTTTTTCGTCTACTGCTTTTGTATTCTTTCTATCGCAGAGACTTTCTTCGTACCCCTGAGCGACAATGACGCTGATGATTATTATTCATTTTTCTGATTCAGAATACTGAATAGACTCTTTTAGTCTGTTGAACGTCACTGATGACATGTCACTGGCCACGTTCGAGTAGTTCTCGTCTTGTCATTATAAAACATCACCGCATACGCTTATACTCAAGAGAAAGTATCGTCTTAGGAGAATTCTGTATACGTGGAACAGACTGTTCCTGGACTAAATCAATACGCGAAGCCTAAGCAACATCAGTCAAATACATATCAAATTGAATGAATAATTCAGCATTCAAGTGGACGTTCACTGATACACTATCGGCTAGTAACGACACGTTCTTTTTGTCTCGTTCAACAAGATGACAGTCAAAAGTTTCAAGTGGGAAGGCACTATTCACATACATACATGTCCGTTCGGCACCCATCAACGTCATCTTTGAAACTTCACGAGGTTAAAGTGCGTGAACTAATTGTATATTTCCTCGTCTCTATTTTACGCTTTGTCTGCTATGTAACTAATCTTTGTCATGGATAAATACAGTCTAGCTCAAGTTAAATTGATGGTAAAACTGCCGGAATTCGTCCGCTTAATATTGCTTGAATCTTTCTTTTTCTCATGCGTGTAAAGATAAAAAGTACATGAACGATTGCAAAAGAAGAAAATTTGATTAGAAGATAAAAAAAAATGCGACGAAGAAAAGCTGATTCAAGGACAAAGTATCTTCACTCGATATTATCAAGAGAACATCAACAGCAATGTTATGTCTATAAGTACTAAGCAAGTATGTTTGATTAGAAGAAAAAGAAGTGACGGTAAACAAAGAAAATCCGTTTTCATATTCGTCACTCAAGGATTTTCATCAAGTGCATACATACATTCCAATAAATAATTATATTCCATTTGTCTACTCGATAAAAGGAACAGTCTGCTCGTTCGATTTGGTTTCATCTTCTCGTCTCAATATTCATTCCATTCATATTCGAAATAATCGCTAGGATGTGGAATTATCATAAGAATATAAAGACAAATGTCTCATTTTCAGTTCGCTTGACTCGACCATTATGTAGATATTGATCAATTTGTCAATATATGCAATCAATTTTCTCTGTGCAAAGAGAAGAGAAAAGGGGGAAGAAAAAGCAGATCTATCTCTGCCATAATCGTGCATGTCTATTGATGGTTAGATCATTCGGAATGAATATGTTATATGATCATTAAGAAGGATGAATAATAGACAAAGTTTTTTTTCATTGACTCTCATGTGTTATGAAAGTTGATCTATTATTAATGTCGAGTAGGAACTAGAGCAATCAGAAACTGAATAGTTACATTGGCGAGTCAATGAAGCAGAGAAATGATTATCTAATGTTATTGGATTAGAAAGAATCTTTCGAGTTTAATCGGGAAAAGAAAACAAGAAATTGTTTTTCGAAAAAGAACAGTCAAACGTTTCTGCTTCAATTGCTTATCGATTTCTCTCAAATAAGTTTTTTTTTCTATTGAAGAAATCCGTCGTTTATCATACAATTCCTTCTAATGTCAACAGCGCATATTAATTTACGAAGAAATGATAATTATACAAATAACGAGACTAAACAAGACAAATTCTCTTCCAGTCTTTCCTCGCGCTCAAATTTCCAGCTCAGCAATAATATATATCATTAGAATATGCCTCGCCCACATTGTTTATCTCAAGGAGAATAAACAATAAAATTAGAATTAGAAACGTACTGGTTGTTTTGCGCTACATACTTGAGAAATATTCCTTTTGCACTTCGAGTTAACTGTTGTTTCAACGCTCGCCGTGCCCATTGCTTCCGTATCTGAAAGAAGTAAAGTAGAGCGATGGCAATTGATTTCTAGCTGAGAAGAAGATTTGCCTAAGTCGACATTATCATGTATAGGTATGGTATCGTTCTATTCGGTTGGATATTCTTTTCTTGATGTTATTTTCTTCATCGTTTAAAATCCTATCAGTGAAAAACTCGACAAAATTCGAAATGAAATTCATCGAATAGTTTGAACACACGTTAGGAAAGAAGGAATGAGAGAAAATAAATAATTACTTAAAATAAAAAAGAAAATTTTTTCTTTAACAAACTTGCTCAATAAACGACAAATAGAAAGAAAAACAGACAAACAAAACTGAAAAACGCCTAGATTGATGTTTATGCTTCATATCGTGCTGGCTTCGACGGTCCTGATGCACTTTCATTGTGTAAATCGAATTGAATATGAACGTCTGATGAGAGATTGATCATCGATTTCCATCGACGGCCGATTTCACGTATGACGGTTTCATTTTGACCTTCCGACAACCAAAGAGCAATTTTATGACCACGATTACGAATGGACACGTTACAACCAGTTACAAAGTGACTCAATGGTTGAGAATCACTAAAAGCATAACGCAAACGGTTCATTGAAAAGGAATTCTCTTGATTACGTACGAATCGCTGGAAAAGCAGTCACCAATCATACCGAGCAAGGTTTCTAACCATAGGTCATCGAGTTTGTTGTCTTGATTGGCACACATTAATAACCATCGACCACCTCTTTCGTTAGCTTTATCCTCTGTCAAAAAAATCAGAGTATGAATATTCAAATCGAGAAAAACAAACAAGTATTCAGTTTACCCCACATTGGACGAACTAGAATAAAGATGAAATGACCGTTGAAGTACAAATCTTACTGGATTTACGCAAGACTTACTTCCTTTTTTGAAGAAAAAATAATCCGAATTGGTTCTCATTGACGCTAGTTTCGCTGGGGTTGCTAAATGATTGAATGTTGCCCAGAAGTCTTCGACGAAACCCACATCGATCAGTTTAATTAATGACTGTTCCCAACTGGTTCGTTTATCGGGTTTCAAGTACCAAAATGTCCACGAACATTCCAATGGACTTTTGGGAACGATTGTATCATTTGATGACTCTCTTGTATTAGCTGCTGTACTCGTCATTGTCTACGTTTTTTTTTTATATTCTAATATGAAAAAACAAAACAGTATATGAAAAAAATAATCAGCGATACAAGATGATTCACTCAAGTGTGTCGATGTTTTTGTTTGATTTTGGTGTGAATCGATTTTTGAGAGGAAAATTAACGAAATTTAACATTAAATTTGTGGAGAAACGAGTTTTGTTTATTATACGATCGAGATGTTCTTTCATTTTGAAAAGAGATCGTTGCTAGGCAACGATTACACTATAAAAATGGCTGTTCGATTGGTCATATAGGTTACACACAGAATGGCTCATCTTTTAGGAAGCAAAGCATGTATCGAAAGTTTACATGTTGACATCGATGATTTACAAAATGTTGTCTATGATATTATTTGTAAAACTGGTTCGATCAAGTAGATAAATAAACAGAATTTATTTGATTTGTAAGGAGATTTTGTTCTTTTATATAGATGTCATTCATGGAAATTCCCGGATAAGTTAGCAACTGATGTTAATATCAAAGAATTGCTGGAACGTTATCGACATGGCAAAAATGAAGTTGATAATCAAGTTTCACACATAATTTTATTTGAAATTATTATTGATAGGTATAGAGTGTATGACCGAGAATGTCATTTCAATACATTCACTTTTTTTGTTAGACTTCTACTTGTTATTCATGGTTCATGGCACTTCCTACACGAAGTTCAAACGAAAATCTTACCAAATACTCTCGATCCATCATCGACTATCGATCAACAGACTTGTCTTAGTATTGGGCTAGTCATAAAGAAATATTGGACTAAATTAGTACAATTATTTACAATTCTTCAGCAGCATGAGGTTCGATCCCGATGATGTCGGGAGATAGACAGATCTACTCTACTCTATTCATCTCTGCGTTATTTTTAGTCTCGTCATAAACGATCTAAACCTATTCCGGTAACATCGATCTCTAATACATTGACGACCGATAAATACTGTCAAACCGTTGACACATCATTCAGTCCGTGTTCTTCTTGTTTTCAACTTCAACAAAGTCTTCGTAATCATGGTGATAATATCATAAATCGATGTCATTTGTACAATTTGCCCTCAACGCTTGCCCATCATCGTTGCTCAACAGCAAACATTCCTGAATGGTTATCCGCTACTGATATCATTCAATGGTTCGAATTTCAATCGAAGGACTTTGACTGTCTATCGAAATATGTCGAAACTTTGAATACCACGCTGAACAAAACAAAGACGGATTTAGACGCCAGTGAGAAATTGTATAAACAACAAAATGAAACAAATCGTCGTTTACAACACACGATCAACGAATTAAAACAATCGAAAAAGATCTTACAGGAGTCGTATGATAATAGAATCAATGAAATGAAGAAACTTCATGAACAAGATAAATTGAACTGTGATGAACAAATCAAAGTTTTAATAACAGAAAAATTCAATGTCGAACAACAACTGAAAACATTGAATGAGGAATGTCTTCTGAAAGGCGAACAACTGGAGACATTAGGTAGGATTGATTCTCTCGTTTGCATAACATATTTCCAAAATTTGACTGTAGAATCGTCGAAAAACGAATTGATATATCTTAATGATTATCGGATTAAATCCGACGAAATCATAAAAACATTTGAACAGGATCGTATTCGTTTACAAACAGAATTAGACGTAGTCAAACGTGATCTTGATGAACGCAATCGTGATTTACAAAAAGAACGCATGCGTATTGAAAACATGATTCGACAAGAAGAAGTGAGAATGAAGTTTTAAGTAATCTTGAAATCATTTGTTTTTTCTTTACTAATAGAATCATCAATCAAAACAAAAACTATTGACGAAATCTTACGAAGAATTATCGCAAGAGTGTGAGACATTGAAGTAAAACTTCTTTCATTTCTTCCAAGACATAGAAACCATTTTCTTAATTTTAGAAAACAAGTCATAGATTTAGAAAATCAACGTGATGAATTACAGAAAGCGCTTTTAACGATGTCAAAACAACATCAAGAATCGACCTGTGAAACTGTCAAATTGAAGTCTCTATTAGAAACGAATAATCATGTATTGGAGGAAGTTGTTTCTCTAAGAGCAAATATCGAACAACTTCATCATCAGATACATGAACGTGAGCAAATGTTATCGAAACAGTCGGAACTAAATCAACATCAACAACAAACAATGCTAAGTAAGTTCAAACTGCTCACTATGAACTGATCTCGGTAAACTTCTGTTCTTAGTGTCGGATGAACTCATTCATGATATGCAGAACCAAATGCGTTCTAACGAAGTTCAGATTGATTTATTACGAAAACAGAATGATTCGTTCAAAATTTCTTTGGATAATCTTCTGCTCTCAAATCGTAGCTCTAATCTATCCAGAATATCAGAAGAAATTCAAGATCAATCACATCGTCAACCAGTATGAGACATTTTTCAAAATTATCTATATACTATTCAAACTTTTCGTCATCTTTCAGAAACCCAAACCAACACCATTATGGTTATTAAGCAATGAAATTCTTGAACAGCAAGCATTTACAGAAACTCGGTATGTTTGACTACCGATAACCACATTATTTCACTGTTTTCTCTTTGCAGACCGGTGATATCAGTACCTGGAAACAATCCTCGTGTTAGTCGATGGATTCAGTCTGTATCAGATGTTAATATAGAAACGTTATCTCAACGAGTCGATCATTCGAAACTATCAGATGCCGTTCATGTTCAACCAACGTAGGATTATCTTTTTCGCAACAATACTATAGAATTCTCTTTTCTTTTACAGCAATTTAGTCACTACCATTGAATCTCGACCACCCACAGTAACTCGTTCATCTCGTAATGTAAATAATATTCGGAAATTAACTAGTCCTTCGCAGACAAATCACAGTAAAATATTCTGATACGTCGAATTCGAAAAGTTGTACTATACCTTTTCAGACAAAACTCGACCGGCAAGCTCAGGAACGAACCGGTCATCGAGCGCGCGACGTGATGTCTCATCAGCTAAAACGCAACATCTAGCATTGAATGTAAATCATCGATGTTCAAATTGTAATACAACGTTTGATGACAAACGGAATTACGACATGCATAAATTATATTGCAGAACTTAAACTCGATCGTGTGTACTATTTTTATGAGAAGAATATAGAGGAAAAGAAATAGATCGAATGTCTGTAATTTTTTACCTACACACCCTCGAGATCCGCCCGTCATGGTAGAACTCATATCGATTATAGCAATACAATAGTCATCTCTGATAAATCGTAGGATTCAACCTATGGATTGGTTTTCTCTTCTGAAATTTATTACATAAAAATACCATTTATAACTGCTGCTGAATTGTTTATTTCGTTGAAACGTGTTTGAATCAAATTCTTGCTTTCATTACTCGACGTGTATGTAAAAAGGCCATAAACATACATTGACATCGTACCAGTATGAAATTTGAACCGGTCGATAGCATGGGCGGATCAGTACAGAGCGAGGGGTGCAATTGTCTTTCTTGAAAAATCTTTTAGTTGTGATTTCAAGGAAAACGTTATAAAACCATGCTTATTGATCCCCTTATGAAGATAATATTGTTAACAGAATTCGACTAATATATTTGTGACTTTTCTGAGTTGCTGAACAATGTCAGTCAAACAACGTTCTCATCGGGCGATCACTTTATATAATACAAAAAGATATTTTTCATTTTCATTGAATGGTCATGTTAATTTTAGTTCCATAGTTACGGTTTTTAATAAAAGTTTCTCTTAGTGTTATGATCTCTTGTAAGAAACTTCGGATATAGATACTTTCGGACAAATTTGATTTACTTGATCTATATACTTTTATCCATTTTTAAAAAAAAATGGTATTAACGTGAGTAAGGATAGTATCAGAGAAGCATGAACTGATGATTTCATTACATGACAATATTCTGGACTGCACATGAAATGCGTCCTGCAGTTTTAACGCATCTCGTCCTGTTCCATGAATATTCGACAAGTGATGCTAAAGTAAACTACGGCAGGCATGGATTGTAGTGTAGAACTTAAATTCTATCTTGTGTATTTTATGAAAAGAATTTTAGAAGAAAGAAGAAGATTGCACATAATTGATTATATAAAACAGAAAGTCAATGAACAAAAACAGAATTAAGATCTAATTGTATGATTGTTTGGAATGATGATGAAATGAATACACATGCATAGAAAAGGAGAGAGAAGAAATAATAGAATATCTCTATCTGATCATCATGAATAGAAATTGCCTTTCGTTGATGTTGATTGCGTTAGAAGTGATTGAAGACAAGATGGATTTCCAGCATGACGAAGAAATGGATGATCGAGAAGATCGATAGCTGTAGCACGCTGTGATGGATCGCGTACTAAACATCGGCCAAGAAAACCTTGGAGAAGAGATGAAGCCTAAGACGAAAAGACAACTAATGAACGTTGGCTAAATATATATGAAGTATACTTTGTGAGGATTTTTCAGTTTTGGTGGTGGCTGATCACGAATTTTTCGCATAGCAGTCAGTGGTTGTTCATTGAAATAAGGTGGTTCACCGTCAACCATTTCCATCACCTGTTTTCAAAGAAAAAGAACGGATTTCCATGTTAATCAAAGTACACATTGCTCACCATGATACCTAATGACCAGATATCGACTTCAGTTGAGTATGGTGTTCTTGAAATAACTTCTGGACTCATCCAATAAGCTAGAAAAGTGAACAAAATAGAATATATATAAAACATTCGTTTTGTCATGTTTTACGTGTTCCAACTAATGATTTTCGTTTGATTGTTTGTACTTTCTTTTCATTCATTACTTGTGCACAAAAACCAAAATCACTCAATTTAACAAATCCATCTGTTGATAGTAAAATTGAATCACTTTTAATATCTCGATGTATAACGCCATTCGAATGTAAATAAGCAAGTGCTTTAAGGACTGATTTACAAACAGTTGCTATCTGTTGTTCATTCATTCGTATTTCACCCGAAGGCGATACTAACAAATCAGTCAATGCACCACCATCAAGATACTCCATTACTACCCATAATTCATTGTCAACTAAATACGAACCATACATTTCAACGATATTGGGATGTTTATAGTCCCGCATAATCATAACCTTAACAAAATCAACAGACATGATGTGTATATTTACAACTGTGAATTCATCAAACAGCTTACTTCGTTGAATAGAAGTTCTTTGCGTTGTTGTTTTGTTATATTCATTTGTTTAACGGCCACTTGTGTTCCATAATGTTTATCGACTGCTATGTAAACATTTGCTGTTGAACCTTCACCAATTTTGACGAAGTGATCATACATTGTTCGAGGGTCTGATTGACTAACGACTTTTTGTAAGGCAAAAACAAACTATAACATGATAAGATTTAAGAAAGTCATTCGGCTCGATCAAATATTCTGATTACATACATCTTCAAGTGACAATTTCGTACTTCCATCAATCTTTTCTCGAGGAGTAACTACAGCCGGCGATGTAGCTTGTTTGATTTTACCATTTGATGGAAGAATAAAATCATTTTGGTAATTTGGTACTGATGGTTTACGAATGTCAGCTGGTGGATCAGGTGATTTGACGTTATAAAGGCGATCGAGATGTGGATTTCGTGAAATTTGTATTGGTTGATTTTGAGAATAATAGTTGAATTCATCAAGTAGTTTTGGTGGACTAATTTCTCGATTGTTTGGCAATGTTTGAGAATGTGTACAGGCACCGCGTACAATAGTTTGCGACTAAAGTTGACAACAGGTTAAAAGTTGATCTAATGCATGCAAAAAAAGGTACAAACTTTGAGATAGTTAAGATCTGCTGGTGTGAGAAAACAAGCATCACCAATTAGTGGCTTTGGTCTAGATTGTTGATACGCATGTTGTTGTTGTTGTTGTTGCTGCTGCTGCTGTTGCTGTCGTTGTTCTTTTTGACGTTCATATGCAGCAGCTGCTGTTCGTGAGATATCTTCGTCAGTTAAAATACTCGTCCATTGTGGTGGTAAATCTTTTAATGTTTGACTATGAATATCGAAATATGTCTTTCGTAGATGTTGAAAATTTGTTGGTTTGGAAATTTCTGGTCGTTTTCTACGTTTAAATACCATGCTGCTTGGAATTTAGTTGAATGATCTATCTATACGAGAGTTGATAGTCAAAGGACGAAAACAATGTATTAGACAATGGCAAACATTTACAATGATCATGATTGGTTCGTTCATTTCAAATTCGTTCAATTCAATAAGATGTCAGTAGTCGTGACAAAACGAAGAACAGGAAAAAGAACGAAATACAATAGAAGACGACACCGAGCAAATATCATTTGAAACTAAGACAATAGAGAATCTGTATTCAATACATCGATCGAATGTCAACTATCCAAAAAGCTATTCGAAGTTTTGTGAAAGACAAGTTTGATTCTTACGTTAATCCACTATTTAAATATATTTCATCATCATGATTATCAAATGTAAGATAAGCAAATAGTACAGAGAGTATAAAAATAAATAAATAAATATGCATAGAGAAAGAGACAGTCGAAAAAAAGAAGAAAACGAGATCTACGTAAATTTGTACAAATATTTTCATTAATAACAAAAACCAAGATGACATGCTTCGCATAAGAGTGAGTTATGTTGACCATGCATTGTTCCTTTTCGTTGTAATAAGCGTCTTACTGGTTTTATACCATCATGTGTTAAATCCCACGCAATCGATTGGATCGACTGAGGAAGGAAATGCCGTAAAACTATAAATGCTAAATTTTTCATTACGCGACAAATTTCATCTGAAAACAGAAAAGTCAACTAGCAAAAGTTTCATTACCACTTTCATTCCTACCATAGTACCATAATGGGTACACCGTTGAATAGCACTGTTGACATTGTTGAGTGAAAAGTTTCAAAAGTATGATTCCACCTTCATGTGGTTTGGATATATGAAATGAACAACGAGCTCTCATGGATGTCCAACAATGTTCACATGTTTCGCATTTAAATTGCGCTTTGGCATTATCTAGTCGGATCATAGAATAATGTGCATTTAATGCACGAGGACATAGCGAACGGGCATCGTATAGCATAAGACGATAGTCAATGTTGAATGTCATAGCCGGAGCCATGATCAATCGACCGAATTCGCCATGCCAAGCCCAAGCAGTGTTGTCACAAAAGAATTTCTTGTCATCGTCACGAATAGCCGATGCTAGATGAGCTACGAAAAACGACAAATCGAGAATGTACAACTCATAGACGGACTGTCTCTTACCATCATTTGTTATAGTGATCGACGAGTTGTGATCAAATTCAAAATCATATTCATCGGAAGAGATGCTTTCGATCTCATCGTTATCGCCAAAACTAATACCGGAATCATTGGAAGTGAAACGAGGAAATGTTTGTTTATCGTCAACAACAAGAAGTCGTCCATTACTAATCGGAGATAATGGATATGCTTGGAAATTTTGCATGATGAAGTCTTGCTTGTATCGTTAGCAAGTCACGAAAAGGAATACATGTGTATATACACGAAAACGAATAGATGGAAATGCTTCGAAAACATCGAGCAGACAATCGGATATATTTTTCCTTCTCGTCGTCCTTTTCACTCCAACACACATGTACACATATCAATCCAGGGTTCGCCCGAAAAATAAATGTGTGAATGAACCAATTGACGATGGGTTTAAGTGCAAATATATATCAGAGAAGAACAACCGACATTCTTAAGTTCAATTTTTGAAAACATAAACTGTTCGTTATGTATAGCAGGACACAAACGGTAATCGCTAAGATAGTTAAGTGCAAATTTGAACATGAAGTGACTACGAATCATCACACAATCAACGAACTGTATCTTTCAAAATTTAAAAGAGCCCGATCTGCTTATGTTAAACATGATGTATTTGGAACTACCATCTTTTACGATTGAGCAAAGACATAAAAAGGCAAAGTTAAAGCTAGGATAAGGAAAAACGAGGAGTTTGAACAACTTCACTACATCAAAATGTCTATAGTTGCTTGTTAGTTATTGAGCAAGATGCTTATCATTCATTTGAAGTCGAGTAATTCGACGTCGAAGATCAAGGTTGAGTTGCCAGGAATCAATCCATTGCCAACACCTTCTTTGCCATAAGCATAATCTGGTGGACATGTGATCGTTGCACGTTCACCTTTGGACATTTGAGCAACACCTTGGTCCCATCCCTATGCAATCATTTCAATTTACCATGATCGATTTTCACTCGAGAATAATCTTTCAATTTACTTTGATGACTTCACCTTTGCCAAGAGTGAATTCAAATGGTTTATTACGATCGCGTGATGAATCGAATTTTTTTCCATTTGTTAATGTTCCTACATGAAATATGAAGGAGATATAAATTTCCCAAAATGAACTGCTAATTTACCGGTGTAATGAACAGATACTCGTTGACCTGATCGGGGCTTTTGACCTGAATAGAAACTGACATGGATTTTATGATTGTAACCAAATAAATATCAAACCATTTCCGGCGGAAATCGTTTCAACTTTGAATCCCGATGACATGATGTCGTTTGTATTTGTTTTTCTTGTCTAGAAATAAATAAATACCATCACAAAAATAATTATATTCATGTAGACATTGTTTTTTCAAGAGTAGTAGTAATAATAATATTTCTTATTTACATAAAAGAAACAATATAGAGAAATTGACAAAATAAAACCGGTTTTTTGCAAGTTTGTTAGTAAGAATGTAGAAAATTGTTATGAAACACTAGTGATCGAGTCCGTTGGACCACGCATTGTCGAAAGAACTGAATCGAGCCATTTCAATGGGCCATCCAAGTGTATCTCTATCCAACACGGTGTACATGTAACTGTCTGCCGTCCGTAATCGACACCCCAACCTTTCACGAAACTCATCCGAATGATACACATTCGCATAAGTTGGTAGACAGATTTATAACCTTCATTAACAGCACTAGCTAAGACTTGAGTGAAATCATCACTATCGAAAATTTTCAGACGGACATCTAAATAGAAGCAAAGAACAAGAATAAGTTGAAACGTAAGTACAGAAATGTTTACTTGGTGGAATTTTGCAGACAGTTGCTGGATGCCATGAAAGTCTTTTATTTGTAATCGGACTTTGAACAAAGACTGGATTAGCCGATAGACACTCGGCAAATACACTTCCACGAATGTGGAACAGTTTTACACCTCGACCAATATATCGTCGAGCCTTATCGATTTCCGTTGTTCGGTGAACATTTGTTAAGCCACCCAAACAAAATCGTTCAGCACTTGATGGATCTGTAAAACCATCGATGATCACTTGAGATTGGCTTGCACGATATTGTTCACCGACGCGAGTAGACATCTCATAATAAGATATATGACACCATTCATGTGGCTCTTCAAATGGAACGCGTTCACCGATTCTATTTGGTTCTTGTGATGGATTTGATGGCACGGGTGTAATATCATCTAAATCCATCGGTGTTGCCATTTGTTGAGCATTGTCCTCACTGTTCATCGTGTCGCACGGTGAGAGATACGAATCTGTTAAAGGAAAAAAAACGATAATTGTGCGAACAGTGGAGGCTTACGAATTCATTGAAGAATAACTCGTAGTACTATTAGTTCGGATTAATTTCGCGATTTTAGAGCTTTTTGCTGAACATATACAGAAAAGAAACCATTCAACAAAACGTCAAATGATCTGTATATGGTCTTAATCAACGAATCCATGGATTAATAACGGATTATCAGCAGATATGAAAATCGCTCACATAGACTCGAACTGAATTTTTCGTGCAGTTTACTATCTCATCCAAAATGAACTTACCTTGTGAGGCAATACTTTCAGGCGATAAAGATGGTGACACTGGTATTTGTTGAAATGGTGCTTCGTATGTTGTGTTTTGAGGAATTTGAGGTGGTATGTTATCCTTCATAGATTCCGAACGTATGTCTGTTAGACTAGGCATAGCATATGGCGGTAGAATTGGAACATAAACCGAGTACGATGCTGAAAGGAACAAGAAGAAAATGATGTTTTTCTCTTGGAAGATTTAATCTTCTTGGTGGAATTTACTTGGCACGCGTTCATAATGATAGGGATTAACGCAAATATTAGGTTGACCATAATGAACCGCATTTGGGCAGTAATCGACCGGTTTGAGTTCATTTTGATTGGTTAAATTACGCCAGCGCCAAAGACGACAGTATTCAACGACCGGATTTGATCGTGATGATCCGTCCTCAGTAGCATTCGATGAACTAAAGAAATAGAAGTTTGAAAAACCAAGTCGGAAATCACTCGATGAATTCACTTTGGGATTGTTATACACCTTGTTCTTGGATCTTTATGCAAAATAGCGTTTTCAAGTTCTTCGATTGAACCCTGTTTCTTCGATTTGTTTACTTGCTTTACTAATGCTTTAATCTTCTTCTCGGCGATTTTGTTCATCTCCTGCACATTTGCATTTGACGACGATGCATGATTTTGGTTATCCTGCTGTTGTTGTTGATAATGCACACATAATTCTAATAAACGTTGGACGACAGGCGACACCGAACGTTTATTTCTAACTGAACTTAAAATCGATGCCATATCGAATGAAGTTAACTTGCTTTAATACATTCAGAAAAGATATCTAGAAGCGAAAACTCTCAAGATGAAACGACGGCAGGAAGAGAAGTGTAGTTCGTCTGCGCATACCTTTATCGCAAGGTTAGAAGAAAAGAGAACAAAGATCTTCTTGTTCTCGCACTCCTTCATGTAAAGCTCTAAGGAAAAACATCATTAAAAAAAGAAAGATTTTCTTATGTTGGTCGACGAGCGCAATATTTTCTTGAACCGATGTAACACACATGTAAAAGGAAAGAAACTCATGAAAATACGACGATGTCGTTTATTCTTAGTAATTTTCTTTCTTTCTTTTTTCCTCCCTCAATGAAATCTTCATATAATTACCGTTTCTTTACTCTTTGAGACATGTTCAAAGCTCAGTTTTTATTCTTAGCCGGGTCACATTAGAACTTACAGATGTTCTTGTTTTTCAACGTATAATCTATCCTAAAGAGGCTTCCTTTTCACGAACGTCAGAATTTACCATGGAAATATCGTCCGACTCAGGAATGTTTCACCCCTATAAACGCGCACACATTTGATTTACGAATCAAATCGTGCCTCCGTGACGCTTTCTCTGAAAAAAAATATGTAAAATTTAATTTCTACGCATGTACGTTGTTTTACTCAATACCTCACAGAGGAATTCATGCATGCTCGATGCTAAAATGACACTAACTCGTCGTCTGAGAACAAAATAACACTTTGAAGTTAATTTTAGCAATCGGCTGACTCGAAAGAGCATAAGATAGAGAGGACGTACAGTCGTGTCGTCTGCAATCAGCTCGTTCTCCTCCTATGACAAACCTGAGACTCAATAAAGCGAAACGATAAGTGCGTTCTTATCTAAAGTGCGGACTTCACGTTTACAAAAATCTAGAAAAAAAACAAACAAATATCGGATTTGTATTTTATTGTTTTTTTTTGTATTTCATTAAACGAATCGTGATGTTGTCAATTCGTGATAACAGAAATAAAAATAAACAAATTTCTCCAGTTCAACAAACAAAAGCAAAACAAATTTGATGGTAGAATCATTGTTTGTTTGTCGTTGAATTTGTTTAATAACTGATAACTTGATTTTTCTTCTTCTTTTCCGCACCCAATTCGAAGTGTTTGGTGCGTTTAATGGCTAATTGTTTCTTAAATTTACATTCCGTGCATTCCATACGTAAGACGATCTTCTTTGTTGTTTTCGCTTTCTTGTGAAACACGGGTTTCTTTTGACCACCATAACCTTTTTGTTTCATATCGTAACGACGTTTACCTTGGACGTGAACACTGTCTTTGCCTTTTTTATATTGAGATACTTTGTGTAAAGTATGTTTCTTGCAGTTTTTGCCTTTGCAGAATGTACGGCGCGTTTTTGGAACGTTGACCATGATTGTAATTCGATCTAGAAATATTCATTAAACGTTTACACACATATGTATATGGATGAATATACACACACACACACACCCACAAGATATTTATGTTAAATAAAATGGACAAATTTACAAAACTAAAAGCGAATAAAACAAATGAGATGAAGGTTTTCTTTGTCGATGTCGTCTTATTTGCTTGACATTGGACCAGGCAATGGTAATTGTTGAAGAACATTGTCTAACCATTGCATGGGACCATTGAGATGAATTTCTACCCAACATGGTGTACTCATGATGGTGCGTCGTCTAGAATTTGTCTGTATTTTGATGGAAGAGACATAGAAGTTTCACTCACCGATATTCTTCTCCCCAACCTTTGACAAAACTCATTCGAATCGAACATATTCGAGTGAGATTGTAAACAGCTTCATAGCCATGTTGAATAGTGTCGCGTAACATTTGAGCGAATTCCGTATTATTGAAGATCTTCAAATTACAGCCTAAAATAGATAACACTCTCAAAAACAGGCTGTTAATGTTTGAAGTTTTTAATATAGAGCAATTGAGTTGGTAGACAGATCCACATGTTTTCTCGTTTAGAAAACATCTGTTGATGGAAAAATAATCAAACAACAAGTATCACTGAGAGTTTCCTTCTGCGTCATTTCCGGTATAGGATGAAACTTACGTGGTGGTATTTTACAGACAGTAGCTGGATGCCATTGAAACCGTTGATTACAACATGGACTTTGAACAAATACAGGCGAATCTGATAAGCATTCTGCAAATACTTCGCCGCCGATATAGTACAGTCGAACGCCCTGGCCGATCATACGTCGACATGCTTCACTTTCCGGTGTACGATTTACATTTGTTAACGATCCCAGACAGAACCTATCCGAAGCATTCGGATCGCAGAAACTGTCGATAACTAATGAATTCAATGAAGCATGAAATGTTTCGCCCACGCGTTGATTTAATTCGTAGTAAAGTATTGAACACCAGAATGGTGTTTCAACATAAGAGATTGCCGTTGTAGGAACATTATTATTCACTGTTGCAGGTGTAGGTGTCATCGCTTCGAAATTGTCTTGGACGCTTGCCGGACTATTTACTACGGTACGTGGCTGATCCGATGTTGGTGACAAACAATCCATTGCAACGGTAGAGTCAGGTTGAAAACGATCGCTCGTTGTTGAATCAAACACCGCCCGGTCTGACACAGGTACATGAATCGGTGGTATAACTGAAAATACAAGATAAGAAAAAGCACATAGCCGGCCTATATAACATACATGGAGCGATGACTCGTTCATAATGATAGGGATTAACGCAAATTTGATCTTTTTCATGTTGAAATGCATATGTACATGTCGGTGTCGGTCGTAGTTCTAAATGAGTGTTCAAATCTGGCCAACGCCATATTCGGCAAAAAGCAATAGTAGGTGTTATGTCATTGAATGCCTTTCGTACTGTTGTAGATGGATTGGGTTCAACTAATTTACTTTGCGCATCTCTATAGAGTGAACGGTTGATAGTAAGTTTTCTTGTTGAAAAAAGAATTTACCTGGGAATCGTAACGCAACGTGTATGAGGATTTTTGGTGTCGAGCGCTAGTTGTAAATCATCGATCATGGAACTTTTTGTCAAGCGTTTGATAAGACCTCTGATCGCTTTTTCCGACCATTTGTCATCGTTGGAGTTTGGTTGAATATGCAATCGATGTTGTAAGAGATTTTTAACTGTTTGAGGGTTTGTTGAAAACGAAAACGGTAAATTAAATAAATTACTCATTATTCTAATTCAGAAGAATAGAAGTGAAATAAACCTGCTAAGGCATAGTGAAATGATTCGTTGTGTTGGCCTCTAGTTGTTTGTTTGTTTGTTTTTTGTTTGAAAAAAACTGAAGACGTTTTTCAAAAAATCATTACATTGTTCATGAATTTGATATTTCCGATTTTGTTTTTTATACTAAATTAATTGTTGTTCAGAGGAGGTTACGAATGAGAATGATTTTAACTGGCGAACTCTATCGACCAATCAAGACAGATATTGCGAAAGAGACAAACAAAACTATTTCATATTCTGCCTACCTATGAGAAGTATTCGATTTATATTTAATAGAATATTCTTATTCATTCAATGTTAGACATTAAAATAAAGAAAAGAGGAAGAAGAACAAGAACATCGATTCTCATACAATTTATCCTATGTGAATTGAGCACAAACAAAGAGTTACATCTAAAAAGAAACCTAAGGCCGCAATGATTTCCGTAGAAGGTAATCATCGTCGAGTAGGAAGATTTACTATGGCTGATTGCAGAGTGACAATATGTTGAAAGACTAGAGAAGTAAAATGAAAATGGAAGGCGAATGTTAATAATTCGTTGATAGTAACTGTTTGGTTCGCATTTGAAAAACGACATATTGTTTGTGATAATGTCTGGCAAGTTTCAACGCTTGTTTCGCATCATTTTGTCGAACAAGACGTGTAAAATAGAAGCCAATATAATCATCATTGTCAAGATTCATTGCTGACAGCTGTATAATCGACGAACGGTTTTGTTCGAGTAAGGCTACACAAAGAAAGATTGTAAACATATCTGAATAGTCGATATCGTTGTCCACTCGCGAGAAGTTTTTCAACCAATTTTCTAATGGTACACACGATGCTATGGTCAAATTGTCTTGCAACGAACAGTTCCAATGCACATCGCAGATTGTTGCGACTTGTTCATCACGAAAACCCGAATCACCACCGTCGATACTCGAATGTTCCGATTGTATTTCATCAGGAATCGATGAAAATGAATGCGATGAAAGAATTGTGTTTGTTATCGATGAAGTCATCGAAGAATAACGATGTGAACAAATCGATGACGGACACAAATCATCGATATCCGAATATGAACTATTATTCAATTCGAACCGATCGGATGGCAACGATGACCACAAGGTTTCGAATACACGAAAGACATCTTTGAACGGAAATTCTCGTTTACAATCCAACAGTAACCAACGATAAGCGAACATTAAATTACCTACAAGAAAAACTTTCGAAATAAGATCAACCGGTACGAAGCTAACACGACTAGGTTCAAATGAATTTCTAATTTCCGATATTCGCATACGAACTACAAATTCATTTTAATCTGTCGTGTTCGCTTTCTACTAACTGATATCATATTGCTCGATTTTATTCCATAGCTCCACATCGATCGCTCGAATCGTTTTTCTTAATAGATCTAAACGACGATTCATTGCAATACCATCCGAATGAAATAACGGTGCCATATAACGCATCAACGCACAAAAACACGCATACGCCAGTGCCTCGTCACGTATAACATACAAAATCGGTGCAGCCATGTCTGTCATGCCTAGACGATACAGTTAAATTCGAGTTTATCGTTCAAAAGAAATCTCAAACAAACCTTGAGCATAACCAGGCTCAGGATGATAGACACAGTAAGTCATAAGAATATTCAAGAGTTTCTCTCGAGATAGATTTTGTTTGTTTTCAAAGAACTTCACTGAACTATCTGTACGTGTGACATCTTTTTGAATCAAATTTTCCAGGATTAAGATTTCTGACTCCCGTTTACTTTGCCATGCTTGTTTCATTCTACAACATATCCATTTCAAAAACTTGTAGACATGCAAAATATGTATTTACTCTTGATATCGTTCTTTTGCCTTGATGGTATACTGAACCTTATCATCATTTGTCATTGTTTGATTAAATACTTGAAATAAATAACACCAAACAATCTTTCGTACTGATTGTTCACATCCATTCTCATAGATACGTCGTCGAAAATTCTCTTCATTCAATAGACGACCATTGACGGGATCTAACATTCGATAGAATTCTTTTTTTGTCAAGCAGTTACTTGACAAAAGATTAACTGAACCATGCAGCCAATTGGTTGCTTTTTCCAATAATGTTTCCGGCCGATGGTAGATCGATTTAATTGTTACGAGTATTAGATTATTCTCTATATGAAATAATTCAAAATTATCATTCAAATCTTCTTCAATGATACACCAATCATCGACCTCGTATTGATTGACGAGAAATTCAACTCGATGATGCTCATCGTTTTGATGCATTATCACACCATCGAGATCGAAATCATCGTTAATAAGCAAACTGTCTTTGGTTTGTACCGTAAAGTTTGAATGAAGATGAAACGCACGATTGATCAGTTGAACAAGAAATGAATAAGATAGCAATGGAAGATCAACAGAAAACGTCTTTTGCAATTGACAGATGTTATGTTTGTTTAACTAAACAAAGGAAAATATGCACACAAAATAGTCATCAGATCTGTGTCTATACTGATATCATGAAAGTGACGATGTTGGAGAGATGCACATCTCGCGAGCAATGACGATGATTATGCTTCGATGTCAACGTTGATAGAATCTATAAGACGGAAATAGACGATCGGAGCGAATACATCGTTCGTGGAAAGTATTACCTCATCGTTATTTTGACATGCACAATCATTGTCAGTAATTAACAATGAGTATGACGAATTCATTTGCAATTCATTAGTCGATGGCATCTTTTACTGAGTAAAGATCAAGATGCTCTGCAAGAAAAACATCTCTCAACTTCGAAAACAAATAGATGACGTTTTCCCTATCGCCGTTGTGACCCACGAACAGAACGTATTAGGTTATGTGTGATGAAGTTCGTTTCGTTCTGCACATTTCTCTTTCTTTTTCGTTTCACTGTATATCGTCTAACGTTTTCTTCATCGTCCATTTTGCATCTTTATACACATATTTTTCCATGACTATCTGCTTATATGCGCAGTCAAAATATGCTTCAGATGAAGGGTCAAGTGTATGAGCTCATTAGTGAATAATAGAGAGCGAGAAAAAGCGACGGTGCAAGGCATCCGTTATCTTATCAACAGTTTTGTTTTGCCAGGAAAAAAAACAGTAAAATAAAATAACAGAAGGTTATGGGCGTACTTTGGGTATCATAATAAGAGAAAGCAGTCGGTTATTGAATCCGCTGGCGTCTTTATTACGTTGTTTCAAATCTAAACTATCGTGCGCGAAATACTACGTGGAAGTTATCACATGTGAAAGGCAAAAAATAGACACTCAGGTTCATTTATGATCATTTTGTCGAATATGAGCAACTAGTTCTTTATGTTGAACTTTCAATTGACGTACGAGCGTTTCGTAATATGTTTGTCGTTCTTCAAGTTGATTGCTTGTTGTTTGTAATAAATCCGAAAGACGATAAACGTATAAACGAAGTGCTTTTTCACGTTGGATAAGTTCGTTTGAAGAATCTTCGATAACGAAATTTTTATCGAAGTATCTGTTGGTTAATTCCAATACGGCGAGTCGACTCTTATAAAGCTTGGTCTCTCGAATGAAACGATCATTCGTCCAACGTAATTCATTATTTTCATGTTTCAATGTTAGTAAATCGACGAGTAAGATCGAAATTTCAAGATCAGCAACATCGACGACACCCGATATATTCGGTGGAGGATGAAATTGTTCGTGCGAATAGGAAAATAATTGAGCACGTTTGGGCAATTGTGAAATATGCCGTTGACATTGTTCTTGTAAAAGAGAGATTGTTTGATAGAGTCCACTAAAAGCAGAAATTCAATTTTGTTTCATTGTGGCACTGAATTGCTTGCGATAGAATGGTGAGCCTCTGTGGCGAAGCGGATTAACGCGTTGGACTTCTAATCCAAAGATCGTGGGTTCGATCCCCACCAGAGGTGATAGAAAATAATCATTTTTTTTCCTGTCTCATTAGCAGAACAGAACAAAACTTACCTATCATTGGTCTCATAACGTGCTCCTTTCGTGATTAACTCAATTGGTTTGAGATACAAATGATCATCATGCGTGTTGATCGTATGTTTTCGTTGGTCGAACGATATTTGATATCGGTCAACAAATTGTTGCAGAGCTTTGATGAGTTCGTATTGAATTTGAATACATTGTTCATATTCAATAAGATATTGTTCGTATTGACTGAATAAGACATACTGTTGCTCATAAGCATGCTTACAATCAGCCAGTAAGCGCTGTAAACAATCGTTTTCACTTTTGATTTGTTCATTGTATGAACAGATCGATAGATATTCTAATTCAATTTGGTTACGAATGAATGATTGATAGCATGAACATTTCGAGCAATTCGAGCACAGCTGTTGATAAAGATAAACAAAATGTTCTTGAATCACAGATGAATGGTTGATATCAGACATCGATGTTTCAGCTAGGCGCCGACGAAATGTCGGTGTCGTCAATGATGAACTCAGTATGATTGAATTGGGTGACCATAGCGAATGATGCGATGTTGACTAGGAAAAGAGAAAATCGACATTTATTTTTCTTTTCTTCGAGATTGGTAATAAGAATGATTATAGGTTAGATATCTACACGCACAAGCTGCGTCTATTTACGTTGTGAGCATGATTCTCACATCAGCCATGCTGCGATCGCTCGCGAATGATCGATTGTATCTCGTGTTTAATGAGCTTTCAGGATCGAGATCAAAATCGACGGATTGTTTGTTCAACTGCCGTTTCAATACGCTGATTTGTCGATTCGAATCGACAAGCTCTTCCGAATTTTCTTTGAATTTTTTTGTAATAAATACTTTTAAATGTAGCAAATCGTCATGAAGTTTCGACAGCCGAATCGTATGAGACTAAAACGTCGAAATTTTCCGTTCGTATCTGTCCAATTTTGACAAACGCGGAACTACATACAGATTTCTTTGCAATAGCAAAAAGCTCTTCGGCAATGTAATCGATAGAGGATGTTATACTGAATATTTCACCGTTTTTTGTATCCAGATACGTTTGATCGTCATTCTTACCATGTTTTTTATATACACCTACAAAAGAAAACAATCTTGGTTGCGAAAAAAGTGGTCCACTCATCTTACTGCCGTCACTTGTTGGATTGGATTTGTTTTTTAATTTAGAAAATTTTCGGCGTAATCTATCCATAATCTACAAAATAGCAGATATACTCTAGTAAAATCCCAGTGCACAGAAAAAAAGAGAAGAACATGTCGAGAAAAAGTATTTTAAAGATTTTCTTTCGTTAAACGTTCAGCTTTTCTCGATTGTAAATGTTGTTGAAGTTCACAGTTGTGTCGATCGAGAGAAGGTGGAGCGCTTGTCTCTCGAGATTTCCTAATTAAAAGAAAACAGAAGAATATTTATTTTTCTTGGATTCAATTGTATAAAACATCTTACTTGATGGCAGATTGTGCTGTGGACTCATTTCGATGTTTGGCTATGCGTTGAGCTGTGTTCGTTAATGATTTTTCTTTTATTTGTTTTTCTCTGATGATTCGCTCATGTCGTGCTTCGCGTTCTTTCTCTCGTTCTGATTTCAAACGTTCCAATCGTTGACGTAATTCACTTATTGACATTTCGTCATGTAAACTATGTCCAGCTGTAGATGTGAGATCAATAGGTTTCGAACGAGCAATTGGAATGGATTCAATAGCACGAATTTGTTGAATTAGTTCAATACGATGTTGCATGTCAGTTTCAGCCTGAATAGATTTGAAGACATCTATGAATTCGAATTTTTCTGCACACTAGTATGTCATTGACAAACCTCGTCGAGCGTTTGTTTCATCAATTGCTTTACATCTTCTTTATATTGTTTAGCAAAATCTGTTTTGTATTGTCGAAGTTTTTGTTGTGATAGTTTGACATTGTCTCTTCCATCCATGACTTCCTCGATCAACTGTCTAGAATGAAATCAACGCATAAACAAATTCATTCTCGTTTTAGATATTTCGATTCACTTCGTGTGTTGTTCTTTCTGAAGTTTTTCTTGAACGTAAACTTGAATTTTTTCACGTGTTTGACGTTTTAATTCGTCGGCTCGCCGTCGATTTTCGTTGGTAACACGTTGTTTTGCTAAGATGGCTTCTTCATAGCTGATCTTTCCTTCTAACTTTTTCCGTTCAATCGTCTGCAATTCTTCTTCGTAGTCTTGTTTCTGCTTTGATTGCTGCCAGTGAAGAAATTCACCAGCATCTTTACCACCTGCTTCGAAATCGTTCAAGCGTCGGCGAACGTTGTCTTCTTGCTTTTTGTAGAATTGGTTTTCTTTCAGTACAGTGGCAATGTTGGATTTGACCGGAATTTTACTTGTCTAAAATCGATAATGAAATGATACGATTGAGAAAACAAGAACGAACCTGCGATTTCATCGGTGCTGGACTCGCTCGGAAACGATTAGGTTGAGGATTTCTTTGATCATCGTTAGTTGACTTTTCTTTTAAACTTTGTAAACTTTGATGACGAGAAATAGTTTTTCGATCCTTTTGACGATCAGTTCGAGGTTTTGGTACTGGTTGACACTGGTTCACTTTCGGAGTCTAAAAGTTCTAATCTGTACATAGCTGATATCAATAAATTTCGATCTAACTGGCTTTGGTTTAGTTAAGTTGAATGGTTGAAATTTCGTCGGTTCTGATGTTGGACGTATCATCGATGTTTGCTCTTTGACTTTCTTTGCGAGATCACGTAAATCTGCGAGATATCTACATAATATGAACGATTAGTTGTATTGAAGATTTAAGGAACATACCTTGGAATTACTCGCATGATTTGAGTGTTAATATATTCTTCTTCGTATAAATTCATACATTCACTTTTGATTGTTGATAGATGTGCTTCATTGACAAGAAATTGGAGCAACTATGACAAAGAAATGGTTAGTGATAGATCTGATTCATCTCGTAAGCTACTTCGGACGTTTGTCGCAACCGAATCGAAAGAATTATTTCACGAAAGAATGGAAATCCAATGGAATCAAGTTGGAAGAAGATCAAGTAGATAAGAACTAAATTAAACAATAGGATGAAGGCCGTCATCACATACAAGAAGAAACCTTTATGACTATTCTGCTCTGATTTCCGTAGATTGATTTCATCAATTGTTTTATAAAATGTGTCAAGCAGAATCTTAAGTAACGGACCATGACGAATACAATCAGTTAGTACTATCGATATAAACGACGGATTCGATACCTATAGAAACAGCGATAATATACTACGAAAAGTTAGAAACTTCATTGAAAAAAATACTTGATGTGATTGAACATATTCATCTAGGAATGCTTTTTCTGACATTTTATCATCATATTCATCTAGTACACGTACACAATGATGGAATAGATCGTTATATTCACTTCTATCCCGTTCAGTCATACTACTATCGTGTTCAATTAGTTGTATGTACCATTCTTGATATATTCACTAAGACAACCAATTGGAAGAATTTCATTGGATATAGCCTGTCGCCAATGAAAGGATTGATTGATCTTCGTGTTCGTTCGAATGCATTCTTTTTCTCTTCTTTTCTTCGGTTGTTGATGTCTTAATCAGGTCAAATGTTGTTCGGAACGATCGTTTCCATTCTATTTATCATCGAAATCTCCGCTTCATCAAACACCAATTTAACACCTTATACATGTATAGAACCAACCGATAAGCCATCTTCGAACTTGCCGTCATGCTTACCCGGCTATATTATTCATATAGAAAACGTCATGTACGAATCAACAACCGATGATACATGTTCGGGTACAGCTCGATGCCGAATTGAAAATAAAAATACATTATTATTCGCTTGTAATCGTAAACGAACTTGCAGTCTTAATATTACTGATTTACGTTTTTCAATTAATTCAACTTGTGGATCAACGCGACGAGTATACACGACCTACCGCTGTTTGCCTGTTATTTATGATCAAACTGATTTTCTGTGTGAATCATCAGTAGGAAGACGTGTGACGTCAGGTGATATTAATCTGTCGTGTGCAAGGAATTATCGTTTGTACATAAAAACAGCCTTGGCCGGTATTAGCCTTCGACAACAAGCCGATCAAACAGGAAACCGTTTCAAATGTAATCGAGACACTCCAACAATTTGTACAACGCCAACGCAAAATGACTATCGTTATATTTGTGATAGCCAATTAAAGCAAGGAAATGGTGCTGAGTGTAAAATACGATACAACAAACGACCGCTCTTACAAGATTGTCCGTATGGTACGGTATCGAACTTTTCCATGGTGGAATATTCTTGTATTCCAAGTAAGAATTTTGATTTCCGTTTCTTAGTTAATGATTGAGCATTGATTATTCTAGGCGACGAAGTCAAAGACGAGCTTCCTCGATTCGACATTTGTTCAGCGGCAGTTCCAGAACGATTAACGCACGATCGTGGATTACTACATTCACCGAATTATCCTCAAACATCTGGACAACATCTCACATGTAAAAAACAATTGTACGTGTCACGTCAATCTCGATTACGTTTATATATGCTCGAAAATTCTCTGGAATATTCGCATGAATTAAGCATACGTCTACTGAATAGTATTCAAATACTGAATGTCAATGAATTGATTGATGTAAACACGTCTAAACGTCATGATGAGTTAGTTGAATTTCAACTAAAAACCAACCATTTTGATGGAGCACGCTTTCTCTTGTACTTTCAAGGTAAGACAAGATCTGCTAGTCAAGATTGATCGATTGTTTTTGTTCTAGTCGATTCGTATCTATCAGAGTATGCACCATATAGTTTGGAAGCTGACGGGAAAATGTCATTAAAACGACAGTGGGGTATGATATTTGTATAAATAATAAAACTGTTGATTTCCGGACAGAGAAAATTTTCTTTTCGAACTGCAAGTGAATTTGTCACTGAATAGGAAAAGAGAATAGCGACTTTTGTCAAGTGCTTGATTAATGTGCCTGTTTTTATCATAAAACAACCAGATTGATCGATCGATGCAAATGTTCTTCGATCTATCTAAATCACGCGAAACTAGCTCTTTCTTTTGCATAGGAATAGCGATTGGTTGTATACTCGGTGTCCTGTTTGTTATATTAATCATCGCAACCATCTTTGGTTTTATTCGAATAACGAAGTGAGTCACTGATGTGCGCACTCTCAGATGTGATTCTTAAGATTTCATTGTAGACGACGTCGTCGGGAACGTTCTTCAAAATATTTGAAGAGCGAAGAAAATCATCATGAACATCTAAATAGCTCAAAAACATCACCTGATAGTAATCACCATCATGGAAGGAATCTCCAAGCTGAACAACCCTATTTAATTTCATCATCGCCAGCTATCCTTCCATTAACATCCGGTAACGTTTCAAATCGTCCACATTCAGCATCATCGACAACATCATCTATAATTATTCATCAACCTAACGACGGTGTCTCCGATCGTGAATCTCTTATTAAACCAGTGAATGCAGATATTGATAATCTATACGAAGAAATCAAGGAACAACAACATCAAACAGCGCTAGCTCTAGCCATTCAGAATGGTGCTAAAGGTGAATCAAGCAATCCATACCTTGAAGCGAAAACTTTCGAACAAAAACAATCAACTTTACAAGATTTAAGATCTTCGCAACCAATTCGTGATCATCATGAGGTATTCTATTATGAATGTGAATAATGAAGAGCTTGCATCTTGTCTTGAGAGTGAATATTCTTTATTTATAACACATCTTGTAACACTTGTCACGTTTCTAGTCGAGCTTTTCTATGTTGTTGCCATTGTTTGTTTTTCACCTGTACATTTCTATTTTTTGTTGTGCCAAAATCAAATAAAACAATCAGTTTGACTGATTGCAACACTTGCTTCTGCTTCCTTCTGCTGCACAGCTTATCTTCATGCTTTCACTGCCTTACGAAAACTAATTTCCTCGCTATCTTTAGACTGGTCCACGATATCAACATCCCAGATCAGACGAAACAACGAATGTGCAACTTCATGAACAAAACATTTCTTCAGTTCATCTCGATGAGGACTATATCACAAAAGTAGAGAAATAAACCGAATCTAGGTGTCTAGTAACCCGCTATACCGTGCTATGATTTGTTCCCAAGTTAGCCTGAACATGACATAGTTATCGTAACACTTTCCTTTTTTCTTTGGGCGTCGTTTTGTATTGTGCAGATGAATGAAACTTTTATACCTCTAGTCGGTTTTTTTATTGGCCACTGTGAACCCAATTTTGTACAATGCAGTTTTTCTTTCTATACTTTAATAAACTCTATTTTATGATATGTTGCTAGGGGGGCGAAATGATTGCTTATCATCCAGCACAGATGCCATACGCTTTTCGAAATAATTATTATTATTCAGTTTCATCACATGATGATAATGATCATCGTCAATAGTTTCAATCTCAACGAGGCACTTTCCTCATTGAAGTGCAGAGTACTTATTCAGGAAAAAAAACAACTGAGGACAAGAAGAAATAAAAACATATGTTGCACGCAGCTGTGTATTTGGATCTCTCATTTACCGCAGAGCGAAGATTTTTTGTTAGACATAACGTTGCCAAAGTGACGTCCAATGAGAAGAAAAAAAATAATTTCTCTTCTTTTTTTTCTGCATCGTTGTTTTTGTCAATATTACATCGGAGATATAAAAAAAATTCAATCAACCAACCGAAGAAGACCAATTAGTCTGATGTATCGTGTTTAGTTTATATTAGTAAGGAAGAGAAGGATAGAGAGAGAAAAAAATCCGAACGATATACTTTGTTTATATTCCTTTCAAGGTGGAAGGGCAAGTCTTTTTGAGGTCGGATTCTACAATCCTTTTCTTCTTCATCAACATATGTTTTGCCATAATAACATCGTCGGCGACGATGAGAAAAGAAAAAAAGGCGAATATGCTTGAATTGCGAATAGTTCTCCTCAGGCGAACGTTATGTCAAGGCGAAAGGTTTTTTATGCTGGAAGGGAGGAAAAAAAACACGACGAGAAACAGAAGAAAAAGACAAAAACATCCAAGTTACATCTCGAAGTAAAAAATATTTTCTTTCGTTCCATCGACGAGCAAGACGACAACTCGGGGGCTGTGAAAAAAGAAGAAGAAGAAGAAGAAAAAAAGCGAAGGGTTCTTGTTGTTGTTGAATACTATGAGTATAAAGGCATCGAGAACGACAGGCAAGCTTTCAGCACGACAACAAAACACAATCAACAGTCAATCCTGCTTGTATTGTACGTTAACGATAGTCATTAAGATACACGCTTATTTCCAATGTGAAGACATCAGTTTTATCTTACAAAAATCTGTAATACCATCATATTTCATGTAAGTGGACGCGAATTGTATGGCATCAATAGATTTCAATGAGAAGGAATCTATTGATGATGTGTGTTTGATGAAATTATCAGATAGCAGATGATGTGTTTATCTTTGACGACATTGTTATCGGGTGTATTTAGACAGTTAACAGATAGAATTGAATCTTCGTTACAAGAGTTGATTATACTCTACGACATTGAGAAAACTTTTGAATTTCGAGGTGTTTTATAGAAAGACATGTGTTAAATCTTTGATTATTTTTCCATACAATTAGGTACTTCTAGACAGCTATGTCATTTTGTTGAAATACTCTTTCTTTGCTCGGTCTATTTTTATCATCAGGGTGCAACTCGAGCAAATGGTGTCTATGTTCTTGGTTTAGCATATGAAATCAGAAAAATACTTCGTAGCTATTTAAAGATACCCTTTAAATAACACCGAAGATTTCTAATCCGTTTTGTCAGGAACCCTCTACACTGAAATTCGTTATGTCATGCGAATGCAACATAAATTTTCCACTTGTGTTCATCAATGTGATGATTATCTCTTCATCAGACAACATTGATTACTGGAGAACATCTCGTCTAGCTAACTAATTGTAAATAGAGTTAGTGATCAAGGTATTCGAGTAGAATTTCAACTTTGATAAGTATGCAATTATATTTCTTTGCATTTTCTTCTCGTGCTTTATTGAAATTCCTTTTTTATTACATAGAAATATCTACCTCGGCAGTAAATAAGGAAAAAGAAATCAACCAATTGCTACTGATCAAGCATCAGCTGGTTTTCTTCTATTGGTTGTCAATACTGAATACGAGTATTGTTTCTCCTCGTTCTTGTTCGTGTAAATAGTAGAGAACAAACCAGCAACCAAGAATAGTAAGATCAATTGAAATGCGAAGGAAAGGAAACTCGGTGATGGGTATAGAAATCACAAAACAACCCAGAACGACGTTAGTTGACATTAAAAAAAGAAGTAGATAAAACAAAGTGTTTAGACCCAAAGCCTGAACATGCCCATTCGTGAATCACATGCAACGAAATCAATCGATGGGCTTCCACTTTCGAATGACGTTCAAGACAATCCACGATGAATTAGATTCGAGCATCGAATACAGACTCTTTCCGAAAAAAAAGAGAATATTTTGAGGTCATATTTAGTCAAGTACAAACGATCTCTTCAAGTAAATATTGACTAATACCAAATATTTTCTCTCCTATACTCGACAAACGCGCTGAAGTGTAAAGTAACAAAACTGGCTTTCTGAATAATGTCTCTTAGGCGCACGCGAGACGAATAGTTCAGAATATTGTCTAAAACATACTCGTCTGTGCTCGACGCACTCACATGGTGATATATTCATCTGTTTCATCATATTTTATCTGTTCTCTTTCGTCGAAGCGTCATTTGTTTTCGTATTATTTCATATAAACAGTTATTTTATATAAAAGAAACTTTTTTTTTCTAAAGAAATTCACACACACACCCATAGCAATCTAATCTATTCCAAAATAGATCGTTGTTGGTTATGTTATTTTCCTCTTCATTTTTCTTTTTCTTTCTCATATATCATCATCATTGTTATTTTGCGTTTCTTACAAGGACGCACTGACGGCAGCAATAATGCTGTTTGTCTTTCTGCGCGCGCGCGCTTTGTATGCAAGACTCGACCGTCCGACCAGATGATTTTGCAAGAGCGTCTCCTTGTTTTGACAGTTCGACGTTTCTTTTTCTTTTGCGGTAAATGCATTGCATTCTATCTTTCTCTCCCCTCTTGTTTTTTTTTATCACAACCACATCTATGAAGAAAAAAAGTATTTTTGCCTTTTGCAAGTCTCCTAACTTTCTTTTTTTTTCTCTAAACGGGCACGACGCGCACAAAAGAAAGACGAATACACCAAAACATTGCGTCGAGCAGCAGAAGAAAACCCAAAACGAGAGAAAAAAAGAGAATGCACTTAATCATAATATTTTCTTCTTTCTTTCCTCCTGTTTTTGTTCTTTCATGCCAAACAAAACAGGAAAATAATGAACATTCACTTTGCCGAGACTTTTCTCGTTAAATCATATGGAATAATGAAGAAGAGAAGAGTTTCAACGCCAGCAAAACCATCTGACCGAGTAGACGTAAGATATTAACGTAATACTCAAATAGGCAGTTCTAGAGCGGAATGATGGAATCTATCGCTTCAGCTAAACCCCAATAGATCAAATAAGATAATTAGATTTTGATAGTTAATCAAAAACACACTTGTATGGCGCCTTTGCATAACAAAGTTTTTCTTTCCAAATTTCTAAGTAAGTTGAACAACATAGACATTGAAAAAGAAATTGACAACAACATCATACAAAGAAAAATATAGGGGAACAAACTTGAATACCTCAAGAAAAAATACCCGAGCAGGAAAGCAAAGAAAGTATATAGACGCGCACTATTTGTTGTGTTCTGTTTTTTACTCAGTCAGTTACTCGACACCATCATCACTTAACACGTACTCTTTCTATTTTTTTCATCGCAGTAGAAATAATTTATATATATATATATATTGTCTATGATTATTAAAATTAAGTTTCTTTCTTCTATTTTAGTTTACATCCTGCCACTTGTTCTCAAGACAATATCTCTAATGTTTCAGTTGACCCTGAGACCCTAACTTGAGAATGCAATTGATTCTCTCAGGTTTCGGTCTCCGGTTCGATTATTCATTGTAATCATTGATTGAAATTCATGAACGCGATGAACTTTTTTCTTCTAGGAAATCGAAGAGTAAGAATGTGATTGTTCTATTCAGTCATCGATGCCAGATTTTTCCAATTGATCGATTCGAACATGTCGAGGAAGATCTTGGATAGATGCTCGATCACTGATAAAAAGAAACGATCGATCACTTTTGATGGATTGGCTCACCGTAATGATACATATATATATATTCCCTATAGTGAAAAACTTATTTGTTGTGTTTATTTTATGAAATAAACTTCATACACATCTACAATCTTCTTCTCTTCTGCTACGAACGGTTCTATGAATCACTAGACATGATATAGTTTGTTTTTACTTCAAAGTATGAAATATGTAATTAAACTAGAAACTTTCCTTATCAAAATGTTTGATTTCATCTATATGTTGTATAACGCCTATTTAATGAATAGATCAATGATTTGATTCATTCCTGGAAAATAAAATGACCGATCGTTCTTTACGAAAACACTACAGTACAAATCGGTGTCCAGCGAATCAGCTGTTTGCTTCTACTAAAATAGTAAATTGAAAACAAGTTTCTGATGTGAAGTTCTACATATGTAAATGTATTCTTTATGTGCCTTTCACGTGGATGAAATTTTTTTTTCTTTCTTCCTACTGCAAATATGTCTCCATGTGTCGACCACTCACGAAAAACATTAAGAAAAAAGAGAAACTCGCCGATTAGAAGCACGGAAGAAGCCTTTATAACATTGGCAGTTTCAGCAGCACTCGTTTTATTTTGAGCAAGCGAATACTTTTAATTGAGTCGGTTTAATCTCATACTTCGTTGTCTACATTAGTGTACTATGGCTGAATGTTCAACTCCCGAGCGATACCTTAATGGAGAACGCGATCAAGTGGAACGTGAAGAGAGTAAGATGATTCACAAAATATCATTCGAAAGTATCTTTTTTTCGCAATTTCAATCATCATAGAATTTGACATGTATACCGAAGACTATAGAGGCCATCAACCTGTTGACTATAGGATAATCAAAGTAACTTTTCTCAATAATGTTCACTCTCATTATGTACGTTTGAGATAGGGTCCACCACTTGAGTATCTTACTGGTATATGTCCATACCCACCGTCTATCCCCAGTATGGACGAGATTCAAATAAAAACATGTTTGTTTTTGATAAAAGTAATTGCAAGACTAGTGTGAAGTCGAATTGACCCGTTTGCTTATCCGTAGCCGTTCAGATATTCTCCAAACCAACATGGAAAGTATCCACAAGCAATCCGCAACGAACATAAATATATTGACATTTGGGATGAGCATCATGTTCGTATGCCATGTTCACCACGTAATGTTGATGTAAGTTTAATATATGATCATCTTTCGACTGACGTTGTTTTCTATTGAAGAAAAATGGTCGAGAACGATGGCCAAATATTGTCGTTGCCTTATCGAATCTTAAAAAGAAATGTGAGCAGAAGTCCGCAAACTTTGATGATTTAAAGGTAATTGCATTTTTCTTCCTGTGTATTCGTATATTTCAACGGATATTCGCAGAAAACTATTGAACTCTGCGCTGATCGCACTTACAATGTGGCTTGTCTTGAGTATCTTTTCAAGGAGGTAAAATTTAATTGCATACTATTCTAAAACGACAGTATACTTTCTTTGAAGATCTTTTCAGACGAACAACGTCTACACTTCATATCCGTTGTTCTACCCTCTATTTGTTCATTGGCAATGAAAGTCGATATTATCTGTAGTCAAGTAATAATAATGTTTTTATATACTAGAATAGGTTTGAAATTGAATTATTCTTTCCTAGCCTCCACCTTTACTACGTGCAGGGTCGAATGAATCAATTACCATGTCTCAGGTTCAAGCTGCTTCATTATTGGCATGCTCATTTTTTTGTCTATTTCCGTGCCGGTCTGGATCGAGACTGAAAAAAGAATATAAATATTTTCAAGATCCAAATTTCAATGCGTAAGTATATCCTAGCATCGGTGTTTACCGAATAATGGCGCTGATCTATTCTAAAAGATTGTATCTGCGTGGAGGCAGAGAAAAAGTGGAAAAGATCCGATGTATCGTACACTATTTCGAACGTATTCAAGTGAGAAGTAAGAAGAAGATCACTGTTAGAATCGAAAATGTTTTATTATATTGAATTTAGAGCCAACCGGTGTGATTACGTTTCGACGTTACTCAATACCGAGTCAATACGTACCAAAATGGTCTGAATCAAATAAAAATCTTATACCGGTACACTTTACAACAGCGAAGAAGATCGAGGATATCGAGTGCTCTTTACAAGTAAGTGTCACGCTTATTCTGACTGTTGTTGGATTACATAATCATTCGTTCATAGGTGGATTTTGCTAATCGATATATAGTAAGTTCGATCGAAATTTTTTTATTACATTCAATATAGGTGAATCTGTGATTGATTAGGGCGGTGGCGTTTTGAATACAGGTTGTGTACAAGAAGAAATTCGATTTGCAATCTGTCCAGAAATGATTGTTAGCATACTTGTTTGTGAAGCTATGGATGACGACGAATGCATCTTCCTCATTGGCTGTGAACGGTATTCGTCGTATAGAGGCTATTCAAAAACATTTCAATACGATACTGATTATCAAGATCGTAGTTTTAAGTAGATGACTTATTGAAATCTATATCTGAATAGAAAAGAAAGTATTCGTTTTCGCATTGCAGAGACAATTGGGGTCGAAAATGGTCTCATGTAGTGGCTATCGATGCGATATACTTTGATGACCCATTGAAACAGTTTGATATGAAGATCATCAAACGAGAGATACTCAAAGCTTACACAGGATTTTACTCTCGAAAACCAACAAATCAAGTAGCATTTCCAGTTGTCACAGGCAATTGGGGTTGTGGAGCTTTCAATGGTGATCGAGAAGTGAAAGGTATGAATGTCCATCGAAGCTTCAGACGATATTTTCATGCATTTGGATATTTTTAGCGATTATTCAATTAATGGCAGCATCACAAACTGTACGTCCTATGATCTACACCGCGTTTGGAGATAAAAAGTTAATTGAATCGTTTGCTGCTATTTACGATTATTTGATAGGAGAGCGAGCAACGGTGCGAGATTTATATCGTTATCTGAAAAAGTTTTGCGAGGCATCCGAAAAGACAACTTTGTTCGAATTTATTCGTAAGACACCTGTTAACGTTCTCCGACAGTGAACAGTATTTCTTTGCTTTAACTTCTGTTGATGAAATATTGGATAAATGAGAAACTTAATTTTTATATTTATATGTTTCCGATAAGAACAATCGATATTGAAATAAACTAAGAAAATAGTTTGTGTCGATAGTTTTATTCGGCTGTCATTTCGACATGTGGCACATTTTGATCTTTGGACGTGTCCAAATTTGTGTCATACCACGTACTAATATATAATTTAGTCATATCACATATAAGAGATTTATCAGGAACTTTTTGATTGGTTCCGTATATTACAGCCTGCAAAGAGTGCCGAGTATAAGTGTTATAATGAACGATTTCTAGAGATACTTACGGTCACTGTATCTTTTTTATTGTTCGATTGGAGAATTTCCTTAACACATTGTCGCGTATCTTCCAGAAGTTGCTCGACAACGCCTTCTTGTGTATGAATCTGTGTGACAGCAATATGAACACTAGAAATAAAGTTTACGCTGAGTATAAAATCGTTTGTTTTCGTCGGAAAACACCTACCCTGGTGGATTCTGTAAGCCGATTAAATGCCAGCCTTTGGCATGTAATGCATCGAATAAGTAATAAATATTAAATTTGTCTGAACTGATTGCTACGACACATACATCTGGTTGATGTAAAAGATAGAGACCATCAATTTCACTCCATCCTTGAGCGATGGCGCGTGCTGTTTGAACAATTTTTCGAGTTGTTTCAACGTAACCTTCCATTCCGTACGTCATCAGTGTCGCCCAACAACACGCAATTAAGTAGCCTGAACGACTACCGGCGATCGATGGTGAACCATAAATACCTCCGGGCCAGTCAGCCAATGCGAAAAATTGATGCTGACGAAGATTTTCATTACGATAGAGAATTACCGATGTACCCTTGGGTGCAAATCCATACTAAACTAATTTCTTCTCGCTTTAATTATTCAATTCATAGAACTAACCTTGTGTGTATCACAACTAATGCTTGTTACACCTTCGACTCGAAAATCGAATGGCTTCAACGGAAAGCCAGCTCGGTCCATGAAAGCAATAAGAAAACCGCCTAAGCACGCGTCAACATGCAATGGAATATTGTATTGAACAGCAAGCTAAATGATTAGAAAGCAAAAGTTTTCTTTTCTAGAAAACGGTAATGTAGATACCTTAGCGATATCTTCAATTGGATCGATTGCACCATGTGGAAAGCAGGGTGCTGATGCCACAAGCTACCAAAGAGAGACCTGAAGAAAAGACATTTTTGAAAAGTGTCCTACCAAACATGTGTTCTTGGTTATCGCTCGACGCATTTTCATCAGATCGACCTCATGTGTTTGCGGATTGAGTGGAATACGTCGTAGTTTGATTTTCAGATACGAACAAGCCTGGAAAGATATTCTTTATTAAGCAATGAAAAGATCGAAATCAACTTACTTTATTAAATGCAGGATGTGCTGTTACCGGCATGACACTACGAATGATTTCAAAGAAAAACATGCAATTAGTTGTTGATTCTTCTTTTCAAATGACGTCGCGAATACTAGATTTGTTATTACCATCATATGACCAATTGAAATATCGTTTCTTTGTATCTATCGAACCTTGCGCATTAGAGTATAGAAATTTCTATCTATTAACCTTTCAGATAGTTAAAGCATCTTTTCCTCATCTCATCTCAAATTAGTTTGCTGATCCAGAAAAATTTCATCAGTTTGAAGAAGAACTAGGGTAATCTTTGTGATGGATCAATTATCTTTCTTCTAGAGACATTCACTTCTATTCGATCGTTTTTCTTTGTCTTTAATCTCATTGTATTAATGATGAATCCATTTGCATTGATTACGGCTTCTTTCTCAACTAGACCTCTTTGGAATGTCTTCTTTTTGTTCCGTATTTATTAAGTTAATCAATAGCTCGTCGCTATTCATTGTCATCAGACTTTATGACACTTTCTATTTATTCAGTATTCTAAGGTCTCTCTTTTTTCTCCACACACATACCATACATCAAATGTTAACAAAACTCACTCACTTGGCATTGATGTTTGGTGAGTAAAACACACGTATAGACCGATAGTTTTCTCTTCTGTTTTTATACGAGAAAAAAAACTTGTTGAATGTGTATTCGAGCACGAACGAGTTGTTTTATTTCTGTCCGACTACATCGTCGAATACTTGAATGTTCAATCATTCTCGATCTAGATTCGTTTTTTTACATAAACAACCCCTGTTAGACATAGTTTACTTCACAATTAAATATTCCGAATGATCACAAGTAAGCAGACATAGAGACATGTCTTATATGTATATTTGAATAGCAAGATAAGACGAGAATGTTGTCGAATATGCGCGTAATCGATACCTATTGAATAGTATCGGTACACAGATGTTCGTCTGAGAAACTGTTTTCATTCGTCAAAAATGAAAGAACAAATGTTGATTGTAATCGAAGACGATGATTAAATTTGACTGGTTCATTCAATGGTCAAGAGGGGTTTAGATGTTATCATAAGCAGAGAGAGAGAGCACTTTTCGAAGTGAAATCATCAGAGTGATATGTTGATTTCCTATGTCGTATTCTTCACATTCATGTTCTCGCTTCGCTTTTCTAATACAGAGGAAAAAAAATGATATGTTCTGTTTTGCGGAAGTACGATCTCATTCATCGTCGTTTTTCTTCTTCTTGTATTCTACATCTAAAATAGACAGATACGTGCACATGCACGAGTTCTGCTAGCGGAAATGAGAGTATGCGCGTTTAATTGCAGTCTCGTTAGTTACTACTGACCGCGTGACTGCATTTTGTCAAGGCAAGAGGATCTTGCTCACATCCATCGAGACATTCTCGTTCGAACATGATTAATGACACACAAAATGGAAAGATATAGACATCGTTTTTCTTTCTTTCTTTCTTTCTTTCTTTCTCTCAGTTTTTTTAATTCGGCTTGAATCAAGCATATTAGTTCGATGAACGAGATAGAGCAAGTTCCGGAGAGATTTCATGCCTATAGTGCGTGTTCTGTTGCATTTAATCGATCTTATAGAGGCGTAAGCAAGATACTTGTGCTTGTTTGTCACACAAACATTTCTCTTCGGCAAAAAGAAAGAGAGAATACTAAAACTGACTATCTATAATTGGATCGAGAAACATGCAAGACGACGACGATGACGAAGAGAATTTCTTTTTTATAAGACGACATTCCCGGCAGGTACCCGTTTTTCTTCTCAGCTGAACTTTCAGGGTGTATAAAGATATCTCGTCATTCGACTTGTGAATACTCGGAAACGATTGTAGAAACGATTACATCTGTTGATCTTCTAATGTTCTTATCATTATTTATTAATTATATAGAAGTCAGAAAGACGACTTAGCACGCGCACATTGTCAACGACTGATTTACGATGATTAATCTTTTGGTTACATTTTCATAATATAACAATGGTAATGTCTGTATATGTTTTCTTCTTCTTCTCCTTCTTCTTCCTCGTCTGCTGCCCGACTCTCTTCATCACGTTGAGAGAAAGTGAAGTGACCATTTCTTTCTTCTCTCAACTGGCCATGTCATTGGTCTTTTTCTCCTCTTTCACAACGTCGTGTTAAGGTTACGTCTCGAATGAATCACAACTGTTGCCGATAATGGTACAATAAATTGATATTTTCTTTTGTTGACATCAACTAAACATCATCAATCATGATTAGAAAACGTGAGTCGAAGATTTATTTGACTAGAGCAAGAAAAAAAAACCGACGAGCTCGGTAAGCTGAAATAGGAGACGATGAGAATGACTTCCCTAGCTCTCGTTTTTTCTCCCTTCATCTATTCGTATGTACATCATTTGAAAGTCAAGTACATCTGCGTGATTTGGTTATCATATCCATCTCTATGTCTATATATACATACATATACTTCTATCATGGCATAAAACTAACATTTGGCATTGCTCTCATCATCCGCTTACCGTTGTTTCATTTTCATTTATATTATTAACTCTATTTACTGGTCACTTTTTTCTTCTCCCCGAGGACATACATTGGAAACTTTATTTCCTTGTCGGTTGCTTTTCGTCTGATTACTTTTTTTCTTCTTCTCTTCCGATTAAATTAGACTACGTCTTTACCTCAGTGAAGTAAACAAGACTAGACAAAGTAAAAGGAAATGTTCTAAAAAAAATTTCACACACTTCCGTAGTGAGTTCAATGCTTTGGGCAAAAGAAAAGTCTTTCTTTTTCTTCTATTCAGGTCAATCATTGTCCGTATGAAATTGAGATTAATCATGAGTAGATTACTTTCTGATTTATATCTCTGATAATCGAATCATTGCTTCGGAATCGAACGGTCAATAAAAAGTAATAGAGAGTAATGAAATACTTCATTCTCTCACGTTGTATAGACCAGATACAAATTTCTATTGACAATGTGATGTTATTTCTACAGATAACTCGACTTTGATTGATGACAAGATGTGAAGAATTAGATCGATCATTAGCAGAAGCTCGAAAAGCGCAAACATTCTTTTTCACTTACGTCTATTTGTGAAAGGAATTTTGTTTTTTTATAATTATCTGTATAAACATATTTTATATATATGTGCACGCCTATCTCTTTCTAGAAATCAATTGAGTATGAATCGAAAAAGAACTACGAATCTCTTCTTCCGACTAATAACAGAATAACAAGTGTATATGTAATTACACAAGAGTAAGTAATCTGAAACTGAAGTTGAATGAATCGATCAAAACATCGAAACGAAAATCTCGCATGCACTACTTTTGCTTTCTGTTTAGGCAATATCAATGGAATGGCTTTTTCTCTTGTTGTTATTCATCGATTACTCTTCAGTTATCAATGGGAACGATTTCCAGTGTTTAATATGTGACAACTTTCTCGACGGACCTGGTTGTGGTGAATTTACTCGACCGATACCTGTTCGTACATGTCAAACGTTCTGTTATTTTGCTGTTCTACACAATCGTACATTGTCCTCTTCATTCAACTCACGTGAATATCCCAAAACTCGAGCTATACGCGATTGTTCACCGTACACCGATATGACAATCGAAGGAAATACTCTTCTACAAACGAAAATCGAGTCCCTATCACTTACTGATATCATCACAATAAAACGTTGTAACAGTGAACAGTGTAATAATGATTTTTATTTAAATGCAGAGCAATTTATTTCGGGTATTAGCTNGTGAATATCCCAAAACTCGAGCTATACGCGATTGTTCACCGTACACCGATATGACAATCGAAGGAAATACTCTTCTACAAACGAAAATCGAGTCCCTATCACTTACTGATATCATCACAATAAAACGTTGTAACAGTGAACAGTGTAATAATGATTTTTATTTAAATGCAGAGCAATTTATTTCGGGTATTAGCTCATCTTATCGGCAAATCTCAGTTCCATGTTTGTTTTTTTCTCTTGTGATTATTTTTTATTATTCGAAGAGCATGTTTTAATTTAAAAAAATCTACGAAAACGAGACTTACATTTCAGGTTTGCTTATGCCTTTGGAATAAGCCAAATCACGATAGGTTTTACAAGCCATTATCAACGATTCTGTTCCACCTGATGTCATCTGAAAAAGTGAGGAGAAAGATGTTCGAATGTATCGATTCTACAATGATCATTTACCGTTCCGCAAACACTTTCGTTACCATGAAACATGGTTGCGACACAGCGTACAACTTCAGCTTCCATGGTCCGTATGTCGGGAAAGACATCAACATGAAGAGGATTCGAATCGCCGAATAAAATGAAAATCTATCGATGAAGATAATTGTCGATTGGTAGTTCAGATCTTTCACAACTTACTTGTTGGTAAATATCAGTCATATCGGTTCGTGGGATCTTGTAAACACAACCGGAGACTTGTCCGTCTTGAAAGTTAATCTTTTCGAAGTTTCGATACTGTTCCAGCTTTTCGAGAAGTTTTTTCTAAGCAAAAAAACAAGCAATTTATGCATGATGGGTCTATAAAGCATGATCTGTACCTTGGAAAGACCTTGCGTAGGTAGACTTTGAATAAATTTATGGCCAGCAATACTGGTGGCGATATCATTGCAAACGGATGTTAGCGTGTCTTCACGTGCTTTTGCGATTTGCCTTTGTACAACAGGTAGTCGTCGAGCCAAACGGAAAACTGTCTCTCGAAGACGAATTACAAGATCTAAGCATTTGAAAGATTTAGATCTTATTTAGTTATTCTATTTTTTTTTTGTATTTACCTTCCTCATGAATAAATATGAAACGGTAGACACCGATTACACATGTTGTGACTAGAGCAGTCGTCGTAACCAATTGTAATGGTGAATATGTACTACTCAGCTGCTGATTTAATGAACGAGCCTTTTCTTGCAGAAAATGAAGTTGAGGATCGAATTTATCTAGTAGACTCTAAATTGTACATGTATGGTTGATTCCTAGTTGTTCAAGATAGTACTTTACCAGATAGAACAGTCGAATTGTATCCATTTACAAAGAATTCGATTGTAGTAATCTAAAATGATTCGATACACATAGTTTGTTGTAATTTCGATCACGTAATCGCGGCGTGTACTTCAGTGTGCCCTTGAAAGTAAAGCATCTATGATCGTTTTAACAGAACGATTGAAATGTCGAGGTTCGCTTGATCAATTTCATGCGGTGACAGTGCACTTTTTTACAAAGAAAAAAAAATCCGTCGATTGGACAAATTTATGTGACGAGTTTTATCCGACGCGAGGTCGCCAGTAAACACCGCTTTGAATGAATTCTTACAATGATATAATTGAACAGTGGAACAATCAAATACAAAAAACTTCACCATAGTGAAATATTACATTGATGTTCGATTTATTTGGTTATGGTTCGTTGAACAACACACAATCATTTTTTTTTCATTGCTGGTAGATACATGACATGACGTGTTTGATTACGTATCGCCAAGTATTCAGTACAAATGAAAATGTTGTGATCAATGATTTTTCTTTGTTGTTGTTGAATGCATTACAGAAAAAAAAGACACCTTTTGTGCAAACGATCCGAAGATTTCCGTTCGTTTATAATCTGATTTCGAACAAGCAACGGGCGGCTTGTTGTAGATCATAAACAATAAAACGAATCTGTTCAGAAAAGCTCGTCATAATTTGTCTCGGTAATCCCAATGTATTAGCGTCAAAAAATAAATAACTACGTCCTAGTTCCGATGTCAGTAGAAAATCGTTAAGCATTAGCAAATAAATCGAGAGCAGAAAACCCACTAGTCGGTGCTGTTAAACAAAAGAAGTAGCGAATTTGTTCTGGAGTTGATAATCCATTCAATGTGTGAGATCAATTACGACACACATACACCACCAATTAGTTGAGGTATGTAATTAAACTAATTTTTCCGAGCGAATGCGAACTGGTTGTTAGATTGAATTTGAAGACGTTATCATACGAAATTAGTTTAACCTAATCAAAAGGATCTGATACTGAGAAGAATTATAAATCGAATGATAGAATCGAGAAAATGATTATTCTTCAGACGTTTGTGAAACTTATTGAAGTTTGACAATTCATTGAGCCATTAAACACGTCACGACCTTGGCAAGTATCAAGGAATGATGGCAGAGAGTAGTATTTCGCTCGCTGATTACGTGGTTCAATAACTGAACTTTGCTCGGATTAGTGAATGACGGCTAGCGTTCGCATTCTCGCTTCTCTGTTATTTGCAAATAAGCCGTACGATCTCGTAGTGATATTTCATCAACTTGTTTTCACAAACTACGACGGATTCATCATAAAGAGGAAGCATTTAGACACGAGATTCAAACAATGGTCATATCCACGAACAGGTTTGTTATTAATAGTTATCAAACAGAAAAACGGACCAGTTTAATCGTAAGAGAGTTGATTTTTTTTAGATTATGGCAGTAATTGGCTAAGCGAGATATGTAAGGTGCTAATCAAAAAGTCTTTGCCTATTTCGTAAATCAATGGAGTATTCTTGACTTTGAGAGTACTTTTTCTTTTTGAATACAATGAACGTACTCGTAAATAAGGAAATAACAACAATCTCGAAAAAATAATCTAAAAAACTTGGAAAGATGCCGAAACCTATTATTTCTCTTCCCAAGTTTTCTTTTGTCTGCAGACGCTATTTTAAACTTGTTCTCTTTCAAATGCTTTGCACCACGGAACGGAACGGAACGCAGTCCGAGTCTGATCTTTCATTTTACGATATTATTTAGACATTGACAATTGAGCATTTAATTATAGCTATCCTATTTTCAGAAAACACTTAATACACTTCGAGAAAAATTAAAAAAGGTAACTAATTGACACTTTTAAGTAGGCTGAACGTCATTCGGTAGGAAAATAGAGCACAAGATCGATAGCATTTTTTTTCTTCTGTGTGCCGAGTTTGATAGATCGGATTTTGAGAAAACAATTCATCGGAACTTCTTTAGCGTTTGATGTTCTATATGAATGTATTAATGAAATCATATCGACAAATAACGGATGTTCGTGATGATGACATGACGTGACAATGGACATATTCAAAGACGAGCAAGCTCCTCTTTTGATCGCTAAGAAGCAGATACAATTGATTACTGGATTTATTATTAATAGAAAACAGAGAAAAACAGACGCAGTCAAACAAAAGAACTCGATGATCAAGACTCTTGTATGACTTGATTCTTTAGGGTTTCGCACTTCTTTATTAGCATTCATCGGTTTTTAGGAGTATGTACCCGATTTTTGGCGATCGGATAAATAATTCTACGCGTAAGAACTTTCTGATTGGAATTAAGACGATCAATGAGTGGAAGTTTTTTTTTTTGAGCACTGAACATTTTATATTCTGATTGCAATTAACGTGTATTCCCTGAACGGATGCGTAATTTCCAAGGTCGCATCAAGTATGCGCCTGGAAACAGGGAGTATCCATCTAATGTTTTATGTATTCGTTGAGTTTGGAATAGGACGAAGATGATTTCATTGTTAGTTAGATCGTTGGAAAAGACATTCTCACAATTGAGTTTTGCTCATCTTCGTCTTACGCTTCTCATGACAATACACAGAAGTCGAGAAGAGAGCGAGTAATGAGTGAATTGCTTCGAAGGCTATCTGAGCATCACTTCTCTCTCTCTCTCTTTCTCTGTTCGATCATCATGTACAAACAAGCGTAATGAATGTAGATTGCACACGCACAAGCACTTTAGATTTTCCTTTCGCTCTTCTTCTTTCAGATTTATAACGATGGCCTACATATATCCTTCAACTTCATCTTCTTTTTATCGTGTTCAATATCCGTTTTGATCATTTCTCCTCAACATACGCACAGTGGAGAACGAGAGTCTCTTTAGTCATCTTCTGACTGCGATTTCGCTCTCTAATCATCAACATAAAACAGAAGGAGAAGAAAAACTTTCAACATTAACATAATGCATATCGAGTCTATTATCCTGACACTACCCATTGATTGATCAGGAGAGTCGAAGAAGTTATTTGCAAGTAGACACACGGTGACCGTAACTAATAAGCCTCAATTGACCTAAGCAAACGATGTTATGTCTGTGCAACGAAATCAACTGATAGAAAGGTATTAACGAGACAAGTGAAACAACGAAATGAAAACTAGTAAGCTGTCGTAATGTTTATGTAAGCGTTTGGTTTTCGATACGTAGACGAACGAGAATGCTCATGCTCTATGTTAGGATTGATTCTTGGACATTTTAACGGGTCAGCTCGTAAGAAGCATCTTGTAAATAGCCAAAGTGCCTCTTTGCTTAACATCATCTTTTTCCTATCGAAATCAAGTTTTTCTTTCCAAGATTCTTCTTCGCTTTTGTGGTTATATAATACTGACTGTAATTTGTGCGGAAGGGAAGTAACCATCATTGATGCATAGCAAACAAAGCGATTCTTCTCATTTTGTCTCGAGCTGTTTCGTTCTTCTTCTTCTCCTCCCTCTTTTTTTCATCGTAAGTTGATCCTTAATTTACTTGTCTACCAGGAACTGAATTGGTCAGTCAGCTATCCTCTCGAGAATTTTTCACACTTCCGCTTCTCTTCTCTCTCTCTCTCGTTGCATAAATATCGTCATAGCTCATCGGATGCCTAAGCAGCTGATGATCTCCTACTGATTTCTTGTTCGTTGACTAATGATTTGTTCGACGATTGAAGAAAGTGACAAGGTATGCGATACAGTGAAACAATAATCACGTTGTTTCTGACACAGACTCTATTCGCCTTGAAGCACGCAATCGATAATTGGTGTCTAAACAGGATGTAGTTCTGCAGGCTTGCTTCACTATTGAGAAGATTATCAGTCAACAGAAGAAAAGGAAAAATATAGATGTATTTTGTTAATGTTATTCTTTCCTCTTGTCGACCGCTCTAATTTCTACCCGATCTTTTTTGACTTCAAACAAGTAATAATCAGTTATTACAACTATCGGTCAGACAATCAAAGCAAAATAAACGAAATCCATTTCAGGCACATCAAAAAGAATTACAGATAGGGCTTGGCCAACCGTACATTGATTTAAACGTGTACCTAGACTATGATTACAGTTTTGATACGTACGAAAAACAACACGAAGCGAAACTCTATTTATCATCTAATCTAGTTCGATCTCTAACGACAGTGTTAAGCCTATTCTTTGTTGTTGTGCTCGTCGTGCTTTTTACCTATTTATTCATACATTTAATATCTCAAGATAGAGTGCGAGATGAGAAGAGTAATCATATATGCATATGTCATACATCGCTTATTTTGTCTGTCGTTTTTTTTTGCTATTTTTTGATTAAACACACATATATAGTTGTATGAGCTTATACGACAAGTAGCAATGTGTTAATCGATCGTAGTTTTTCCATTTATAGAATTTAGATGCTTCTTTATTCGAAAAAGCGTTTCCATTATTGTCATGTGTGTTGTTTTCTTTTCAGTAGCTAAAACTAATACATACAAATATCTGGATTTAGATAAAATCGTATGAAAATAAACGAGAGAAAGAGAGGAAGGTTCACTCGCTGTCTCGCTTTTGCTTTCTTTCTTTCTCTCTTCTCTCTTCTCGCTCTCTCTCTCTGTATCTACGTTGATGGCAAAATGATGAAGAAGCTCTTTTCGTCGATTCCAAGAGACAACCCTTGCAAACATCGAGTTGAGATAAGAAAAAGAAAGAATGCAGCGCGAAAAAGGGGGAAAATCGAGTTGTTCTTGTTGCAGATCTGTCAAAGATGTTATTGTTATCTTTTTTTCTGTTTCAATGATCGAGCTACCACTACTATCATTATAATCATAAACACAAGTCGAAGTGAATACACTTGAATGCCTTTAGATATCTTATTTCTCTTTTCTCATGGTTATGTGTAACATTCATCGGAAATAATACTCGAACTACAACATGCAAAACAATCCTATCTTACATCTGTTGGTGCTGCTTCCATTTGTCTTAAGTCAAAGTTCACAGGTAAATACCGAATGGAAATTTCTCGTTTTTTCTTCTGTCAGTTGAAACGCCCTTTTCTGAAGGCGGAGACATTCACATGGCCGTGAGCATTTATCATTGTATGAGTGCATAACGCACATTAATGCTTATTGATCAACAGATGATACCTCAAGTAATGTTCGAACACTGTCTGTCCAGTGCGATTTAGCATAATTATATTCTCTTTACAAAAGAGCATATGGATACGTTTCCATCTTAGTCTTTTCAAAGAAAAAAAAAAGGAAAAGTTCATTTCAATAATTATACTCGTGTCTATGCTGGAGGCTAGATAGTAATTCTTTTACGAATACAAAACATTCTCTAATGAAGAATTGATTGTTTTCGTTTGTCGCCGATTTAAACGAACGCATCAAGCTTGTCAGGTTAATACGAACTATTCTCTAAGCTTACACAATCGTTTACACGTATAGAAAAAGTTAATCACCTGGTCAGTTGAATATTTTTGCATGTCATACGATCGTTAATTATACTGAACAAAGGAAAGTAACCGAGACATCTTAAGTAACCACTCAACCATCATGAGAACAACACAATCACCATGATCATATATTGATTGTATCATTTCTTCGGCCCCCTGTCGTTGATACATCTATTTTTCTCTTTCTTTTTTTAGTTATGTCAAAAACTCTCGACTCGTGTTATTATCCCTGCTGTTAATCAAACAAGTTCGATACCGGATCGATGTTACATAATTGAACAATGTAATTTGACACTGACAACGAATGATCACCATTATCATCTAGTTAATTTCAAAAGAAATAATCACAGTGTACAGTTGTCATTCGCATCCAAATTTCAACTTTTAATCGATCATGAGCAATATAGAAAACTGATTTTGTTTACATTATTATCCAACGACAGCATAGTAAACACAACCGATCTGTCAACAAAAGAGTGTTACTTAGGAAAGGAACTTGTCAAATCGAACACTTTCCAACAAACGGCACATCGATCAGGTAGATGCACGTCTGTTTGCACTTCATCATCGAACACGCTCATCTAATGAGCATCGATGATCGAACACATTTCTTCAAGCGGAGAAAAATAATTGATCTTAATAGTTATCTCTGTTATATTGAATAAACATACTTGATGATAGAAATATCCGATGAGGCATGATAGATGTTAATCATTGGACACGTATTTTCCTAACCTTGTTTGATGAGCTGGAAAAGCAACTGTTTTCTTTTTCTCTTCTGATGATTAGGATCAACACCATCAATCATAATTACATTTAATTCCTCGGCATTCATCGATTATCGTCATCGAGAAATACCTGATTATCCACTCCGTTTATCAGTACACTTCCGAACCATCGGTCGAATATCAAATGGCGTTCTACTTACCCTAGCATATCGCAAATCTCATTCGACAATTATTCCGTTCATTATCATCGAACATACAAATGGAAAGATCGAAATTACTATGCTTGAACAAGATACCAGACATATATTATCACGTGTCAATGTAAGTCAGAATCTTTAATATATACTTTGTCAGTCATCAACATAGAAATGTTCCAACTTATGTAATGCAGAAGACTAGTTAATCGAAGCTCTACCAAGAGAGTAATTTGCACTTTTTCTTTCGAAATTCTCTGTGTAATTAACAATCTATGTCACACCAAATAGAGAACTACTAAGAACGCATCTGTGTATGAAGATGCGAAGTATTTTCTTATTTCCTTTCTTCAAGGTCGTGTTTGTCCTCTAGATAGAAATCGAAATGAATCTCAAATTCCGACTTGCAACATTTCTGTTTAAATAAGCGTGTGTAACATATTTAATTAGATAGTATTGATACCCGGGAAACAAACTAAAACAAAATTGATTTCACATCCGGATGCAATTGGCAGAAAAACGATCGGATGATTGATTAAATACTATTTTTCTATTTTGTTTGAGTTACGTAATCGAAGCGCGCCGAAAAAGCTAACAATAGTAGAATTCACAATATTTTGCTGTTCTTTAGTACACCGAATGTGGCAAAAATGTCAACAACGATCAGTGGCATTGGCTATATTTTGAAATTGACTACAATGGCATATATACCGTGATTGTCGATGATGACAGACGAGAATGTAAATCTTCTTCTTTCTATGTTTTGATCAAATATGCATTTCCACTGTTCTCTTTAAGCACGCATTCCGAGTTATGTGGTGTCAAGTTGGAATATCAACGCATTGCTAGTTGGAGACACACGTCGTTTCGATACGGATATATTCCAACCGTTTATTGGATACATGAGTGATTTACAATTTAACGACGAATATTTATTTCAGAGTTTAACAACAAGAAAAGGAAAAATTCAATCGTTGTTTTATACGCACAGTCGGCATATTCTTGTTGGTTATCATATTGCATTCTTTAATCTAGTTACAATCGATACTCAGACATCACATATCGCCTTTTCGGAATGGGAGAATCAAAATAAAAACTACGGCAAATCGGATATTTACTTTCTGTTTCGATCTTATGTACCTGATGGAATCATTCTCTATCGTTATGCACAAGGTTTGAATGAATACTTTGCCATCGGACTACGGGCAGGAATCTTAGCGTTATATATTGATTTCGGATTTGGCAAACGACAAGTAATAAGTGATGAATCGACGAAATTATCAGATGGAAAATGGCATGAAGTCCGAGTGACAAGAATTGGCATTGACAAGTAGGAAAACACCAAGAAATGAAATTGTATCATCATTTTCTGTGTTGTCTATAGAATTGAATTAGTTGTTGACAATCGCGTCAATCTAACGACTCTATCAGCCAATGGTATTCGAAATGCTGTTTCACTCCAGCCTGTTCTTTATGTTGGTGGAATACCTAACAATGATATTAATAATCTAACAGGTTCTGGTCTGAGTTCGTACGGTTTTCAAGGTTGTTTGTCAAGTTTTATTGTTGATGGACGAATACTCGATTATCAAACTGCTCTATCGATTTACGGAAGTGTCAAAGTGAATGTTTGTTCAGGTAGAGTATTTTGTTTTCGTATCTTGTCGGTTTGCATCTTTCATCTAACAATTGAGTAATAGTAGATTCTTCTGAAATGAACTCAAATGAAAATGTTGGTAAGCGATTGTGTGTAGTCACTGTTTCCTGTATTGCCCGATTTGTACTTTTTTTTGTGATTAGTGAACCAATGTTTTATCCCAAAGTCAAGCTCTACTCTTGTTTGTCTTTTGTTCATAGATTTAAACAAACTTTGCTATGATTTTACGTGTGTTCACTCGGGCATTTGTACTTCGACTGAACGCGATGGAACGAAATGTGATTGTATTGAAACGGGTTATGTAGGTGAACGTTGTGATAAATGTAAGTAATAAGCTTATTCGTGATCATTGTCTTCAATGAAGCACATTTCTTGCAATTTAGTGCCGAATGGCTTTTATTTCGGTAAACACAATGCTGCTGGTGCACTGGAATATATTGTCCATTCTGCGCATCAAGTCGAACATGATACAATTTCATTCGGTCTTCAAACTTTATCCAAGTCAGCTCATATCTTTCGTTTACAATCGGACTCGAAAAAATACAGCCTGGAATATGAAATTGTACGATAATTTTCTTTCTGATAATAGAAACTCTCGTTGTTGTTGTGCGTTTTAGGTGGGTGGACGATCGTATATAAAGTTGAACTTTGGCGAAAGTCAACCGGCTTATTATCCAGGTGTCATTCACGTATCAGATGGTCTGTATCACGTCATTAAAATAGTTCGAAATGTCACAGCGATTAAATTATACATCGATGGAGCAGAAATCAAGTTACTTGGATCGAATAGTAAGTGTAGAAAACTACACAAACGAATAATCCTTCCCTCGTTTTGTCTTTGCAGAACATCTGGAACCATTAGATAAACGCTCTTCGCTGACACCACTACGGTTACGTATCGGAAGTTTTACGAACACATCACGATGGAATGGCATCGTTGCCGGTATGTCACCATTTCGATGAAAGTATAGATAGCATGGCTTGTCCACCTTTCAGGTTTCTCCTTGAATCGGCAATCAATATTTGATGGTCTCAATCATACGTTGATTCGATTAGGTGATGTCGAAGAAGTTCATCCTAATCCATACTTAAGTCAATTCGATCTCGTTCATTCCTCATTTATGCCGACATTTACTCAAACTTCGACTCGTACAGTTTCTATCGTCACGAATGAGACTTTCTCGTTGGATTCAAGTGCCACAACAACATTCATTTCGATCGATGATGATCTACAACGCACCGAACGTATCAATACGAAACATATCATCGCGCCAATTCCTATTCCAACACAAGGACCAGTAACCAAATGGTTCTCAAATCAAGTGACGCGATTCGGTGTCCGAGGCCTACTGATCGGTGCAATCATTGCCAGCTGTTTTCTTCTCTTCTTAATTTTCATTTTCATTCGTTTACACTGTACCAGTCGTCATTCAAGACGAAAACATTCCCCATATTCTTACAGTGAATCAAACGGTAAAACTTATACTCATTTGCAACAGCAAACTAACCGTTCAGCGACCCCGTCATCCGACGATCGTGAGTCGAAAAAGTCCACACCGAAATTGTTACGATACCTATCGCCAAATGAAACGAAACCACCGTCATTTCGTTCATCAGACAATGGCGGCGATGATTCTCATTTGATCTCTTCAACGAAGGAAAACTCGACATTACCCTATCGAAATTCGGATTGTGTCTTAAACGAGCACTGCTGCATTCACACAAGTTTATCTCAACCTGAAACATCAACATCAATGTATCACCAAGTCAACCGTCTTATATCATTAGATAGTGATCCACCACTGCCATTACCACATCTGTCTCATTCACACTCGCATCTACCTAGCACAGCAACGTTACGTTCGCTGAAAAAAGATCAAGATCATACGAGTACACAAACATATTCAGCTGTATATTCATGTGATCTAGCAGCGAATTTAGACATCGAACAAGACATAGCACAAAAGCGTTCCTCAATCAAACGCCGATCCATTCTAAAGAATAACAATTCGATTTTAACTCAAACAAAAATTTTATTTCTCTACACGAAAAATCCCGTCGATTGTTATGCACTACAGACTTGTCAGAAAACAACTCAGGATCCTCTCATTCTAGCAACAGCGAATGTAAATCGCATTCAATTAGCACAGGCGCTGGTAAGATTTATTCCAAATTTACTCATTCATATCTTTTGGATTCTTTGATTTAGACAGGAAGCTTTCATTCACAACTACCTGTCTCATCAGTCGGTTCTTGTCATGATATTCTCTTCTCATCGGATGGTCAATTTCTCATTGGTTTATTCTATGAAGTATCGTCAAATATCAATCCTTATGCCGTCAAAATCTGGTCTACCGATACATACACAATACGAACGAGTCCACATCCGATTAAGTGCACTATAGCTGCCGCCTCTCAACATTTGCCGGTACTATATATGGCCGGTAAACAAAAATATGGACGCGGAATTTCCCTTGGTTTACTCGAAATCGATTCATGTAGTTTAGCACGTGAGCTCAAATCCGATCCTGATACACCGATCGGAGACGAGATTCAGCGAATTATCTTAACCAAAAATGAATCTTATGTTGTAGTTGTTTGCACTGAACACGCCAGTTCATACACATGTTTCGTAGTGTTTAAATTAGAAACGCTGTCGATGATCACTCAAGAGCAAAAAGTCGGATCGACAAGTAACTGTACAATGATCTTGACACGGTTCGAATGTGATCCCAAATACACATTTCCGATCAATGACTCGAACAATAACGACGATGAACAAATTCTAACTATCTTACACATGAATCAAATTATCATTTGGAAACTAAACGATGGAGAAATCATATTCAATCACGATTTCCGACATTTGAATACGGATAATCAAAAGCAACAATTACAAAACTGTCAAATGCACAACAATCGTTTGTTCGTACAAGTCGAACACGGTCTCGTGCATATATGGGATGTCACGCTCGTTATGGGGCAAATATCATTGATTACTACCATATCAGATCCTCTTGTAAGTAAAATGGGAAATGACCCGTCATTCGAATCGTAATTAAGAACACAAATCTGTAGAAGATCACGAAAAGTAGATAGAAGAAGTCGGAAGTGTAGCAACTAGAATACCTACGAACCGTATGTACTTGATAATCAGTTCAATCAGGCTGATATTTTGACCTTGTATGTTTCCGTGAAAGAACCTTTTCTCTTCACGTCGCGTAGACACAGATTAGAGATTTCAAACATCGTGCCACAAGTAATGTCATTAAAAATGAAACTAAATCTGGTTACGTACATTATTTCTGTCATGTCCCAAGAACAGAGCATTTCAATGACTAAAACGTGTAGAGAACATTACTACGAATTTTCTAACTTAGCCATTTCTCTCGTGCTACACATACTTTACGTGTGATCATAGACATTTTAACTCGATTCGACGACTAATACATTTATTATTTAGTTTCTTTTTGTAAGTGCGGATCTATCTAAACTAAAACATCTAATTTAAACCTTAATCATTCTCAAGGATATTAATAAAGCGAATTAACATGCACTTAGTTTCTGAAGGCAACTTGACTGCTTCCAAAGCATATATTTTCTAACTATTTTTAGATTCATTCAATAACTTGGCTTGATCAACGTCATTTTCTGTCGATTGACACTGATGGATATCGCCTTCGCACATGGAATATTCATCGTAAAGATGTCCTGAATGAATTCATCTCTTCAATCGATAAGATTAAATCTTTGCATGTGCACTCGATTCGCAACGATTCAAGCAAACATCAGGAATATCTAATCATTGGGAAATCGATCACTGAACGTTATTTATCGGTCTTCGAATACACTCAGCCACATGAGAACATCTCCAATTCTTAAGTTTGTTTTGTAAGCTGAGACTTGTAATGTATCTGTGCATGTGTGTTTTTATATTTTTGTTATGACAAGTATTGTAATAAAGGCAAAATGTGGTCCTGGAAAAATGAACATGAATAATCTAGCCTTGATTTCCCGACAGCTGTCAGGTCTTTGTAGTTATATATATTTACTTTTGACAAAAGTGAGCTGCTTTAATCTACTTTTTTTTTCATTAGAAAACACGGATTTCGTTGGCTTTTCTCCTATTGAAAACGCTTGCTCGATGTAATTAACGTATTATTGAAAGAGAGAGAGAGAAGAAAAAAACTCAATTTGTCGTTTTGATGAATATAATTAATTGCAATTGAGGAAACAAACCATGTATGGTCTGTTTAATCTAAACAAAGATAAATTGACGTAGGAGTTGTGTTTTCATTATGTTTCTCGAGAAAGAGATATTTTGATTTCATGATAGAAAACAACCATCTATAAGAAAATCTGTTTCAGCCTCCAGGCAACTTTCTCCTCCTCTCTCCATCTTGTTTTCTGATCAATCAATTTCTTCTTGTGTTTCATCACGAAATTCTCGAAGAAATCTGATGCTCACTGACAATTATGTCAATGAATTTTTGATGCAGTTAAGTGGGACACCTGTCTAATGACAGCGAAAGTCCAAGGCAGGCCATGATGCCATGTTTAATTGTCGTCAATCTTTTTTTTTCTTTTCCATCCTATTCATTTGGTATCTTTTTTTCGCACGAACGACTGCTTTGCATGTGTACTGTCGTCAAAGATGATAATGGTAGCCATGTTAGGATCAGAACCGGGGTTTTTTTTCCTCATCCTTTTATTAAGCCTAACATAATCGGCGAAGAAAAGATAGAGAAAAGACAAGCAAGTAGTAGATAAGATGATGATTAGGAAGCTAAGGAAAACTTTATTTCAACAGAATTCGAGTTCACCTAAAGATCAGTTAGTTCACTCATTTGCGTCAAGTTGAATAACTAATTCGATGTTTATTCAGCAGATTATCTTCTAGAACATGTCTCAATCAGCAACAGCAAATCAAACCGACGGTAGTGAACCGTTTGATTCAAATTACTTGAATTGGTCTGTGTTGTGTTTATCAATTCTGGCTATTTTCGGTGCACTCGGCAATCTTTTAGTTTGTGCAGCAATTTCACTCGATAAACGTTTGCAAACTGTCACCAATTGGTTTCTGTTTTCGTTGGCTATTGCTGACTTTCTCGTTAGTGTCATCGTTTTACCACTTTCGATTATCAAAGACTTTCAGGGTATGTGAAGAAAAACCTCGTCTCAAACAAGGGCATGATAGTTAGTATTTACTAGCCGTGAATTTTTTCATTTTAACGGGAAAGAACGTTCTTTGAAATTATTCGTCTCGATGTGAGCTTGATTATGTGAGCGGATAGAAGGTCTGATAACGTCCGCTGCATTAATTTGTCGTGTATTTAACGAATACAATTAATATTTGACATGAAACAAATATCGAGACATAGGAAAAGAAAGATTTTACTTCTCTAGACAACGATGCCAGAAAGAATTCTTCAGAGATTAGTCCTCGATTGTAGCGCATGTAATTACTAATAACCTATTTGAATATCTTTGCTGTACTAATTTGATTAAAGTCGGAATTGTCATTTGCATAGGTTCATGGAAACTGCCAGTTATACTGTGTAATATCTACGTTTTCCTGGATGTTTTATTATGTACAACATCTATCTGGCATTTGACTGTTCTGTCAATCGATCGTTTTCTTCGTATATCTCGACCATTCCGTAGTCGAGAACGAAGTAAATGCAAAACGTTCTTCACCATTCTCTCGATTTGGACGTTTTCCATTGGTATCTCATGTACGATATTAATACTCGGATTTCTCGACACTCAAAACATTTTAGTAATTAACAATAATAATAAACAAGTTTGCGTTCTGAACAATCGTTCGTTTATTATCTATGGATCTATCGTGTGTTTCTGCGTCCCATGTGTACTGATGTTAGTTACTTATTCGTTGACAATACGACGTTTACAAGAAGAAGCAGCAAAATGCTATTCTGATCCCGACGAGTCTCTAATGATGATGTCTCAAACATCGCATCGCTTACGACGTCACCGATCGTGTTCAAAAGTCCGTTCTCCGTCGTACTATGCGAGCGCATCATTGAGAGAACTACGTAGTTCTTCATCTATTCCAACACCATCTACGTCTCGTTCACAAACGATACTTGACACAGATGATAAACTAAACCAAACTGAATGGTCGTAAGTTTCAGAAAGATTTCTTCGTTGTCACTAATAAAATTATTCTAAGAGACCCGAGATCTAATGCGTTTCTTTTGTTTTGCGTAGAACTCGATCGCCGACGCCAACGAGCAGTGTTCAACAACGTTTATTTCTTCACAATACTCTTGTGCGTAAAGCGGTTCACGCATTGAAGAGTGGAACAGAAACAACAAGTGAACGCCGGGCGATGACCGTTCTTGGCATTGTATTCTTTGTCTTTCTGGTCGCTTGGCTTCCATTTTCGATTTTGAATATTCTTGCGGCCGTTTGTTCATCTTGTCGTGTCAAACCATCCTTGTTAAATCTAACCAGTTGGCTTGGCTACATCTCTTCAAATATCAATCCGGTAAATGGAGTTATTCTCCGAAAAACATGACTCATTTCTTTTGTTTAGGTTATCTACACAGCGTTTAATGTTCGGTTTCGTCGCGCGTTCGTCTCAATTTTGAAATGTCAATTGAGTTATTTTTCTCACAAACGCAAAGAAAATAGTTTGTATATATTTATCGCTTCGAAAACGAATTCGAAAGCGATGTCTACGAATCAACCGTCATATTATTATACAACACGGCGATTATGAGTGTTGANTGACAGATGAAGAAGAGAATCCAGTTCAGCTTCTCTTCTGCTCTGTATTAATACCATCGCCTGATGAAAAGGGGAAGAGAAAAAAAAAACGAACGATCGAGGATTTCCGTTTGCTTGCTTTTGCTGATTGTTATCATTATTCTTTTCATAGGTCTTTCCTTATTTAGATTCTAATCGAAATTGTCTGATGAGAAGATTATTCAGAAGAAAGTTGCCTTCTGCCTCTCTTCGCAAGAACATTTGCCTAGAATGAAATGATCACATTTCTTCTTCTTTTATTTTTTTTTGTTTAATGCCAACGAGTACAAACTTTTTATACCCTTTTCTAATGTCAATAATAACAAAATATATAACAAACATTCGAGTGAAGCTAAGTCAAAGAGCTTGTTTCATGTTACATATCCTACCACATCAATTTCCTTTCTAATCAATGGTATATGCTGTTTGACTACGACGGAGTAGAATAAATACACGAAGACGCGGAGAAAAGGACGAACGAGAAGCAAAAAAAGGAGAGAGAGAGGGCCCCGATCGCCGATTTATTTATTATTTATTATTGACACGATAGAAGTCGGTTAAATTAGATACCTGGCAAGAGCTGATTTACACTTATATGCATATATATATATATCTTAATGGTATTTGTGTTTTTCCCTGTGTGTTGCTTTAGGTGAAGAGGGAAAAAAAAGAAAATTGATTCTATATCAAGAAACGACATCAACAGATGTTTGCTATGTTCTAATAATGTATTCCTTTTCTCTTGCTACTCTCAAGCAAATTACAGAATGCACAATGACAACAAATAGTAAACATTTCTTCGGTTTATTTCTCTTCTGTGCAGAGTTGATTTTGAAAAAGTCGAATCGAATTGGGAAAGTCTTTGTTTCGTCCGTGTTAGTACACGCCTTGTGTCTAGTCTTTCGAAACAGTAATAGCAACAGAGAACAACAACAACAACAACAACAACAACGATTCAAATGTCATCGAATTAGATTGTAATAAGGTTCTCAATTTGCACAAGCTCTACCTCAATTTGTTCGTGTTGATAGTATGCAAGCAAGAATAACACAAACCAGCCTTACCTAGTTACTGTTCTCTATTCATTTTAATACATCGAGAAGGTCGTTGGCTGTCTGATGTTGCATAGAAAGATCGAAAGACAACAAATCGAATTCAGTTTTTCTTTTTCTTTTCCTTCTCCCTCTCATCACTCCAGTGCCTTTTACATACATATGGTTTTTTTGTACTCAAATCAGTTCGATCGCGAGCATAACATACGCACACACACGTTCGATTGATTATTTCTTCATGTCAACAGTTTTCTGATATGCAACCGAAACTCAATCTTCTTGCTCTTATTTTTATAATAATCGCTAAAACATCGATGTATACGCACATACAGATGTACACATCGGGAAAAAAAAAGGCGAACAAATCATGATATGATATTAACATATGCACATAACAACAGTTATTGCTAGTAGATACCACTGTTCTATCGGAAACCATGTAATCATATCTTGTATTATCCAGGGCTCGCGTTGTTCCTTTTCCTGTGACATTGATGATTGTATTGTTGTGCCGTGCATAAAGATTCAGCACAAGAAGATGACTTCGAGTCTTTCTCCTAATCTTAGACGAAGATATTTGTAGACCATGAAATGAATCCGATTAAATACAATGAATGAGTGCATGCGAGTCGATTTTTCTTCTCCTCCCGTCGATCTTTGAAATAAATCAGAATAATCAAGGGACTTTTCTTGTTGGAAGCAAAATATGTGTCGTTTCAACGACGTTATCAATACAATATGTTGATTTGACAGCTGATTGAAAAGAAAGAGAATTAGAAGGGCCTTTACATCTTCATGTTCTAGCCTGGAACAATTCTTTTGTTCATTATCATAAAAAGAAATTCCCTGATGCAGAAGATTTCAAAGCAAAACAGCAGATGAGTTCGAACGCTTGCGCACAAAATTAATGGCATCATCATCATCTATTTGTTCCACATTTTGATTCTTTTCTCTCTCTAACAAAAAAAAGTGGAGCACGGTCGACTGAAATTGAAAGAGAAGACATTTGAAAAAACACGCACATTGAGGTTATCAAGTCGAAAAACAAAAGAACAAGTAATCTAATTATATCTTGTGCGCAATGATTCTGTGAGCAGTTTTCCTAATGCTTTCCTCCCTAATCTATCAGATAAATATGTACTCAGTTGACGTGAAGATACGAATGACTGTTGTATCGTAAACAGATGATAATTAATCAAGCAGAAGCGATTTGCAAGCTAAAAGTTATCATGTTTAGTATGTCGTTGACGAGAGAGAAAGAAAGAAAGATGTTGACTAAGGTTATCTATATTTAGCTTAAATAAAATTGATCAAATCAGAAGAAACTCAATGGGAACAATGTTCGTTGTTTGTTATTTGCAAATGTAACTTTTTCGACTTTAAATTTTCATCAATGAGATTGCGCATTTGTTCGATATCTTTATCAGGTTGTTTACTATCGATTAGCGCCGAACCGGAAACGATCATGTTTGCTCCAGCTTGTGCACAATCGTCGATTGTTTTCGTACTTACACCACCATCGACTTCTATGTGAAGCAATTGCGGATAGGTTTTTCGTAGCCAACGGATTTTCTCCATCATATCTCCCATGAACTTTTGCCCACCGAAACCGGGCTCAACGGTCATTATCAAAACAACGTCAATATCATTGATGTATTCTTCTACAACACTTATATCCGTTTTCGGCTTTATGCCTAGGCCCACTTTCATATCGGCTTCCTTGATCTTTCGGATAATTTCCGGCATACTTTCTTTTGTTGTTGATTCGATATGAAAGGTATATTGATTCACACCTGCACCGGCCATTTCTTCGATCCACTGTTCAGGCTTAGCCACCATCATATGGGCGTCGAAATAGACTTTCGGAATGTTCTTTCGAAGACATTTGATCACCGGATGGCCGATTGTTAAATTAGGGACAAAGTGTCCGTCCATAACATCGAGATGAAGGTAATCGGCACCGGCATCGAGAAGACGACGACTCTCATCTGTTAGTTTTGATAAATCAGCACTGAGAATCGATGGACCAATGATACCCTTGATACCTTTTGGTAATGAATCCATATCTGAAATTTTATCCAAAGTACAACAACATCATATTGTACCCGTTAATTTCCATTGCGCATCTACAGAATCAATGCAAACGATTTTCTTTCTTTTTTCATGTTTATCAAAAAAGAGACAAAAGAATATATTTATATACAGAATATTTAATTTCTTTCTGAGGACGATGATGATGACGAAGGTACAAAAGGTCCTTGAGAGAGAAAACCAAGTCCAACACCACGTCGTAAGTGCGTTGTTATGCGAGCTGTTTGATATTCTTTATCAAGCGAGTCGAATGTGTTTTGTTGTTGCTGATGAATGGCATCAGTTTCCGTTGCATCGTTGATTATATTACCACCTGCTTTCATTCCTAACAGTTTTCGAAATTTTTCAGCCGTTTTCTCATCTTGCCCGTCAGTTATCGCCGCACCCACTTTACTAGTGGATGTCTGAAAAAGAAACCAATTAGTCATGTACCCGTTGATGAACAATTTATTACTTTATCATTCGATTTCGACCAAAGCAATTTACGTTTACGTTGCTGTTGCGCATATTGAAGCGGGTTTATGGCACCGTTATTGTAGATTTTAGGAACGGATATACCACTCAATTCTTCAACCTAAATCAATCACAATGGACATATTTACATAAGAAAATAGATCATGACGGAGCATTTATTTGTATAACTGTGGTTTATGATGTGTACAAGAGATAGGTATTGGTAATCCGATAGTTATGTATATTTTCCAATGGAAATCGATCTCTAGCTGAGTGCATTTCTAAGTGGAAAATAGTACACAATAAATTGACGGGTCGAATCATTTCTTGGTTAACAGTGCTAATCTGGAAATACATCAGTTGAGGAATGCAACTTACTAATTTACGAATTTCTTCCATTTGATATGAAACTATTGCTGCTTGATTTGATCGTAGTTCTTTCGGTACATCAATTGCTTTTTTCAAATCATCAATGGTTAGGTGTGATATGTCCAATGTGTCATTGGCTAGAAGAAGACAGATATTTGAATTGTATCACACGATCAAGACCATTACCTGCCATGTCTTTCAATTTCTGCAATGTTTCTTGCTGAATACGTTTTCTCTCTTCTTCTGCTATTCGAGCATCAACGTGTGGCGCTCGATTTTGTGCTGAACAAGGAAATAGATAAAATTGTAGTACAGTAGCTAAATGTAGAGTTCTTACCAGGACTCGATCGTCTTCGTGGTGAGCGATGTTTTGATCTTGATCGTGATCTTGACCGTTTTCGTCGTGGTGAACGTGACCGACTATGTCGATATCGTTTCTGTCGGTGATGTCGAGATCGAGATCGAGATCTCGAACGTGATCGTTTATGTCGATGACGTTTTACTGATGACGATCGAGATCGATCGTGTCGTTTTCTATGACGTGACTTATCATCGGTGCGTTTTTCCTAAAAGCGAAAACATCCTGAACTGTTCGATGTTCTCGTCTTTGAATGACTCTATTTTTCTATGAATAAGCATTCATCTATACCTACTCCTACGAAGAGTAATCTCCTTGATCGTCTAACTTACAAGCTAGCTTGAAAATAACTTTCCCATTTGGTATAATTGTCATTACATTGTTTCCGATCGATGAGAAGTAGAACCATATGGTACTTTCTTTCGGATAAGAAAATGAGAGATTAGATTAAGTTTAATGGAGAACAAAACGAACGAAATCAAGACTACTCAATTCAAAGAACAAAAAACGTTATGCTTACAGGAGATCTTGTGGTAGATGTTGGCTCTTCATTTGTAGCGATTGTATTACTTGTTCTACAATAAAAGAAGGAAGGACATCGTTTGTTCGACATAGTGAAGTAAATAGATTTGGTATTTACTTTTTTTCGGCCATTGTTTTTGAAGGGAAAAGCAACTTCAAACTATCTTCTAAAATGAGATTCAAGCAAAGGACGAGTCATTTCATGAGTTTAAGATATCAACAGTTAGTTCATATGTAGAAAAACAGTTCGATTGTATCGTTTTTGTACTTGTCATGGACAACTAGTTTATTCTCCGAAGTAGCATGAAAATGAAAATGAACCAAGAACAAATTTTCTATTGGTTGAGATCTGCCATTGACAAAAACATTCTATTGCCCATCGAAGATCGTTTTATTCATCTTAACTAACGAACTTCAGAGGAAATTTTTAGTTTTTTAACAACAAACACTTTCTCTTTTGCGGAGGATTTTTACTCGTGGCGCCCTCTGTATACGATCAGTCATCACATATTGTTCTGGCTGATTATTTCTCCAAAATGTATCCTTCGCCGTGTGCATGCAAAGGCGTTCGGTCATGTAATCTTTGCCGATCTGAAAAAAATCATAATTCCAATGATTTCCAATCGCATACAGTCTATATTTACTGTGATGCATGTCGTCAAGCCATTCGTATGGACATTTATGAACTCAAATCTCAATGTCCACATCATACAGAGATTGGAAATGAGTCCATTGCTTTTCCATTAGATGGAATTTATCTTGTTTCGGAATTCGTCAATGAAATTGAAGAAAAAAATCTGGTCGATGCAATCGATAATGATATTTGGATATCATCTCAATCCGGTCGTTTGAAACAAGATTTCGGCATAAAAATTAATTTTAAAAAGCAAACTATCAAAACGAAATACTTCACTGGAATGCCATTGTATTCAAAAGCACTCCTCGAACGTTTACGTACTCATCGTGTTCTCAGTGATTTTCAATCGGTCGAATTGTGCAATCTCGATTACTCATCCGAACGTGGTTCGCATATTGATCCACATATTGATGACACATGGATATGGGGCGAACGACTAATAACGATAAATCTTCTGTCGAACACTATTCTTTCATTGATACCCAACGAACAGAATTCGAAGAAGATTGTTTATATTCCAGTACCACGTCGGTGGATGATTGTGCTCTATGGTGATGCAAGATATGAATATAAACATGCTATTCAAGGACAACATATTCAAGATCGAAGACTAGCGGTGACATTTCGAGAATTAACTGGAACAAAGGAAAAGTTTTATGAAGAAAATAAGGATTTATATGAACGAATCATTCGAATTGGTAAACGTTTTACCGGAATATCAGTCGGAAGATTCGAGCATATCGTCAACCAAGTGAATTCGCAAGCAATGGTAATATACATTGGCTAGTCAACTAAATCATCATTGTTTTTCTCTTTCAGGAGAAAATGGACATTGAGACATGCTCTAATACCGAGAATCAACTTAAGGAATTATTTGAATCGACATATTCGTCAAAAATTTCTGCGTTCGAAAAACTCAATCCAACGACGTACTTGGTCGATTCAGAGAAGAAATATCTGATGAAACTATTTCCCCAATTGTCAATCTCTCGTGAGCAACTACAAACAATATTTTCCTCGTGTCAATCGAAAGCGATTATTCTCAACGGATCCGTTAATCAATCGTATATCGTTATTGTTCATTACGATGATCTTTCGTCAAATCAACAGATCGCTCGTTTCTTAGCTCAATGGCGCTTAGCTACAGATCGTTTTTCGAAAAATTCGCTCGATCAGGATTGGTTTAACGAACAATATGCATCGATTCTTCAAAAGAAAAAAAATAGTTTTCCATTTCTTTTCTCCAATCTGTTCACTTGCCAGCAACAACTATGCGATCAATTAGAAACCGGTCTACAATGGACAACAAGTAAACAATCGTCGTATCTAATGGATTTAACATCAACATTCTTAACGGACATCAATTCGTTTCATGAAAATGTTAAAGACATTGTTAAAGTATACGAAGAAACCGTTCGATTGACTGATGAAGAATTGAACCTATTGGATACATTTGTTCGTTTACAATTGGTGCTGACGATAAATCAGAATGACAGTGATGACGAGAAACAACTCGATTTACTTGAACAACTCTCATCGAATGTTTTTCTTGTTCGAAATCTAGTCAGATGATTGTCGTGTTTTTTCTTCTTAATTCATCATTAAAATCTTCGATAACTTTCTTGTGTCCTGTTTAATTTTCGTACGAATATATTCTAGGTAGTTCATTGAGTAAGACGAGCAGGTATATCACTTGATTGCTATTGCCTAAACGCTATGCCGCGTGTAATTGGTCTAATGAGCGGAAGTTCATTGGATGGACTTGATATCGCTTGTGTAGATTTTTCTGCAGATGAAAAGTGGACATTTCAGATTGTTCATGCTGAAACGGTTCCTTATTCATCCGAGTGGGTGAAAAGATTATCGACTGCTACGGAATTAGACGCTCGCGCTTACCTTCTTCTGCATACATCCTATGGTAATTACATAGGCGAATGCGTAAATGATTTTCTTGCGAAATACAAACTAGAAGTGGAGAAAATCGATCTTATAGCTTCGCATGGTCATACGGTTTTCCATGAACCATGGAATCGAATGACCGGACAGATCGGAGACGGTGCTGCGATCAGCGCACGAACTCGCCTACTTGTTGTCAACGATCTACGTGCTATGGATGTGGCTTATGGTGGTCAAGGTGCACCAATCGTTCCAATCGGCGAAGAATATCTATTTAATGAATACCGGCTATTATTAAACCTGGGTGGAATTGCCAATATGACCGATCGGAAATATCAAATTGCATTCGACATATGTCCTGCAAATCGGATATTAAACAAGCTTGTGCAAGACTATCTTCAAAAGGAATATGATGAGAATGGCCAACAAGCGTCGATCGGTCAACTTAATTCAAGTCTGTTGACGACATTAAATCAATTAGATTATTACCGAAAATCTTATCCGAAATCGTTATCGAATTCATTTGGTTTGGACGTTGTCTATCCATTGATTGAAAAAGAAAATGGCAATATTAATGATGCTCTACATACCTACGTTGAACACATTATTCAACAGATATGTCACTCGATTGAAATGATTATTGATAAGGAAAAGCAAGGCAAGTCTGCTTATGCCAATTGTAAAATGTTAGTCACAGGTGGTGGTGCGCATAACAAGTATTTATTTCAAGGTTTACAAAATCGACTTCGCGATCAATTCCAGATCGAAGCAGTTTATCCCGAGAAGGATGTAGTTGATTTCAAAGAAGCGTTAATAATGGCATTCATCGGTTTATTGCGAGTACAAAAGAAAGCGAATGTTTTAGCGTCAGTGACTGGGGCCGAAAAGGATTCGATTGGTGGAGCTGTTTGGCAAAACTGAAAGACATTTTCGTTTGATTGAGAATAAAAACTTCTTCTTCTTCTTTTCAGATAAAAGATTAATAGAATGTTACTGAGATTGTTTCACCGTTGTGCATCAACATCGACTGCGGCTCGTCCAACAAATTTTACTTTCCCTCAACGTATCGAACGTTCACCAACAGCGATTCTCGAATCCTTAAATTCATGTGTACAAACCGATGGTGGAAATCCTGCCTATATGTTCATGGATGATCCATTTCTGATTCCAACGTCAGCATATGAAAAACGACAGCTAGCATTATCGAAAGCATCGGGCAAAAAAGCAGCACGATGGATCATCGATCGTTATTCCTACGCATTCTTCCATGATGTGGCCGTACCATCGATTCCATCGTATTTTCCCACGTATACATTTGACGAAAAAGAATTTATCGAGCCCGACGAATCAACTCTATATAAATTAATGAACTGGAACAAAGTTACCAAAGCACACGAAATCTATAAGAAATGTTTGGAATACAAGATTGATGTGTCCGATGCATGTAAATATGCATTGTTTGACCTATTATGTATCTATAATAGTGAGAATCCATTGGAAGCTTTACTACCGGAAGAAGATTGGTATCGAAGAGAATTAAATGAAAAAAATCAGTCGAGTAAATGCTCAAATATAAGAGTTTTCGTTTGATAGTTTATCTTATTTGTATTTGTAGATTTGACGAGTCGCACTTGGAAAGAAAATGGTCTTGCTGAGCAAATGTTCGAAGAGTTGAAGCTTTCCGCGACGTCCGAACAAAAAATTCGTTTGTATAATTCCTTCGTAAGTGGTTTACTGAAGTACAATCATGTCGAAAAAGCAATGACAATCATCGATGAAATGAAACAAGCAACTATTCCTATTGATTTAACCACGTACAACTATCTCATTCGTTCAACTAGTCTCATCAAAGAATCCTATGATCAACGTTGGCAATTTGTCGTCGATACATTAAAAGAAATGAAAGATAGCTCGATCCAACCGAATTTACGTACGTTCAATTCAGTACTTTATACATTAAGACGATGTCCAGCATACGAGCAGGGCCCAAAATTAGCGTTAGCCGTCCTCAACGAAATGCGACAATGTGGCATCGAACCTTCACTTGGTTCATGGGCACATGTGATCATGATCTTCTATCCGAGCGATCAGATAGGTTTCGAAACGCAGATGTTACCACAGATTATGGACGAATTAGAAAAAGTCGCTCAACTCGAATGGAAAGATTCTGATGACGGCGAATTCTTCTTCAATGCCATGTTCAAAGCAACCGTTAACTGTCGTGACGTTGAACTAGCTAAACGTATTCATCGTTTTCTCATGGTTGGCTCAAACACTCGATTTATTCCCGATGGATTTCGAGAACAGTTGTACTATACGAATCTATTTCGTTTGCTCTTTCGCGTCGATATGCCCGAACAGGTTATGCCGCTTTGGGAATCTGTCGTACCGAATGTTTATTCGCCATCAATGAATGTTATGGAAGATCTGATCGAATTTATTTCAACATGGAATATTCAAGATTATTACGTCCGCCTTTGGTCAGATTTACTCATGCTAGGTTTTATCGACAGTCGACAAACTAATCGTCGAATTCTCGATCGATATTTATCATTACTCATTCAAACTAATCATGGAAAACCGTCGACTGAACAAATCAAGCAATATGCCAATATCGCCCGACAGATTTTGAAACGCTTTCCTTTGGAACCGGAGGAAGTTGAGCAACGATTCGGTAGTACCAACGATGCATCCGCACAACAACAAGAAATGACCGATGGTCAACAAGAACAACAGCAGCAGCAGCAGCAACAAACAAACCAACTCCGACCAAAACTTCAATATGATGGACATCTATTATCAAATCTAATCTGTTTACTAGCTCCAGCCGACGACTGGGAAGCCAGTTGGTCATTATATGAACACTACCTATCGAATCGTAGTACATTGATTAACGCACTGAATGAACAAAGTCTTATGTCGTTATTATCATTAGCGAATAGAAAGAATGCGATTAATTCTGCTCTAGATATCATTGAAACCATCAATGAATTACAATACGAATGTTTAGGTGACGCACTCGATTTGTTAAACCGTAATGGTAACTTGCCTAACCAAAGTCGGCAACATTTGAAGACGATTCAAAAGAAGTCAAAAGTTGAAAGTGCTCATCATGTGAAACTTGTTTAGGAGATTTCTTTGAATAAAATAAGCAAATCACGCCCGTGTTGTCTTTTTTGTTTCTTTTCTTTTTCTTTCCTCTCTCTCTCGATCGCTACTGGTTACATAAATTCGAGCAACGTACGAATCAGGGACGGGAAGGAAAGAAGGAAAGGTGGATGGTAGCAACATAGTTAACATGAAAATAACAAGACATTTGTCATAAAGCGAACAAAGTCCATTCATTGTGTAGGAGTTCTAGTAGACGAAATCAACAAACGCAAGTTGTTTTTACATTCTAGATTTCAGTGCGTTCTTCATCATGCCCTCGTCTATTGGTGATTTTTATGCTGAGAAGAATGTTTTAGTTTTCGGTTCAACATCATTTCCAGGCAAAGTTTTACTGGAGAAGCTCTTACGATCGTGTCCAGCAATCAAGAAGATCTATTGTCCAATAGATACAAATGAAAATAAATCGACACATCATCTCTCACCAATAGACACATTTGCTGAAATCTACACAACTAAATTATTCGAACGGGTTCGATGTAGTAATGCAAAATTTCAAGAAAAGATTCTTCCATTTGACATCAACATTCTCTTTCCGTCCTCAAATGGTGAACGTAATGGTGATGAACAAGTAGAAAATCACTCGGACGTCTTATCTGCCAGAAAACTACGAGAGACGATTGACATATGTTTCTATATGGCAAACAATTCCATCGATTTCAAGGAACAAAATCTGAAAGAAATGGTTCAAACAAATGTCATGAATCTGAAGAGTAACTTAAGTTTCCTGAAGACCTGTACGAAACTTAAATCAGTCGTTTATTTATCATCTATATACGCCAATATCGGTAAGTCATAATCCCGCTGCTCTTGATTTTCGAGTGAAAATTTCGCGAAATTTAGATTGTCCATACATTGATGAATGCGTCTATCCATGTTCGATTCAACCTGAGAAATTAATTGATACACTTGACTGGATGGATCAAGAAATGGTTACATTAGCAACGCCAAAATTGATTGGACCGAAGCCGAATGCATTTTCGTTTTCACATTGGCTTGCTGAAACACTTCTTGCCGAGGAACAAAAACATCTGCCGGCAATCTCGATTGTTCGAGTATCAATTATCGGTGCCGCTTGGAAAGAGCCATATCCAGGTTGGGTAGAGAAATCCAATGGTCCAAGTGAACTATTCATGGCAGCCGGCCGAGGTTACCTACGTTCAATAAAAGGTGATTCACTTGATATACTTGACATAGTTCCTGTGGACATACCTGTGAATCTTTTGATTGCGGCTGCATGGCAAAAATCCTTGGACGAAAATGTCGATCATATGACAATCTACCATTGCACGTCAAGCGGTCTCAATCCATTTCATTGGCAAAAAATGAGTAATTATCTAACAGAATATTCGAAACGAATTCCATATGAACATGCATTTCGTCGACCAAACTTATCTTTAACAAGTCATAGTTTATTACATGATTCGTATGTCTTCTTTTCACATTTGATTCCGGCTTATCTGGCAGATATTGGTTTACGCTGTATCGGCCAGAAGCCACACATAGTGAACATTTACAAAAACCTACATCGAACACTTCTTGCACTTGAATCGTTTACAATTCGAGGTGAAATTCAGTGTTCATATGAGAGCGTGAATTCTTTAAGACAATTATTAACTGAGAACAATCTGTCGAATGAATTCTTTTTCGATATACGTGCATTACACTGGCCAACGTACGTGGAATCGTATTTAATCGGAACGAAACGTTATGTTCTAAATGAAGATGTTCAGTGTTTGAACGGTGCACAAAAACATCTGAATAATTTAAGAAACATTCGTTGGACATTCAATACAATTGTACTTGTTCTTCTTTGGAGAATCTTCATCTCGAAACGACCAACAGCACGAAATCTTTGGTATTTTATTATGAACTTTTTCGTGGCCAAATTTGTTCGATTTTTTAAAATTCTCAGCGCAGGAAATACATAAAACATGTCCAGATGATATTTTTTTTCTCTTCTTCTCAGATTTAACTAGGTTAATATGAGTTATATTCATCAAAACAAATTCTACACGATTGAATCATTCAATCCTTGTTTTCTCTCTTGCTTTCATTTTTGTTTATTCGACCGGTTTATGTTGTCTGTGCTTCCTTCTTTTTTCGATTTTCGTCATTTGTCCTGTCGGAGTCCTTTGTTGTTGTTTCGTCTGTTCTTTTCATCATCCAGAAGAAATATACATTTAACATTGTCAACAAAAGGCGTTGTTCTGACATCACGATCAAAATTTTTCAAGAACTTCCCAGTTGACACTCAATGAGATCTCACTTTGAAACATCACGAGCTAACAGCAGGTAATTCAAGGGGGGGCAAAGTATCATGAAGTAGAAAAACCTTGGTTTGTACTGAAATTCAAACACACGCGATTAATAATTTGATAAAGTATTCGGATTTTGCGTGAAGAGCATTACTATAGTTGCTACTTATACAAGTTCTGATAGATCATCATTGTTGATGATTTTCGCGTTGCTTGCTTAAAATATTAAACAGTTTTCTGGTGTGAATAAACGAGTACTATTTAGAAGTTGAATGATACAAAAACAAAGATAAATGACGTAGATTAATACAATGGTTAAATTATAAAGTATTGATTGTTCTCAGGTGAACTTAAGTGCTAAATCATCTTAATCGTTTCTTGACATCGCTTTTCAACAAGTTCCGATTACCTATTCTTTGAAACAAAACATTTCGCAAGTATAATCGATTGTTTTCTTTTTCCTTTCAATAGAATCGATGAGTGGGCTGCTCAACTATATGGTCTTCGGATACGAGAAGAAAATATTTCGTCAATTGCAGTTAGATTAGTTTTATATTACAGACTAATTTCTCAGTTTGGTATTCAGCAATTGTTCGTCGGAGCCGATACAATCGTCGTCTATGGAGATTATATCTGAGGCTTCAACAGCACACCCTTGATGAGGATAATCGAAAAAAGACAAAAAGGGAGAAGAATGAGTTTTCGCCAACGCGCGTCAGAAAGGAGAATAGAATTAAGAAAGAAAGGGGGAGAGAGAATGTGTTTTCTTAGCGAGAGAATCTCCTATGGTTTTTCCGTGTCCGATTTGAGTAAACTGAAACAAAATGGAGCGAGAGAAATGTCTATCTCTACAAAATAGGAGATTTATGCATGCAAAGGCTTCACTTTCTTTGCTACATCACAATCTATCATTCATTTGCTCTTCTTATTCTAGTAATCGACATTACTATATCCGATTTTCCGACTCTTTTTTTGAACTTAACGAATTCAATCGAACCGATGATGCATCTTAACATTGTACGATTTGTTGTATTTCTTATCGTTTGCCTGGCAATGATCCATGCCTATCCACCATCAATGAGCAAAACAAGATGGGTTAGTACATCATCACTTGAAATATGAATTGTCCTCATCGTAACGGATCTCCTACGAGAAATCATTAAAATCTAGCTTTGTGAAGACGTGACCTATCTTTTCTATTCTTATCATTGTTTTTCAGCTACCCCTACGTATCGCAAGACAGCATGCTGTTCATGATGGACGAGTTGATGATTATAATAACGTAGTAGATGGAAATGATAGTGGTAAGTCGATCTATTTTCGGCCATATCCAGTCAAATCATAGATATCTTTTATTGTAGACCTCAATGACAGTAATGGCTTTGCAACATGGTTATTTCGTTCGCGTAAATTCTGCTGCGCGCCACCATTGTAACCGCTTATTATTGATCAATAAAAGAAAACTTTCGAATCCATTATTTGTTTGTTTGTTATTTACAAAAAAAAAAAGAGAAAGAATTTTGAGAGGCACAAAAGAAAACCAGATCTTTACGTATTAAAAAAAGAGGGAAAATAAAGAAAAGGAATTCTATGTAACAAAGAAAATACATCTTTGATTTATGTACTCGTTCGTGATTTTGATTATGAAATAATTTCGCCGGCGATCGTTGAAGGCATAACGTTGTCATGAGGATCAAACGAATAGTCAATCAAAGGACGATTTGACTCGAGTTCAGGATCGATCAATTCATCATCGTCAGTGATTGTTGAATCCGCATACATCACTTGTGGAATGAGAGTTTGAGAACTGAAAAGAAAAGGCAAATTTCAGTTTGGTTTTGTTTATCCGATGAAAGCGAAATCTACCTTAATGCTCGTCGTAGAAATTGATGATAGACAAATGGTGCAAAACAAATGTAGAATATGCAAGTTGTTCCATCGACCATACTACAATGAAATCTTGCTCAATAATGTTCTTAATCGATCAGAAAATCTCTCTTGCATGTGTTTCGCCGTTTGTTAACTGTCCTGTCAGATTGAATCAAACTTACCACATGGCATATTTCGTTGTTTCAGCCAAATTTAGAATTGTTCCAATCACTTGAATCATATTAATAAATGCCATGATAAGACAATAGAAATAAAAAGAACGACGAACTAGACAATGGAAAAGAGAAGTTTAATTCAGGAAAAAACGCCAACCGGATGCTCTTTTTACTTGGCAAATATTTACGATGTCGACGACAGAGACATGGTAAAAAGAAGACAATTATATACATCTGTTCATAAAAATAAAACCGAATGGAAGTGTCACCGGAAAGTTTCGACTTACAAGAAGAAAAAGCGCGCTGGAAATGAGAAGAAATTTCATTCCACCGTACGAATACAGATTATAGTTTGCCAGAAGAAAACTACTTGGACGAGTATCACCCCGAAATTCAAGCACGCCCTATAGAATCAATATTTAATGAGTAAAATAAAGATAGAGAAAGGTAAATACTTGAATTATTGTATAGATTAGCCCAAAGAACGAGGAGATTATTAAAATTCTGCCCGTTTGTAACCATTGTCGATTGGAATTGGAACGACCTGTCGAACGAAAATATTAGTTTCGTTTAAAAATATCATTTCAATTAGTATACCAAAACAAATACCAAACAGAAGTAAACTTAATTCTGTGCATAACAGTATAAATCGAACAAGTAACCAAAGGACCTACACGAGAGTAAAGGAAGTTTCCCGATCACATTGATGATGTCTTTCAACGTACTTTTAAAATGATTCCTTTGACATGAGACTGTGCATCATGAAATATCATGGAGAACAAACATCGTAGGATATTGATCAACGAAACAGTAAGAATTAAACAGCAGACACTTAGCAATAATGGTTTGCTTGAATTTAATTTTGCTCGCGTGTGTAGCCATTTGACGAGAATAAATAACAGAAAGATTAAATTTGGAATGAGAATAATCGTATCGAAATATCGAATTCTACAAATACAGAAGCAAGGTATACTTCTTTTTCTTTTATTGCAGTATTTGTTTTGAATTTGATTGGATCATTCTATACCTGCCTTTATTGTACAGGTTTATTTGGGGAGAAAAGAAGAAAAAAAAAGGCGAGGAGGAGAGGAAGCTTGCTTTGCATAGGTTTTGCTCATGCGTAGTATTCACATGTTTTTCTTTTTCTCCTATCAAATCGGTAATGTTTGCGACGTATGTGTGACTTTGAACGGGCAAGAAGAAGGGTGAAATTTTCTTTTCTCATGATTGCTTCGTTCTGTACCGGGTTGAGAAAAAAAATAAGTACATTCACTTCAATCACATTTTCACTTCATTTTCAGAAGAGATATGGGTAGTCTACCTGGACATTTAGTTCCCGGCTCCATCTTTGTCATTATCGGCCTCTGGTGGATGTATTCAACATGGTTACGCTACTTTGTCTGTCGTCAACGTCGACGACCGTTTTATATAACAACCGCTTTCCCTTGTCATTGTTGTGGCCCTTCAGTTGCTAAGCTACCTATGGAAGCATTCTTTGTCCTATTCGGAACCATTTTAGGCATTCTTATTGAATTAACTGCAGGTTTCAATCGGGACGTCGATTTTAAGACGGGTCATGTTTCAATTTATGAAGGTGCAAATAATCTTCAACATTTTTCTATGTACCTTATGTTTCTCTTGGTCGCACTGATTGAAATTTTGCTATACTATCGTTTTCCTCTACCAAAATATCTCGATGTTGTTGCAGGTTGTTTAGCGTTTTCCTCGGAAGCCCTTCTCTTCTATTTTCATGGACACGCTCGTGACCCTGTGGAAATTCAAATTCACGTTTTTCTTGTGATGGCTGTCGTTGCTACTGTTGTCTGTGGCGTTTTCGAAATAGCTCAACAGGAAAAGAAAGTGTATGCGACATTAATGCGAGCTTATTTCACAGTTCTACAAGGTTCATGGTTCTATACAATCGGCTTCTTTCTCTACAGCCCATTTCATGCTCATTACAAGGAAAGTGAAGACCCTGACCCTCATCGATCATCTATGCTAATTCCATACTATTTTGTTCTGCATATCGCTGCTACTCTCGTTGTGCTCATTGTTGTGGCTATTCCTGCTTATGTGGTTAGTAAACGTCAATTTCAAGCCATTGATTTTGCTGAATATGGAGAAGTATCGATGGTTAATCATGACGAAGATGAGGAAATGGAAAAATTAAATGGTACTACATCAATTTAAATCTGAACTTACTGGCTTGAAAAGATTTTTTCCGTTCGAAAACGGACGCATATTGGTAGTGATAATATTGGATACATTGAATCGCTATGATTGTTATTGTGTGTAATAAAATTCATTGAAAAATAACAAAAAAAATATCCAGATGATTTTGATCTAAAATTGAAATTCGTGTTATGTATATATTTATAAAAAGAAGACAAAGCGCAGTGGAATGATTAGAGAAAAAAAAGCAGATCGATTAGAAAAGAGATAAACGGTTTGCACTGATCATTAGCAGAGAGGGAGAGAGAGAGAGAGAAAAAAAATGAGGAATGTTCTAGAATTTTGTTTTTGATTTGTTTAGTGACCAAGTAATTTACGAATCCACTCTTCATAATTGATAAGACCATTTTTATCTTCGAAGCCGGAAAGTAATTGTTCGACCTCTTCGTCTGACAGACGTTCACCAAGGCTTGTCAACAGATGGCGAAGTTCAGCTGAGGAAATACTGTTATTTTGTTCCTTATCGAATACTCTTAAACCTAAATCGAAGAATAACAAAATCTCCTTTATTGGCTGACAGAGCGAGAGAGAGAACATACCTTCAATAAGATCTTCTTCAGTAATATTGGTGTCCTTCTTTTTCGCTAGAGAATCATAGAGAGGAAGGAATTCTTCGAATGAGATCCGATCAGCTTTGAAATTCTGTATTGTGCCTTTTACTTGCTGTTCGGTTGGATTCAACCCGAGAGCGCGAACAACTTCACCGAAGAGATGTTTGGGAATTTTGTTATCACCACGATCATCAAACAAACTGAACGCTTCACGAAAATCTGGTTGATCATCTCCAGCCGTTGGCATCGTTGATTCTTTACTCTAAAAATTTAATTATCTAAAATCAAATTGGAGAAAATATATGAATCGATATAAAATGTTCTCTATTGCCCAAATCGTGTACCACCGTCGTTTAAGTAAATGTTTTCACTTTCAAGTGACTGACGTTTTAACACGGCGTTCCTATGAGGAAATCGTCCGAATTGTTTGATTATATCACGATGTTGTTCCGCGGCTCTGATAAACTCCTTCAAAAGATTACACACATGCTCATTCGAACATGGATCATTGGATGCTTCTTCATACAAACTACGAAAGTGTTCTACAGCTCTATCTTGATCATCAAGGTTTTCGCTGTGTTCAAATGGTAGATAAATAAAGGTGCGTTCGACGTACGGTAACCGTTTATCACCTTGATGAGCGATCAATGACTCGCTTAGTGCTTTGGCTTTGTCATCAAATGAAAATGCACGTGCATCACCACGGTATATATTTCGCGGGAATTGATCAAACGCAATTACACAGGCTAAGGCATATACAGGATGATGGACAGTAGCAGAAACTTGTTCGTGGTTGTTCAGTAGGTAAAGTAAATCTTCTTGAAAATTGTCTCGTATTTGTTGATCAAATTCTTTCGAGACAGCAAACCACCGCATGACAACCGTTCCGCTAATTGGCGTATTTTTATCCGGCGGATGATCCAATGACATCCAACGATCGTTTGAAAACCAGAACTTTAGTACTCGTTGACAAAAGTCCGTGACACGCGAAGTTAACATCTAGAAAATATTGACGGAAATCATTTGGAAAGAGAAAGTAAAACAACACAGGTTTTCATTCAATAAATTACGCAAAAGGAAAACAATACAAATAAATAAATGCTTGGATTACAAATCATGATTGCTTGAATTTGTATTGCCGATGGAAAGAATCATTTGTTCATGGACTTTTGACTGCACATTGAGCAAGTATACGTGTACAACAGGCGTCACAAACACGCACCGGTTTGCTGGAACTCGCTAGTGTTAGTTTGGTACTCACACAAGATTCACAAAATATTTGACCGCAACTATATAGATCGAGCATGGAGAAGCGACTTTACAAGAAGAGTTTACCTTCGACAATGATGTTTTCGTCGAATTGTATTGAATTCTTTCTTACATTGATAACAATCCTTGACATCTTCGTCTCTAACCCAAGTGGAAGACCGCAAACCGTCTTTTTCGATGAACTCATGTTCACGTGTAATAGATGCTTGCAGTTTCAGTGCTAATTCTTCAATAGTTCGATCTTGTTCTTGGAATTTCCTTTCATAATCATTCTGTTTGGTAGTTGTTTCCTTTTTATATGCATCATATTCCTTGAAATCAGACCGATAGTAGAAATGCACTTAGGTGAAAATCGATTTACTTGTTTGGTCAGATTTAATTCATGAATGTCGAATTGAAGCGTTGAAACTTTCTCTTTTTCTTTGTTTAATGCATTCTGTAACCGTTGATGACATTCCCGTTCGACATGGAGGTCAGTTTCTAACGATGTTCTACAAATAAGTTTAAAAAAAGATTTAGTATACTCACGAAAAAACTTAATACATACTTTTCGCTGTCTAATTTCTCATTTCTGTCGGCAAGTGCTTGCTTTGATTTGTTAGCTTGTTCAATGCTAAATACAGAAAGTAATACGGTGCGAATGGCTATTCTGTTGACTCTACCTCGTTTCTAACTCATTTATCGTTTGTCGTAGCATTTGATTCTCCTTTTCCATTCTCTGTAGTTGGTGTTCTTTCTTCTCATGCTCAGCTTTTTCAGCCTATAGAACCAAGAAAATCTATATGAAATGTATTTCGTCTATGAAATTTTACTCGAAATTGTTCAACTAGACGGTCGTGATCTTCTTTCATTTGATCATACAGCGTTGTTTTGTTTTTTATGTCTTGTTCCATGACTTTAGTCGATTCCATAAATTCATTATTTTGCGACATTTGAGTTTGATACACACTTTCAATTCTCTATTGAAACAAATGCAAGAACTTTTTAAACGAATGTCTCCAAAGATTTCTCACCTGTTTTGATTCATGTTCATCTTCATATTTCTTTTGTAGTTGATTGTAGATCGAGTCGAAGCCCGTTCGAGACTTCTGATAAGTTTCTCGTTCCACTTCAATATCAGCATTTAAAGTCTACATACGAATACAACGTTACTTGATATTCGATAGATCAATTGACATACTTCAATTTTTCGCTGATATGTACTGATTAACTGTTCTTTTTCAGCTGTAAGTTTCCCTACTTGTTCTTCGAGCTGGTCAACACGTGTTTTTTTCGCTGCACTATCTTCAGTTAAACTTTTGTTTGTCTGTTCCAACATGTTCAGACGTTCTTGTAGACTAGTTACTGTTCTCCTGGGAAAGAAAATGATGTTAATTCTATCGTTTTTCATACTCAACAACTTACTCTAACTTCCGATTGATCTCTTCGACGTAATGTTTCTGGTCGAGAACGTTTGCAAGGCGCTGCTCGTATGAATTGTCCGGTTCATTGCATTCACCAGACGAAATATTATCACTTGGAACGGTTGTTCCTACCGCTGGTGATGATGATATAGATGACAACGATGAACAGTCATCTAATTCATCAATCGATTCTTGTATTGCACCGGGTGGATGAGCGTTTTTTGTTGTTGATGATAGCATACGTCTTTCACGTAAATATAAACTGTAATCTATAGATGTTTCCACGGGTTGATCGAGTACAGTCTCTTTTAAACAAAAGTTGAAATCTAATACATTGAGACCAACAAGTAAACCAGTGATAATTGCACTTTCTTCTGATAGAATCAACGATTCCTGATCGTAGAAGTCTTTCAATTCTTCCTTTTGTTCGATAAGAATCTTGAAATAGTCGGCGAGATGTTTTTGCATCAGTGCTAAGCGTAACCACGCACGTACGCGTCCTAATGACGTACGAATATTCGTCATTTCTTTCGTTGATGTCGATATATCTAATATTTGCGTGTCAGTTGATTCGCGTGTGATAAGTTCAATGATTGGCCATAGATCTTTACGATTAGCTGATGTATTTATGATGCTTTTCTTCCCATTATAGCCGTGTAAAAGAATATGTTCGAAAACAATAAAAAAATGTCGTAATGGAAAACTTTCTTTTTCTAATATACGTTCATGCTTCAAACTGGAATTCAGTAAGTCTTTGATTACTAATTTAAATACACAGAGTAAATTCTTGCGTTCAATAATTAAAATATCTGAATCTAGAAACGAGGCAGGGATGATAATGACATTCGTGTATTGTTGTTTTTCTCTTTGACTCACTTGATTCATTGGCGTTCGATTTGATATTAGAACTGAATACTTTACTGGTCAGAGAACGTGCTCCATCTGGTAATGAAAATCGCTTCTTTTCGGACATTTGAAAATGTCAACAAACGATGACAAGGATGAAAGCAATGTGATGCGATACGAGTCGATCTTGTCAAAAAGATCTATTGGCTGATAAACGCCATTCTACTGTTTCTATTCTATTCAAGTGCGCAGTTACGAAAAAAATTCAGTTAGTAGAGACATCTATCGACACCAAGGTAAGATGCTTTGCACTAATCTAAGCGGTACTTAAAATCGATTTAATGCTATAGAATATTCCTCCGAAAGATGTACCGTTAATCAAGCAAGCAATTACGAATGGTACGGTCGGGTGTCTATATGAATATACAAAATCGTGAAAATGTTGCCCAGGAATGAATCTAGTTTTATCATAACATATAAGTTGAGACATGACAAGTCTTTCAATTTTGGTACTATTGGGTAGTGTGCTGTTGCTTCGCGATTCTTTCTTATTTCTAATGGTGTTACTTGACATCAGAAGAGAAGGAACTATACACCCTCAAGTCAGAAACACTGTTAAACAAACACATATTCTGCCCAGCCTATGATAGTACTGAGATCAAAACAGAATGGATGCCTTTACTAGACAACAGTTTTGCATATAGATGGGAGATACCTTAGCAGAGCAAAGAGGCAGGTATATAATATCAACCAAAACACCTTTTGCACGACATACATTAGTATTCTTTTAACAGAGGACTTATCTTATCAGAATCTGTTTGGAAAAATTTCACGTTATCTCATGTTTGCAAAATTATTTAAAGTAGCAAACCTTCGTACATTTTTATCATACTTAGTTTATCTGAATTTTATTACCAATGAACGAATTTTATCTTATTGGTTTTTTAATAGCTTTCTACTTCCTGAGAGGTAAAAAAGAAGTAAAAGAAATTTTATAAGTAATGTATACAAATCATCGTTATAGTTGATGGAACCGTTCGATTTGCGAACTACTATCAAAATCATATGGTTCTTCAACGCGCTCCACAGCGAGCTGTTGTTTGGGGATATGTAGAAGATTTTAACGTTCCTATTGTCTTGACAATGAATAGGAAAATCTATGGAACGAGAAGTTCTTCATCAGCAATCGATAGAACAGGTGAATCTATATGGTCAGTCACTCTCGATGCTGAAAGTGAAGAAGGCCCTTTCAATATTGACGTTCACCAACCATTGCCTAATGGTACGATTGTCACAATCACTCTGCATGATGTACTGTTCGGTGATGTATGGGTATGTTCAGGACAGTCCAATATGGCATTTGCTGTTCGAAATATGTTTAATGGTTCAATAGAAATTGAAAATGCTGATAAATATCCAAAGATTCGGCTGTTTACAGCATCAAGACAACAATCATCGACGCCTGAAGAAGAACTTCTAGCCATAGCTCTACCGTGGTCTATTGCATCGGCTGATAGTGTCGGAAGTCCATATACATCAGCTGTGTGTTGGCTGTATGGTCGTATGGTTCAAGTAGAACTAGATGGACGTCCTATTGGCCTCGTACATACATCATGGGGTGGAACTGCAGTAGAACTCTGGTCACCGCCTCAAGTTCTGAAAGATTGTGGTATCTCACGGTAGAACAACTCATACCATTGATAGCCATCACGTTGTGATATTTTAGAAATCCCCGAGTATCAATCGACCAAGATAATCAATTGGATATTGTTCTGAACAATACAGTCTTATATAATGCCATGATTCATCCATTCACTCGAATGGTCATCAAAGGAGCTCTTTGGTATCAAGGTGAAGCCAATGCAAATTTCAATCGCAATAAATACAAATGTACATTTTCTAAAATGATTGAGCATTGGAGAGGTATATGGCATGAACGCACCATGTCAAATACGGATCCAACATTTCCGTTCGGTTTCGTTCAAGTAGGAATATTTTGAAGAGATACACTTCATATATTTTTCTGCGCAGTTGTCAACACGAGAAGCTACGGGAAACGTCATTGGCGGATTTCCTTGGATTCGTTGGCATCAAACATTCGATGTTGGATATGTACCTAATGATGTTGTACCGAATGTGTTCATGGCCACGGCAATGGACTTACGTGACGATAAAGGCGGGTGAGAGTACATTACTCAAATAAATTTATTCGGTGGAAAATGATTTCTTAAAATAGAATTCACCCACGTAATAAACTCGACGTTGGCTATCGACTCTCTCGTTCAGGTCTAGCTATCGCTTATAATCTGACAAACATCCCTTATCAAGGACCAATTATAGTCGATTTCTCCATCATACCCCATACGCATCAAATTCAAGTGATGTACTCCGATAAAGTCTCGAAAGGTGTTCAATTACGAAACACCAACGGCTTTGAAGTATATCGAATACAGTCATCTAGTCGTTATTGTAATCGATTATTTTCAGATTTGTTGCATCGCAGAGGATATCTGTAAATCGAATGAAACCGTATGGGTGGCAGCACCCGCGAGTGAAATCAAAGGATCACCATTAAGCATTTCTCTGGATATACCAAGTTCATGTATTTCGAAGAGATTGTTCGGATATCGTTACTTATGGCGAGAAACTCCTTGTGCATACAAAGAAGCAGCAGTTTACAACGCTGAAGATCAGGAAGTCCCTGCTCCACCTTACATTCATTTCTTTTAATCGATGGATTTGAGCATCGACAAACATGAAGTACAAGATTGGAATTTTTTTTCATTTTATTATTTCTCACATCCACACGTGCACAGAACTGAAGCACGAACTGATTAAATTGAATTTTTTCATAAAAAATACAAAAATAACTAGTTCGTATGTAACGAAAATGACAGCATACAGTTGTAAACATAATTGCAAACAAACGACTAGAAAATATACAAGATACAGAAAACAAATGCATTATTGAGCTGGATTATGAAGTAAAGTTTAATATGTTTCGTTTTGGAAAGCAGTATCATTGCCGCATGCACATTTCTTTGAAGCGCTCTGGTAAAAGAAAGATAAGAAATAACTGTACGACTGTCATGGATTGTTCGCATGGATCCATAATACCACGTTGAAGCCATTTTGGTATTGTTAAACGTGCATGACGAAAGCCTAGTTTCTGCAGAATGTAATCAGCACCGAATGGTTCGACTTCGTTTCCATACGCAGTAAGGAGTTTGATGGTAGGTTGTAGTTTCCATTTCGCATCCGGGCAATGGAAATGACGCAAATCATCACTTCGTACTTCGTCAAGTGACGCCAATGCGGCATTATCAATAGGATGGGTTGTTGCCGATGGTGGCGATCGTTGTCTTGGTTTATCATTCGAAGTCGCTAAAGAAAATCAAGCTATTGGTTATCGAGGAAGGTCTTGACTTTTACCTTTTTCTTTTTCTTTGATGTAGGATGAAATGAGATCATGTAGGAAGTAGAAATGCTCAGCATTGAATGAAAACATGATATGCTCGTAGAATTCGGTTTCGAAACTACAATGAACTTGTCCTGAAGAACAGAATCAACTTTGTTTTAATCGATGAAACAGAATGAAAGCGTTTACCGGATAATTGCCGTGTTTGAAATCGTAGTTCAAGGCCAGGTAGAATAAAGATCGATTCAGCACTCTGTTCGTACTGTTTCGAACGAGCTTTAGTCAGTAATACAGGATTCGGTACATCGTCCATACTTGGAAAATCACGTAAACCTGGCAAAAATGCATTTAGAAACATTCCTTTCGCTAATTCCTCATACGTACCAACAGCAGATATGGTCGAACTCGCATAATTAAACCATTCATTAATGGTTAGATTCGAAGGTGCTTCATTACTGTTTCTCGTCACTTTTGATATTGACGCCATATTTGTCCGAGATCTGGGCATTGTTTGTCCTTGATGACCAAGATAGAAGAATAATTTCTGATTGACTAAAACAAGGAACGGATCGATCATATCATAGAATAATTCAAATACTGAGCTTACCATCGCCTGTTTCTCCATGATCTGTGACAAAATTGATTTGTGGCTCGTTCAGAGAAAATAACGCCCACTGACGCGCTTTAAAATTTGAACCATGAAAAACGACTAGGGTCAAATTGTGTCCTTGCAACATCAATTCTCCTCCGTGCATGCCAATATATCGTTTGATAATATTTGTGTCATATTTCGATTGGCCACTCGTCGGTTTCTTTTCCACATGATTTTGTCGTACACCATCGTGAAAATCGTAATGAATCGACGCTAGTAGACTTTTCGAGTTGAGTAAATGTGCATTGAAGAATTCCCATAATTTCAGAACCATTTTGATTATATCCGGGGTCGTTGAGCGTGTTATCATTAGATGTAATTGTGACCATTCGAGATTAACAAGCACTAGGGTCGAAGGAGGCATAGAATGGCTACCTGGTGTGCCATGATGATCATCTTTTAAGCGAAGTAGTATATGACATATACGACCCATCAAGGTTGGAAAACTCATATAATCGAGACGAATTTCAATAGCGTCGGTAAGAACATCGAAGACATGAGAGGATTCATTGAGAAATGCATGATTTTGTAGACCGTGCCGAATGAGGCCTAAAAAAATGAGATGAATCGATTCAATGAATGGAAGTTTAGTCAACAAACGATAATGTACCTGTCGTTCGAAGATTTTTCAACCGAATAATACCTCCGACGATACCCTCGTCGGCTTGGAAAACCGATTTCTGTAGGCCAATTGAAAAGAAGAAGGTACGTTGACCATCGTTCGTTAATGTTAAACTACCCGTTGATGAAACATCTGTTGTATTCCATTCGACTTTACCCATGACATTAGACATTCTCATCGAAATTTGCAATTCTTTCAATTGTATTGCTAGTAACACGCGAGCTTCTTTACGTAACTGTTTACTTGCGGCTGCTTTAGCCACGTTTGGAGCCGCTGATTTTGTCACAGTCGATGACGTTGAATGCGGTGGTGCTGGCGATGCTGTTGGGATCGTTGTCGGTAATGTTTCATCGCCTAAGAACAATCGACGTGCCAATGAGCGATTGTACCAAATTTTCGGAAATGTTAATATTTCAGAAAAACGTTTTATATCATATTCGAATTGTGCCTTCGAGATCTGACCAATAATGGACAATTGTATATTGTTCAAAACCTCACCGTCGCGTTCAATAAGAGTGTACCGTGTACGAGAAATATTGAATGATACAGACTGAACACTAACCGCTAGTGCATTGCGCGTTCGTAATTGTCCTGATCGAATATCTTCGAATAGATGTACTTTCGACTCGCCAGAAAATGGATGGTATACATTCAGTTTGAAATCTTTCATATACAGAGAAAAACTTAGACCACCAAGAGAATTTTCGATAATTTGTTCAGTATCACTGTCGATAACCGACGATGGGACGTTGTCTAATGAAGCACGTTTCGAAGAGAAGACAACGTCGACTGTAGGTAAACGAAGTTCACATTCCATGGGATGAGTTGGTAAACATGTGAATAGAAGAACGGATGGCTGAATGAAAAGGCTAACAACGACATCGATAGGAAATGATGCCGTGGATGACTGATCTTCGATTAAGAACCTAGGAGATATAATCTTAATGAGAGAAATATTCGTACATCGATAGTACTTACATTGTTTTCAAGTGATCATTCTCGGGATTGTCTTCATTGATATTTTGCATTTGTTCTTGCTGTAAATTTGTTTGTCGTTCTTGGTCTTGTGGTAAAGTAATATGTTCAAGTGCTTGTTCAAGAAAATCCAATAGCAACGGATGTATGGTTATTTGTGTTGTTGGCGATTGTATCATAGCTCGACAGTAGAAACTGCCACGTTTATTCAAAGCACTATTCGTTGTATTGTTGTGTTTCGAATTGTAATGTGCATCGACGTCGACACCCGGCAAGAAAAATTGGGACACTTGATATTCAGTTTTGTTGATATATACACTAGCACCGATATTCGCTTGTGATTGCTGTTGTTTTGTTGGATTGGTTGTTGTGAATGGTGAATGAGATATTAAATCACGACGGGTATATAGATTACATGAACCACTAGCGATCTGAATTTGTACATTCAATTCTAAATCAACAGCTGGCGCTGATGTGATTTCATTGGGAGTGCTGGTCGGGATGGAATGATGATCATCGAATTGAGTTGAATCTTGAGTCGGAAAACTAAATGGGAAAGTTATTCGAGATCGTATGAATCGATTGGAAGAGAAAGAGATATATTACCGAATGTTAGCACTTGATGCTCGCGGTGTATCGGTCTCTATTTCATCTTCGCGTATTGATGATGAATATGCTGTGACATCCGATCTAAACAAATCAGAAACGATGAATAACATTTCTTTGAGAATTCTATCAGTCCCTTCTCCTGCCCTTTGTATTAAAATCTGTAGAAAAGCCAGATTAATAAGTAAAATTATGAGTGTGATAGAAACGAATATTAACAAAGCAGTGAGGTATGCCTTACGCGTTTCGACGGTGAAAACTTAATGCCGAGGCACATGTGGCTATCTGTCTCAGTGGATAACGTCGTATACTATTAGCAGGTACACATAAAAGCAGTTTTATAAAAAGCGTCGTTTCTGTATGAAAGACTAGATGAATGTAAAAGAACTTACTGTAGATGATGTGTGTTGGTATTAACATCATGGGATTGGGTTCGTCGATGGCTTGGTGAATCAATACGATTTCGATCGCGATTATGTCCAGTCTAAATGCACAACAGATTGATGAGATTATGTTCGAATGAAATAGTTCACATCAAGCGGTATAATGGGAAACAACGATTATTATAGGGCGTGCACACAACATTCAGACTAGATTGAAATTCGAACCGTGGCTATATTTGATCGTCGAAATAATTCATTTTGCTGTTGCATAGTAAAAACTTGCTGTTGTTGTGGTAGTGGCTACAAAACTCATTCGTTTCGAAAAGTCTTTGTCAAATAGGAATATATATTAACGGACAATGGCTACATCTTTCTCTGCTTCAATCGCTTCGAACTAGGAAAAGACAATCACAATACCTTATTTGATTGTTTCTTCATAATTTGTTGGATTTCTGATTTGACTGTGTGAAGCAATTCCTTTTCCAACCATTCATATCTGACCAGTTCCGGTTTTAAAATTTCATACGGTGTATTAGATCGTCTAGAAAATCGAACACAGTTTCGTTTGGTCTTGTGTGAAATGTGAATCTTACTTTAATGTTTCAATTCGTTGTCCCAATATCAAATGTTCATATTCCAGTCGTTTATTTCTTTCATCATCTTCGTTTTCATCAAGATTTTCTTGAATATTTTTCGTACTACCCGCCTGCGTGTTCAACAAATTCAAGTTCGATGATGAATTCGTCTCACTATTCGAATGGTCGGCTGGTTCGATTAATTGTGTAGAAGTTATTGTTCGTATTAGTTGAGAAAAACGTTTGCCGACAGTTGAATCTAGATTTATATCGATACCTTTCATATCCCATTGAACATTGAGGAACCATTTAGGGCTGTTAGAATTCAAAATATGTCTCGCACGTGAGTGCATCAAGTATTGTCCGCTCGGAACGCAACAAGCGTTGAGAATAGTATTCCATGACGAGGATGAGCGTTCTGGTTTCCAGTTGTTGTTTGTTTGTTGAAAGTTTTCAGCGAAACGAAAGCAAAAACCTTCGAATGAACCCGAACTTATAATCGCACCACACGAACACGCTGAGATCGTTGTCTTATCCAAAGTAAAGACAAGGAAATCACTGCTTTCGTCTAGGGCCGGTACTGATTGTTGAGTAGTCATTCCTTGTGTTAGTAGAGTATCTGTTGTTGTTAATTTTGGTGGAAGATCATATTGTTGCAGTGGAATGGCAATACCTAAATCTACAATGTGTAACTGAAACATCAGATTGAGTTCTTTAGTTGTTGTTGGCGATGTCGGAACATTAACAATCGAACGTATACGCGCCGAGTCACTTGTAGTCGTTGTGAATGCTCCACGCTGTTCATTCCAGTGTTCATATGTGTTCTTATAATTTAACCAAAAGAGGATTCCTTTATCGATGGCACCAGGTTGCCAGTAGAAACTCGGTTTTGTTAAACGAATAAAGTATGCTTCTTTTTCTGGATCGTCCGATTGGAAAGAATTTCTTAATAATAGTTTCGTTTTGAAATACGCAGCATCTTGAAAACCACCTGTGTGCAAGAGTTGTCCGAGACTAAGCTTGATGTACAATAGAGCGTTGATTAGCGGTTTGTTATAAAGGTAAAGTGGATTTTGCTCATCGTAATTTGTTAGTTTAACAAGTATTGGCACTTTATCAGCCCCATTCTCGAATTTCACTGTTGTATTCGACGGTGTCTGACCCATAACTTCGAAACCTCTCATCGATATATGGATTTTGTATGTAAATGGTGTTGCCGGTGTTGCTTGCTGGTCTTTTCCTAGTTCGTTATCATCTTCGTCATCCTCATCGTAGTCACCTTCATCTTCAATATCAGTCGAACCAACACGCATGATCGGCACTGTCGATGACGATGATAATCGTCCATGCTTAGTTGAACCAAACCGAAATTGATCGAAACCAGAAACTTTCGCTAAAATTTCGTTGATTTCATGTATGATCACTTTTGAAACGAAAACCAGCTGTGCAAGAAAGTCGGCTGTGATCGTTAATTTAAGTAAGTCGATTTTCGTACGAAGATTCAAATGTCCTTTGCTTTTATTTGCTAGTTCTTGTTGCATATCATAGTTTCCATAACAACGAATTTCAGGGAAATCAATACGAACATGATTGTCGGAACTAACTGTCGGCGGCTGTTGACGATCGTTATTGTTATTATTGAGAAAATGTAGAGCATGTTCATGGATGATAGCAGTAAAACGTGATTTCGTAGCACCAATATTAGCCACACCTTCGAGAATGCCGATTTTATACTGGGCTTTTAATGTCGAGAGAAGTGTTGTGGAGAATGTCATGCCTTGACATTGAGCAGTTATATGAGCTTCAAAAACTGGCCGCTTTGATGACGCTGATGAGAGACTTTGCTGCGTTTCCAATGGACGTGCATTAGCATTTCGAGTTTTGGTATCTTTACGACGCGTGCCTAAACGTTTCTTTGTTATCGTACGTTCTAATGGAACAGACATGTTCGGTTCTTCGATGGTATCGTTCAAACTTGCATTAATCGTTCCAGTGTCGACATTGACGGTCGACGGGGTTAATGACGTCTGTTGAGTATCATCGGGAAGAAATTCTTGTACATAGGATGTGATTAGCCGACCGGCCCGATTGACAAGATCATGAACTTCTTGAGGTCGCAATGGCACATCCATCGCAATTGTGCCAATGTTTGTTACACCACTCAACGTCAGATTAACTCCACGAGTTTGAAGAGATGTTAGCGCACGTGATTTACCGACGATAATATCAAGAACGGAGATTTCTCGGTTCGAAGAAGGAATATTCGACGAAGATGGATGAGTCAATGGAACAGTCGAGTGCGGAAGATTGTCTGCTGACGTAGAAAGTGTTTCTTTAAGTGAGAGCGATGTCGAACCAATTTGGACAATCAATGAACCATCATATCTAGAAATGAGCACATTTATCATCTCGATGTAAACGTATAATCATCCTACTTCTTCGTATGTTGACTATTGGCCGTTGCTTGTAAAGCTCGAAGTCTTTGAGATATGCTAATACTTCCTTGAACTTTTCCCATGCATCCATCCACTTTCAATCCGCCCAACGAAGCTGCATAATGTATTTCATCAATAATTAACCAACCAAATGACGAAAGTAAAAGTGTTTCAGCACTTCCATTAGCACCGATCAATCTTGTTTGATTTTGCTGTTGTGGTATGTTCTCATTAGGTGGTTGTGAACCACTACGTTGTTGCTTCCGGCTCGTGGTAGTTACAGGTGGTTGTGTTGGTTTAGGTACTGCTGATGTAGCATTATGCGCGACCAATTCTCGTAATTTTTTCCAACATTGTCTTTCGGGATGATCGAGTCCAGTGTCATTATACTGAGAATCTAGTTGAAGAATGCTCGGCTCGAGAGTTCGTAAAACAAGATTTTGAACACCATTATCAGGATTCATAATACCAGAAGTATCGAGTGCATCATTCTGTTGTTCGTTCGTATTCGCGTCTGTTCTCGTTATTTCATCGATGCCAGTGTATTCAACAGCATTACCGACAACTGTATAGAACTGGTAAACCAAGCGAATGAACGAAAGATTGACTTCTTGTTGAACACGCTGTACACGTATACCAGCTTGGACGTTCGCCGAATGTAATCGGTCGTATTCGAGTGATTGCCGACAGACACTTTGAATGCTTAAATTTGTTACCGAAAGGATCGATAGTTCGTTGGATGTGTTCAATATCGATGGGCGAATATGTGGCACTCGAAACTGAACTGTGGTTGGTGGTGATGATGGCTGGTGATTTACATTTGTTTGAGTTTCATTTGCTGGTTCGTTGGGGAGGATTTTCACGTCAAATCGTTTGATCTGTGCTGATGCTAGAACTGTCTGACCTAATTTTTCAAACAATGGTTCGATTGACGATGAAACAGATAATTCAACACCAGCATATTCAAGTAAAATCTTAAATAGCTGTTCCACTGAGTCCGCATACTCTCGAGCACTGTCGGTGTAATACACCGCTTCATTATCATGAGCATTGTCCGCTGAGCGAATGGCACTAGAGTTACCTTCGAAATCGGACTCATCATGGCCAATACTTAAACGTTTGTAACCATTTGTATTGTTAACGTTCACTGTCGGTTCGAAACGTCGCATCGCATCACCTTTAAAGAGAAAGCAAACGAATGTTAAACATTCACCAAAGACTTCGTTTCCATTCTTCGTTAAAATGAAAAAGCATCAACGTCATGCACATGCATCTAGAAGTTTGCATTATCATATGAACACATTTGTTCGGCCCATGTCAATTCCTTTCGCCATGTGAATGAGAGCGTGAGAAGAAGCAAAGTTTTAAGTATTTGATAACATTTGCTAGATTTTCTTGCTAATTCAACCATTGAAAAATGAGACCGCTTACCTTCTTGATATGCTACATTTACATAACCCGAAGCTGGCTCTATAAAAACATTCATGAAGTCTTACTTATGGGTAAGGGATGTTCACAAACAACAACAGAAATGAAAAATTTGGGAAAGGGAAATGACATTGGTCAACTAATAGTTTTGGTTACAATAGGATTTATATAATAGATAGTGAATGGAGATAAACACTAATCAAAAGATTTTCGTAGTTCGACAAATCTTTTCCAAGTGTTGATGAAAAAGTGAATTAAACTCTTTCTCAGAATTAAACCGCCACGATTCATATAATAACAAGGATTACTTCTAAGTAGATACTGTGTTCGATTGTAAGGCGAGGATATGATATAGTCAGTCATTTGACTAAAGAAGATCGATGTGAATTAGTTCAGCTTTCAAGCATCCCTTAGAAGAAGATGACTCAATCGTCGAATAATATAGTGTAATAGTCATTGATAAGCAAAGATGAAATGATTCAAGAAGATAAATGCTCCCGTTACATCCTTCCCTGCGATAGGCTATCTATTGGTTACCTCAGGTGGACAACACTTCACATCTCTCATTCTAAATTCATTCATCATTCACTAAGCACAAGACACAAAGCTAATATTGCAAAAACGTATGTTTCTAAATACCAATCCTACCGTTAGAGGCTTTTTCTCGCATAACTACTTATGAAAAAGAAAAGAATATTTCGATTTAGTCTTTAATCCATAACTTGATTATAGATCTGAAGAAATAAGAGCGTTCTTTACCTAAGAAGCCAGATGGACGTCGAGTTTCGCCCACACCCGGATCATTACTGTCGCCAATCATGTCAATCAGTGTTTCTCTGTTGTTAGCACTATTTCGCGTGTTTTGTACTATTGTGCGCTTTCGAATAGCAGATCCATTGGTTGTACCATGATCGAGACCGTCCTGTAGCTTTATAGGGCCTGTCGCTGGTTGACGTGGATGTGTTTTGACAAATTCATGTCCAATAAAACGTTGGACACGATCAACTTTCGTTGGCGCTCGTACGACAGCTGGTGGTTGTTCTTGTTCATTACTAGAAGTGGGTAAAATAACATTGATTGGCGAAGTTGATGGTGGTAATGTGATGGGTTGAACGATGATTTGATGTGGCTGTTGTTTAATGATTTTTGCCCAATCATGACAAGCTCCGCGTATACCTTGTTTGAGTATTTGCAATTCAGGCACAATAATCGGTTGAAGATTGATATGCATTTGTGTACTATGATTGAATTGTTTGCGAAGTTCAGTAACCAGTTGACAAACCGGATGTGAAAGAAGGTATTTTGTTTTCGGAGTGAACAAATCATAGAATTTACTTTTTGATAGAGTCAATGTAGGTTTCGTTTCGACAAGAAAATACGCTAAGACAGCGTCGAGTCGCTTTTCGCGTCTATGAAGAAACTTTTCCATCGGCTTTTGTATTCGATTAATGACACAAAACCAGCCGAGAACAGTGGGAGATAACGTCGACAGGAAATTCCAATCGTATCGCGTGTACGAAAACAGTTTCTTTGGTGCCGGCGCTTGCTTGGCGCTAGTCGTACTCGTCCGCGGACGTCTCGAAGAATTCGATGTTGAATGCGTATGATGTGGTGGTTCTGGAAATGAGATCCAGACATGATCGATCGAACCATCAAATACACTACTCGATGAAGCGCTGGAAGAAGTCACTGTCGATGTGATGTTTGTCGGGGAATTGATTGCCGACGACAGTAGTGGCTGAAATAATTGATAACAATACTGGTAAATGATACATACTGATCAAATCTCAAACTTACGTCTGTCGATTGTTTTCGTTTGGATTTATGTTTTGCCGACGATCTCGATGTATGTGTTTCATCCACTTGAGTCATAACTGGCGAGATAAACTTTCTCTGTTGCTGCTGTTTCGCTGCATTATTAATTAATTTAAAACATAATCTTTGCAAGCCAAATTCATTCATAACAAAACCCACATTCTTTCGATTGACGCCAAGTGGTAGATGTGTTTGAATGTCATTTCCTAAACGGAATTGTAAACGACAACGTTGCGATTGTATAGCATGGATATTGACATTTTCGATGGAGGAAAAATCATTTTCGAATCGACGAAACTGTCCCGTAATCGATTGAATCTTGAAAACGCCAGCTGTGGACTGATCGCGCTTCGAGAGAATCGTTTCCATCTGAATTTGTTTACATGATAGCGCAAAGAGAGACATCGTCACAATATCTATAGGTGTACGTAATTCAGTTAATTGAACATTGTCTTCTGCAAGACCAGCTTGTAGTAAGCAAACATTGATCTTGGGTAGTTGAAGAGAAATTTTAGTTGCTGATAGGTCAATCGATGTGACAGACGGATTCGATTGTGTTTGGGCTCGAACGTGGAGACCATCAAGAATGGAAATCGGATGCAAATCAAATGTTTTCCATTTTTCGATGTAGACGGTTAAACATTCCAACATTAGTGGTGTCAAAAGAATATTGAACGCTCCAATAAACCGAAGGCATATTTCTTTTTCGGTTGCAATGTTATTCGAAGAGTTAATCGGGGACATCGATTGCGCAACTGATGGACGCGGTCGAGTGTTTACTGTTGTTGCTGATAGTGACTGTGACTGATTTTGTTGTTGTTGTTGTTGTTGCTGCTGCTGCTGCTGCTGTGATTGTCGAGATGGCGGAGTGGTGAATGATTGAGACGAAGAAGTCTCAGATAGGAAAGAACACGAGAAGCCTTGAGATACACAATCGAAATCAAGTAATGGACGTGGATCAACTTGTTCACGTTGAATATTGGGTGGAAATGTTGCAGTATTGGACCATGTTGAAGAACGATAATGTGATAAATAGCGGATATACGTTGTGGACAGAAGAGTGGATTTTGGAATGGACATCTTCATTTGGTTGCGTAGACTAATCCATGACGAACTGGGTAATGATGGTTGTTGGATTTTGTTATGTTCTGTTGTTGATGAAACACCCTAAACAATAGAACGCAAATTAGACAAATGTTGCCTTTTTGTTCCGATAATTACTTTGTGATGAATGAACATCGAACTATTCCTCATCTGTTGTCTCTGTAGTATTTCTTCTAGAGCTACTAACGAATCAAATGATGATGAACGTGATGAATTCGTGAGTGAATCTCGTCCATTGTCAACTGATCTGGAGAACAGATTCGTATTCGACTGTATTGGTGACGAGACAGCTGAGCACTGTTGTTGCATCATCGTTAACGATGATATGGACGAGGTTTCCATGATATTGTTTCGATGATGAACGGCCGAATTCAGACTCGTACGACTGGAACTTGTGGGAGATAATCGATCATTTGGTGTTAAATAATCATCACTGATGGGTGTTGTTGGCGAAGGTGAGGAAGCTGGATTGATGTTATTTAACGGAATGGATGACGACGAACGTTTGTGTTGGTTTCGCTCGATGACTGATTTCGGTTTGATATTTTTAACTGAACTCGTTCGTGATAGCGAATACAAATCAGTGGGAACACTATGTCGCAGATGATTTTCGTTGATCGCCGGCGATTGGGTTTCATCGGGTTGTGTTTGTTGTGCACAAAAATCGAATGGATAGAAAATTTCTTCATCTTCTAATTCATCGGGAAACTTATGGAAACGCTCGTAAGTATTCCAATTATACTTTTGTTCGAAGATTGCATGTGAATACAAAACGTGAACGTCGGGACGAAACAACGAACGTCCAAATGAGAATTGTTCACTGAGACGAAATGTATTCTTGAAAAATTGTCCCCCTTGCACAAGCGTGTAGTAATTCGACGAGCCACCAAGACAGGCGCACGATAAAACATTGGCATTCGTTGCAAGACCAACATTCGATGGACGCTTCAAATTCGTTGAGATGTTTGGGATGTTTAACGTTTGTTGAGATTTGGGATTGTAGAGAAAATGTAAGCGTTGAGAATGTTGATCATGTCGACGAAGAAAATCCAGTTGTTCGCTGATCGTCGCTGGTGATGGCGGATGACATTCAAATTTGGCATTGATACGAAGTTCAGGAACATGAATCGAACCTGCTTCTAACCACGAGCCGGGATAGAGTCGTAATAACTGACGAACTTGTATGCTGCCAACTTTCAAGGTTAAACTTTCGTTACACAATGCTGTATGCATATTACACATACATAGACGAATGGGCGCTATCTAAAAGTCAATAGCTATAGTCCTTGTGGGTCAATCCGATGTCGATGACTTACTTGAACATTAACTGCACTGCCAACTTCGACGAGATTGAGATCGATAGAATCTAAACTGAACCGTAGCACGTCGTACTTTAGTTTTTCAATCCATTTTGTTTTGTCGATGACAGGCGAACGAGTGAGAGTGTATTCATCTTCCATGATTTGTAAATAGAAATTCTTCACAAATCCGAGCACTTTTTCCAGCTACAAAGAAGGAGAAACTTCAAATGATTTGAAATGACATTTAACACACCTGAATTGTTGTCAATCGAGCCGCGATTTTGCCAAGAATGATTTCCATTTGCCAAGCATACTCGAGTGTTTCACGTTCGGGTGGTAAACCTTCGTGTGAAAGCATGGCGTGGCCACGAATAATCAAACCAGATAGCTGAAGACAGCCCGTGGATAAATGCTGGTCAGTTTTATTTCTCTACAAGAAGAAATATCTATTTAGACAGACGAAATGTCATATTTGTCATCACTTACAACAATCGTATCTTCGACGTAAACATTCACAGGTGAAAAATATAATTGCAGTCGTGTTTCATCTAGGTCAGTCGTCATTTCAAAACAAAGCCGTTCACAAAAGGCCATCGGACATGGTTCATGATCCGTATGCTAAAGAGAAACATTTGAATTTCACACAGACATCAATATCCTTGCTTACATGAACAAGGTGTGCGGTAATATTATGCAATGCAACACGTAGAGTGACCATCAACGGTCGAAAATATCTCGGATCAAATGGATAAGTAAGGTCAATAAGATCAACTAATGGATCATCATGAACTATGATCTTCTTTTCCCGTATTAAGTCAGGTTCGCGAATATCATGAAACATCTGATCCCAACCAAAAATATTCTCCTAAATGACATCAATTTATCGAGAGATTATCATAACAATAATATCAAATGCTTACTTTTACCCACCACAGTTTCTTTAGAAATAAACCGTGTAGAAACAAATTGACAGGCCCGATGTCGATTTCAATGTTAAATAGATCGTAGTCTAACTTATTTGGATGGAATGTATCTCGATTGCCCATAGCTTTAACTTGCTGAACGTATAATAAGTCTAGAGAACATTAGTTTATAGTTAAAGAAAGAAGAACGTGGGTTACTATTACCAGTCCTATTTGAATCAATTGGCGGCGCTGTATGAAGAAGAATTTCGACAAGAATCTTTATATTGGACACTTCACCACAATCAAAACATCCGTCGCTAGAAATAAAATGTTTCATATCTTCTGCTTCTTTTGGTTATATTTTACCGTTTCTCAAATTCATCGGATAAACTCAATTGAGATTTCACGCCAGTCGGCGAGTAGTATCGCTTATGAGCATCGATACCTTCGAGAATATAGTACAAACGATTACTTTCCGGAATAATCAGACGAGCGAGAACATCATGAACCTAATAAAAACGTGAAGTCATAAGTTGACAATTAGCCATGCAAAAAACTAACTTCGATCGTTATGTCCATTGGTGTTGCTTTTGGGCAGAATTCCAAAAATGGTAATGGATACGTCAATGAAAACGATTTTGCACAAATAGATATATAATCTATAAAACAAAGGTATTTCTAAAAAACGCAAAGTACGATTTCTCTTACTGTTTTCAGCTGTTCGTTGTTGTGCGTGATTTCCATTGGCACAGTCGATCCAATTACCTTGATTGCATGGTACTAAAATCTCTACGTAATCACCTTGTAACATCATGTCATAGATATACGGCACAAATGAATAGATATCGGGTGGTACGGATGATGCCCAGTCATTGATCAACGCTAATAGAACAGAGTGAATATGCTTTTTCTTACAAAGATTTTTACTATTATAAGGTGCAAAAATGTTACCTTGTAAGAAATTTTTGTGTTCAAATACAAAGTAGACTTGAGCTTTACTGGTTGTGATTTCAATCGACCAGATTTGAATCGAATTCCAAATGCGAGGATAGTGAATATGCAGATTCATCTGAAAGAAATGATTTCTAATCTGTCAAACTCATAGCATCGTTCTTACATCGACTCGGTCCGCTTGAAGAAGTGGTGTGAATGACAGGTTGGTTCGAACAATAGGATTGATGACATACATTGACAGATAGGTATCGAAACCATCTGGACTTGTTATCCAGGGAAATGATGCATCAAGATAAGAATTTTGCGCAGGTATTTCCGCATGAAGTTGATGAAGTTTCTACAAAACTGATCATTTTCACGAGCAATCAAAACAAGCAAACAAACCATTTTGTTCATAAAATAGAGATCCAACGTCGTTTGACAAGCTAACCATAATTTAAAACGTACAGTTTTAAATATTCGTGTCTGTCCTATCAATGCATCGGGCGTTACAGGTGATTCTTCGAATAGTGTTGGTAAAAAGTACTGCCACAGTGCTTCTCTGGAATGCAAAACATCTCACATTTGATTTACTCTTTAATATATTTAGAAGTCATCTACCTCTGTCGATCAGCCCATGGTCCATATGCAACTTTTGCTTCTTTCAGACATTTTATTCGAAATTCCCATATTAAATCTGGTAATGGTTCGCTATTTTCTGTTTGTTCGATCATTTTACCCGGCACATCTTGTTCATACTCTAGTTCACCGTCCAAACATTCGAATACTTGAAACTTTCCACTTTCTGCTGCCTTCGATGTCGGAATGGGTGGTGGACTATTCGGAACGAAATCATATGCATTCTATTCATCATTACCTTTGGACATAAAATTACTTACACTTCATGCAGTTCTCCTTTGTAGCCTTTGATTGGATGGAGATAAACACGAAGATTTCGATATTTTAAAGTATATAGTAATGTCATGATGTCCACTTCGGGGAGATTCCTCGACGGTGACATACTTGTGAATGTACTAGTCATTGTACTGAAACGAATCAATAATCCATAAGGTAAACTGTCGTGTCCAGCTGATATTTTGCCCTGGAAATCAATTACGTTTGTCTTTTGGTGTTATAAAGACATGATCGACTCACATGTTCAATTTTAATTTCGATTGCTGGAAAGAGACTACGAAGACGTTTGACGAATAATCCATCTTCATTGTTTTTTAGCGTGTTAACACTTTGTGTATCATCACCTTTGGACGAAATTCTATTTGAAAACAGAAATGAATAGTAGTACGGCGGAAGAAGGTCTTCTTACCCATTGATTGAACCTCTTTGCAAGTCGTCAGTGGAATTGATAATATCAGAAACAGTATTTGATCGTATTGGACTGAAAAATAGTATGTCGAGATAGTATAACTTAATTTTTAAGCGTATCAATGGTTTATTTTTTGTTTTGGACCAATAACGAAACACTAGACAACCGTCTTTGACAAAAACGAAATAACTTCCCGTTGTGTAATGAAGATTTCGAAACATAATCGATCCGGATATGAATGAGATGGATACCGAATCGAATTTTATTTGTGTTGTATCTTTAAAATAGAATCGTCGTAAAATATAAGACAAAATGATGCCTTGTACACGTGAATGATATAAGATTAAATACAAAATCCATATGATTGTTAATAGATAAACAATAACGAGCAGAGGAATCTGTTCACGATGTGTTTCGAAATAATCAATAAGTTCACTCGATATAACATCTAATGTCGATGGAGTTGATGGATTAGCACCGGGATCTGATGAATTGTATGAATCATTGAAAAAAAGCGTTGTCGTAGTTGTTGACGTGAGAATTTCCATTGACTTGAAGTGTTCAGAGAAATAAATAACTGTTTATGGAATAGTTCAATCAATCAATGGAAGACATGGAATTCTAGTCTAAATCTAGTTATGAAAGAAAATGAACAAAACAACACTATATAGGATTGACATGTTCTTTTCAATGGTGCGTTCTTTAACCAATTCGATGCTATTAGAATAGATAGCGAACTCTGCCGAAAGTAGAAATTGAATAGAACATTAACACAGTCAGATGTGTTCAGAGAGAGAGACAAAACAAAACAAAACGTGCCAGTAAGAGATAATTTTAGTCGTCGATGATTAATTTTCATAAACAAAAACATATTCGAATCTCCTCGCACTTCTGCACTATAGGTTTGATTGATGAGAGGAGATAAAACAAATAAGTAATGTCGTCAGATCAACCTTTCTCTTTTCTTTCAACACAAAAGGTGAATTATTAAAAGTACATTTCTATATTCGATTATTCGATGAATATGTAACATTTATTAAAGTTTCTAAGGAAAAAAAAACGATTTATAATTTTCTTTTTATCTCGTCAAGGTTCTTTTGATAAAGTTCGAGATGAGGGTGATTTGGAGGCAAAGAGTTTTGTCCGATTTCTACCGCTTGTTCGTAGAACAGACGAGCTTTCGAATAGCTACCCATGTTTTGATAGACTAAGGCGATGTTATAATGAGACATCGCTAAGTCAGGATGATTGGCAGGAAGTGTTTTTTGTAAGATTTCTAAGGATTTTTCGTATGATGCAAGTGCCTTTTCGTAGTTACCCATATTATCATACGTATTGCCAATGTTATTGTAAGAAGAAGCCAAATCGGTTTGATTGGGCGACGAAGAGTCCTGACGGATGTAAAGCGCTTTTTCATGAGCTGCCAGCGCTTTTGGATAATCGCCCATATTATCATACAACAATCCAATACTATTGTAAGAGAATGCCACATCTGGATGATTAGCAGGCAATTCTTGTAGTCGAATGTTCAACGCTTTTTCATGAGCCGCAAGCGCTTTTATATGATCACCCATATTATCATATAAATTACCAATATTATTATACGACGCGCCCAGATTTAAGTGATGTCCTGAAAGAGATTGCTGTTGAATATCTAACGCTTTCTTATAATATAGCAATGCACTTGAGTAATCATCCATACTTTTGTAAGCAAGTCCGATATTGTTATAAAAACTGGCGAAATCGATATGATTTGGTGGAAGAGTTTGCTGTCGAATCTCTAATGCTCGTTGGTAATACATTATCGCATCTTTATATGCACCTTGACTGTATTTCACACGTCCCAGTTCATGAAATGTCGTTGCTCTTTGCGGTTCTGTCATGGGTTGATTCAAGAGTATTTCATAAAGTTTTTCCGCTTTGTCATATTGACCAATTTTTGTGAACACCATCGCCAATCGGTTCCAACCTTTCTCATCCGGAAACGTCTCTTCTCGGATCCAATCATACAAGGCACGTAGATCTTTATCATTGTTACTCACTAGTGTAACTCTGATTTCATAGATATGATTGTTTCCAGTCATTGGTTTAATGTCGTGTACTCGAAAGATGGAATGCATCGAGAAGAGAATTTCGTTTTCCGCGTGTGTATGACTGACTTCGGATATTAATGCAAATGGTAATGTTGACTGGGCTGGATCGATTGTCATAATGAAAAGTACGCCGACTAAATCAGGATTTCTGGCGACTTGTTGAGCGAAACGAAGAGAAGTTAAAATATCTTTGTTGGTGACCAGAAAATTGTTGAACGAAATCAGGCCATTCTTTGTTTTATTCAACTGTTGAAAATCAGATTTCGTTATTCCATGCCCACGATAGATTGTAAATGGTTTATTCGAGTAATCATGTGTATATTGTTTCAAATGTAATCGTTGAATGTCACGATGAAGATCACCGATAAAGAAACTAATTGGCATGATCATTTCAATGTCCATTACTCGTAATGTTTGATTAAGCATTGGATATAGGAAACATCGATTTGTATACCACCAAATTGGACATTGATCGCGGTAATGCCGTCGTAGTTTTTCGATGAATCGTAATTCACGTTCGTTGTCATAAAGTGCTTCGTAGCATCGATTAAGAAAATCTTTGATGGATTTTTCATTGAATTCAACCGCTAAAGAGATTTCTTTCAAAACATGGCTGTAGACAAAAGTCGGGTCCAAATTATCGAAATTTTTTTCTATTAGATCCGCAGAATTTACGGCGAGAAAGCTAAGTGGAATTGAATTGTATTCACGTTCTTGTACTAACTGTTTGAGAGCATCGCAGATCGGTGGAATACCTGTATAAACTCCTTTGACTTTAGGCCATTCTCCAGCCCATTGTTCGTGCAATTTCCTATTGCTACAGAACACGAATATCGAGTCGACTTGGGACATCGCATGTACACATGGAACAATAAGTTGACCGATGGTACCCGAAACAATCAGATAGATCTTGTTTTCGGTAATATTTTGGATAAATTGCGTGCATTGATCTGCATCGGTGAATGTATTAATATTTGTGATAACTTGTCGTAATTGTGAAATTGTATGTTGACAATCAGCACAGTTTTTATCAATACTGTTGTCCAGCCAAACGAGAATGACATTCTGTAATCGTCGAGGATCGATGCGTGGAGCTACGGTCGAACTTTTTGACAACAAAGATGTAAATTCGGTTGTGCCTGTCGCAGCAGTTTTGCTACTCGTCGGAATGGATTTCGTATTGTGCATGAATGTAACCACGGTACAGCTGTGTGAGTAGAAGTACACTTATGAATACTAGCGGTGTAAAACCGTTGATTGAAGGTTATTTAATAGAGTAGATATTACGTATTTTTTTTGTTCATCATGTAATTGATTGTAATGTTAGGAGAGGTACTGCTGATATTCCTGGTAGTTACCAATGAGGAACGAAAGAGAAAAAATGATCGTATGTACAGTTATGCTTGTCAAAACATGAATTAGTCCGTGAAAAAAAAGCGTTTTCTTATTTAGTAATATGATAAGAGTGGTGACGATTCTTTTCATTCTCGTATCAGCTACCTTGTTGTTCAAGGATCAAAATATTGAAATTATTCACGTATAATGCTTTTTATTCGATAGAACGGTAAACATATGTTTCCAAGAAAGAAAACTATCATTGACATTCCGAGGATTTCTAGAGCAAGACACTTAAAGAATCGAAATTGGTCACTCAGCGATGAGCTTTTTCTGAAGTAGAAAGTGATCAGTACGCTAGACAGTGTTTTTCACCAGAGTCCTTCTCATCAATTGGCAAAAGTGAAAAGTATTGTAACGTAGTCTATGTTTTATTCGTGTGCGTCCTTCGGTAAACTTTGGAGTAACGTGGATCGTGCGTGACAATTTCTGAAAAGATAATTCAGATTCCATAAGGTTTCGGAAACTTGGTAAGCCAGCTTCGGCTTTTCCTGATTATTAAGAAACAAGCACAGGTTCGAAAACTTTCGTCTAGAAGTACCTATGTGAAAGTACACGAAAGTATGTTTATCCAAACATCTCATTATCAGAATTATTGTTCCCGAAAAAGTTCTTTATCAAAAACACGTGATTATATCAGGTTTCAACATGGCATTTTATTGTGCTTTAATCGATTTTGTCAAGTTATACTAAAGGGATAAAATTCAACTGTATGAAAATAAAAAGCATATGGTTGAACCCTTTTTTGAAAAGCATTAAAAATGTAAAAAATACAGTGAAAGGTTGGTTAGAAACTGTTGTGTATACACAACATACTGTTAGTGCTCTCTGTATAGTATTTCACATATGGAAAAGTAAAAAATGTACGCCTAAGTTCGAATAGTAACTTAGTGAAAGTATAAACCAATAATTACAAGTGCCGCCCATAAATTATACAAATAATACGACCAATTTATTGATGCACTATTTACAGTTCCCGTTGTTGATGGTGTGCTGGATGTTGATCCAGTGCCGGCGGACGAAGTCGACTGACTACTTCCGGGTGATGATGATGATGATGATGGTGTGGATGTGGATGTCGATCCACTACTGCTAGACGATGATGCAGACGTTGATGGAGATGAGGTAGTGGTAGTCACACTGCATACTGGTGGTACTTTAGCAGCAAATTGGTTGGCATAATTTCCAGGTGGATAGTAGTTTGCGACAACATAAGCTGTTTTATTGTCGCTAGTGAGTGCAACACCAATACCTAGCTGTATCGAATCAGACCATACAACTTGTGTGAAGTGACCGGTTGATGAAGAAAATCCCGGAGAATTGTAATTGTAACTCGCAATTTCACTATACCAAGCGTTAGTAGGTTCAGAACCTAAAAATTCGTATGAGAATCCGTTATGTAAGCATTCCTATATTTACCATTGAGGGAAATTATGCTCGCTGAGGACCACGAATAATAGAGATTTTCTCCGTAACCAGACACTCGACTATGATTGAAGATATTGTTCGCAGCTAAATACTGAGCATAGTTTTGTGCCATTGTCGATATAGACGAATTCAGAGTCATTGCGGTAGTACAGTGAATCTGTTGCCGGTAGTAATTATGTTGTGCCAAGGCTTCCTGTTGAAAAGTGGCGAGATTAATTGCTCCCATTACTGGATAGATACTCGTCAGGATAAAACTTAAGAATACTGCAAAAGCTTGCATGATTTCTATTCTACAAAAAAGAATAAGAGATTATCAATATCTGGTTGTAGCGTCCTTATTGTCATTTGTGAAGAAAAATCCAAATTAGATCAAAAAATGACTTTTAATTCTGCTGCCGAAATTGTGTCATTTATATATGTATAAAAGAGAGTCGAGAATAGAATTAGCAGAAGCCTACAGATGCTACTTCGCCTGCACGGCTCGTTCGAAAATATAAATAAAAAAATTAATGTCGGACTGAGTAAACTATTGCTTCCAGATGGCAGAAAACTGCCTGTTTAAGGGATAAAGAATGCGAAAGTTTCAGTTATAGTGCATAAATTCGGCTGAAACGCACAGTAAACAAAACACTATTCACTTCTAGTGCGTCAAATTTAATTGAATATTTTCAAGTCAATATTCAGAGCACGAGATCAGATTTTTTTATTCAAACACAACTTAATTACTGCTCTCGACTCAAGTTTTTTGTTCACAGACTGCTTTCGAAGCCCAATCAATTTTGATTTTGAATTTTTTATTAAAGAATGTTCCTTTTTACGAAAATAATAACATTCGAAAACGCCCCACTTAAAACAGAGATAGAAAACACATAAAGATTGTGGAATTATTCTATCTGGAAGGTGAGAGTAACCTTTAGTATTTATATGATAATTTTCAGAGAGAGAGAGAGAGAAAGGTTCAGACCAACAACGACCCTTTATGGACTCGATAGAGCAGAAAAAACTAGACAAGATGCACTCAAACTAATGTACAAAAAACTGTGTGTAGTGTCCCAATTAAGCTCTGAAGATATTGAAGTATCATCATTTATATAGCTGTTTTTTACAATATCGTTGAAATTTTCTCGTTTTTGATCAGCAATCTGATTGCAAGTTTCTCGCATTATCCAGATGATTCAACATTGAGTGTCTAAGCATTATCTAAACGTTAGTTGAGGATAGCTTTTCGCTTACACTGTAAAGAAAAAGCATTGAATAATGAACCCTCAAAAAGGATTGATGGTCACGACATGATCGCATCAATGTTGATCACAATAAAATAGTTTCGATTTGGATTGAGTTTTAGTGCTGATATCTGACTCTTCATCAGTTGGTAAGACAAGATCATTTCTGACCTATTTGTACTCGAATTTACCAATTGAACCTGCTTCGTAGAAGCATTGACTCAGACTAATACGTTGATAATTGGAGAACCATTGCGATTTTGATCAAATGCTTGATTCCAGAATACCCAAGTCGAACAATACGGATAGGTTCCCGCATGATCCGAACACCGGAACGTTCGACATGGGTAGAATTCTGCAGTTAGATAATATCGTTTGTCTTTGTATTATCTTTTGAATGAGGACAGGTGATTTGACATTCGAAAGCGAGGACGTTTTTTGATACCATCATATCAAGCACACGATGGGGCAAACTCAGGAGCAGTCGCCACATTAAAACCTTTGTTCAGTTAACTACAAACATGCGATTTCAATACTGTAGTCTATTTACCAGAGGAGTCTACATAACGAGGCAGAATATTCAAGGAAAACGTTCCTTTTCCTCTCTGAGCATTCGAAAAATCGGATCGATCGATCGTAATATTTGTATGGAGGGATAGTTTACGCGAACCGATGATGGCCTACGCCGAATGATAACACCCGGCGTTGTCCGTTGGAATGTAAGAATTTTTATATTCGGACTTCCCATTTGTACCTTGATGAGAATGTCCTCAAGTATTGCGCGAAAGCCATCACTCTCCTGGGTCATCTGATCGAACACGTGAGGAAATATTTCATGACCAAGAACAACCTTTCGCAGTGCTTCATCACTTGACTTATCAACTCCAGCTCGTTTCATTAACACGATCGTTATATTCTAGCTAATTCCGTTTCTTGCCGAAAAAAATCTATCTACCCTTCTCGATAGTAAATTGAAAATTTCATCCGATACTAACAAAATTGTAAGTATATGAGACCAATTAGTTGTGTTTCCACATGCTGGTAGGCTTTAATCGAGTTTTGTTGTGCCTTTAATCGCACACTTAAGGGCTATATGCCCAATTAAAAGCACACGAAAAATAAGAAAAACAGCCCACAATGTCCATATACGTACGAACGAAAAGAAAAGAGAGCCATTTCAAGCTGAAAAGCGATATATCAGTCAATATTTCATAATACTCATCAATATAATCGCACAAAGACGTCTTCTACTCTGTCGGAGATTTGTGTTTTGATCTAACGTTTAACTGATCTTAAGACGGTGACATTTATCGTCTGCAAGTAAAATAGCATATGCTTAAGTCATTTTCTGAAAAAGAATGAAAAATGTGAAAAATATCAAGTGAAATGTTAGTTAGAGACTGACGTACACAAAAAACTGTTAGTCTTTTCTGTACAGTGTTTCACATATGCAAAAGAAGAAAAAATGTACGTTTATTTTTGAATAGTAAGTTAGAAGAATTGTAAGCCAATGATCGTAAGTACTGCCAACAAATTATAGAGCCAATTCATTAGTGCGCTGCTTCTAGCACCGATTGTTGATTTTGTGCTTAGGAACGACGTCGATAATGAAATAGTACTTCCACTACACACTGGTGGTACTTCAGCAGCAAATTGACCTGCTATGTTTCCGGGTGGATAGTAGTTTGCAACAACATAAGCTGATTTATTGTCGCTAGTGAGTGCAACACCAATACCTAATTGTATCGAAGCAGACCATACCACTTGTGTAAAGTGACCGGTTGATGAAGAAAATCCGGGAGAATTGTAATTGTAACTCGCAATTTCACTGTACCAAGCGTCAGTCGGTTTCGAACCTAAAAATTCGTATGAAAATCTACAATGCTCTCAGTCCTCCTGCTTTTACCACTAAGGATATCGATGCCACTTGACGCCCAAATGGAATAGAGATTTTCTCCGTAACCAGACACTCGACTATGATTGAAGATATTGTTCGCAGCTAAATACTGAGCATAGTTTTGTGCCATTGTCGATATAGACGAATTCAGAGTCATTGCAGTAGTACAGTGAATCTGTTGCCGGTAGTAATTATGTTGTGCCAAGGCTTCTTGTTGAAAAGTGGTGAGATTAATTGCTCCCATTACTGAATAGATATTCGTCAGGATAAAAGTTATGAATACTGCAAAAGCTTGCATGATTTCTATTCTACAAAACGGAAAAGAAACTATCAATAGTAAGCCATAGCGTCTATAGATTTCTCGTTGCCGGAAGCTGCAAGTGTAGACCAAAAATCAATTTCTGATGCTGCTGCAGAAATTACGTCGCTTATATGTGTATGACGGAATGCGGAATAAGAAAAATAGGTGAATCTCAAGCAAAATCAGCAGAAACCTATCAGTGTTATTTCGTATGTAATGTCCGATCGAGATTGAAAATAAAAAACAACTGTTTAAACAAATCAACCATTGCTTCCAGATTACAGAAAGCTATCCCTTTAGACGGATGAGAAATGTGAAGTCGCCAGTCATTGTACATAAATCTGCTTCAAGAGCACAGTAAACACGAAATTTTTTTACTTCTAGTGCATCAGACTTAATTGAATATTTCAAATAAATGTCCACAGAGCATGAGATTAGATTTTTTCATTCAAGCACACCTGGTACTCTTCACTCAACGCTTTTCTTCATAAATAACCTTCGAAGCCTTATTGATTCTGAGTTTGAACTTTGCTATTAAAAGATGTCCTTTTTTTTACGAAAACATCACTATTGTAAAACGCCTCACTCACAACAGCAATGGAAATTCCATTAAAACTGTCGAGCTCTTCTATTGATTTCATCATTTCTTCATGAAAAAACGAGACTGTACAGGTGTTGATTAAACAGTATACATGCCAATATAAAATGAGCAAAGCAAGTTAGGTTCGTTCTATCGCTTACGAAATCGACGAGGTATTGTGGTAACACATCTACAATAGCAACGCCTACGCATAACTCTATCAAATTATTCTTCTTTTCATTTCTAAAAATAGGACCCTTTCTTTTTCTATTTACACGATAATCAAATAAATTGGTTACGAAACATCTCCATTCTATTTATAAATGTCTGATTCGTGTCTGATTATGAGAAGTGATAATGGATGGAAAAGTTTCAGTATGTTCGCAGCACGTCCATTGTGTGAAAACGACAATCGAACATGCTCATGTGTGCCCGAAAAGGACAGCTGAGTGGTAGCGAGTACATCGTATCTTTTCTCCCAAGTGAAATTCTTCATTTAGATGTCGACATTGCAATTCTGTTCTATTTTCAGCATAATTTATTTTTATTTCGAATGACATTTGATGATTATGACTCTAATCATTGACAATGAATTTGGTTTTTTGGAGAGAAAGGAAAAAATCGTTTTGTTGAAATAATGATGAATATGAGGAATTATAGCCAAACAGCTGAATAGAAGAATTCACTGAACTACCTGATTAAAGAGCTCATCTATGGACTGTCTTTCAGCAGGAACAAGTTCACCAGTTCTTTTGCCCATTTATGTGTTTATACTTGTTGTCATGAACTTGTCAATTAATTATCTGTTGACAGTAAACCGATAGAGTGAAAAAAACGGTGAATGTCTGTTTCCTTCACGATTTCCATCAAATCAAACGGAAGTCGTCGAGTTTTTCTGCTGTTTTCTACTCTTCATCGACTCAAACGTCCTTGAAACGTTTTGTCATGGTTTCATTTATTGACTTAACGGATATTCGTTCTAATGTCGTCTCTTCATATGTATATATGTATACTATAAATCCTGAGTACGTCATTTTGCATAGGGCTTATTTGCCAATCAATTAATCGTATGTTTTTCTTTTTCTGTCATTCGTTTCTGTGTTCTGTTCCCATATACACGCAAACACACACACACACATACGCGCGCGCACAAGTAAAAAAAAACTCTTTTTGCACAACAAGATAACCATCGAGGCATGTTTTGTTTCTTTTTTGCGTAAGAAACACATACACACACACGCACACACATCAAGTTCTGACTAGATATACAGTCAGACATTGTCTAGATTGTTTTTTCTTTGTTGATTTCCAATTCTGACAGCCAGTGCCAGATGAATACAGAAGGATGGAAGAAAGACATCCTGAACTAGCAGGTGAATATATATAGTATATACATATATGTATATATCATTCATCAAGATGGTTTTGAAGAGATTTCAGTTGTTGTTCGTCGTTGAACTGGATATGTTGTACGACGTAGGAGATTAATGTATAATTCCGATTTGAGGAAACGTTGATAAGAATCTTTTTCCATTAGACCTTGAATGCGTCTTTGAGCTCGATCGAATGTATCCACTGGTGGGTTATCAATGTTAGCTATAGTGGACATACGTGTTTCAGTATCAAGATTCACCTAATAAGAACAAACAGAGAGCATGATCGATCAGAGACAGTAGAAAAGAAAGTTTCTACCTGCTTCGGGGCACCAATGGCTATAAAATCCATATAGATTTTCTTTGCTTTTCCTGATCTTTTTGGTTCTTTACACGAACGAAATTCGTCGCATGCGAGCCAGAACTCGAGGTTTTCTTCACTGAATTCAGTCCGGAGAAATGCACGAAATAAAGCTTGCCCATCTGAACAGAAGAAAAAAGATCAATCATGCTGTTGTGGATATTCAGACACGGTTTTTCTTACATCGATGCCGTAAAAGAGCATCAAATGATTGCTCCCATGATTGAACATCTTCGCGTGATGGTATAAGGCTTTTTTCGGATAGTGTCGCTTCAGTCGTACGTCGTCGAATTAAATTTGCTGCACGAGATTTAAAATCTTTTGCTCTACAAAAAAAAGTGACGTTTCAATAACAAAAAGAAAAAAAATAAACGGCAAGAACATACATTGTTGCTGCTTTCGACTTCTTCTTTTTTGACATATCTGATGAATTACTTGAAGCAGATACTCGACTATTTGAATCGTCGTCTTCACTCACATACGACGTTGGTTCCTAAACATCGAAATCATTTGACATGGCAAACGGGAAAGAAGAAAGAAGCAATTAAGAACTACTTTCGGTCTAAACGGAAATATCAAAATTGATACTTTCAAATTACTTCAAGCATGAAAGGACTCTGATTACTTATAGTTTCACTTGAATTTTATATTTATTGAGAGCGAATAAAACGTAAAGAGAAAAGTAAATGTGAACGGTCTCGCTCAACGTCGACTATGATTCATGTCATGTGGATTGACTTAATTTATTACCTTTTCGAGATGTAAAATATCGTCTGGGCTACGCGAACGTATCGTTTTCAACGGTTTCAGCTGATGGATTGTTGTCATCGAACGTGTTCGATAAAAGCGAAGTAAGGATGACATTTTTGCAAAGATCAAGTGTGTTTCCAGCACACGGTGTAAGAGAATAATAATAATAATAATAATAAACATATAACTACTGGAAACGTCGACCTGCGACGGCAATTGTCTATTACTTAACTCTCAACTTCTGATCATTTATATGATGTATGTGTAGCTGTGTGTGAATATGAAATGGCGATGACGACGACGCAAAAAGAAGAGAAAAAAGAAAAGGAATATAACTAGAATGCCGAAGACTGTCGGTCTGCTTGCGTTTGCGTGTAAAAAAACACAACAAACGGCATACTACACCATATATGCTACTTTCTCTCTCTCCCTCTCTCCCTCGCCATTCTGCTTGCCAAACAAATTTAAAAGTTATAGGACAGCGGGGGGGGGACGATTAGATGAAAACCTAGCGTAATGACAAAGTAGGTCTCCAAGGAAGTTAACACATGTAGCCGATTGATACGTTTTGTAAATATAAAATGAAAGAAGTCTATGTACGATAAAAAAAGAACGACGTCTGTGCAAAATCAATATACGAGAACGTCGCAATAGTTTATAATGATTATTATTCCTTCCAATGGTTCTGTCGTTCTTTCTTTTTCTTCTCTCCCATATTTTCCTCTTATTGATTGTCAGAAAACAAACGATGTCACATCATTTTTTCAGTCTAGCATCGAAACAATTTCCTTGTTAGAAGATTAGCTAGCAGAGCATTCTTTTGTCTAACATCTTTTAATCGAAGAACATGCGGCTGAGTATTACTTACTGGTTTTATTTGATTGGTAGTATTTTGTTGAGGAGATTGTTCTGTTGGTCCTGTGTTAATTTCACTTTTACTACGTGGTAGATATCTTTGTTCCAGCTTCATCCAATCGTCGAAATTTTTCTTTCGAAGTTCAGGTGACGGGTTCGATTGTCTTCCATGAGAAGATAAGTATTGATCGTACAGTGCTAAATCATCAGAATCATCGACACTCGATGCGCCACTTAACGAAAATTCCGGTGCGCTCGATGTTGTACTTGTTGACATGATTGGTATTGTATTAGATGTTGGAGTTTTCAAATGAGATGATGAAGGTGTGATATTCTCAGGCGATGAATCGAAACGTGACGGTCGACTAGTGATCGATGGTTGTTGTACAGTCACTTTGACACGTGGTGTCAGAGTAGCCGTTGGCGTCGATGTTGAACTCGACGGATTTACGTTACATTTAATCACTAAATGTGCTGCTGTTGCTGCGATTGGACTAAATAATGAATCGGAAGAATTTTCTTCTTGTCCAAAGGAACGTGATGGTTCAGAAAAAGCACCCGAGCTGGATGCATTCGAGTCTTTCCGGGTTTGAAGTGTCAATGTTGATGACGATGGTGAGCTCGACGATGGAGAAGACGGCTTAGCATCAATTGTTGGAGGAACAAGTGTCGATGATGCGACCATTATTGTTGGGTTTGATCCAGGTCGTGTATTTGGTGCCGTCGTTGTGTTGCTTGTTTTATTCGAAATTGATGACGATAGTAATGAAGGAACAATACTTGTTGAACTGGTTATGACTGATGAACGGAGAGTTTTTCCTGTATTATCTTGATCTATTTGAACGCCCTAAAATGAAAGAAAACCATATAAAACAAATTTGACCATAGCAGATGACACACACACACATGGATGTGTACATGCACATCTTGAGATATATAGATCTCAATAAGATATATTCCGTGTATATCTTACATAGGCACTTTGTCTCAAATGAAGATACGATTATAGTAGATAGGACAACGAATACATCGGTTTGACGTCATAGTTCTGTTCTTCCTTCTCCTTTTCTAATGATGATCATTGGCTAAGGAAACTATCTATTGCTTCAATAGGCGAATATAGCCTAAACGCGCATGTATATATCTTCTTTTATATGCTCATTCTCTTAGCTTACAGCCGATGACGACGTCATCATCAACCGTACGACGGACAATCGACGTCACATGTAAGCCCATCAATAGAGAGAAATCATCGCATTTTGCTTACACTCGCGTACATGCTAAGGCGAGCGAACAAGGTCTTTCGTTTCCTCCGTTAGCAAGAATTGTACTGGTGACGTCAGTAAGAAATCATTACATGTTATTGAACAAATGACGTAAAACGGCAGCGAAGAAGAAAAAGCAGAACAAGGCGAAGACGAAGAAGTTCATCTGTTGAATAAGAAAAGTAGAGAAAAAAAATCGCACTGGAAAAAAACTTCATACAATAACTACATCCAAACGGAATAATAAATACAGAAGGCAACAAATGATGAATAACCCATACGTAAATACTTCACTATGCTTGAAAGAAATGAAAAGGAAATAAACGTATTGTATTCAGTCATTTGACTCAACAATCCCATCTGGCTCATGCTCTGTGGGCGGATGATATTATTTTTCCAATAGAAATTATCTCTTCCATAGAAATAAGTTATTCTTTTATATACATTCATATTGTTGTCATTATCGATCACAATATACACGTCTGTAACGATATTCATACACACATATATATATATATATACGTATATCCATACGTATAAAATACGTAGTAGACCTTGCGCTGAAGGAGAGACAATATCCAATGATAAACTTTCAAGCAGACGTACTGAAATACGCATTTTCTCATGTGAATCAAACAAATTAGAGCCATACCTGTAGGCATCCGTTCTGCTAATAACAGACTTATAATTAGGACAGGATGATGAGTTCAGAAAAGAGAAAAAAAGGAAATACGTGTTCGATATGCGTGAGATGTGAGCATCATTTTGCTAATAATCAGCATAGATAGACATATTTTCAAAACGTTTTGATTATCTTCTCATTCTATTATTGTTGATGACGTCTATCGATATTAATGGTTACTAATTGTAACGAAACAATTCAGATATTTGCTACAAGTTTTCATTCGCAACTGTGGGCTAAGAAAAGATAATTTGCTATTCATTGTTTCGAAATTAAACGGTGTCTTTTCATATGATGTCATCTAATTCATCGTTACAAACGTCATAGCACGTATTCGAACAATCCTAATCGAGTAGACAGCTGTTTAAATTTTCCATCATCGAGAGTAACGAAACGAAAAAGAAAAACACATGAATGACTTCTTGTCTTCTTAGTTTCTGCTATTCTATAGATACCTTATTCGATATGATGTGACATTTATTGTTGTTGTCAGTGCGAGTAGTGTCAGAAGATAGGCAATGACACAGGCGCTTTCCTTTCCATCCATCTATTTATCTAGACATCATCAATAATGAAGGGAAAGAAGGGAAAAAAGCGAGACGCAACGTCATTTGTATACATATATAACCTTCATATTTTACAAAAACAAGACAGAATAAACTTAAACTATTGATTTTTTTCTGTAAACGAGAGAAAGAAAAACAAACGTAAACACCTACAGGAAAATTAACTTGAGAGAAGTCATCGATTAAATTGTTGATCGATTTGATAAAATCAAAAGGAGAAGAAGAAGAAGAAGGAAAATTGACTCTGACGGATGCGCGTGATTTAATCTTCTTGTTGTGTTGCGCATATGCACATACATGCCTAGTGAGAATGACAGAGACTCCGGAAGAAGTGACGCATATCCTTGATTCAGAGATGGAAGTGCTACTGCTGTTCATCCGATCGGAATAAATGATTTAGTAAGCAGGCAAGAAAAACAAATAATCAAACAATTCGAGTAGTTTTATCGTATAATATACGCTAGTCAATATTTCTTTTCGAATACATAACAGGATCGATTTTTCATCACTGATTCTAATGAGTTGCAACTCATTTTTCATTCGACGAAACGCGACCTACCAGTTGCATGTTATATCAAATGAGATACATATGATAGGAATTAACTTTTGACTTTTCCTTTTTTTGTTCACGATCAATTCTCCTGAGCATATCAATCAGTTTTTGCCCTTTTCTTCCATTTTAGATACAGAAAACAATGGCGAATTGTCTTGTTTCTTCTACATACCGAATCTTCGCCAATTGAACTTTCACGTCGTTTTATAGGATTATTGTTATTATTATTATTATTGTTACTGGCAACACTAGATGTCATCATTGAAAGATAAGATGTGCCCGATGTGGCAGTCGTTGTTGTTGTTGGACTCTTTTTTGTGATGACATTCATTGCCGTTCGGTTCGAAAGCGTTTGTCGAAGTTGTGATTCTAATCCGCTGTCATTGTTCGATGCCTACTCGTGATCGTTGATAGGTTGTCGAAGTAGATTTGTACGCATTTAAATACTAAACCTCGGAAAATCTAGAAACAAAAAAATAGAACGTTGTCTTAAGCTTTGTATGCCTCCAGCCGTATCAGATATGGTTTTCCGGATCATAAGAGTAATTCTCCTATTAAACAAAACACTTCCATGCTTTTATTCTCTTGTTACTTCTACAAACAAAATAAAACTGAATCGATCTATCAATAGCATCTGAATTGTCATAATGAAGAAAAACATTTCTGAAAAGAAAAAGGTTATATGAAGTCATTCGCATATCCGTTCGCCCATGCATAAATGCACCTCGTTATTATGATTTAGCAGAAAATTCTTGATCTCAGGTTACAATATATAATTTAGCAAGCAAGCAAATCTGACATCGAGAAAATTACAGGATTTCACGACGTTAAATTTAAACATTGTCATTTGCTTTTATCCTTCTAGACAACATACGAGAACGCATACATTTACAAGTACGAGAAAACAACAAGTTAGATCGATGTTATTCCTATCTGATTCGAGTAATGGCATAAAAGTGCTTAGTTAAGAAAATAAACCCAAATCAGATATATAATTGGATATGCCAGTTATCGACAGATATTATTTCGTCTTCTTTCAAACAGAAAAACAAACAATCCGATCATTAGGAGAAGGAAAACTTGCTGCTCATTGTTTTTCCGAAAGGCATGTTGTCTCGACAAGATGGGTGTACCTGAGCGTCATTATAACTTACCGCTTGACTGAATTTGACTATTGTATTAGACTAATCGATGACTATTGAATCAGATGCGAACGATGTCTTCCGAACGTATTATTTGTCAACAACCTCAATGCATCCGAAATTTCTCTGACTCTCTGTTCTTGTCGTCTTATTTTCTTGCTATTGACGACCCGTTGTATATCGCACTGCTTCTCTTTCTCTTTTTCTTTTTTCTCGCGCAAAAAACTCAAGAGACATAGAAAAAGAAGAAGCAGAAGCGGGGCAACACCAAGCTGTGCGCGCGCGTTAACGTTCTTGTTGGTATCAAAACAACACAATGCGGCCTGCATACAACGATACAAAACAATCGGGAACGACGACGATAAAAAAAAGAAGAAGACGAAGAAAAAGAAGGAATCCTAAATAGCGCGACATGGAGGGAAAGCCATTTTCATGGTAAAGAACAAGCAAACGATTGTAGATTTTCCATCCGCAGACAGTGTTGTCTTGCATCATTAGTAGCCTATGACTTGCTTAAATACAACATCCTCGTGAATTTCATTTTCTAAATATGACCAACTAATTGCTGGAAAATTTATGTTTGCATCTCATCAAAACATTTCACCTGATGAGGCATGATCAAGTAGTGTTAGTTCTTCGCTATCATGCACAATCTTTGTCGGCATCGTGCTTTTTTAGTCAAGTATCAGGAAAGGAGAAGAAATAATAAATGTATGAGAGCGAAGGAGAAAGGAAATACTTGCCTATTTTTATATATGTAATGATCTTGTGAATTGAACCACTAACTTCTTCTAATGTTAGCGTGCTACACGAGCCTGGATTAGAGCAGTATTCGAAATAAAGAAATATACATTTCTATTTTGGAAAAGGTTACAGAAGGACATACGAGTTCTCGTTTTGGATTGGGTGACACGCGAGCAAGGAAAAGTTGGAATGAAAACAATACTGAATTCTAGTTTTTGTAAGAAAGCAGATGCTATTAACGAACGTCTGATTGCAATGTGTTCCTTTGCTCGGATTGTGTAAATCAAATCAATCAAATAGATAGTTGCTTACCAACGTCATCAGAATTAATTCTATTGCGTTCAATGAACCACATGAAATATTGATAATTTGTTCATTAAAACGTATCTCTATAGATACATCATTTTGAGGAAGAGGAAAAAAGAGTGATGTGTATAAATATTTGATTACTTTACTAAAATGCTTTCTGCTTTCATCGGACGATGTGGGTGTATCAGGATGGATTGCCGAGAAGGAAAGAGTTTATTTTCTCTCATTAGTGCACATCACAAATCAGTAGATGCGAGATATTTTATTAATTACTTGGAGAATTTTATTGAAATTTGTTCGTCGTAGTTGTGCACAGACGCGTATTTTCTCTCGACCACGTTAATTATTCATTTTTTAATAACATTTCAAGCTTATTTCTACATCGTATCTCTCTGATTCAACGAGTATTGTTCTATTATGTCAGCAGCTCGTACAATCATCGACAGGCAGGAAAATGAAAGAAGACTTCTCTTCCTTCTCTTTCTCCAATTTTCGAAAGGTGTACGATGTGCATGTAAGAAGATAATTAAAAGTCATGAATAATTTATGTACTACTCATACTGTCCTTGAATTTCACTCATTAAAATCGATGCTTTTCTAACGGATAAATACTCTATCCTATTTGCATGCAGAAAAACATACTTGGAATTTAATTATATGCACTGCGTCTTCTACGCTATTGAAAACGAACGTAGATTCGGATTCGCAAATTAATCGCCGATAATACGCATAGAAAACAATAGATGATCGTGATATTTCAAAGCAAAATAGAACCTTGAAAACGGATTATCAGTACTACTATCGAGATTAACTCTTTGGTAAATATCGACGTAAACGAGCTTTTCATCACCATTGCTTTTCAAAATACTTTTCTCTAACTGATAGAGTGTGGAGAGTTGCAGCTCTCGTGACACTTGTTTTTTTTCTGTCGAAATGAATCATTTTCGCGACTAGAGCTTTACCCTTCCCAGTAGGAAATCTCGCGAAAAACTCCGATGCATATGAGTATCGCTATACAAGTGGAAAGTATTTATTTCCAGCGCAGCAATATTCTGTGTCATACACTTGATAAAGTTCTAATTATACCTTCAAACACAATCTATAAATGGGTCATTACCTACGGAAGACTAAAGATGCGATCTTCCTAAATTAATTTGCTTTGTTGCACTTTTTGATTCTATATTGATGTCATACGACATTTTAGAAACTTGATATGAAACACTGTCAGAAGCAGAAGTTCATTTTGAAATATTAATTAAATCTCGTTTTTTTTTCTTTGCAACTCTATATAAGAAATGCAACATCCTGTTTTATTATTCGTTATTTGCTAAGGCTTTACTTTGTGAAAACGAATGTGAAATGTCGTCATTGGTGAGTTCATTAAATTTAGCTCAAAGGCTACTGGTGCAATATTGTCATTCCACATTCTTCATTCTCGGCATGGTCGGTTCATTGATTAATATAGTTCTCTATTCGACATATCGATTACGATCTAACTCTTGTTGCATTTGTAAGTATCTTCTTTCGCTAAATCCATCAAGCATACATCGAGATTTCTACTAGATTTCTTAGTATCATCGGTCTGTGCATTGATACTGTTACCTATCGGTATAGTTCCACAATTGTATTCTCTATATAATTCGCCCAATCCTTTTACAACTATTTCAAGTTTTTGCAAAGCACGAATGTATTTGAATCAAACAAGCGCTATGTCATGTCGATGGTTACTGGTTATGGCTTGCCTAGATCGTTGCAGTTCATGTTCAACGAATGCTTTCATTCGTCGATTTTCATCTCTGCCCGTAGCAAAACGAGCTGCTTGTCTTGTTTTAATTATTTGCTTTATTTTTCCAATTCACACATTGATTTATAGCAATATTCAACCGCCCGGTGGTATTTCATGCTCAATCACAGATGATGGTGTTGCTGTTTATCATCGATTTTACACAATTATCATGGGTGGTGTATTACCGTGTTTAATTGTGCTTCTCGGCAGCTTAGTCATATGGAAACGTCTTCAAGCGAGAAAGCGTCGTCAAATAGTTATATCAAAAGACGAACGAATGCGCCGCCGAAACCAGATTCAAGAGCAACAAGTAATGATTATGTTAATAGTACAAGTTGGAATATTTATTATTTCAACGATTCCGTTCATGTCCTACAATATCTATGATACAATGACACGAACAGTGACAAACAAATCGGCCGACCGGAAAGCGATTGAATCATTTTGTAAAACTCTTTCGGAACTACTAGTTTATCTAATCTCAATGTCGTTCTATTCCAACACGTTAGTTTCGCGTACGTTTCGAAAAGAGCTCATCTTCCTAGTCAAATGCATGAGCAGTTGGGGTCGCTATCAACGTTCTACGCAAGTTCAGCCAATAACTGCAACTGTCACACAGAACATGGCTCCACGAAGATTGACCAAAATACAAACCGGTAACACAGCTAAGTGAAATTTTTCGTCATCAAGTCATCGTCTTCTGCTTCGTATACATGTCAAATGCACACTAATTACTTTAAATCATGTCACGAAGTAGTTTAAAAAAACGGTGTTTACATGACAGATGGAAGTTGAGCTAAAAAGATTATGTAACCAAAACTTCGTCGGAAATCTGTTGTTTACAGTGAAAAATGAACTTGTCAGAATCAAATTCTCCTCTTGAATAAACAAATTTATAAGATTCTCCGAGAAAACTCGGTTAGGAAAACACAAGTTTGCTGTATTATTCAAAGTGTGCAATACAACAAAATAAAATACAGTGTTAATTACAAGTTTGCCTCAAAATTTCTACATAGTTTGAGCCGTAATTAGCGACGATGATGTCCAATAGCTTATCATTGTTGACATCTGCAATACTGATCGATTTTGGAGTCGCATGGTAGCCCATAGAGAAGACCTGTGCATCCATGAAAGTTCCATTGCCATTGCCGTAAAATACAAGAACATTACTTGCATCAAAATTTGCAACAACTAAGTCCGGATGAGTATCGTTATTCAAACAATTGACACTAATTGCCGAAGGATTCGAACTTAAACCGGTTGAATAGTTACCTTGGAGTGCGAAACTTTTGTTGGCTCTGTTGAGAAAAACAAGCAAATCATTTGTTTGAGAATTAATGACAAGAATATCACTGAAATTATCATGATTGACATCGCTAACAGCAACTCCACTAGGCATAGAATTTACTCCGGTTGAAAGGCTCATGATAGTCTCAAACGATCCAAGACCATCTCCATAGTAAATCAAGAGATTATCTGTGCCAGAATTCGTCACAATAACGTCGAGATTTGCATCATTATCCATATCACCGACCGCAAGCGAGTCTGGATTTGATTGATTACCTGTCGAATACATTGTTGCCGTTGCAAATGGTTCGTTGCTCAAGCGAAATAATACACTTAAACTATCACTGTAATAATTCGCAGTAACAATATCCATACGTGTGTCCTGATTGAAGTCTGCAAACGCAGCAAAGCTGGGTTCTGTATTCAAACCAATTATATAAGTTTTCAGCACGGCAAATTGTCCGTTTCCATGCCCATATAAAATAGCAAGGGTTCCAAGATTATTATTTGATAAGCCCCAATCAGTCATCACAATATCTAATGCATTATCATTATTTAAGTCAATTATATTAATAGAGCTTATAAATGGTTGAGAAATAATTGCATACGTTACTATCGAAGAAAATGTTCCGTTGGTAGAACCAAAAAAGATTCCAATATTATAACTGTCCCCATCGCCGACAACAATATCGATATTACCATCGTTATTTAGATCGCCTATTGCCATTACCCGTGGTGCAATTGCACCATTTGTTGTATATAAAACTAGTCGCGCAAATGAAGCATTACCGAAACCCAGGAAGACAGCAACATTCATGGTACCATAATCAGCCACAGCTATATCAAGATGTTGATCGTGATTGAAATCACCAACACGTACATAACTTGGCGTAGATAAATTGCCAGTAGAAAGTGCAACTATTTTAGTTACTGACTGGACACCATTGCCAAAATAAATTTCCACACGATTTAAGTCATCATTAGCAACAAGAATATCGATATTACCATCCTCATTAAAATCTCCGCTGGCGATAGAACGACAAGCAAGTTTCTGAGGACTTCCCCACTCGTATTGGACATTAAATGATCCATTACCAAAGCCTAGAAACAATCCCAAAGTTTCTCGTTGATAATTGCTCACCATTAGATCCATATAGCCATCCTTATTAAAATCGATAGCAAGAAGAGCCGTACTGGATGATGATGGCACTAAATTAGTAGTGATCTGATCAGAAAATGATCCCATTCCATTGCCTAGATAAATGCCAATTGTATCAGCATACCGATTGAGAACAGCAATGTCCGAGTGGTTGTCCAGATTGAAATCAGCGGTAAGAACATAAAAAGGACTTGGAGTGGTTCCTGGAACAGGCATATCTGTTCGTGTGAATGTTGGATAATTGTAAGCCAGAAAAACAGCAAGATTATCTGCGCCTTCATTCGCGACAACGATATCCAGCCATTCATCATGATTAAAGTCGCCCAGAGCGAGTGCCTTTGGAAACACTTGACTTCCAAGTGACATTATCATTAAAGTTTCAAATGTTCCATTCGAATTTCCGGCAAACAAATGTATAGTATCATCGAGGTAATTAGCAACGACAATATCTAGTTGATTATCGTGATTTATGTCACCAACGACAACATATTGTGGATTTGAATCAGTACCTGTTGAATAGGATAATTCCTTCGAAGAACTTCCTTGATAGTAATCATACAACACTTGAATATTATTATTTCCTGTATTGGCAACAACGATATCAACTTGATTATCGTGATTAAAATCGCCGACTGCGACTGACGATGGATGTGGTGCAGAACCAGTTGCGAAGGTTAGATTACTTTGAAAATCTTCAGTGAACGTAATTAAAAGAACTCCAACGTTACTCGTACCGCTATTAGCCACAATGATATCTGGGTATCCATCTTTGTTAACATCAGACAACACGATATCCGCAGGTTGAGATAAAGCCCCGGTTGACAACTTGTAAGATAAAGTGAACGCGCTATTCACGTTGCTGTTAGCTGATCCGAGAAAAATACTAACGGTAGAATCCCAAAGATTAGCAACGCCAATATCTACTATATCGTCTTGATTGAAGTATCCAAGCGTTAAGGCCCATGGATAAGATCCGGTGCCCGCTGAATAGCGAATAATACTCGTGAAACTACCGTCGTTTAAGCCATACAGTACTCCGACGATGTACGAGGTAGGAGAAGTATATACAATATCTAATTTACCATCGCTATTTACATCGCCAAGAATCATATCCGATGGTTGATCGCTACCTGTTGAAATATAACGTCCATCATGGAAGGATCCATTTCCATAGCCCAACAGAACACAAAAACTATTACTTCCGAAATTGGCAGTTACGATGTCTATCACATTGTCATGATTGACATCACCCGTACTAACCGAGATAAAATTCGATCCACTTTGAATTGAATATGTCGTATAGTCAGCAAATGTGCCATCGTTGTTGCCAAGGAAGATAGCAATATTATTAGCGACAACATTTCCGACGATAATGTCCAAAAATGTGTCATTATTTAAATCAACTAAAACAATCGAATATGGAGTAGAATTATTTCCGGTTGAATACTGATTTCCATATCGAAACGTTCCGTCCGCATTGCCCAGAAGGATCAAGATTTCACTTATGCTTGTTAAAACAACAACTAAATCAAGCTGTTGATCGTTATTGACATCACCAATGGCGAGAAAATACGGTTGTGAAGTGTTTCCGACCGAATACAATGTTAGATTAGTAAACGTTCCATTTCCTTGACCAAATAAAATTCCAATCGTAGAGGTAGCCTGATTAAGGACGACAATATCTAATTGACCATCTTTGTTAAAATCGCGAGTAGCAACAAAGATTGGATAAGCTGCTGTTTGAATGAGATATGTTGCTAAATTTACCACGGGGTTCGATGCGTATTGCGATAAAAGTAAAATATTGTTTCCACCGGTATTAGCCAGGATAGCATCAGGTCGATCATCTTGATCGTAATCAACGATCACGAATGATGATGGCTGAGAACCGTATTCAATCCAATGTGTTGTTATTGGTGCCATGGTTTTGTTTGCCGTTTGCTCAAATATCATCACGTTATTCGCTTGAGAATTCACAACAGCAAGATCTGTTCTATTATCACTATTGAAATCACCGCTAGCAATAAAACTCGGCCTGGAATTGAGACCAGTTGAATATGTTACTTGATCACTAAACGTTCCATTGTTATACCCAAAAACTATTCCCATCGTACTCGTACCCGAATTCACTATAGCGAGATCTAACTGTTGATCCTGATTAAAATCACCGATAGTTATCGAACAGGGATTCGATTTTTTTCCAGTCGAATAACTCAACGAATTATTGAATGTTGCATCTCCGTTACCAGTCAAAATAGTTATGGTACTCGTTCCATAATTAACAATGGCAATATCAAGAAAACGATCGTTATTTAGATCGGCGACTGCCATGGCATACGGAACTGAATCGTAGCCCATGTAATAGGAAGTAAAAATTTCAAATGAGCCATCGGAATGACCCAACAGTACGATGACATTTGATGTTCCATTATTAATGACGGCAATATCTAAATAAGTATCTTTATTGAAATCAGCAATGGATAACGAAATAGGACGCGCTGCACCAAGTGAGGTAACTTGAGGATTGATCAGATTTCCTTGACCGTCGCCGTAATGTATAGCGATGCTATTAAACCCATAATAAGCAACGACGACATCTTGTTTATTGTCATGATTCATATCTGCAACGGCAACTGAATATGGTTGAGACTTGTAGCCGGTTGAGAAGGTTACTTGATCTGCAAATGTCCCATTCGCATAGCCGAGGAAAATACCAATATTGTCTGTACCCGAATTAGCTACAGCTAAATCAATTTGACTGTCATTGTTCAAATACCCCACCGCAATGAATCTTGGTCGAGAATCATAACCAGTAAAACTCTGAATGGTTCGTTTGAAAGTTAAGACGCAAACGAAATCTAAAATAAAAACTACAACGTGTGCACAACGTTCACAAAGAAGTAAAACGTACTTGTATCTTTTCGCGAACCAAAGTAAACAACTAATACGCCAACAATTATTGCGATGCATACAAATATACTAAAGGCGATTAGAAGTGCTGTATACAGCCAATTCGACCAAAATAAGCTTCCCCTATGTGAAGAAAACGAATACACGGATTTTCATTCAAAATCTATAATAAATTCAAAGTAAATGTACTTTGGTAGAGGTGGCAAACCTTTTTCCATAGGAACATGTTTGGCATGGACCTGTTCAGATTTTACCGGCTTTTCCTGATCAGAATAAGTTATGTTAAAGATTTCATCCGATTCGGATGGTTCGACCAATTTTGATTCCAGTTCAATTAAACTCATATTAATCTTCGAAGATTACTGAAAACGAAGTAAAAGGCCTCATTAACATAAGATATTCTCATTAAAAATAATGACAAACATATAAGTGCGAAATACATTTCGGCTTCACGTTTTATGTTCCCGAAGCGTTAGTCGCCTATGCAATATTTTTCGTTCTAAATATTTTCACGCCTCAGTTATCATATTTAACATTGATACGTTAATTATCATTTCTCATTTGTTTTTCACGAATCGATCAAACTTATCGGCCGTACAGAAAGAAAGAAAGAGAGAGAGAGATGAACTTTTTTATCGAAAACTATCAAATCCCATCTACTCACTTAGACCAACAGATTGAATAACGAAAACTAGCTTGGCTTTACCCAACTTAACCATCCACTTGACTGTTTAATCAAATTACGGACGTTATTTTGAGTATAAAAGCGTTCTGATTTAGAGCGTCGAAGAAATCGACATCATCTTTCATCACGTCATTTTTGTTAATCACCACCTATATTTAGGCTTTTTCTCTCCAGAAAATTCACTCATGTCATAAACAAACGATACAAAAACACGTTTAATATTATATGAATGCCTAGTTGTTTTTCACTCTTCCCATAGATCAGTCACTCACGTACGTATTCTTTGCCCAGGTATCTCATCTAACGAAATAATTACCACTGTCGTTCTGGATCAAATGAATCAATGATAAATAACTACTAACCTTTATGCATTTTTTCATCTTTCTGCATAATAAAATCTATGACTGAATCCCTCGTGTTTTCGTACAAGCTAAAAATATCTATCTTTCAAGTTGATTTCGTTGCACTTGAATAATTATTTAGTGCAAATGATTCTGCCAGTCATAGACTGCCGAAAGGCATGGCACTAGATGAAAACATGTCACTACGTACACAAGGGTAATGAGCAGACTTGTAAAATCGAGAATGGATGTAAATCAAAGTGATATTCGATGTTAGCTTTATTTAAAAACTAATTATTTTCTTGCAAACATGTTCATGGCGAATATAATGAAGAATGGAATAAGAGTAAAAGTGGTAAATGCATGCTGATGAGCAGCCGTATTCGGACGCGCATCGCTTTTACATTCTGCTGGTTGTAAGTCTTTGTATGTTGGTAGTCTTGGTAGAAGATCGATGGTGAAATTACCTGCCCTGCCAGACAAAAGAAGTCGTGAAGCATCGTTGTAGAATTCTTGCCATTGCAATACGGATTCTGGTGTCCATTGCAAGTCCACTAGCCACTTTTTAAGTTTTAGATAATCAAACGACTCCCTAGACAAAATAAGTATCATGATTGATGGTGGTGGTACTAAACCTAGCAAGACTTACTGGCTAATATTCATCTTTTGTGCCCATATTGCGTCTGGAATTAGCATCATGCAACCATACATATTCTTCATTCGTGGATAATAAGTGAACATATGTAGACACATTTCATCTTGTGTTCTTTCTCCACCCTGAAATGTATTCATTTGCACAAGAAACGTTTGTTTTCAATATTGTAATATTACTGTGGTCGTTTGATTCTTATCCATTGTATTATAAACGCACCGTGTAGCTAACTCATCGCCCTGTGAACAAACGAATCGTGGTAAACACAAGCGATGGAAACAAGTCTTACGGGATACAGTTTAACAGGTTTTGGAAGACGATTTTCGAATTGATAATTAAAGTCATAAGCATCGCCATTGAATAAATAATCCACCGCTGTTCCATTTCGAATGATCTTTGTCCACACAGTACGACCTTGAATAACAGTAATTAAATCCTTAACACACAAAATCTTTTTGTTCATACCTTGCAAATGTGTATGTGGAAATGCAGTAGTAACAGTAATTCCCGATTTAGGAATGACCTATATAAGAAGAAAAGGGCGTAATTCGAGAAAATAGATTCACGACATACTTTCGTTGCACTCGCTGTGCAATAAGAATCAATAACAAATCGATCGCTACGTGGTGGAATAGCAATACTAACAGGTGTTGAATCTGCACCAAGAGTAAGATATCCGAGTTCTTCTTGACGGAGTTCCTTTCCGAGGTAAAATCGAATGCCGGAATTATCTCGACGATCTACAGATTAACGAAAAAAGATAACTATGATATTTGAAATGTATCTAGATTTTATATTTATACTTGACAATTGTTTTGGATTATCGTAGTGCATTTGAATCATGTAATATTTGATTTCGAAATCCCCTCCAACTGGATAACCGGCAATTTCAGGAAATTCGACAATCTATCGGAAAAATAATCATTCTTAGAATAGAATCAAACTAAGAGAATGCATACGTGATCACCACCGACAGCCCAGCCTGTTGCAATATTTGCCGAGCATTCGGTCAATTGCTGATATATAGCATCGCAGAGACCATCTGGTAAATTATTGTCATCGAATACAGCCGTAGGATTGCATTCATACATCAAGAGATGATGAACGATATCGATGTTGCCTTCGCCAATGATCGTCTTATGCTAAAATGCTCGAAAATTAGTTGTACTCCAACGAGTGGAACACTACGTACAGCAATAGCATGTCGTCGTTCGGTCAGATTACTTGGCACCTTGTATACTTTGCAGTGATAGGTTGTACTATCTACTGGAACATTGTACTAAAGCAAAGATCAAATGAAAGATGACATCACAAGCATTCGACTGCCGTTAACTAACATTATTTAATTGAAAGTCGAAATAATCTAAACCGGCAAATTTATCTTCGGGTGAAGGATTGCCGTACGATCGTAATGGTATGATACGTGAACCGCGTCGATTGTCATGATAATAGATGATACCCTGGGGTTCAGACATGTCCGGATCTTCTAGACCGTATGCAAAAATAAGAATATTCGTGCCAGACTGAAAAGAACAAATTGAGTGTTAAAGCAATTCTGTGGAATAGAATTGACGACAAACTTTTATTGGAACATCCATTGTGTCGCAGGTGTCCAGTAAACGTTTGAATTGAATTGCTGTCCAGCCGTTTTCTTCACGGCCTTGTAAACCAAACCAATCACTGGTTGTCGTGTCGACTATTGGTCGTGTGTAGTTTTTTGCATATCGATCTTGAAAATGTACTTGACCTTTTTGATCAACCCATCCGAGACCAATATCAGCACCTTTCATTCCGCCAGCTAAATACAAACTCGGTAGATAAAAAACGATCTACGGAACGGAAATATGATGTACCTGGACTAATACCCAAAGCAATCCATCCTGTTGTTTTCATATGCAATTCAAATATGATCTCCTGTTTAGTTTCATTCACTGTCCACCAAAGATCAGCCACATTGCTCTGTAGTTCAGTCGAATATCTGTAGCTAGTATATGGTTGTATTGGACTTGAAATCGCAGAACTATTTGGAAATAGCAAGACCGAGAGGATTAGACAAAAAGTTGCGTGCAGTAGCATTGTTCGTTCGTAATTCGAACTAGATGTGGTGTTATCAAATATCAGCGTGTTTAGTACAGATTTATATAAGCTTGTTTTTTCAAACTGATAGCAAATATTTAACTAGCATACATATTATTTCAGAGAATTAGTAATATCAATGATGTCACCACGGTGTTGTTTTACTCCAGCGAGCCTCTGATATAGCCATCGCCTAGGTGACATTTATATGCTTGTTATAAATGCACTATCTGTCATTTTAAACCAACTTTGGTTTTATCTTTTGAAAATTAGTCAACACAGTATGACGAAGACTTTTATATTTGCTTGAAAAGAAATATGTCATGAGTCATAAGCTAAATAGATTTCTATTTCGGGGCACATGCGTAACATATAGCGGTAAAGATACGATGATTTCGTTATATTAGCTAGCCATTCATATTTCAGGAATAGTTTAGATTCGTTTTGAGCGTTTTATTTAAACCAACAAGACAAAAAAAGAGATTTATCTACAGAAGAAAAGCTCAGGTTAGTTGACTTTTTGTCCTTCATAAACTGGTGGTTTCGGATCACTCGGTAAATCAATAAATTCTTTTTCTACCTCAATATTGATCCGTTCCGCTTCATGTTTTTTATGCGCAATATCTCCTGGTATCATTTCTTTTCGTGGTGGAGCATCTTGAAAGATACCTGGTCCTTCCATGGGAAAGCGAACATGTGAGAATGGATTATCAAGTGGACGATATTTGTCAGCATCACTTAGAACTTCTTCGTCTTTCAGTTGCTCATCCATTTTCTTAATTGCATCTAATGATTGTTGAATTGTATGAACTTGATCGTCGTATTTCGGTCCAACACACCATAAGGTTTCTAAATCATTCTGTTCGCGCATTTCAGCATCCATTAGATGTACCACCAAATGACCTGCGAAGAACAAGAAAGATGTTTAGAAAGCAGAACGTTCTTCTCATGTACATACCCATGTCCATTGCGTGCCATCGCGAACCATCACGGCATTCACTACTTAAAAAAGGATCCTTCGACAGTTTCTTCGCTTTGTACTAAAACGAAAAATGTTCATGCCGATTGAAAAGAGAGAAAACCTTGCATACTAATTTATTGATGTATTCACTGGTATTCTTTAAATGTCGAGCACTGAATGCTGTCGCTAAGATCAGATATCGTGCATACTGTTGTTCGGGTGGTATTTCAATGACACAAATATCTTTCATACGTTCATCACGTAGAATTTCCAGAATTTCTTCCAGGTCAAACACACCTTGTTCTCCGCCTGAGCATAAATCATAATGAAGAAGGAGTTTCTTGAAGAAGGCAACTCACGTTTTACACTGTGTCGATGAACTTCACGCGTTGCAGTTTGATCATTTATTTCTAATTTTTCAAATTCATACAATTGCTCGATCTCACGTTTATGTTGTGCAGGACTTCCTTGAGCGAGCTCTTCAATTGTTTGTTGGTTTCCCGGATGAAGACGGACTCGAGGTTTATCCGCCGGAGGTACATTTGACGTTCGACTAGCCAACCGAGTCATCATTGCTGATGATGATTGTTTGAGGAAACGAGGTACGAGACGTAACATAATTCTATCTGAAAGAAAAACAATCAAGATTAACTGCAAAGAGAAAAAAAGAAGCATTTATTCGTTGTACTGTTCCATCGTTACAGTATTATCTGCAGGAAGAGAAACACTTATACAAACAGAAACATTAACTATTCGAGTTCGAAGTTAATTCGAGCATTTTGTCGATATTTAGTATTTTTTCCCGAGGTTTTCCTTTAGATAAGCCAAGTTTGGTTTCATGAGCGTCGAGTTTTTTCCAATCATCGTAGGAAATGCATCGCACTTGACGAGACTTCGCAAGGGATATCAAACCATCACCACCTGATTTCGCATCATGTAAATTCTGCAATCGCCCTTGTTCGATATCATCCATGATCCGTTTCGCCACTGTATGCGCTAAAAATAAACGATACCCAGCGAATAGTTTGTACAGAAATTAACATATATATTACATTCAGTAGTTGTCTCGACGATAACACCACGGGCTCCTCGTCCTATCCAACCGGTACAATAGAATCCAGGCCGATCATCGATGCGATTTTGCTGATTTAGAATAATTCCACGCTCTTTATCAAATGGCAACCATGGATCAATCTAGATCATTCAAAAGAATTCATTCGATGAAAATGTTTGCCTCTTTTCGTACTTGAACACCATAATAACCTATACTTTTAATCACAAGACCACATGGCACTGTTTCGATTGTTCCATTTTCTTTAACAAATAAGTTCTCATTGGCAAACTGCTGCCGATCGACTGGCTCTGTGTGTTCGAAATCAACACTTTCAACCATTGTCTTCCCATTGATTCGTCTTGGACGTCGCCAGAATTTCAAATACCAAAACCGTTCTGCGTGATCTTTTGTCTGATCTAAATCGAATTAGATTATCATCAAGAATCAGTCTGAAAACTAAATATTCATACTTGTTCGAACTGTCTTTAACATTAGTTCTGTTAACCGTTTTCTTGGCCGTTCTAATTTGTCAATCATATTTTGATCAATTTCTTGAAAATCTTCTTTTTTCAACATGGACTGAACGCCATTCAATTTCGTTAATTCGCGAAGTTCTTTTATAGTAAATGACACTTGCATTGGACCTCGTCGACCAACTAAGATTACATGTCGGATGCGACTCTGACGAAGAATATCAAGTGCTTGATCTGTAATATCAGTCTTAGCTAGATCATCAACTGGTGAGAGAAGAATTCGAGCGCAATCGAGAGCAACATTTCCCATGCCAATAATAACAGCACAGTCTGTACCATCAAGTTTTGGCCGAAGTTGAGCATTTTCGGGCACGCCTATTCGAGGAAAAAATGCTATAATTGTCTGACTACTGAATCGAAATCGAATTTTTTCCTTTACCATTATACCATCCAACGAAATCTTTAGCAGAAAAGACGTTCTCCAGTGTTGTTTCACCAGGAATATTCAATGTACGTTCAACGGATGAGCCATACGCAAGAATAACGATATGATAGAATTGTTGTAACTCCTGTAGTCGAACTGTGTTTCCTATATGAATGTTTCCAATGAAACGAACATGTTCGTGCTCAGCGATTTTTGTAAATGTATGAATGACGTTCTTCACTTCAGGATGATCTGGTGCAACGCCGTAACGAACGAGTCCAAAGGGCACCGGCGCCTTCTCGAGAATATCGATGGTGACTGGAAGTGATTGACGGAGTTTAAGGAGATTTTGAGTTAAATAAAAGCCGGCAGGGCCACTTCCTACGACACATATGCGTATTGGTGATGGAGGAGAACTCGACTGGCTAGAAATGGTAGAAAGAGATCGTCGAATTAGACAAGAAGTGAAAGAACGTCGGACAACATGAGTCAACATTTAGATGAGAACAATAGGTCTAGAATAGAATGTGAGAGACGATTCGTTTAAATCCGAGAAAGCTTCTCAACACCATGATCAATACTTTCTCAAGCAATTAGCTGATTCAAAATCAATGTAACCGTTGTAGAAATATTATGTCGTATTTATAAATCCTTTTTTAATAAAAAATAGGCACAGATTATGTTTAACAGATTTACTTTTAACAACATCATACACAATAGTAAGAAAAGAAGAAAGACAAAGTCTATTTTTGAGTTTTTTGCTTTTTCACTTCAATCATAGGTCGTTCACTTGTTATCGACTGTGAATCGGATGGTGTACGTTCTTCCTTTCCTAAAACGTAGCAAACAAAATTCAAAGTTGACTTTCGACTATTGAAAACACATACGTGGAAGGTTATTATCTCCACTGCCACCACTAGTACCATTAGTTGTTCCAACCGCATCGTTATTCGTTGTTGCTGACGCTATCGAATTCTGCGCTGTTGCTCCTACAGGTGCACGTGGTCGAAAATGGTCACGGAAACTATAAAAGATCGTATCAAAACGTATTCGTTGTGTTTGTGTCAGGATTTTCTCCTTCGATGAATCCTTCTTGGCTAATTCATCTAAACGAATAGGACATCTTCTGTTCGACATCAAATAGAACCTTTCAACGAGGCATACCAGACGAACTATTCGTTTTCCAATAGTATCCCGACGATGGATGATAGGCAGCTTTCTGTGAAGCTAAATGTATAGACATCAAGATAGTCGTTTCTGAGAGGGCGAACTGTTACCTTCGTCGAAAGCTTTCCCAAAATGATGAACAGCTGTTAGCTAAAGAATAAAATAAGGTCCGGAAAGAATTCGATGCGGAAATGTCTTACTAATCGATGACTAATCACAGATGCTGCATCAGGTGCTTGATAGATATGACCCGGCGCAAGAATATAATACTCCTGGAGTGGTCTTGCTAGATAAGGTATTTTATTAGAGATCTCTATACAACGGTTCGCTTACCTTCGTTCAGACTCTCACGATACTGTTTACGAATAATGAATAAAACTGGATTTTGTTTCTGCATAACTATGTATTCAATACCACTCGCATTCATCTGTACGGAAAGCAAATACAAATCAGATAGATTTAATGAAAAACACTATCGTACCATTGCTTCAGTTGTTAGATTATTCATATAAAACCTTTCGTTTAAACTCGATCGATCATAGAATGGATTTCCCATTTGACAAAAGTACGGCAGTGCTGTTTCTTCACTTAATACAGTATTCGTCTGTTGAAACCAAGATAAATCACTCCAACTTAAGTTCAACAGACTTTCTATAGATATACAAACGTTCATAAATAATGCTTCTGTATGATCACTAGCAAAGACAAATATTATTACCCTTTGATAAATCCATTGAAACACAATCTACAATGCACAAAATGGAATAATGATCACATATGTATTTATATTGAAATATATTCTATTGTCTTTCTTGTTCTCCGGAAAAAAAGAGAAACAAAATATTTATCCAGAAAAGGCAAGAAAATGACAAAAACAATAAACACTATTCTAAGAAATCTGTTTTTGTATTTTGTTAAGACTAGAGAACTCGACGACGACATTCAGCAGAACCACAATTACAATCCATCCGACGGCCGGCAATTTCACCTACTGTATAATTATAATCCCAACTAGAAAAATAAACAAAATTTTCAGTCGAATTCGTTTCTTTCACATCTCTTCATACCATAGTTCAGTACCAGATCGAATCATTTTGGTCGCAAAGAAGCCAATCCATGGGAAATGAATGTCATGCGTCTAGAAAAGCAGAAAACCCATTAAAAAGTCAATATCAAAATGAATTAACTTACATCTACAAAAACGTTCTGTACAGCTATATTCGGCGAGCAGGAATGGTTAAAATATCGTCCAATATTACCGATTAGTTTGGCGTCCAGTGTGTACACCACACCATCGTAGTCAGGCAACAATGTACGATTTAACGTGGAATTGTTATCACTATCATCTGAAGTCGAGTTCGATGATTTTTTCGAATCTTTCTTATTGAGTAGTTCACGCGCACGAGACTGAAGATTCGCATTCCGGACACGAGTGTTTGCTAATAAAATGGAGTTTTAAATGAGAATATCTTTGAGATTATATATTTACCGGACTCTGTACTCGACGGCGAAGTATCATCTCCGTCAATGTCGTCATCTTCGGGCTCCAATTGCCCAGCAGGGTGTTCGTCCTCTGAATCATTATTAATATTCTTGAGAGACAAAATCTCAGATAAAAATTCCTTTGTTTCATATTTTTCCTTACTTCGAAAAAATCTAAATCTGCTTGATATTCATCGCCGAGTAATTTTCCTCGTTCATCTGCTTGTTCACTAGTAAAAATTTCACCTGAGTAAACACTAATAAATGTTCCTACTGGAAGATCGTGTAAAGTGCGGACACCCCAGCCACGTCCAACCGTTTTAAATAACTAACAAAAAGTCTCCATACAATAAATGTATCAAGAACTGTTTGTTCCTTACTTGAAGTTGAACGGTAATACCGTTTTGAACGACACGATTCGAACATGTATATTTATTACATGAACATCGACTATTGCATTCATAAATACCACCCGGAACGTTCTTATGCAAACGTCGAAAACGGTAGCCAAGTTGATTGAGTATCTCAGCTTGACTTCTATGTTTCGCTTTCATCGCCTTGACACGTTCATCACCAATTAAGTCCGCATATTTCAACGTTCGTAGCCAACCTATTGGAAAAGATAAGTTCTTCTCAAGTGTTACAATTCGATGATCTTACATGCACATTTCACTCGATTTCGACATCCATCCGTACATGTGCAGCATGTCATTGTTGGCTCATTAATGACCATATTAACACCGGCTACAGGAGTTCGTTCCACGCGATATGTAAATGCGCTTGGCTCTTCGATTTTTCCTGGTTCTTTATCGACTTCGTTGACAACTGAAATAGGAACATTTTCTTGACCGTTCGATATATCTGGATTGAGAATTTTGCCACACGGAGAATAGTGTTGTCTTAAATTAGCTTTCCCATCGAATATAAATAATTCACTAGTCAACTTAGATTTTGTTTCATGAAGATAATTATCGACTTGCCCTTGACTGACAAGTTTCCTCCCACACGGTGCACAGTAGATGAATGTCGAACGTGTTACTCGAAGACGAATGTCGCCAGCCTTTCTCACTCGAACGTTATCTAGCATTGTCCAATGACAAGCAAATGGTTTCAGAAATGGATTCATTGTTCGTGGTAATTGATGGAAATTCTTTTCCGCATAATTAACACATTTGTGTGAACAATGATGTGGATGAAATTCATAGGAGTAGTGAATAAGGAACTTTTCGGCCAGCTCGAGAAACAACGGATTAAGTACGATTTTGGAAATTGAGTTGGACTAGATTGAAAAAGAAATAGATTAAATTATCCAGGAAAATGATAGAGAACACGTACATGATTGGAACGCACTTGAACGGATGTAGTACAGTGATTCGACGACGTAGATGAAGAAGAAGACTGTCGATGAATATTCATGGAAGGTGATTGTTCATTAGGCGTGGGAGTAGATGGCGATGAAACTGTACTCGATGTGCTATTGTTAGTTTGACGTGGACGAAGTGTTCGTAGGCCAGATTGATTCGAGTTCGTTGTCGGAAGCGTAGATGACGATTTGCGGGTGTCTTGTTCATGAGATAATCGAGGTCGCTTAGACGATTCTAAATAAGAAGTCAAATCTTTCGATATGCATTACATCGACAGGCATCAGTTTGGAAACTAACTGGTTTCATCCGTCCCATCAGTGATTTGTTCAGATGTTCGAACCGATTTGGATTTGTTCGAAACTATTGTTGGTGCCGTTGTTGTTACTGCAGTTGTTGATGTTGTTGATGTTGTTGTTTGATCATTTAGACATATAATTTCTGGTGCATTTGATCTTTTGGCTGATAAATGCTGCCTCGCGGTACGTCGAGCCACTCCATTAATAACCGCTTTGTTTTGTGTTGAATAATAATTATGCATCTGATCGAGCAAAGGTGAACCTCGATAGAGCCATTTTCGTTGTTTACTATGAATGAGTTCGATTTGCATCATAGATCCATCGATTTGAATAACAAGTGCAGGTACAAAAGAAGTACTATGAACATTGGCGAAAACATTTCGAACTTTGACAGTCGAACCTTCCTTCGCACGAAGCATCATACGCTCAGGATAGGAAGCGAAATAGCGATCGAGAAAATCGTTTCTACATTCTTGAGTGTGCGTGGAAAATGTTTGATCAAGACAGACATGAATATGAGATGATGAATGATACGTCGCCGACATACTCGTCGCATCATCAGTAAAAAACACTAAACAACGGTAGTCATTGTTCTTGCCGGGTTCTTCACCGATAAAACCATAACGTCGACGTCCAGTTTGAGAGTCAATGATCAGAACGCGTAATTTCAATGGTAAAATCACATTATTTTCACATGGTTTTGCTATATACAACCATTTCGTTGGAATATCGTACGTTTTACCAGTGACTTCATCGAGAATGTTGATATGTTTAGCATTAATCAAGTCAGCTACAAATGTGTTCGTTATACCTTTCAGCGGCAAACGTGCGTCGAGATCATTTTTTATAAGAAGACTTTCTCGTAGGTAGACCATGTGAATCGGTTTGTAATTAATATACGTTGGTCGAGTGATTGGTGGTGCTGGTGTTGAACTTAAGTGAATAATACAATCGTCCTTTTCGTCGTTATCGTAATTGAATAAAAGGTATAGTTCATTGATAAGTCGATTATTTTCATTGAGTTGTTTGAAGATGTGATCAAATTTAAAACGATTTAATTGTTCAATTTCCCACGTGATCGCACGAAAATAATTTATAGTAAAACGTTGCTTTAAGGTTTCGATTAAAAAGTTTGTATAGTTTTCCATAATAGATTTCGTATCAGTCCTATTTGACGAATTGAAATGAGATGTTTGAGAGAAAGAGACACCATCTAGTTCGAAGTAGCGTTTTAGACACAATTTACTAAAACTTTCGAGCCATTGGCAATCAATTGTATGGAGATTTGTGGAATAAAACAATTCACGGTAATCTTCGATTTCTAATAAATTGAAGAGATGAAGGAGAATCGGCTCGACGGTCGACGATTGACGAAGTTTTTCTACATCGAATGGAAAATCGATTATGATAGCGACGCAACTCGACACTTACGTAAATATTTCTGCTCATCGTCCAACGGTTTCAACACACTGTCGACATCCATTCTAAAATGTACGAAGAAAATTATTCGAATGAAATTTTCTCGCATGTTAATGTCTCTCTGAGTACAAACAATCAATATACATTGAACTTCTATATGATTGCAGTCTTTCCTTCAGAGAACGGGTTCAACTTACCGTAATAAATTAGTTCGATGTCGTTCATTTGGCATTATATCTAAAAATTGCTCTTCATGACGAGATAAAACAGAAAAACAAATGTGATCTCGTTGTTTCTATATGTATATCTCAATCTCATTTGTCGAAAAGAAACCAACAAACAACAGCAACAACAACATCAACAGAAAAAAAAGAAAACAACAATAAATAGTTTTTGGAAAAAAAAACCAGACAAAGCAGACGACAATTACATACACAAACACATGCAAAAGGAAGAGAATAAACGTTTGTTATTGCTCAACATACACACACAAGTAAAGAAGATTCTATGTACATAATGAGATTTTCCTCTTAGGTATCAGAAATTGGACTGTATAATGGAGTATATTCATCATCTGGTAAATTACTTGGATAATAATGTTTAAGTCGTACATGCCACGCAATAGATGTGACAGATGATAATGTACGAAATTGATGAATGACATTTCGTGGAATGAAATAAATATCCTAGAAGAAAACGAATAGATGATTCAATCAGTAGAACGAATGAACGAAAAGTTACATTATCGTATAACGACACACGAACATATCGAATTCCTTCGCGACGCAATTGATTGAGTTTACCTTCATCACACCATTGTAAACACTAATAGGATGGAAGAATAATGTGATGATGTAATAGAGAAGGTTCTGTCTAACTTACCTGTGATACAGGTGGCTCAAAAACATCTATTTTCAAGCGTTCAACGACTTTTTCAAAATCGTCAGCATGGAAGCAAACAACATCTTTGACCATTCGATTCACCGACGACCTTCAAACCAAATACAACTACAGTTTTACTCTCTCTCTCTCTCTTAGAAGAATATAATTAGACTACATACGGTGTACCAACATGGACAGCTTTTAAAATTCCGACAGCAGCTGTTGTTTCCACTCCATCACCATCACAATGATCACTATGTGGTTTGGTGCGATCTTCAACGAGAACTTCACGTGGATCTGTTCCGCGGCCAGTAAACGATAAATTGCGTAGTTCATTAGCCATACGCTTTTTCGGATGACAACTTTTAGGTTCAGCGGTAGGAACATATTGTTCACCTGCTCGAACCCATAGAATAGGTCCATCATTCGAATCTGTTCGAGATTTCATGTTTTGCGATGCTAATGTCCCCCATGGCATAACCGACTGGAGAAAAGGATTTTCTTCAAGCTTATCGAGGAATGTTGGAAAATAATCACCTAGAAGAACATTCTCTTTTATCTGTTCGTAGTTTTTCTGGAAGAATTACTTACCACATTCTTCTCGTCCACTGACTTTGCCGACTAATGATATACTCATCAATGGTCCGTATCGAAATGTTCCATTGCAATATGTTTGAACAACCCGATTTCGGTATTCTCCCATGGTAGTCGTTAGAACTTCTTTGGAATTGAACATATTGGTTGTTTTGACAATCATTTTTGGATAGGTTAGACTAAAATAATCGATAAGATCAGGCAAATATCTTGCCCCATCATGTAAAACACCAATAGCATATTTAGCACGTTGATTCACTTCACCATAGACAATATTAAAAAAATAATTAACAAATAAATTCGCATTTTCAGCTGATAAGCGTACAAATTCATTATAGTAGGTTCGAATTAGGCTGGCACCACCATTCGGATGTTCTTCAGTGTGAATTAGACTTTGAAATAACTGTAAACGATCATTATTACCATTTGTTAGCGATAAGTCCATGTAGGGTGAAGTTAGTCGTTGATCTAATGACGGATTTGCTAGCACTGGCGGAGCGTTCGGTAACGGAGATATGATTCTTAGCGGAACTCCATCACATTGTGTTTGACTAGTAGTTGTTTGACAGAGATATACTTGCGAATCATTGGGACAATTAAGATCGGTCGTTTGGGTTTCCTGTTCTTCTTTATGCGTCGTCTGGGTACTATTTTCACAGAGAGGTCGATCGAGAAAGTCTGTATATGTTGATTTATCTGATTTAATCAAACCACAGGTTTGATTCGATCGATGAAATATTTCAACGATATCATCCGTGGTTTGACATTCACTCGTATTTTGCTGCTTCGTGGGTAATGCGTAGAGATATTTGTATTCATTTTGAGCTATACCATCAGTCGATGTCGATAGATCGGATGTGGAAGATGTGAGTAGTTCTGTACTCAAGCGACGTTTGCCGATGACTGAATGATGATCTTGATGTTTTTGTTTTAAACGTGAGGAAGAACGGGTTTGAACAAGCGCATTAGACGATTCTGAAAATATGAAGACAAAGCTTTACATGCTGATAAAAGAAAGAATTTTTTTAAACATGTACTTAGATTATTAGTTGGTTGTTTAACAGCTTTTGTCGTTAATTTCTGTCGCTTTTTTTCTTGATGTTCATTTGGTGACCTTCGTTTGTAACCATTCGTTTTAGTCGTTTGCTTCTTCAACGTATTTTCATCGTAGATACTATTATGATTGTGAATGTTTGGTTTAGGCAGTTCGTACATGGATGAAGCGATCTGTGCTAGATCACTTTCGATTGTTGATGTCCGCCGCGTAGAAATCACGCGACGTGAGTTTGTAGAGGCCGTTGGAGATTTCGTATTCAAGTCTGCGTTTGTATTGAAAAATTGTCGAGGAATAACTTTTGGTGTAGTTGGTTCAGCTGGTTCGTTCGTCTGTTGAGATTGGTAAAGAAGATTCGCTGTCGGATGGATTGACAGTGTTTCGGTTGACGACGACGGTGAGCAAACACGTCGGATATGTAGTTTGATCGATGCATGTTCATTGGGAACATCAATGGAACGAATTGTTGTCGAAGAAGAGCCGTTGGATGTTAACACATTGTAAGAAGATATTTGACTTTGCTGATTATTGGTTTTACATTTAATCATCTTGGATTTCATATGCTGATCGTCATTATCATCAAATTTATCGTTATTGTTATTTAAGTCATTGCTATTATTCTGAACAGAAATGCCTTTCGGTTTAACAGGCAAAAAAAGCGATGGCAAGTACCTTTATTTCATCAATTATTGTCGACGGTGTGATCATTTTACTTATATCAGCCATAAGTTCATTCGTATCTACAATAGAATTAGACATTCAATATCATGTGTTTTTGCTTTTTTCTTGTTTGACAGTTTGTTGCTAGTATAATGAGTCAATTGAAAAAAAACAACCTACATATATATATATATAGAATAGAAGTTCAATTCAATTGCAAAGAACGGAAAATTTCTTATAGTAAGGGTAATCTGCATTTAAACCAATCAGAAGACAAGTGCCATGACTAAGTATCACTAAACTCTACTATCTATACGAGAAATTCGAAAATTTAATTATTCTGAACAATTGATTCTACTGTGAAGAATATTAGTTAGTTTTTGTTCGTTTTGTGGTTTGAGAAAGAATATTATAGAGGTCGCTAGTACTTGCCAAATAAACTTCTCACTATGAATGCTGAGCGAACAGGCGAATCTAATTTAAATACTTGGCGCCAATATCAATGGTAGTATACTGATGATTAGTGTTCAATGGCTTTAGCATTCAAGTCGAATCGAACCAATGATGATACTAACAATTTCACCACATCGACAGCCGCTGACGATGAAGATATGTGGAGAAGAATTCGAGTAAGTGAAAACTATACGGAAGAGAATGCAGAATAGTTTGAGCTTTTAGACATTTTTCAATCTTCAGAATTCGATGATTATCTTAGGCATAATCTGTTTGGCATTCTTCTTTGTCACCTTATGTCTTGTATTTATTATCCTTCATCTGTTAAAAAACAAACGTTCGTATCAAGGTCCATCGACGCACAATCCTTCGAGTAGTTATCCCAAACTAGATCATCCTGTTAGTTTTCAAACATCGCCTAATCAAATGGGTTTTACATCGAACCAAATGACTTCACTTGGAAATATTCTTCCTAACAGTAAAGATATTCAAATTCAAGAATCTACACCAACTATGCTTAGTTCAAGTTCATTTCATCAAAGTAATCAGACACAATCATTTGACAATTTCGAACATGAACTTAAACGCACGTGGAATGAACGAGGTATTACCAATCCGCGGTCATTCACTAGTGATGATGAAGTTGAAACCGTCAATGAAGTTTTAGAAATGGAAGAACGAAATGGAAAAGTTTACTACAAAGTGAATTTCACCGGTCATCCATCCGATTATACCGCCTGGGTGTGTGAAGAAGATTTAATACCTGAATAAACTTTTGTTTTTCTCTGTCATCAAACTGTTCACTCAACAATAATAAATGAATGACGAGAACTGTGTGCTCAAAACCTTTTTTATTGATACGAAAAAGACAGCGTCTGAGCAGAAAGTGGGTTTTACAATTATTCAGATTTCTTCTTATCCTTTTTCTTGTTGCGCCCTGATTCTAATGTTCCGTTACGAGATACACTACTTAGACCCTCGTTGTGCGATTTCAATGTGTTATCATAGTCGGTTCGAATTCGATTATAACGATGATCTCCATCACTATAGCGGGACATTGCGCTATAATCATGTTCATTGGTATAGTCAGCATATCTAAACTCAGCGTTTCCCTGGCGATCAGAACGGTAGTCAAATAATGCCCTTGTTGCTCCTCTTGGTTCATTGGGACGTGAGTCAATATCAACAGCAACTTGTTGAACATGGTCGCCAACAAGAAAATGAGCGTTTTGATCATTCAAATATTGAATGTCAGCTCTTTGATGGACCGGTTGAGCAGTCTTAAAAGCTTTTATTATCGCTTTTTTCTCCACTATCAGGGATTTCATTGTATTGGTATGTTTTTGAACAGCTGGGTAATCTTTAATATCCTTGGCTGCATTTTTTGCATCTATCTCCGATTGAATCTGTTGGTCATATTGGGCTACGGTAGATTCATACTGGCTTTTTTGAACCTGACGTTCGGTAATCTCATTAGCTTTATGTGCTTCAACAACTAATTTTGATTGCGGAATTTTCTTCAAATCGTCATAAGCTTTGGAAACAGTGTTTCGGTGTTCTTCAGGAACGTTTTCTTCAATAAGTTTTTTATTCGTCTTATCATTTAGCATAACAGCTTTACCACCTTGTGCACAATAAATGGCATTTTTTGTTGCTTCTTGCGCAGTTGCCATAATGACACTGGATGTAGCACATGTAACAGTTCGTTGTAAATCATATTGTTCCTGGCTACCAACGACTATATTGACAGTTTGAATGGTTGCATCACCCACTGCCGCACTTGTTCCGCTTACAAGAACACGTGTAATACTTTCGGCAACAGGAGAAGTCATTTTTGTTGCTAGACTAGAACTCACATGACTCCCAACACCACCTAATCCACCACCCAATGCACTTCCAACCCAAGCGGTGGTAGTACCATTTGGTTTGCCGTTTCTATCGAAACTTTTTCCATAATCTCTCCACTTTTTATCTGTTGTTGAGCATTGTTTAACTTCATCAATAGCTTTTGAAGTAACTCCGACGACAACGCCAGTGGTAGCTCTTACAGCAAGTTTTTTCGCGCCAGCCTTGGCAACTTCTTTAGCGCCTTGTTTGACAACATTAACAGCAACTGTCTCACCCGCCACTCCCACACCACCAGTGACGACACCGGTAGCAGCACCAAATGCAACATCAGCAACGTACTCTTTGCCACTTATTCTTTCTTGTTTTATTGCTTTTTCAGCGCCGTTCCAAGTAGAACTGATACCGGCGCCTAGCATACTTCCACCAATGAGAACTGCACCCAAGCCGCCAGTGCATATAGCTAATGCTAAACCACCAATTGCTAGACCGAAACCACCAACGATGGCTATAGACTTTTGAGCAATATCAGCATCCCCATTAACATTACATTGACAATCGCATTGCCATCTATTCGTACAATGTTCATGCTGATTTCTGTTACATCGATAACAAATCCACACCATCGTTTATTTGATTGTAGACAAAATGACCTGCAGTCCTTCGAAAAATACCAACATACACGGTATTTATATTATACGTTCCAAATGTTTCCTTTCATGATGCAGAAAAAAAATATCGGAGATAAAGAAGGGGAAAATCCCCATAGCAGCATATTGCGATAAAAGACTAGAACGAACGAAATCTGGTACATGCATTGAGATAGGAAGGAGAGAAAAAAGTGGATGTAGTGTGTAGCTCGACAATAATTTTGTAAGACTATTTTATACATGCTTCCGTCAATCAAGAAACTCGAAGATATAAAAGTGATGCCTAAAATAATTTGAAATCTCGATAGGATTGAGATATCATTACGTCCATAAGCTGTGCCAAATCACAAAATGTCTCAGATACGATAATACTTACATCCCTTTTTTCTGCAATGATAGTCACTGTTGAAACGAGTTTCTCTGTACCTCCAATTAGATTAATTGACTAAAGGTACGAAATAAGCTCTTCAAAATCGAATCTAATCAGTCTGGATCATCAACAAATTAGTTTTACACACTACCTCGATAGTTCTTCGGTCTTGTACAATATTTCACCGTTTCGAACTTCTTCTAATTCGCTTATTAGCTGGATACAGATGAATATACAAATGATTATCTGTTATTGTTCTTTATTTTGAACAAATACGAGAATATAGTATAATAAGTATCGTTACACACACACACGTACAGTGAGAAAAAAAACAAATTAAGAGTTTAACATAAATTGTGCCATTGGATCATCATGACGAAGTTTCTTCAGTCGATAAGCTTCTAATTCTTCTTCTGTTGGTTCTTTGTGATCAATAGTATCTGATTTCAATGAATTGTATTTACGTTTTCGTTCATCGGTTTGTGCCATGTCTTCTTCCTGTCGCTCTCGTCGCTCTATTTCTTTTGCTGCTTCTTGTACTTTCTTCTTATCTATCTTTTTCGTTACGGAATTCTTGTCTTCAGCTGCCGCCGTCGATGATTTCGGTTGAAGTTTTTCTTTGTTTAATTTTTCGCGATGCATTTCAACCAACGACTTAGGTTTATCACTCGTACCTTCATCCAGTACCTTATTGGTCTCAAAGGTGATTTCCTTTTCTTCAATAACCGTTCCTGGACAGTAAGATTGTCTCATCAGTAAATGACAGCATGCATAACCCCATCGATGATTATGCCAATAAGAACCCCAAACAGATGTGTGTTGATTTTCATAAACATCTTCTACATATTTCGATTTAACCGTTGCACGTTGATCACCTTTAATTACTTTGCCAAGACGATTATATTCAACGTATTGTTCAGTTTGTGCTTCGACGACTAATTCACGTGGAATACTATTTAGATATTCTTCACCACCGTAACGTTCAATTAATTGCTGCTGATTAGTTTTAACAAATTGACTTTTCTTCTCATGAAATTCCTTGTTCAATAATTCGAGTTTCGTTGGATCAGCTTGCGTATGAATACTGACACCTTTATCCGTTGCTTCCCACGCGAAGATTTGACTTACGGCAAAGTTTTTTGCGTCACCCGAATAACGCACGAAGTTGTCACCTAAATATGGTACTTGGGACGGATCCTTATTGGTTCCAGCAAATGGATTGTCACGCATGGAACGTGATTTCGGATCGTAATAAGCAGAATTAGCATCGAGATTCAGTAAATATTTCGCAGTATCTTCTCGAATACGTAAGTTACGAACACTAATACGTTGTTTCGAATCGACATGTTGGCCAGGCATGTCCATGGAGTCTGTGTATTTGTATTCTTCGTCTTCGTCATCATCGTCAGAATCGACTTTTTTCGACTTCGGCTTGCTCTCACTGGCGTCCGGCTTAGCTGCAACTGTCACGACTGATTCAGAATCATCTGTGTTACTTGCGGTAGCTGATGCTTCCGCTTGCTCTTCAGCTTCGGCTTCTTCATCTAGTTTTTGTGCTTTCAAAATCTTCTTTGCTTCGGCTAGCCGATCATGTTCATCATGTATCTTCCGTTGATGCCAATTAAGATCAATGCCATTCCAACGATCACGTTTGCCGTCAAAAGATAAGTTAATATTCGGTTGAATATATTCATCAGGAGCAAAATCGGTGCCGGTAAAACGTGCTCCTAAACGACGGGGACGTTCAACACAATCCTTTCGTTTATGAGTAATGGCACCGCAATTTTCACATGCTCCTGCACGATAACGCGTTGCAACTTTATCGGCATGACCACGAGCGTACCTAAATGTAATCAACGGTTCAAATCACTACAACATGATGTTTTTCTTTCCACTTACCATTCATTGAGCGTATCGAATGTTTTGGTTTTCTCTGGATGTATACGTTGATGTTTAAGTGTAGGTTTTTCATGGTCATATGTAACATACCATGGCACATCGGTCATATATTTTGGTATGTGAGGATTGATATCTTTTCCTTCTTCGTCGACTTCGGCGGGTGCTGAGCCAGCTTTTCGTAGTTCTTCTAATTCCTTCTGTTGTCGATATTCTTCTCTTGTTTGCTTCTTCGGCGCATCACCATCTTTTTGTCGAGCAAGAATCGACGGTGGCGTAGTAAAATGTTGCTGTGACATATCTGAAACGAGAAGAAAATCATTGAAAACTATCTTAGAAACGAAGTTTTTCTTTTGTTTTATTATTTCGTATAAAAAGATGCGAGAGAAAAGTGAGACGACAAGAGATTCACAGTATCACATATCAACGAACAGAGTTGGATTTCGAAGATTTCGAAATTTCAGTGTCAAATAAACGGCAATGATTTGAGTTAAAGTAAACACGAGCATTATTGAGCCAATGATTTTCAAATTCTTATTCAGTGTTTCTTCTAACAAGGAATGACACATTGGTAATGTTTCACAACACTGATCGGACGATTTACAACACGGTAAATTGGCACAAGTTTGTTTGCGATTAAATTCAGTTGAATTATCAAATCCACAGCATTGATATTTCGATTGAATACTGTCAGTTGACTTTTGATAACTGCTCTTCAACAAACCGTATTTCTTTTCACCACGAATTGCCAAATAAGTACAAGCAAGGATGAATTGAAAAAGAAATAGGATCGTCAGGAGAATAATGTAGAAAAATAGCAAGACTTGATGATGTTTCAACGTGGCATAGATGCCGAAGACGGACAGGGATAGAAGGTAAATACTGAGTATAATTAAACCAACGAGTAAATGAAGATCTATGATCGAAGAGTTCACTCGTGTGAATATCGCGAAGAATAAGAAGACAAATGCTAGTATCATATAAAATATATTAAATATAAGTAATAATCGACGCCAAAATCGAAATTCGCGTTCTTCCACCATCTAGAACACAAAACAGAAACATAAATACATACAATTAGATTGCTAGAAGTGTCTATAAACACAAACACAAAATGTCTTTTTATTAATTGAAACAAAAGAATTGTTTATCTGATCAAAACACAACACAACGATTTGCTTAGTAGTTGATGACTTCATATGAGATGGGAATCGTTGTAATGGAAGACGATTCGAGGAATATCTGAAAGAAAATCGGCTTGATCATGTCTCAAACGAAACTAACTCATACCTGATCGGATGCGGATCGTAACTGAATGTGCAAACGACGTAAACATTTCAATCGTTGCTGACACTGACTGATAACGAATTGAATACATTCATACAAATGATTATTATTATTCTTGAGTTTTAAAGATGAATTGTAAGTTTGAATGAGTTTAATGTCTTGTAAGAATGGTGCAATTTTGAATAATTCGGTAAATAATTCTAACGGATGATCAGTCGATATACAAAGTGAACGGAGAGAATAAATAGAAATTTCATTGGACAATTGAAATGTTGAACATTCAAATGAAGACTCGGAAAGATCCTAGAAATTCCGTTTAATTATGGAATGAAATTGAGTGAATCAACTTACCAATTGACGTAGATCAATATTTTGAAAGTAATTTACAGCTTTATTGAAATTGAGACAATATCGAGACAATTTCAGCGAATTCCACTAGAAATAAACGTGATTGACGAATTGCAATCGAAGATTTTCTCTTACTGAATTCGAACTATCTACAAAATTCTTCCATCGATGGGATACTGCTCGACATCTAAAGTAGACATGCACACATATATTCATACGAATCAGTTCTTCATACTTTAATCGTGTCGGAATATCGGTAAAATAAATAATTCTCTGAATAATCTTATCGTTATTCAATATGTCCATGTTATTGTTAATGTCGAACTTTTTCACGAACGATTCGATTTCTGATTTCGACATGCCAGCGCTTTCGAGCAGATGCAGATCTTCTTCAACGTAATAAGGTAGTCGTCTGCCATGATTAGATGTTTTGCGTTGACGAGTATATACAACTGACTTATCAGCAAACATGATCATATCATAATTTGATGAATCCACATGCGAAACCATTTGAATATCTTTTATTGACATTGGCGTTACGCCGTTGATTTGTCTTAGTACAGCTGATGGTATTTCTAAACATAAATAGATGAATTGACGATCGGTATGAGAGGAAAAAAACACTCACGTAAATGTATTTGCTGATTATCTGAGCATTTGACGACATTTTGATGAAATAGTAAATAATGACTCAAAGCTTTGATTGAAACAAACGCTCCCGTGTCTATACAGTGCTGAACGAGTTCGGATTGATTGTCTGTCATGATCAGAAGTGAATCGACATGTAAACAAACATCTGCTTTTGTGAAACGTCCTTTCGTCTAGTTTTCACATGACAGCTTATATTACGAAATAAATGCCCTGACCGACCAATTCTCGTTTCATCGGGCTGCTGACAACAGAATATTGTGATAGGTCAATTAACAAACAAATCGACGTTTGAAACAGCATATGCAAGCGCCATCTATCGCACGTGTAGATGGTGATGTTTAGTGAGCATGTACTTTCGAAACAATGAGACGAACACATTTTCTGTAATTTCAGTGCTAAGTTCTTCTAGAAATTTTCGGTAATAAATCAACAAGCAGAAAACTAATCCCATTCTACTATCCGTATTTACGAATAAAAGATATATATATATATCGGACGTGTGAAAATAGAACACATATTTCTACAATGATAATTAAGATTATATAGTTAAAAATCACAATTTGTAGATAAATTTGTTTGCAGTTCTGACAAGATTTTCAGTGTGTTAATTAAGAGGCACTTTTTTAATGTTGACAGTTTTATCTTATCTCGTTTTTCTTCTATGCGCTTACGTATAGGAAGCACTTTTTTTCCTATTTATATTCAACCCCTTATGTCAATTTTCCTGACAAGTTTTCAAAAGAAAAAGTGTCATTACACACTCAATAATTCTTCCTTGAATAGACAAGAACAAAAACTGAGTCTTCATACAGTCAAAAAGCTGAAACACTAAACATTGTTTAGAACACAAGAAGCCATTGACGATATGAATTCTTGAATCCACTTCACGTACTGTAATGACATATGTTGTTATTAATTCAGTCTCAATGGTCTTTAAATGGAAAAGGAAATAGAAAATGATTCAATGGAACAACGAAACAGAAATCTACTTCAAAGAAAGACTTCAACATATAGCAATGTTTCAGCAGAGGAGAATATAGTAAGTTCGCACTGAAATCAATCGTCTATTCTTCTTCATCTTAGAAACGTTTAGGTAAACTTCCGTTTCTGCTTTCTTTCTTTTTCACACTTTATCTATTCACTTCTGCTGGCATGACAGCAGTAAGGTCATATTTACATCACTACTCTCTCGCTATTCTTCATTAAAGATAATAAAAAAGATAGGCTCCTATGTTTTCTTTTTCATTACGTTCCTAGCTATCGTCAGGAAACGACGGCGTCAAATTACTTACATTCTCTTTCTATTTCGATAAAAACAAATGATGTCTTTATTTGAGGCTTGTCAACAGGCAGACGTTGAACGAATTAAATCGCTAATCGAACAACAGGTAGGAATGGCAAATTGGATTTTTCATCAATGCGGTTTTTCTCATGGTGAATTTAGTGTGATTTAACACAAATTGATGATCAAGGTCGAACAGTGCTTCACTACTGTAACGATCATACAGACATCGCTTGCGCACAGCTTATACTACAGGATGAATCAGTACGAAAATTAATTCTCGATCGACACGATAACGAGGGTTGTTCTGCACTTCATCTAGGTAGATTTTTTCGAAACGCGATAGTGTCATAAACACTTCTACACTTCTAGCTTGCCTGAATGGAAATATGGTTATGGTGAAATATTTATGCGAACAAGGTGCGAATGTTCAATTGGTTGATTATGAATCACATACAGTGATTCATTGGATAACAGGTAGAGTTGCTTGCAATCAGAAACTTGACTGTTAATCGAATTGTAGTGTGTGGACATTTACATCTATTCAATATTCTGATGAAATATGGTGCACCCGTTCATACACCTGATGTATATGGTGCATTCCCAATCCATTATGCATCGCAATTGTGCGGAAAAGATGGTGCAATCGAAGGTATGACAGTCACATGTGTAGTTAAAATGTTAATTTTCTCTAATTAGGGTTAGCCATTCTGAAGAAATTGATTGACAATAATGTTGATGTGAATTGTGTGGATGAACATAAACGTACACCATTCATTTGGGCTGCAAGTGCAGGTTTGAATCTGTTTGTAGATTCATTATGAAATAGTTCTATGTCAGACATTGTGTGTAGGTGCTGTCGATGCCTTACGTCTGTTATACAAAGCCGGTGCTAATCCACAACATGTAGACAAAGATGCTCTTACTGGTACACGTTCTTTTTCTATGAATAGCCAACATGATCATATCGAATAATTTAGCGCTTCACGGCGTTGCCACTCGAGGTCATGCAAATTGTGTTCGAATATTAGTTGAATTATATGAATGCCCTCTGGAAGGTTAGTAGACACGATAGTTTCTTTGGTTATTTTTATAGCAAAGAAGAATCGTCTAGGTGAAGATATCAATGGTTGTACTGCTCTGTTTTATGCTACTTCCTTTCAACATGTTGATGTTTGTCGGTTGTTACTTGATTTGAAAGCGAATCCAAATCATCAAGATAAACGAGGACGAACGTGGGTAAACGTTACTTGCAGAACAACTCGACTCTGATTAGATCGGTTTTAGACCAAGTCACTGTGCAGCAGCGAAAGGAAATCTCGAGTGCTTAAAGTATTTGATCGAGCATCAAGCGGATATTTGGATTCGAAACAAACATGGGGATTTCCCAATTCATGAAGCAATCAATGGTAAAGATCGTGATAAATCAAACGAATTATTGCAGAAAAAACATCTCGGTATGACCATTTGTCTTCTTGAAGATAGGAACGAGATAGATTGACATTTAGACGTCGTTCAATCTATTTGTCGCTTATATCCCGATAAAGTGAACATTCGTAATGGCGAACAACGAACTCCGCTTCATTTAGCCGCAAATTTCGGAGATGTAAACATGTGCGCAGCATTGATTGCATGCGGAGCGAGAATTAATTCATTTATTCGAACTAAAGCAGTAAGTTTTTTGTACTTGCAAGTGAAGAGATCTTCTAATCTGAAAGTACTTCAAAACAATTCAAGTAGTTCTAAGATCTGACAGTTAGAGATGCATTGAGATGTAACTGTCAACTCATATCTATTTTTACTTCCTAAGGGAAATTATATTACTCCATACGATCTGGCTCATATTCGTTGTGAAGATGCTTGTGCCGAATATCTTGTTTACAATCACGGTGGCCAGCGCGGTAATTTATTAGCAAATATATTCGCTCGTCGGATTCAAAAGTTCTTTCGCCAATTCAAACGTGTCAAATTCAGTAATGCTAATCGACGTCGGAAACTATTTGCAAAGTCGATTCAAACTCCAACTAATAAAACAGATGACTCTTCAGTGCACCCGGTAACAATATCAATACCATTATCACAAAGTCAGAATCATCTTCTACATCAAGCAAAAATTTGTTTGGATAATAAGAAGATCGAAGATCGCTCAAGAAAATCCAACAGAAATTCTTCCAGGCGTGCGTCTTATCTATTAGATTGCACAGAAGAAGAGAAGAAAGGAACACGGCATCATCGTCAACATCTTGGACAACCAAAGCCAATGGAAACATCGTTCAATCGAAGCATCGATCATCAGTAATTTGAAGATAATCTTTCACTTTCGAAGGACACAGTCTTTTTGTTTTTGTGTTAAAGATTTCATTCAACCGAGAAAATCATCATTCATACGTCAAATTCGATTGGCACGTCAGTAAAACTTTATGAACGACATAAATTAATCGCAGAAGAATTATACAAAATCAAACAAGCACGAATTCACAATCATAATGTAAAGGAAGTCCTTGATTTAATGGCAAACTATGTCAAATGTTTTCCTCTAGGTTGTCATCAACCGACCGCTGTATAAAATTTTAATCGAGAACGCGTTTAATCCTGCCAATCGACATGTCGAAGAAATTGAACGATATCTTGAAAGCCTAGTAAAAGCATATGAAACCGAATTAGATGCTATACGCAAGCGTAGTAAAGTAATTTGAAACTTGTTTGATGACTTTTTCTTTATACGTTGGTCTTTGTTTAACTCTAGAGCATTCCAGTACGACGTCCAATGAATGATCGAAATTAGTCATATGTGCAAGGTGAATCAGGCGAAAAGATCGCGAGATAATATTCTGTTATTTTGTATATTTGTCTTCAATATGTTACTGCGTCTTGTTTTTCATCATCAACCATGTGCGCGACACGCTCGAATGAATTTTCAAATAATGAATAAAAGATATATTTCGATATTATTATTCATTACTGAGTGCTTTGATCTTGAATACTTTTTGTGTAGATAGTTGAGGAAAGTATTAGTAATTATGTCTGAACTGGAAAAAGATCAATCGATCGTGAACGGCAAGACGGATGAACATCATTCGCATAAAAAGAAATCGTCATCAAAGAAAACGACGCGTGAATCGGAAACAAATGGTGAAAAGAAGCGCAAAGCACCGAAAATTGTTGTGGGCGACGATCCCGTGGAAGACGAACATGTGTATGAATCGAGCCCTTCGAGAAACGTCGGAAGAGAAGCATCCGATAGAGATCAGGAGGTTCCAGTAAAACCAAAGAAAAAACGAGCACCGAAAATCGAAGCAGACGGCGATGAAACGAAAACAACAGATGAGCCAGTGAAAAAGAAGAAGTCCAAGACACCAAAACCTCTACCTGTCGATGATGAATTTCAAATGATCGATGCTTCAGCTGTGAATGAAGTCGAACCTTATGTTGAATCGAAGCCGAAAAAGAAAAAATCGAAGAAATCCAAAACATCACCAAAGCCACATTCAGATTCATTCGAAGATCTACAAGTCACGAATCTAGATGATCCAATTCCAGGTAAATCTTTCTCAACGTTATCCTACAAATACATTATTGCGTTCTAGAAATGGTTGACTATACGTCTGAGATGTACCCTGAAGATATACCTATACTTGACAGTGGTTTAGGTGAATATCAACAATCAATTCTTGACGCATTCAATAATTTGAGTGCCAAAATGAACTTTGCCGAATATATTGGCGCCGATGATTGGTGTGTCGCTCATAAGCCTAAATCGGGCCGAGCTGAGAACAAATCTCGTATAAGAAAAATGCTGCCAGGCTCCAATAAAGCTGACAACAAACCAGGAGCTAAGCCAGGTGTTCCTAAACAAAAACTACTGACACGTTTTCGCACAGGTGTAACATCACTCGTACGTGACCCGAATAATATGCTCTTTGGTGAACAGCCGACGCATGAACTCAATCCGGATTACGACGAACCCGAGGAAGTAGACACAGATGATTTACATCGCTATGCTCAAAAACTGCGTGAATTGGAAGATCAAGATCGAGAAGTGAATCCGGAATATCTTGTTCTTCATGATGGAAAGACAGTTTATGCTGTACACGAAGCCGATGAGGACGGCAAGGTGAAATTATCAAAACGTAAGCCCATCTATGATCGTATGGCTGATCAAAAGCCTGATGATCAAACTGACAAAAAGAAATTATTAGCACGTTTGAGAGCACCGTTTACACGTAACAAAGATGGCAAAGATAGTAAATCAGCTACGACGACACCTGATACTCGTTCGCATCGTAAATCAAGTCGAAAATCGCTCAATGATGAGATGGCAATTGCACCCCAAGAAGATCCAATATTGATTTAAAAAATGACTTTATATGTATTCATCGGAGAACGACAAGAGAGAAGAGAACACTATATAACTTCGCTTATTCCTTATTTTTTTTATCGATGTGTGCGCGTTCTTTTACAGAAATATATCTTTTGCCTTTTTCGCCGAGAGCAAAAAAAAGAAGAAGAAATTTCTATTTCTCTTTCGATGCCGTTTGCCTGCATTTCTTTTCTGGCAAAAAAGGCATATGAGCGAATGGAACTGGAACCTAATTTTGTTTTTCCTTCATCTCGACGAATGCTTGCCGTTCTTACGCGTGCGTCTCATGATCAATAGGCCAAAATTCTCGCGTTTTTTTCTCTCTGCTCGATTCCTCTAATCATCAGTAACATTGCATGTTTCCATTCATTTCATGAGAATTAAAAAAAGATCTATATATATATATATATACATATATATACATACAAGATGTTCATATGTTAAACAAATAAAGACATTAAGAATCTTTCGATTCGCTCATGGCTGTGAATCTACTAGGAAATTCAGATATTGATGCACGCATCATTCTTAATGTTGGTGGAACGCGTTTTGAAACGTTAAAATCAACATTAAAAAAGCTACCGGCAACGCGTCTGTCCAAGTTAACGGAGCAATTGTCCTACTACGATCCGATTTTAAATGAATACTTCTTCGATCGTCATCCAGGTGTGTTTTCTCAAATCTTAAACTATTATCGAACTGGCACATTACATTATCCGACGAATGTTTGCGGACCTTTATTCGAAGATGAATTATCCTATTGGGGTTTACAAAGAGAAGATGTCGAGCCGTGCTGTTGGATGACGTATACGAAACATCGATCAACCGCTGAAACATTATCGATTTTGGACAGCTTAGAACTAGACACAGTCCGTTCGTCACAACAAGAAGTGATGAAAAAGTTCGGCTGGGACGATAATTTTGACTACATTCAAGGACATTTACCACGATATAAACGATTGATGATGATTATTTGGCAAATCTTCGAAGAACCACGCTCGTCAACAGTTGCCAAAGTGATTACTGTGATCTCTATATTTTTCATTCTCGTTTCGATTCTTTCCTTTGTTCTTCAAACATTATCGATGTTTCGAATAAGTGATATCGACTTCGTCACCGTCTATGTTAACAAAACTAGTACGGACCGCACACCAACACTTAATCGACAGAATGTTCATCCATCATTCGATGTGGTCGAATGGATATGTGAGTGTGATTTTGCAACATGTGCGATTAACATGTAGCTACAAGACTTCCTTTCAGGTAATACGTGGTTCATCTTCGAAATCATGATTCGATTCATTGTCAATCCAAACAAGAAAGAATTTTGCCAATCAACTCTGAATATTATTGATTTTCTCGGTATGTTCCATCTCGTTTCTACTTTTGTAATCGAATATCTGATCAATATTTTCCTTGCGATATAAGATTTCTCTGCAGGAAAAATCATTTCTATGTGATCTTCTGGGAATAGAATAATTTAAGATAACTTATTTCCGATTACGACGAATATATTATTAGAAAAGTATTAATTTTTTGTCATGAGGCATGAAAACTGATTTATAATTCATGATGAACACATGTAGAATCGTTTTAGAGAAATATTAAGAACATTCTCATTTGTCACTTTTAAATATTCTCGCTGATTCACGAGCATTCTTGAAAATGAGAAATTAATATGCTAATTGTTCGAACACATCGAGAGTAATTCAATAAAAAAAATACTTCTTTGGCGTATTTTTCAGCGACGTCATGGTTTTATTTCACATGGGCATTAACAAAATTACATGTCAATGATAATGAAGCCCTCGATCTTTTGTCAACGATACGTATCATGCGTTTATTTAAATTATTCAACCATCATCCTGGCTTAAAAGTTATCATCACATCAATGAAATTCTCCTCATCCGTTTTGTGGTTGCTTATCTTCTTTGTTCTCATTGCTGTCGCCATATTCGCGTCATTAATTTATTATGCTGAACGAATGACATCACGACATCCGGCTGATAATATGTTTGGTTCCATACCGGATGCATTATGGTTCAACATAATCACGATGTCAACTATTGGCTACGGAGATCTGTACCCGAAAACAATGCTAGGCATGTTAATTGGAGCTGTCTCGACAGGTAAAGTGAAAGTCAGTAGTTCTATTCTCTAGCAGCATTGGTTCTGTTTTTCAGTGGCTGGCGTATTGATTATTGATTTACCCATGCCAATCATTGTGGAAACATTTGCAAATTTTTACACGCATTTACGTGCACGTTCGAAATTACCTAAAACGCGTCGTAAGATTGGTCCGGCAGAGCCCGTTGTTACTAAACGCGCAGCTGTCACAGCAATGGATAATGGGCAAAATCTGAAATTGCTTGGACAATCTTCCAAAGCAGCCGCAATGTTCGCAAATAAAACAATGATTAATAATAATATCATGTCTTCAGTAGCTTAAAAAAATACTAGGTTTCTTTTTTCCTTGTTTGTGTATCGGATAAAATGGAGATATATTTTCCATGAACGATTGTTGAATACATGAATATATAGTAGTTCAGTAGATAGATGTCGCTCCGCTACAAAATGAAGCGTTTGAAATCAATGAAGCGATTCATTTAAATGAAGGTCATAACGATTTTTTTCGGTATCGACATCGTGATTTGAGTAAAACTCGATTATTTCCATTAACTTAGTCAAACAAACTTTCCGATTGGATGTGTGCAATGAATTTGTACATCTTCTTCTTCCTATCCATGTGTCACTATTATCGATGTATTTCTAGATATTGAAACTTGCGACATAGTTTGTATTCTCCGAGAAAATACAAATCGTGTCTACGAAGTGCTTGAATTACCTTTTTTTCCCCATAGATCATGGCCGGTCGATTGACACGAGGGTATTAAACTCACTTGCATCATGCGATTTCATCATTCTATTTATCCTAGGTTCTTTCATCGCGATTTATCTGGAATAGAAGCCGAAAAACTTCTTCTCGAAAAAGGCATTCCGGGTAGTTTCTTGGTGCGACCATCGACAACAAAATCTGATGCATACGTTCTTTCAGTTCGGTATGCTTGAAATCTAAACGTTATCATGATCTGTTGTTTTCATTGGAAATAGACGAGCTAATGATACCATTACTCACATACGTATTCAACGAACAAACGATGGATTTGATCTAGGCGAACGTCAAGAATGTTTCTCGACTTTGTACGATATGATCGAGCACTATCGACATAATGTTAACGAACTTCGAGAGAAAAATAATGAAATTATTGAACTCACTGTACCGATTCTTGCTCAGATGCCGACACTTGAAAAGTAATTTTCTATTTCCGTTTTCTTGCATGAGCAAATCTTTGCGGATAATTTAGATATTATCATGGTCCGATATCTCATTCTCAAACGGAATCGATTTTAAATGCATGCGATCAGATAGGTCTCTTTCTCGTACGGGATTCGGAAACAATTCCAGGCGACTATGTCATTTGTGTCAAAACACAACATGGTATTTCAAATATAAAAATCAAATGTGTCAATGGTGAATGGTTTCTCGATGGCAAAGGTCAACGTGAACAAATCGATCGTTTTAAATCATTAGACGACTTAATACATTTCTATTTAAAACATAACATCCTCGTTGCAACCAACGGTGCAGCGTTTCGTTTAGTACAACCGTGCACGGCGAACTGGTTTCATGCACGTGACATTCATCAGCGTTGTGAGCATTTATCAAAATTAGTTGCCACTCAACATGGACATCGAACAGGCTTTAGTTTGGAATTTGAGTTGTTGAACCAACAATCAGAATATAAATCACTGATGTACCATAAACGGCACGGAGAGAAAGCAGATAATCGACCAAGAAATCGATTTAAGAATATTTTACCTTACGATGAAACACGAGTTATTCTTAAAAATTATCCTGTCACTGATTACATCAATGCCAATCGAATTCGTCCGCCTATTGAAAGTCTCGGACGAGAATACATTGCAACGCAAGGACCGTTGCCAGCAACACTCAATGATTTCTGGCACATGGTCCAACAGGAAACAGTTCGGTGTATCGTCATGATTACTCGAGAAACTGAAGGCATGAAAGTATGTGTTTATAATTTGAAATCGATTTCTATTCTACTGGCGAATATTTGGTTTTCATTTTAGAATAAATGTGCACGATATTGGCCTGAAGTATATACAGTCAAAACTTACGGTTCTGTAACAGTTGAAAACTTAAATGAATCAAACTATGGCCCCGCTCAAACTCCCAATAGTACATCACGTGCTCTTCGATCATTACCATCAGCTGGCCATCAACTACCTCAACAACCATCGAATGATGATGATTGTTACTATCGTTTGCGTACACTGAAAATTACGACCGAGGAGGGTCGAAGTTGGGAAATACTTCATTGGCAATATTTAGCCTGGGGAGATCATGGTAAGACAAAAAAAAGAGGAATAAGTAAATATAATTTCTTTTCATTCGTTGGTAGGCTCACCGCTGGTATCAAATCAACAGGATAATGTTCAATTGGGTGTTCTTCTTGAGTTCTTCGAAAAAATCGGTCGTTCCAATCCAACAGCAGCTGAACCATGTACATCCCCGATGATCGTTCATTGCAGTGCAGGTATTGGCCGATCGGGTGCAACGATTGCCATTGATATGATACTCAATCGAATTCGTGCAGAAGGCTTTGATATTGAAATTGAAATACCTGGTCTCATAACACACATTCGTTCACAACGATCAGGTAGGACATCAGGAAAATTCGATTGTTGCTAAGTTTTTTTTTCTCATTCGTAGGTCTTGTTCAAACTGAACGACAATATGAATTTATTTATCGAGTGATTGAATATTTTATTGAGCAACATATGAAACAATCTTCATATCCACCAGAGTATATGAACATGAGATGAACATGGAAATTGTCTATCGAACTTTGTAGTCAGATCACTTTCTTCCTTCATAGGCGATTTCAAAAATTGTACAGTGATGTTCATGCCTGTGGATTCAACAGTGTTTTTATTTGTGCAATGTTTTCTAATATCGTTCATTCTCCTCACTTATACATAGATATCTTTGCGTACGACTGGTGCTGCTTGTTCTCTTTTATAATTCAAAATTCATATACATATATATATATATATATATATATTTAAAACGTTTGCTTTTGTGTTCAGTTTCAGATGCCTACTATTGGTGTAAAACGAAGTTTACTTTTCCAAGAACTTGGCCGAACATACAGTGAGTTCATGAAGCAAATAATGACGAGAATATTGAGAATGAACGATTTGATTTCTAGCGGACGAAGAATTTGATCAATTATGTTTCGACTATGGTTTGGAATTAGACAAAATTGTAAGTAGGACTTTAAATAAATGTGATTACTTTATCGGAAATTCTTGTTTTTCTTTTCTAGGAACCTATTCCCGATTCTACTGATGTTGAATACAAAGTCGAAATTCCAGCTAATCGGTTTGTTGTAAACCGGCTGCTTTTCTTTCACGCATTGCGTCTTCTATTGTAGTTATGATATTCTCTGTTTGGAAGGTCTAAGTCGAGCATTAAATATCTTCTTACAAAAGTAATATCTTTCATTTGACTGTTAGCTAAAATTTTCGATTATTGCTCTATGTTCAGAGCTGAACTTCCAAAATTTACATTGTCGAATCAAAAATCAATTCGCATGAAAATCTTACCAAATGTATGTTGATTGCGTCCGTTTGTTTCTGAATCGTTTTTTTTTCTACTTTTTTCTAGACCCAACGGATTCGTCCGTTTGTCGTTGGCGCCGTTCTTCGCAATGTATCATTTACTCCTGATAGTTATAACAGTTTCATCAAACTTCAAGATAAACTCCATCAAAATTTATGTCGTAATCGAACACTGGTGGCAATTGGCACTCATGATCTGGATACAATTCAACCGCCGTTCATCTACGATGCTCGCGAACCGAAACAAATTAAATTTCGATCGTTAAATCAACAAAAGGAAATGCAAGCGGATGAAATGTTGGAATTTTACGCGGTAAAACGTTTGCTTGATATTAAATGAAGCAGTACATTCATCGATTTTTTTGTAGAAGGATACACATCTCAGACGTTACGTTTCCATCATTCAAGATTCCGACGTTTATCCGGTGATTTACGATTCCAATAACGTCGTCTTGTCACTTCCCCCGATTATTAATGGTAAAGAGTTTGTTAAAGGAATTTCCGACTGACTGATTGATGTACATTTTCAGGTGATCATAGTAAAATGAGTGTGAAAACCAAGAATGTTTTCATCGAATGTACGGCAGTGGATCTTCACAAGGCCAATACGGTATTAAATACCATGCTAACAATGTTCGCGCAATATTGTAGTAAACCATTTGAGTAGGTGGTCGCATTCTGAAGTTGAGTGCGAATACGTTATTTGTTTTGGATAGGATTGAACCGGTCGAAGTCGAGCAAGTCGATGGTAAAGTCATTGTTTATCCCGTAAGTGAATGAATGTCTATGGGTATTGTATTTGACCGCATGATTCGTAGAATTTAGCTGAACGATTCGAATCAGTCTCAGTGAAAAAGATTAATCAACGTATCGGTATCAAGTATGAATAGCCTTTACTCGTGTTTTGAACGAAAAGTCGTCTTTGATTTCAGTGTCGACGCTCAAACAGCAGCAACACTTTTGAATCGAATGAGCCTTCGCGCTACAGTGCTCGATGCTGACACTCTTCGCGTGGAAATTCCGGTGACGCGAACCGATATTCTTCATTTCTGCGATATTGCTGAAGATTGTGCTGTTGCTTACGGTTTCAACAACATCGTCAAAACAGTGCCGAAAACAAGCTGTATCGGAAATCAGGTAAACGGAGAGTGATCGTCTCCTTTGGTCCTATTCGTTTGTATTTAGTTTGAATTGAATCGCGTCTCAGATCTCATTCGACATTCAGTCGCTGAAGCTGGCTTCACGGAAGCATTGACATTTACTCTATGTTCTTGTTCGGATGTAGCAGAGAAATTCGGAAAAACTATTGAAAACATTCCGGCAGTTCATATTGCTAATCCGAAAACGCAAGAGTTTCAAGTGAGACGACGAAAAAGAGAAAACTATCGTTGAATGATTTGATTTAGATTGGTCGAACGACACTTCTACCAGGTTTACTGAAGACAATTTTCAAGAATCAAGATACTCAGCCGATTCAGCTTTTTGAAGTTTCGGATATCATTCTCAAAGATGCAACACAAGGTTCGTTGTATGATCAAAACATACGGTGACGATTTGTTTGTCTTCTATTCAGAAACCGGCAGTCGCAATGAACGACATTTGTGTGCATTATTCTACAATAGAACACCCGGTTTTGAAATAATTCACGGTCTACTCGATCGCATCATGACTTTAGTTAAAATTCCATACAATGAGAGCCAATCCGGTAATGAAGGTTATTATTTAAACAATCAATATGAAGGTAAAATTGCGAGTCAGTTGATTTCTAAACAGCACGGCTTTGTTCTTTTAGATTCCGCATTTTTTCCTGGTTCGTATGCGCAAGTCATCGTCAAAGGTCAAAACGTTGGTGTCATCGGTGTTCTTCATCCGAATGTAATCGAACAATTCGGACTGAAAGTGCCATGCTCAGCACTCGAGATCAATATCGAGCCATTTGTTTGAAGAAACTAAGAATTTTATTGTTTTAATCGAAAGAAAAGACAAGAAATAAAAGACAGGAACGCGCGCGGCTAATGCCAAATTCATATCATTATTTCGAAGCAGGTGAAGTATCTCTTCAACGAATACAATTAGAAATTGAAATACTCAGACAATTGCAAGAGGCAAATCTGTTGTATGATATCGACTGGGGTGCGTACGATACAGTAGCATTAAAGCTTTTCGTCCAGGCCGGAATAAATGAGGTTAAGAATGAACTCGATCGTCGGCAAACTCAGCAAATAACAAGTTTTGAACAAGTGAATTTTATTAAATTATCTGTTCAAAGATCTTTTGTAAAACAAGAAGATTTTCAATCGAAGAGTTCATCTGTAATCCTTATTTTGAATACAGTATTGATTATTTTCTGTATTCTATCGATCGGTGGTCTTCTTTTGTATGAATATGTTCATTTTAATGATGAACATCGTCTCTTCATGACATTAGATTATCCTTTAACAGCAAAACGACGACAATTGTCATTTACAGATAATCTATCGATTATTCTATTAACATTCACGAGTTATCTTGTCGTAAGTTACGTCATAACCGCGACGCGATTGAATCGAAAATTGATTCTATTCGGAATTTTGACCTTGCTCATTGTAATACTATTCTTAATTAGAAAAGTTTACCAAGTAATGACATTTTTATCGAAACATCGAGAAATCCGTTGGGCAAATCTGTATGATTACTTAAATTCGTAAACAAGACGAAACTGAATTATAGCGCCATCTTTTACAATAAAACGTATATATATAGCTTCTATGTGTACATGAAGAGAGACAGTACACAGAAGTCGGCAGTTTTGTTGATAATTGCTAATTTATATATGCAGAGAAAATGAACAAATTAAATCGAAGTCGAGATGCATCGTTAGAAAACATCCATGAACAGTTACCGATCGAATCGGAAGATAAACAAAAATCAACATACAATAAAACAGCTGATGTCGATGATCCACCCTTCAGCCGACTATTTTTACTTATTCCTAAGGCGATGTCAGAAGATGAACTACGACAAGCTTTTCAAATTCATGGAACTATTCAAGACATTCACATGGTACGAGATCGACGAAACCAAGAAAGCAAAGGTTTTTGAAATGATTAACTATATTTCATATCGTATGAATCTTCTCTGAATAGGTATTGCTTATATTAAATATGAAAAAGCTTCAGCAGCAGCTCATGCAATGGAAGAAATGGATGGAACTGTTATTTCGCCACATGCACGTCCGTTGAAAGTAATTTGACTTTCTCCGAAAGTCAATAACTGGAAATGTTCTGTTCTGCATAGGCTATCATATCCAGTTCACGTCGGGAAGGTAGTGTTCGTGATCCTGATGAACACGAAAAGATGTTACGCTTATTTGTGGTGATAGCAAAACATATGACGAAAGAAGATTTACGTAAAGTGTTTCAGAAATATGGTACAATCATTTACATTAAAATTATTGTCGATAAGTTAACAGGTGAAAATAAAGGATTTGCCTACATTTCATTTTCAAAAGCGTCCGAAGCCGCCTATGCACTTGAAGAATGTGATCCAAGTAGGCCTTGCATTTCTCCGTATGTAATCGAACAAAGGACCTCATAGGTTACAAACCAAAATTTGCTCAACCGTTTTCTTCCAAACGCCATCGAGATACAGAAGAGATCTCATCCTCCTATGGTGCTTTATCTCCTCCGTATCGTCAGAAAGCTTCAGCTACTAAACAACACCCAACTGATCGTCGACCTTCACCTCCGCCTCGACTTCCGTCGTGGTCAAGTAAATGGATATTTTCAGTTGGAGAAACGACACAACCGTGTCTATTCGTATTTAGGCCAGACAATTACATCCACATCGTATCACCTACTTGACAGCAACACGGAATGTCGTCTGATAGTTCGTTGTGGAAAAACAGTAACAGAATATCATGTATCGAAATTATTCGATCTCGTACCACATATGGAAGAATGCTCAGCGTTGAATTTCAATACATTTAATGAGCGTAGGAAATTTCACTTGTAATTGTTTTCGATGCGAGAATATTGAATTTAGGTTATTTTCTTGTTCGGTATAAATCATGTCAATTTGCCACATACGCACGAGAGAAGTTGCATGCATTTCAATTTCCTGATGGAGAGATCCTATCTGTTCAATACTACAATGCAAAGTAAAGCTTTCGATGACGCGTTTTTCTGGAATCTTTCTTTTCTTCTTAGAATTATCAATGATTTGATACAGAAATTCCAGAATGGAAAGTATGGCGATACATCAGGAATAGGACAGTTAATTCATCAGATGAGTAACCTACAAGGTAGTCAAGAGCAAACAGTTGATTTTTGTAACATTCCTTTGCCGCCAAAAAAGAAATATGCCTCATTTGATGCTCCTGTTGCGAAAACTTTGCAAATTAAAGCTCAACGTTCACTATCCGAAAATTATATCCGTGATGTATTCAACCGTTTTGGAAACTTAATTGACATCCAGATGGTCAATCCTCAATTGTGTTACGTTATGTACACTGATGAATGCAGTGCTGACACAGCTATGGAAACGATGAACGGACAAGAAATCGCCTTAGTGCGCATACGTATTACTGAAGGTGACCATTTTGTTGATTCAACAACAGCAGCATCCGTAGTTCATCGGAAACGACAAAAAGTGTGAGTGGTATTTGGGCATATATCCTTTCTTTTGACTTCTTGACCGGACTTACAAGACTATTGACTACTCTTTTTCTCCTCTCCTACTATTTATCAATCTTATTTACATGCATGTTTAGTCTGTGTATGTTTTTGATGTTGTTCGTATGTTTGTTTGTTTGTTTTTCTAGATTTCTGAATAAGACTAACTCTAAACGTTAATAAACTAAAACCCGGACTTTTCGACATATACGACTTGACGACTGACAAGACTTGTACCGTTTACTCAGACTGTATGGAAAACTTGTGTTTTTTTTTTTGAAAAGGTACGACGGTTGAGCAATCAAGTCAATCATAGACAAGTAAATTTTACTCCGGATGGATCAATTATAGTGTTTTTCTCGCTTTTAGGAGTGGCACATCAGAAATTTCAATCATTTATAGTAAGTACAGCAATCTTATTAGATACATGTGTCATTTTCTTGATAATGAAATGTAGGAACAGCTTTCCTCATCTGGTGAGCATGACCGAGTCAAGTCTGTTCATTATTTACGTCCAGTAAAAACGGAAATACTAAGTAGACTATACAAATTGTCTTTGTATTTAGTCGGATATTTGTTTATGAGAATGAGTTACACTAAAATATTTTGATAATTACAGCCCAACAAATTGTTTTCGCATATGTCGTATTTTCTTCGACAAAAAATACGACGCAAGTCGAAGAAAAACACGACTTTAATTATATATTTGGCAAATCTGATCAAAATCGTCGTCGCCAATGTGTATACAAGGATTTTCTTTAAATGACGACATTTTCTATTTCATATACATTTCTAAACTATACACTGTAACGAGCTCGTCATCGTCTGGGTTTATTCGTACATATTAGTAAGAATCATATAAATCGAAGAGTGAGACAGAGAGAAAAAAACCTAACGTGATGTAGTGATTAAAGAGGGTTGGATAAAATGTGTATGTATAGATGAGACGAGTAACGATTCACCACTAATGTTAACATCGATATAGGGGTAAGAAGGTTTTTTCTTTCGTCTAAATCAGATATCCTTTGCTATACTGTATATACATAGCTTTTTTACGCGCATCTATATTGAATAAGAATCGCTGATGAGATGTACTCTGTACTAATCCTTGATATGAAACAAAGTTGAAGGAATTCAAGCAAAGAAGAATGTTTTTCTAGTTGAACACTCCGCGTCATTTTCTGTGCATTAAATCAGCAAATAGTCATTTCATTATAGAATGAATTTCTTTTCTTTTTCTTTCGAATAAAATATTAACTCGTCAATTTGCTAATGAAAGAAGGAAGAGAAAAGAGAAAGAGGATTTTTCTCTCTCCTTGAATCATTTCGTACAACGCATCGTCTATTGTCAAGTGATTTTTCAATCTAAAACTCACTGAACTAAAAGGCTTAGTCACTTTAAGATTCTATTTATATCTAAACATTTTTTCCTAGGAAAGGAAATATTGTAACACCTTAGTTGCCTCGCGATAAAAGCGCGTTGTCGTTCATATCTCTTATCGAGCTTTATTTTGTAGGAAAATACGTGACTTGATCTTGTAACAGCTGGTTCGTGTAGTAGAGATATTTGTTTTCCTTTCAGAATACTAATACGCGTGTGTATGTGCTTAAGCAATGGTGACGAAGCGAAACTGTGGTCTGCCGTTGATCTGCCTCGTTTGCGGTGATGTCGCACGCGGTATCAATTTCGATGTAATGACTTGTATGTCTTGCAAAACATTCTTTCGACGACATTCACAAAAATTGATCGTGAGCTATTCCCTTTCGCTCTTAACATATTGTTTCAGTGATGTTTTTCTCTATGAAGAAAGTTGATCCTGTCTGTAAATCGAATGACAACTGTGAAATTACGAAAATGACACGAGGTACTTGTTCAGCATGCCGATTGAAGAAATGCTATGAACTTGGAATGACTTTCCATTCGTTGCGTCGATGGCCATCATCAAATGGATCTCATTTGATAACAAACAGCCAGAGATCAGCTTCTCTACTACCGAAGGTTTGCCTTTTTTTTTAAAATAAATCTCAATGTTTCTATTTCCTCGCGATTAGCCTGTACCCATTGGTCTCCTTCAAAATGATCGTTCGAATTTGACAACTGATGAATGGAGCTTGCTTTCAAATATTATTCATGCGTACGATGAAACCAATATCATGCCACATATAAACCATCTTCTAGCTCAGCAATCATCATTACCTCCTAAACTACGCTCGAAAGTATCGAAATCAATGAACATACTGCAATTTTTTCTTTCTGCACTACAACCGTTCTTCGAATGTTCGCCATACTTTCAAAAACTCACAGTTAACTCGCGTCAAATACTGATCCAACAGAATTATGACACAGCTAGCATAATGAACTGTGTTTTTATCATACGCGAAATGAGTGCACTTAATAACATGACCTTTCTGATTAGTTGTGACGCTGTTTATGGTGATGACATCTTTCAATATTCAACTCATTTTGTTTCGCGCTTAGAACCAAACAGTATGCTGATCAAAATCTTGCTATTAATCTTAGCCTTTTCAACGAATTGCTCGATTGTCACACCTAATCAATCGAATAGAAGAACAAGTGTATCGAATGCAATGACAATACTCGAAGTACAAAACATCTTTGTGACCATGTTTTGGAAATATTTGATTTATCAATACGGTTTCACTGCCAGTGTCAAACGTTTGAATTCATTGATAAAATACATTCTTGATCTTCTTCATAGTATTAATGAAAAAAGCAATGTTCAACATGGTCAAATGATTGATACGATTGTTGAACAAACAACACGTTCGCTATCGATATAGATGTATAGGAACTTTTATAACTCGTCTGTTAATACGTAGTATTATCATGATTAAATGTTTTTTGAAAATAAAAACAGATCCATACCCTGATGGATATACGATTGCTAACAGAGACAGACGATAAAGTACATTGTGGAAATTAAATTGAAAGAAATTACCTTTCTGTTTACTCTACCAGAACAGAATTGTATTCAGATGAACGAGTAGATGAAAATAGACTCGTTAGTTTTACCCTACAGTAAATAACGATCTTCGGTACGAAAAATTCAATCAATTCAAGTGTTCTTATCTTGTGAACATATCATCTAGACATTTTATTACTTTAATTATCTCAATATCGCAGTCATTTGTACAGGGTAAAAATCATGAATTTGAAAAAAGATAGTCGTGTGTGCATTGGCTATCTTCATGAACAAATTACACTTCCTTTGACCAACATGCATACATACACGCACGCACCGACGCTACATATTTTTCTCGTTCGTTCGCTCATTCGTTCAATATCACACGTGTATGGACGCTCAGTTTCTTTTCAGATGGAGAAAGTCATCATTGAGTCTTCCGTACTGAATTCGCTTTTCAAGTGTCCACTTTGTAATGAATTCATACGTCTACCCACGATCGTTAATGAGTGTTTTCATCGATGTAAGTTTCGTTCAATCTATTTAAACAGGCCTATGAAAATCGCCGTTGTTTATAGTTTGTCAGCCGTGTATAATGGATTATTTCGAAAAAGACAATCAGAGCAAGTGTCCAATGTGTCAGATAATAATTGTGAACCCATTACAGTCGCTCAAACTTGATCTTACTTATCAACGGCTATTGTATAAAATCTTTCAACGTAAGGGGAAGATTGGTTTCTTTGTCATCTCATTTTATGATCTATCTATGCAATTATCTAGATAGGAACTTATCGAAATCAATAGATGTTCATATCAATACGAACGCATATGTCAATTTAGAGTATTGGGATATGTAAGTCTCATTAGATGACCAGCACGTTATAATTGAATTAATTGTTAGCTGTCGAGTTGATTATATATGCGTAGTTAATGAGTACCCAATGGGTACTTTTCATGACAGTGCATTTCGTTCTTTTTTAGGTCGTCGGGCGTACTCCTAGACGAATCATCTAGGAAATTATCAACGTGCTATTTGGAATGCTTAATTCATACACCCCTATCAACAATTCAAAAATTTCTTCAAACGAAATATTCTCTTCCGTCGACATTCAAAGTGAACTTTGCGTTCTATTTTTTGTTGACTTTTCTCGAATATGCCGATTTTGTAGGTTGATCTTTTCTATCGATCATTTCCGTTAAATACAGATGATGAACGATTGATCGACGTCTACTATTGTTTCAACTTATCGTATCAAGAAAAAGTAAGTCAGTCGAAAATAACTAGTCTTCCTCTATCGAGCAATTAAATTTTTGCTATTAGATTCCGTCGCTTGATATTCGATATGTTATTAGTTCTTGTGGATATCAAGCTATACTTAAACGTATCTATCAATCAAAACATCCAACACAATTAGAGGTTGATGTTCCACCGCCTACCAGTAGCTCTATGGATTCAAAACTGAAAGTAAAGTTATATCGATCGCAAAACTCAACGAATGATTGGTATATACCTCAATCAACATCATTGGTTGCCTTACCGGATTTAGTCAATTCATGTACGAATCAATCAAAACTAAAGAAGTCTTCATGTAAAATGAAACCACGACGACGTATACGATTTATTCCAACGATGGTTCGGGTTCCACCATCATTCTTCGATATATATTTGCATGAGAAATCAATCTGTAAAGTTTCTCCATATATTCCTGAACGTTCATTGACAATCGATTCATTATCTTCATTCGATGAAACTAGTCCGTTAGATTTAAGTTTAAAACAAATGAGCATGTAATCTCTTTCCGACACAGTGATTGATTGTATTCGTTTTTTTGTCTATATCAATCATTTGTGTGTATAAATGAGTTGAAAGGAAACGACCGTGATATTTATTCAACGATAGATCTTATACACGTGCGGTACAATGATGATAATGAACAGATAATAAACAGAGAAGAAAAAAAGAAAAGAAAAGGAAAGGAAAGTCGCAGGATGTGAGTGACAGTGAGAGTATTGCTCGGTTCACCCACCCAAACAAAAAATTTACAAAAAGAAAATCGCTTTTATTCAAGATAATAACCATTGTACGATGAGATTAACGAGTGAATATTTGAAGATATATCGTCTTGAGAAATATCCGATATATGGTCGCAGAAAATAACCAGCAGTAATACCATTAAAAATAAATGTAAATAATAACCCAACTGGTTTTGGTATGTATAACTGAGGAAATTGCTGTTTCAATGCATGTTCAACAACAACTGCAACACCTTGACAGAGAAAGAATGTGATCTGATCACCAGAAAACTTCTCAAAGGTGATATAAACAAAGTATTCGTGTGTGATTCCTGAAAATAAAAATACGCACATTGATGAAACAGCATAAACAATAGATCTGGGCAGATGAGGACATTGTGAGTACATTAGAGTTGAGATTGGCTTAAAGATTAGTTCAGTCCAGGTGCTTTTAAAACTAAATAACAACAGAATAAACTCTCTAATCTAATATATGATCCATGTTGATTACTTACGCTTGGTGCCATCTTGACCAGAAATCTATCGGTGACACAGCTCGATACGGTTCATTGAACAACTTTGGCATCAATTCTAATGGACGATTCAACCATAAGCAGAGCACATGACGAAGTATATCATAGTTCAACGAAAGAAACGAATAAACTGCACAACCACTTAGCAGATTGACAAAAAACTGTATGATGAAATACTTCTCATATAAATCTCTACTAAAAACTTCGTTCAGTAGAAAAACAGTTCCATCGAACATGAGATAATATTTGATGATATTTCGCGACAAATATAGTAGAGCATAAACATGTCTATCGAATTGAATTGGTCCTGAATAGAAGATTTCTTTTCTTACTCGTTCGAATCTTTTCAGACTGATCGGTTGTGTGTAAATACGATAGTAACACAATTCATGATGAATGTCAAAGAACGACCATTGAGAGAATTCCACACGTCGAAATAAGATCCATTCACATACTTTTTGTGCATTATATATAGCAATACTGGCTACGCACGTGTTGAGTAAAGGTACAGAACGAACTGATTGACACGTAGGAATGACAAGAAGATATGTAACAATCGGAATGGTAAAAAACCATTTAGATATACAGGAAATTGAACGATTGAATATGGAAAGAAGAAATATGGGAATGTAAAGAGTAATTAAAGCTAAACTCGTCGGTAGAAATATGGATCTCAAATCCTTGATGTAAGATGTGTAGTTCATGTACGAAGTTTTATTTTCTTCTCTATGGAGAAAAACTGATGTGTCATCGAACGAAAAGAACGAAAAATGTTTTTTTTTTGTTTTTTTTCGTCTGCCTTATGTTGGAAAGATTTGAAAATAGGGAACAATATAATTCAGGATAGATAGGAACCAGACAAGCGGTAATGAGGATGTGAATGCTTTTCTAACCCTCGGCCGTTCTTGAAACTGATTCTTTATAACAACAGTTGTGATGATATTTATTTTTTCTACCGAACGTCATACTCAGCCTGATTCGACATCACATATGGAAAGACTTTTGGATCTTTTACATGGTTTTGAGTGACAAATTCAATGAATTAACCGATGGTATCAAGAAGTCTTGTTTCAACAACAAAAATCACTCAAGAAACTTAAGAATTTCCTAAATCATATTGGAATGAGTTGCAAACAGCTCTGTCTAAAATCCAAATGGAATATCGTCTTCAAACACTTGTCAATGTTAATATTGATGATTATAATCACATAGAAAGCGAAAAAGACGTTCGATTCAATTTAAGAGTTAGTTTTTTCACAGTTGAAAAAGTAAATTGTGAATCATCGTTCTTGAGTTTGTCTTAATATGCAAGATTATGCGAACACGAAACATCAACAAATGAGCAACTACAAGGACAAATTTCGCTTTGCCCTACTACTTCTCTTATAAATATAACATGTCTTGATGATGCAATGGATATGGCACACAGAAAAATCGCAAGGTACTGTTGATTTCTTTCAGAAAGTGTAAACTAGATTAGAATTAAATATTGAAATAAGCTACGGCGTTACTAGTGAGATTGATTATATTCTTATTCCTATAAAAGAATCTGTGAAAGTATAGGAGTTAACATCAAAAGAAAATGTATCAAATATCGGAATGGAAACAGCCTTAAATTCAGTAATGATTCGCTACTAATCAGAGGAGAGGAAAAGTATTGCAATACACAATGGAAAAATAAGAATTTGTTCATTTAATCGATCACTATCTAAGGCGATTCTATTGCTCACTGCTACCACTATTTCCTTGTGTTGAATTTCATCAACGAACAACTGAAGTATAGCTTAAGGTGATGAATATCTATAATATCATTCTACGCTTAGGTTAGTCAATTGCGTATATTTAGCTATATGCATCTCTCTCGACGAGAAAAGCGTCAATCAATTCTCGGACAGCATCCAATCAGTGAGAACGTCGATGAAAAGTGAATGAAATGTTGGGCAATATTGCAGACAGAAAATAAGCGAGCATTTGAACGTTCGCGTCGTACATATCGATGCTAAACTAGTTTCGATCATTTACTGTTAGATAATCCTGACCGATGATTTCGTCGTTTGAAAATCTACTTAAAACGTTCAACAGATCTACATTCGAAGAAAAGCAAGAATCGTGTATTGGCAGTGTGCAGGTTTGGCTACTGGTTCATGTCAGCGTTGTATGGATGGTCCAGACATTTCTGTATTCATTCTATATTCCAGCCTGGTTTTTCGCCCTATTCTTTGGCATCAATCGATGGAATATTTTAGGAAACAGAACTAGTGGCGATACTGAAATATTCGAGGATGAGCATGAAATGGGAGGTTTGAGCATAATTGATTTCGTCAAACAAGAAGTGAAACCATTGTAAATGAGCCTTTATGCTCACTTGCAGTCGGAATGATTATCAAGTTGCTGTTACTCTTGGTCATTCGATTTGCCGAAGGTGACTCGGAGAGTTGTATACTTTTTCTTGAGAAAGTTTTCTTTTATATTTTTTGCTGCCTATCAGAGAACAAAATGATAATTAAGAATATAACTGATGTACAAGAAAATCAATCGTACAGTTTTTCTTAGTTTCACGTTTTTGTTTCTTCTTTTGCCAATGTTAATAAATCGAATATCATGAATAATGTGTATTCTTTCTTCTTTTCGGATAGAATGGAAAAACTATTATTTAGAAATACTTGACTTGAACATGCTCAGTTCTCATGATTAGTTGATATTTAACTGAATTGGAAAACCAATTGTTGAGTGTACTTGATTCAAACAGTTATCATGAAGCACGATGATTTTATCATTTGGCAAAGCTACTGAAGAATATCTCAATCTTAAAGTTATACATAAAACAGAAGATTAGTCGCAACTATACCTCCTATTACGTCTTTATCTGAGCTTCGATTGAAAATAATCTAAAGCCGGTCTATAATTAAAGCTTTAGTCAGATTATAAGAGCTGTTTTTTTTATAGATGTTGATTGTACAACAATACCTTATGTACTTCTTCAAATCGTTTAACATAGAGACAGATTCCATTGAATGACCAAAATCTCAAATGTATACCACAGATAAGACCACCTGTGATATGACCTTGATTTAAATCAATGAAAAATATCTAGTCTCTCTTTGAAGGCTTCTCAACAAGTTTCGTTGTAAGAAAAAAAGATACAAGATGTTTCTCCATAAGTGTGCGGCATCAAATACCTGTTCTTCCTCAATTTGTATCTTTAGGAAGATTTCAATAATGTATGACCTCGTAGAGCGAAATCTATCCTGAAATCACGATTCAAATACGCCTCTATGGAAGAAAAAAAAATGTAAGAAATGAATAGATGATTATCTAGCCAGTAAAATATCGACCATTTGTTCATGCTACATACTCTTCGAGTTCCAATTCATATTATTCCGTCTTTGTTTCGTTTAACATTGTGCAGAATATTTTTATCGTTATTTAAAGGATTTACTGAAGGTAATACTCAGAAACAAAAGATGAAAATCAGTTTGATCGTTTTATAGGTCTTCTAAAACACATCATTTTGCAATGGTAGGCGCTTGGATTAATTTTCGTTTTTATCATTCGTTGCTTAAAGGAATTTTACGAGAAGATCATCGATCTCTTACGTGACGCTCCAATATTTTTACGTGGTTTAGTGTATTTTCGGTCTCTATATCCCGATTTTAACGTTAACATGCAGCAGAAAAATGATAAACATAGTGCTCGAGAAACGAAGAGTGCCCATACCCAGGTCGATCATTCCGGCGACGGGATCCGTTGGAATCTGAGTCGGCTCCGACCGGAATCGCACAGGAAATATCCGATCAGCTCCTGACCGTTTCAAGCTCGAAGTTTGCAGGGAATGACTGGAACCTACGTTTGAACTTCCGGCGGCAAGGAAATAGTCGGAAAACGAACCTAACCGGCCGGAGCCGACCGTGCCATAATAACCTGGGTACCAGATGCTTCTTTAAATCAAACACGAAGAAGCAAATCTGATCATTTGTGTCTTATTGAGGCTCATTTTTTGTGCACAATAGTCTTAGCGACCTTTTCTCATATGCTGTATTGTTAGATATTGTCAAGGTTCCTTATGGAGCAATTATTTCTACGTTGACATCGGTCATAGGCATGCAAGTACCAACAATTATGTTTAAAATCCGACAGATATTAACTGGATCACCTGTGGATCACATTCAATGCTTACAAATTCTTACCAATTATTGGTCGCTGGTCTTTTTTGTACGTTTATTGATGTTTTCATCGCCTTCGTGATAGCTTCATGTGTGACATATGGACTATATTAATAAATGAAAGTTAATTTTTATTCATTACTGATTAACTTTTTTAAATGTAAGCCAGATGTTTTTAAACTAATCAAAATAAAACTCAAACCAAAAGGTAGTATAGGATAATTAAATCCAATATCCATTTGAGTGTCAGCCAATCAATGAAAATCAACTCATTCTCAAAGTTCGGTAAAAACGTCAAAGAAGCTTTTCGTATATTCTATAGTTTCCTATTAAGATGTACATATAAAAGTCGAAGAGACTATTCGAGTTTTCAACTATTCAACTTATAAACCTAGAATTCGAAGCTTCGAGTTTTAAACTCTCGACTAATTGGCTATTAAATATCCACTAAATAAACGCTAATTATTAAATGACTAACTGATTATCAATTATTAACTAACTGATTACCATGAGGATGAGGGTGTTGGGGAGTATGCAGCTGACAACGGCATAGTCCGGGTCAATATGAACGGGATTCGTTAGCGTTAGTTGGCTGATAGTTCATAGTCATATACTGAATAAATGCTTAAGTAGCATTTAATAGTGAGATGCCGATTACTTGATAGCCCGTTGATTGATAATAAGTAATCGGTCGGTTAATATGTAATCAACAGTTACCTAATAGTTAATAATGAGTCACTCCTGGATTTATGATCAATCACTTACGAGTTGCTAAGCGGAAAACTCGAAACTTCGAATTTTAAATTTATAAGATTTAAAAGTTGAATAGTTTAAAACTCGAAGCTTCGAGTTAACGACTTCTACACAACTCCATTTAGTGGGCATGATTGATAACAGAGTTATTCAGGGATGATAAATATCGATACAAACAGAAAGAAAGAGGAAAAAAAGGAGAAGAAAGATGAACAATCGTTCAGTTGTCAAAGTTAGCTAATCGAGACAGTTGTACTTGTAGCTATTTGAGCATAGATAGGAACTAAACCAGCTGGAGATTGAATATCATAGAACGATCCATTCATCTTACGGTTAATTTCTTCCAGGCGTTCAATGGATTCGCAACGATCAGTCAGTGCCAATGTGCAAAATTTCTTAATAACAGAATGATGCGTATTGACCAGTGTATTTATTTCTTCCTCAAAACTATTCTGATCTTCGCCATCCGTCATGAAGACGATAGCAAAATTTTGATGAACTGAATTGACACTGGACTTGTTCTTGAATTGGTTGATTACTTCCGAAACACAAGTGAATGCTGAGCTAAAAGATGTTCCACCATCATGGTATTTGATCGTTTGCAAATCGACGTCATCAACAACTTGATTTACGATCTGCACTTCTGCGTAGTCCGAGAAAACGATTATTGTAAACCGATCATCAGTTTTCAATTCGCGGCGACGCTTTAAAAACTCTCTGACAGCATCCATCAGATAGCCCCATCGGATTTCGCTGTCCATTGATGCTGATGCATCCAAAAGTAGCACGAAATGGTGTGCTGTATAGATTGCATTCGAAGATGCTCTTTCTGTATTACGTGTCACAAACGTCATTCCATATTCTTGACAAAGTTGTGGTCCAACTTTATTCCATATTGCCGAAAATTTCTTGTGTACGGCATTCAAATCATGTCTGTTTAGTGATGAATCGAATAACCAATCTAGATGCTCGATTTTAAACTGAGACCATTGGTAACGTCTGGGTCCAACAACGACAATGTTGTTGTTCTGTATTTGATCACATGTGAATAATGATGTCTCTTCACTTATTTCAAATTTATAACCATTCATTGCCCAAAATGTATGGCCTGACATACAGAGGTGTTCATTATTTTTCGAACCTGGTTTAGACTGCATTTTTGTATGATCAACGTCACATGGTCGATTGCAACATGGACAAAGATCTGGACACCCAAGTACTCTGTCCAAAAGATTTTCATAAACGTTGCGCTTATCAACACTTTTAAAACAAACATCAGCTTTGTCTAATTCCGTAATGAAAACATCGCGCTGCTCGGCTAAAGCGTGTGAGAATGTTTCCAAATTTCCGATCGAGATTTGATTGAAAGGGGAGAGTGCTATCAATATCTTCGATAAGGCATCACTTGGTTCACTTGATTTTAATAATGACTGAAAAAAGTGAGCAGCTTGGGCACTAACGATATAATTTCGATTGTTTTGTTCAATTGAACTAGGTATGTCACGCTTAGTCAAGTATTGCTCTAGCAGTGTTGTTAAACAGCACTTCTTATCATTCAATTGTTCGTTCATGCTTAATGAATTTGAATCCTTAATTGTAAATATTTCACCAGCCAATTTGACTGAAGATGGCAATTTTTGAATCTCTTTCAACAGATCTACAAATAAACAAGATCTAATCACGTGCTTTTATTGAATATCGACTTACTATTCATACAAGTAAAATATTCTTTTAATACACTAATATAGTCGGCTTTTTTTAACGCTAATTCTTGATTAATCTTGGTTTCAACATCTTGCCATTTCTCTTTGAACAATTGTTTAAAAGATTCTCTTGGATTTCGTATATAATTTAAGATAAATTGAGTTGTTTGATCGGCCAATAGTTTATCATCACAAGCATTTTGTATCCATTGCCGATTGAGGTATATCGAACGGTTCACTACTTTGTCGATTACGTCTTGTCCATCGTTGAACATTAATTGAATAAAGCCTTCTTTTAGATCGTTACAAAGTTTTATTGCATATTCTTTATCCAGTTCAGTACCACGATCAACCATATTTGTAAAATATAGTTTGAAATCTTTTTTCTTCATGTCTAAACTCGATAAAGTTTCATCGAAGTACTTCTTTTGTTCGTTGTAATAATATTTCGTAAGTAAAATAACTGCACAAGAATGAAATGTTGATTTCAATGGTCGAGATAAACTTAGACAAAATGGAGATAATTCGGCGTTGACATTGATGATCAAGGAATTTATTTGACCGACAATCTTTTGTATCAGAGCCATTTGAATTTGTTTGACGCCATTACTTTCCAGCGAATGCATGACTGCCGTGATTTGTTTGATAACTTCTTTGAAAACGGTTGATATTGGAAGATACATTTGACGTTCGTCTAATTTCGAATCAGCTTGTTCAATAGGTTTCTGCTTTTGAATATCATTTCTGATCTTCATTTGAAAGTCGTTTGATGATGTAGAACATTCCTCGAAGATTTGCTTTAGTAAGTCTTTATTCAGATAGACAAGGCTGTTGATCATGTCTGAAATGTAATTCGTATTTGGATTGTAGTGATGAGCTTTGAATGAATCTACTTTATACGCTTCTGTTAGAAATTGTGCAATGAATTGGTTTTCGGGTTGATTGGGGTTTGAGAGAAATCGTAAGTGTTCAGAATACATATCTTGAAATTTGAAGAGACATTCTTTTTCGTAGATATTATAATTTGCATAGATATTTGTGTAAGCTTGTTTGAGACGTTCTTCTGGGATGAATCCGGAACGGATGGTTTGAATTTTTTTATCGAACATTTCATCGAATTGGTTTCTAGCGCTATCGGTTTGCATTCTTTCAGTTGTCGTTTTTCTTCGTTCATTGTCAATTGTCTTCTCGATTAACTGTTTCAGCTCATCTTTACCTTTATTAATGAGTGCTTCGACTTTTTTTCTTTCATTGACTGCAATCGTCTCAACATGTAAAGCTTTGAACATCTGCTTAACTTGTATGTGCAAGAATTCCTTCGTGCGCCGACGAAGTGTACCCGGTACTTTCAATAGATTGAACTGTTCTTCGAGATTTCGTCCTATTCGTTCATCAATGACTTGTCGTTGTGCTTCGAATAAATCTCGAAGTTCTTGTTCGGTTTTCTCAGAACATTGAATAATTAAATCGCTGCGACATGCTTCCGAGAAAGCGTTCGCTAGTTCAGTTTGAATGTGTTCACGAAGAGTTTTGTCTAGATTTCTCTCATGAATATCTTGATAGCAAGTAAGATCGGCGAATTTTTGTATTGTATCAAAGATGGTTCGTGATAGCGATAACCATTGTAATGGGTAAAAGAGTTCGTTTTTTCCAGTTATGGACGATCCAGCGGAATCAATGATTTTTCCACACAGTGAATGAACACATTCCATGAATTCGAAGACAGTGTTTGATCTGCTAGGAAGGTGTTCGTTCGATGTAAGTGTCCTTCCCACGGACTGAAATGCTGATGGAAGCGCATGAAAGGTATTTTCGTTGACAATAATAGATTCACCTAAACCAAGATTTTGGACTTGAGTAGTAATTTTATTAATGGCTGCTTTGTTATTTTCTATATTGGGATCGGCCTGCTGGTTCAAAACGAAATGAACAGTCGGCGCAGGCATGTGCGTAATACCCATTTTATTTAAAGACTCAGCACATAATGTTAAGATTGTCTCTATTGGCTTACTTATCTCGCCACGCATGTTGAGAATGACTACATGTGAAACGGCCAAGCAGAATAGAACAATCCGTCGATCATATTCAATATTTCGTCCCTCGATGCCTAGTAAACCTTCCGTATCAATTAACATGATGTATTCAAAATCAGTTCGATTGGTTTTAACCAAAGATCCGTAAACCCCACGTGTACATCGACCATCACGGACATCAAACAAAGTTCCAAACATATAATTCAATAGAGTACTTTTACCTGAGTTCTGTGGTCCGATGATACTAATAACCAGTGTCCGATAGCTACGAAAAGTTTGTAAAGCTCCATATAGAAATGAATATTGAAAGTACAAATTATCACCGTCGATAATTTCAAACGGAAAACCAGCCTTTATATATTCTGAATATTGCGTTCGAAGATGTTGTTGTACTTCGTTTGTCTCGTATTCACTGCAAAGAATAGTATTACGCCACAGAATATCGATAGATAGTTTCTTTTCTAAAGAAATATTGCTTGCCATATCCGCCTGCGATACGTATTTAGTACGTGCCTGTTTTAATTTGGCAATCAATAAATCTAGGGGTACCAGCGTATTGGGCGCGTTTAACATATCGCAAAATAATTGGTGAATACGATTTGGATGTGTTTTTGCATTTTGTAATTCATGCTCTTTTTGGAGTATTTCACGGCGAACTTTGTCGACATCTTCATCAATTTGATGGGCGTAGAAATTAAAATTTGCTAGTTGTAATTTTAATTCACATAATTTAACGAATATTAAATATTCAGGAAAATAGGCTTCCACGGCGACTTTTCCATCAGCTATCTTGATTAACTCGTGTTCCAGTGGTGAAATAGCTCTCAAAACTTCATGTGTCTCTTGTTTGTATGTTTCATCCATTAGATCTTCCAAAACGGTTTCAATTGAAGGTGAAACTCGCGGAGGATTCGCTGCCAAATCGTTCCAAATTATGTCATTCAATGTCTTAATACTATCTTCGTTTTTCTGATTACTTTGATCAGAAACATTGCGTAAAAAGACCTTCTTATAGTCAGTGATCTCCGGCAGTAAATTTACTCCAGAATCATCATCGTCATCATCATCATCATCATCATCGATTGGACAATCACGAATAATTAATAAGCAATATTTTTGGATATTTTGCACTATATTTAGAATATCGACACAGGAATCGCGATTATTTTGGAAATACTCGTATTGAATATGAATAAGAAATCCGTCAAAGAGTTCATGGATACGTTCTAATAACGCTTTCTCGATCGATCCATGGACATCAGCGATATTTGCTAATCGTGGTTTGAGAAAACTTGAACCAAAATCAATATCGATTGTATTTTGAAAATAGATACTGTTCATGGAACGCTCGAACGACGAAAGGAATATTCGATTAAGAATTGTTGATTTGCCTTTACACGGACCGATACCAAATGAAAGAAGTGTTGGTTTTGAATAATCCCACACATGAGTGATACTTGAAACGAATACGTAGTCATTTTGATGATTTGATGACGATAGCTGAAGTAATGGAACAGGATTTCTTTTGCTTAGAAGAAACATCAGCTTCCTTGACAATGACAAATCCGAATTGGATAATATAATATGTATTAACATACGAAGACTTAATTTCGGTTTACGAACAGTCAATTTACACTTTGAATATTCTCGATGTAAACCTTTGAAAAAATCGTCTAAATTTTGACATCTTTTCAAGAGGTACATGATTGGTGTAAAACAACTTCTAATAAATGATAAAAACCTTTTGTTCGATGCATAAGCCTTGACAATAGTATCTATTATTTGAGTAAAAACTTGATTGATGTACGTTAGTTCACCTGCAGTGACTAGATCAGATAGATTTTGTTTTTTAGCCTCTTTAGTACACATAAGAACAACTTGATGCTCATCGTTTGGTTCTGGCTCTGGTGCTTGTTCAACTTCTTCGTTATTAGCCATAGCAAATTCGGTGGGTATAGGAATCTTTTTTTCCGTACAGTAATCTTTCAGTTTTTTAATGAAAGCATTGATATTAATTGAGGTGATTTGCTTCACTTGCTCTTCACGAACACCTTTCCACCATCCAGCTTTCATAACGCAATTCAAAACCGTCTCCAATGCTTCGGTTTCATTTGCATCAATCTGTGCTTGCTTGAATAAGTCGAGCAACGACGAACGAAAATAATCTCTCAAAGCTAAATATAAAGCATTTTGGTCGTTCTCTATCTGAATTTTCAATAGATCGTCTCGAAGATGGTCTTTGTAAGTTTGAATAGACTCATAACCTTCGTTTAGCATTGAATCAAATACTTGATTCAATAGCAAATTATCTGCGTCGGAATCAGCTCCAAATTTAAAGAAGAATTGAACTATTAAAGATAACACTGCATTGATTTTGTTAAATCTAAAACAACCACACTCAGCTAATTGTGTTAAAATAGAATCGTATTCAACGTGGAATTGACCTCGCAGTTTCAGCAAGAATCGATGAAACCATTCCTCATGAACATCTTTTTCCAATAGTAGCTCATTGTATTGTTTTAAAATCGATAAAAGCTCATTTGGGCTTCTTGACATATGCTTTTCAAAAACGTTCGAATCGAATGGTAATTCATCTCCACGATCTCGTAGAGCTTGTCGTCCACGTTCCATTAAGGTTTCCGCAATGCGTTGGGAGTCATGAGAATCATCAAGCTGAAGAAGTTGACGTAATTTTAAATTATAATCTATGTCCAGTGAATTAGTAGCAAGCATCGGGCTCTCGTTATCGGTATCCGTTGTTGTTGCTGTCAACGAAGTTGATACTGAAGAGTTTCTGCTCATCAAGTTTTCGACAGTTATTTATCTATAATGAAATTGTCGAATGCAGAATGAATTCTGAAGCAATGGCCAACAAACTATAGCAATGACAAATTCGTCAGAGAAGTTTGTTTTGTTGATTCATAAAATATTAAAAACTACCTCTGATCAGCTTGGGCCAACTAGAAAAGTAAAGTGCAACAACTACTATTTAATGAGGAACGTCCAATGGATGAAAGGTACACAGAAAGAAAGAGAAAACTAACGAAAAATTCCTTCGTGGAGGGAAAAAACCCAGAGAGTGAGATAAAAGTAATAAAAAACTATCGCGTATTTATTTTCACATACCAAAAAATAAAATCATCCGATAAGAAAAAGCCTACATCTTCATAATAATAATTGGTGCTAATCCATTTCAACTACTAACTAATTTTTATTCCTATTTAACACCAATTGTACTACACGAGTATGTTTCTCATTTTTCAATGGTTTTTTCCCATATTGACATCATTTTTATTTGTTGTCTACTGTGTTCTTGCACAATCAATGTTACTTAGAAGAAAGAAAGAAAGAGACCAAAGACAGTGCAGATTTTTTTAGCAGTTTTAGTAGATTTGAAGTAAGTTGATTGTCGTAGTGGCGATGAAGTTTGAGAGAAGATAATGCTAGGAATAAACGCATCACTTTGAAATCTCTTGGCGCTATAATCAAATCGGAATAGGTGCTTGTGTTTTTTTTACAACTACGAAAAGAAGAATCGAGCGACAAAGAAAAACACAACTACGATGCTATTTTCTTTCGTTTCGACTTTTTCTCTCGCGTGTTTTTCTTTTCGTATGATTTCGCTAGGTGATATAGAATTCGTTAAAAATGCTCATTTGATAAATAGGAAACACAATGAATACAGAAGTTATATACGACGATCCTGCAACACACGAACAAACTACAACGACGCTCACAAATCAAATCCGTGATTTAGAAGCTCGAAAAGTTCCTTTATCGGCCGCCTTTAATAAATTCGAAGCTGAACATCAAATTATTAAAGATGGCGTAGAAAAAACTGACAAACATTTGGATGGTATACATAATGAATTTCATCAGGGTAAGGGTAAATTAACGAAGGTTAATGGAGACTTGAGTGCAGCAGAAGATAAACGTGATTTAATCGAAAATCAACTGTGTCGTCAACGAGAAACTCAGGAAAATCGACAAGATCAAGTTGAAAAGCAGACGGAACTTGTGGAAAAATTACGTGAAAAAAATGAAAAACAAGAAGGTGAAAAATCCAACATTTTAGAAGAGAATAAAACACTTGCAAGGGAACAAGAGGAAGCTAATAAACAACTAAGTGCGATACAAATTGAGATACAAAATGTTGAAAAGGAACTGCAAACGATTTTACAAGAGCTACAAGCTATTGAAACTGAACTAAGACGTGCAGAGGAAGAATTGAAAAATTTAGAAGAAATTCGAGCATCTGAACGTAAAATCGAAGAGTTACAGAAGAAAATCGATGAAATTACCACGACTCTAATAAAATTAGAACGCGAACATGACCGTTTAAATGCTGAATTACACCGATTAGAAGAGCTTGTCCAACGGATAACAGAAGTGATTGCATTGAAAGAACATGAAGAAAAGAATCTGCAGCAACTAAAACTTGATCTTAGAAAAGATTTAGAAGAAACACAACGAAAGCAGATACAACTTGAAAAAGAAATGAATAATTTAACAACGAAACTTCGCGATCTTCGACCAACGCTTCAACCATTACAACAACAGTTGAAACAAATGACTAGAGCTCTACGAGAAAAAGAAGTTGCATTAAGAAAATGTAATGAAATAGTCGAACGGTTAAAGTGAGTTCAAGACGAAAGCCTCTTCTCTATTATAAAAAAAAATCGTCAATTGTAGTCAAACAATTAGATTGAAACAAGGCGAATTTGCACGGCTCCAAGAAGAAGAGAGCAAAATTCAAGAAGAAATGAGCAAAAAGCAATCAGAAGTGACTCGACTTGAGACGGAAAAGAGGAAATCTGAGGATGAGAAGCAACAACTCAATAGTGAACTAACGGTAATCAAAACAAATTTTACACAAGCTGAAAGTGACCGAGATAAATGTAAAGATAAACTGAAGGCTGAAAAAGAAATTTCCAAGCAATATGAACGCGAATTACTACTTGCCAAGACCGCGCATGGACGGGCAGAACGTGAACTACGAAATCAGGAAGAAAAGGTCAGAAGATGTACACAAACGCTGCAGTTAAGTCGGGAAAAAGAAGTGAAATGCAATTTATCCCGGGAGCAAGCTCAAAGAGAAGTTGAGGAAACCGAAATGGCAGTACAAACAGCACAAACTTTATTACAAGCTGCAAGTGCAGCTTTGACCTTGATAATCAGAGCTATGGTGGTAAACCCATTGATCGGTATGGCTCTCCTTGTTGCCAAAGAGATCGCTGTACAAATATGTCAATCCACGTTAGAACGAGCAAAAGCATCTTTACGACGTCAACATGAAGTTCTCCAAAAACGTATTACGGATCACGAACAATCGAAAGCAAATGTCAAAACATCAGAAGAACAACTAAAAACCGAAGAGACGAGCCTTCAAACAAAAAAGTCTGAATTAAGTCAACGTAAAAGTGAATTAGAGTCCGCGGACAAACGTGCCCAAGATCAGAAGAAAACTGTGATTGATGCAGATCAGAAACTTCAAGATTCACAGAAGAAACTCAAGGAAACAGAGAAATCTAAAAAAGATAAAGCAAAGGAGCTTGAGAAAGCACAACGAACAGCTAATAACCAGCAACGTCGATTTGATAGTATGAAATCCGATCTCAATAGCCTAGATCAGAAGAAAAAAGTAGCCAGCGAAAGGGTTCAACAAGCACAACAAACTATTCAAAATGTCGAAACGCAGAAAAGGGTTAAACTTGATGAATTGAATAGTAGAACAGCAGAAATCACACAAATGAAAGTCGAACAGACGGATCTTCAAAAGCAGATCGAAAGCAAACGAAAAGAAATTCTTGACACTGAAAATCAAATTACAGCGAAAAAGAAAGAAGACAATGAACTGAAAGGACAAATAACCAATATTAAAGCAAATTTTGCGATGATCGACAAATCAATCGTCGAATTAAAAGCTGACATTCAAGAACAACAAACGCGTAAAAAATCTGTTGAAAAAGAAAAAGCTAATATCGATAAAGAATATCAATCGACAAAACAACAAGCAGAAGAACTCAACAATCTAATGAAGACAAGTCAAGATGAACAACAGAAATTAGATCAAACGTTAGCAGAAAAACGTCAAGAATTGATTGAAAAGCAAAATAAACGACAGGATTTGATAGCTAAACGTGATCAACATCGTGATAATCTAAAAGCAAAGAAAGTTGAATGTTCACAGCTTGAAACCAAACAAAACTCCTTGAAAAATTCAATTCATGAAAACAAGGAAAAACTCCGGACAATCGACTCGTCTCTTAAACAAACAAATGCGCGAATTGAAAAACAAACTCAATCAAAACTAGAAGCTGAAGATCAGCTAAAACTAGCAGCGGAAGATGTTCAAAGTAAAACTGAAGAGTTAGGCGAAGTCAACAAGAGTGTTGACGCCACTCGCAAAGAATATCAAATATATGCTGATGAACAAAATCAAACTTTAGAACATTGGAAAAATGCTGCAGTGGAAAAAGCTGATCGTTATCGACAATTGAATGCAAAGGAGCAGGAAAGGTCTGAATGCAAGAAACAAATTCATCTAATTGACCGAGATATTGAACTTAAAAACCATGAACTGAAAACTTATTCCGAACTCTCCACTAATGACAACAAATTACGTGAGAAAGAAAAGGAGCGAACAACAAAATCTCATCACAAAAGTGACCACATTCGAAAGAAAAAATCTTAATTATGCTTAAATCTCCTTTGTTACCATTAACTTCTCCCCTAAATGTATTATTTTGAGTCAATGTGTTTTTGTTGAACTAGATTCATTTATATATTTCTAAATGACCGAGACCCAGCTTTAAATTTCGATGAAAGAAACTAGGCCTCTTATGAATTTGTAATAAAAAAAAGTGTCATGAATTATGTCTTTCGTTATGGACTTCCTCTAGAATTCATCAGCTCATCATGTGCTTGACAATTATCATCACTATAAAAACAGACTTCTTCCCATTTGCTAATTAGATCTTTCTTCTTCATTCCTGCATGTTGCCTTTTCTCATCCTCATCACCAAAGTTATGTTCGCCTTTCCGGCAACCGTTGAAACCGGAGCCAACTTGGAGTGTCGCCGAACAGCATATATATTTTAATCGAGTTTTTCTCCGGTCTGCCTGATCCTTTTGTGCTGCATCTGACGATGGAGCTGCTTCTTCTTTGTTCAGCATTTGAATTGCTTTACTCGGAGTGTATTTATCTAAAATGTCCGAGAGATTATCGTAGACAAAGCCATCATGATAAGTACAAGCACCCATTTTATTCTCGGTTTCGAGATAATAGTCTCGACACTTTGCGCAAAATATTGGGACCTTGGATCGACGTTCTTCTTCTTCTTGCTCTCTTTCTTGATCTTCTGTCAATGTAAAATTAACGTCGGCTGCGAATTTTTTCAATAAAAACTGATCACGTGAAACAGCGATTGCCCATCGTTCGTTGACTTCATTTTTATTCTCTTGACTTGCTTCGAGTTTCGCCTCTCGAAAACGACTGACAACGTAAGTGTAAATACTTTGATTCACGACCGATGAACTAATCGATGTTCCCATGGATGATTCCGACTCCGATCGATTTACACCAATTAACGAGTCCAGATCATAGACGATCATTGAACGTTTATAAGCGATACATTCATCATAACGTTCTTTTAGTGTTTCGAAGATTTTCTTTTCTTCGTATGCACCTTTGGATGAAAGTAAATTCAAATCGATTAATTGTAACAATTGAACATTACGATCGTTGCCATAACTCGTAATGCGTTCAAGTAGTTGTTGAAGGTTCTGTTCAGTGTCATTCAAATTATCTTCAGTAATATAAAGTTCATCGTCTTCTGTCCGAATTCCTTCGATTCGTACGCATCTCTCCTTTTTCTCCAGACTAATGATTATCTTTCCTGTAAAACGATACTCATCGAGCAGTCCAACCCTTTGCGTTTGCACCCTTCTTGACGATGATTGCTGCCGTGCATAAAGATTTTGTAAGATCAATCGTGGTAATGTGTCAAGACCAAGAAATAATTGAAATTGTTGAGCGACTTTATCAGCTAGTAATAATGCTTCACTTTCTTGCATTTCATAGTTTGGTTTGACACGACGCACAGCGATATCATGAACCGTAATCGCACTTCTCAACGCGCTAAAATATCCTTATTTGATAATATCTTTTAAAAAATAGAATTTACCTTAGAGCTGCGCCGCTGAAATTTGTTGTCGCTATGGCTAAGTTTTCTCGAATTTCCGGTTTTATGATGTGATCTGGAATGCTTTTAAGAATTTTTTTTCTGGAACTCGATGATGGCCGCCCAACGAAGAATTTTCCTGACATACGGCGAAGAAAAGCCTCATCCATCATGTGCAAACGGTTCGTTGCCGAAAAGAACATCAGATTAGGTACATCTTTAATGCCTTCAATCACCGATAATAAAACACTGATTTTAGCAACTTTGCCTTCAGAGGAATCTTCATCGCGCCTGGGAGCCAGTGAATCGATTTCATCAATCGAAACACAACACATTAAATGAGGCAAGCGATTTCCGCGGATGCAAAGACTTAAAATTATCGCTTCCGATTGACCAACATAAGGCCGTTCAAGTTCTCCAGCTGCGAGTGGTGGTCCAAGCATAGCAATGCCGATTTTCTTTGCTAGTTTACTCATAATTACTGACTTTCCCGTGCCTAAATGTAAAAGTAGTTCGAGTTTTAGTTCTAGCGTGGAGTTCGACCTCTTACATACCCGGTGGGCCATACATAATAAATCCTCGATGAGGTTTCACTAATCTTTGATCGATTTTTGTTTTATGACTTTCTGAAGTTTTCTTCACCTCGTCGAGTTCTTTTTGGAAAGTGGCAATCGATGTTTCAATTACTTTGATATTGTCCTCCAAATTCTGAATTTTTTTTGTATAATCGCCTTTCGTTTTCTTCCATGTTTTATCTTTTTCCGTCCGTTCTTGAGCTCGATCTGCTCTCTCTTGAAAATTACTCGGAGGCGGTCTTTTGGAATTAAAGTCTACACTTTCATTTCGCTGTGTCTCTAAGTCTGTATATTCATTTTGTGTAGCTTTTAACTCCGTTTTTTTACTTTCCAATTTGTCATTTAAGGTGTTGATTTCATTTCGTAAATGGTCCATTTTCGTGAATTCGGCCTGAAGCACACTCGATATGATTGCGGCATCAATAGATAACTCATCGTCCGTGATTGTCAATGGCTGAAAGAATAGTTGCATTTCATCGAAAAGTCCGTCATCTTCATAACCTTCGTCACGCATTTCTTTAAATGCTGTTTGAACGCAGAATTTTTCTAATCTGGGAAGCGTCGGAACCCCTTCTTGATCTTCTACTTGCCGGGCAAAGTATAACTTAATCATATGTAAATTAGCACGCAGTTCTGATTTCGAATATGAATCATTTTGTGCTACACAAACAAAGATAAAATTTTATCAAACTGATCCGGGCCTTTCTTACTCGTATTGGTACCAGCAACTTTTTTCTTTTTATGCTCTTCAGTCATTTGCTTTTCTCTGTCAACATAAAACTTTATTATCTTCAACGCATTCATTGGTAGTTCATCAATCTTTTCCCATTCTTGTTGGTTGAGATTTGCTAAATGAGCGTAGGTTTCAATATTTTCTTTTTTTCTCAATGCTTTAAGCCACACATCAGCTAAACCATTATCTTCAATTTGACAAATATCTCGAATGAAACCTTCCAATTGTTTTGTACTTGGCCGTTCAATATGTTTCCTTGTCTGTTCAGCATCAGCCGATGGTAACTGTTCGACAATAGCATATTTTATATTCGCTGTTGCACTGAGTTTCCATTTTTCGGGAAATTTTCTTTGATTTGTCAAATCAATAGCTAGCCAAAGATCCATCAGACCATGAAAATGATCGAATATCCAAGAATCAAATTCATCAGTCAAACTAATCGGATCAACAAGACGAAAACGACTTCTTGGACTTACAAATGTAATTAAATCTCGATCTAACATTTGTTGTCGAATAAATAAATCCAACATAGTACCCTTGTCTAATTCATGAGCTTCGCCATCGAATTCAGGAGGAATTGATTGTTGCCTAAAATACAAAAATAGCATTGTGACAGATATCTTTGCAACTTACTGAGGTGGTTGAACTTTTAAAAACAGAAATTCTCTGAAAAAATCTTGAATTTCATCCCGTGGTAGACTCTTTTGATGGATTATACAAATAACATCGTCGATGATTTCTGTTTTTTCTGCTGGTGTGGTTGCTGGCCCTGTTGTTGTTGTTGTTGCTGCTGCTGATGGTGTGGAAGATGATTCAACTGTTATTGGTAATTCAGAAACAGGCGGTGTTGTCGTTACATTTCTAAAGCTATCAATTGGATCACTCATTTCCGTAGAAGGCTGAAAAATCTGTCCTAATTCGATCTTAATCCCATCATCAGATTCCTGTCGAACAACTAAATCAAGATATTTGAAATTAGGTTCATCGTTAATTATTTTCAATTCAGTCATCAAGATTTCCAAGGTATCGCGTCGTTCGCAGCCATCGTCTATATTTTTACCTTCGTATAGTTCTTCAAATCTCTTACGGATTTCGTCCATTCGATCCGTATCATACTCGATGTCGTCATCGTCAGATCTTCTAAGAGACACATAATCAATAAACGAGTGAAACTCGCTCGACATGCGTTTATCTAAAACTGAACTTAAATCAAAGTAGGAAATGCTGCACATAAAGAAGCAAAATGACTTTTATTCGAGAGTAAACGAATACAAATAGGTATCGAATGAAATTGTCTGAGTAGCCTACTTTAATGCTATGTTTTCTGTTGACGATTCGCGTTTGTACGTGATTTTTTTACTTCTTTTTTAATATTCTTGTCAGATGTAGTATTCTTGTTTTCTCGTTTGTAACGTTCACGTTCTTTCGTTATAAGATCTCGACTGACACGATTCGCTTGTGCACGATGTGTAGCCATTTTTCCATCGCAATCGGCCAATCGATTTTTAAGAAGTGTCTGTTTTCCTTCTGCTTCTTCCCGCTTTTTAGAAGCCGTTTGATGTAAATTTTCCACATCGGTTCGCTTTTGCTCGATAGTAACAATGTTTTTATTCAACCGATCCAATTCTTTTTCCTTGGATTTGATACTTTGTTCAGTTTCTCGAACTTTACTTTCGGCCGATTCTTTTAATCGTTGTTGTCGATCTACTTTTCTGTTTGTTTCTTTGATTTTTGAATCCGCTGCTCGCATTTTTCGTTTGTTTTCGTTTAGAGCACTTGTTAATTCCACCTTTCTTTGCTTCTGCTGTTCAAACTCAGTGCGTTTCGCTTGAACTTCATTTCGATTTTGTTCTACTTTATATTGAACCTGTTGGCAATCATTTTGTTTTTCAACCAAATCTTGATGTTTTTTCTCAATATCGCGCTCTAACCGTTTGTGATCCTCTTCATGTCGTCGTTTATCGTTTTCTAAACTTTCAATTTTACCTTTCGATGATTGTAGATCTTGTTCACACTTCGAACGTTGTTTCTCTGTTGTGTCTCGACGAGTTCGTTGCTGTTGAACCTCTGATTTCAGTTCAATGATTGATTTACTTGCTAATTTGACATTTTCTTGTGCGTTGCTTATTTTTCCTTTGATGACATTCTCCATTTGCTGCTTTTGTGTAATATTTCGTTCAAAATTTGCGACACTTCCTCGTTTTTGTTCAACTTGTGCATTGACATTTCTTTGAGTTTGTTTTGATTCATTGAGTTTATTTTGTTTTTGAGTTTGCTCATTGAGTTTCGTATCTCTTTCGGTTTTGAGACCAGTCAATTCTCTTTCTACTTGAGCTTTCTTTTGAGTAACGGCTGTTCTCTTCTTGGTTAAATCATTGATTTTAGTTTGTGTTTCTTCCATTGATTTTTGCTTCGTATTGATCTGATTTTTAACGTTGTTTATGGCCGTTCTTTTATCTTTACTTTGTTTTGTAAGATCTTCGCGTTGTTTTCTATAAGTTTCAATGTTTTTATTCGTCTGTTCAATCGTTTTCTTTTGATCAGTCACATTCTTTTGAGCGGTGTCCACTTCTTTCTTTTTATTGATGGCATCGGTGTTTCGCGCCTCCAAATTTTTCTCTGCTTGTTGAACTTTCTCTTCAACTTTCTTTCGATTTGTTTGAGCTTGTTCGTGGTCTTGTTTCTTCTTCTGATGGGCATTTTTACTATTTCTCAGACCATTTCTCGCCTTTTGAACAGCGGCTTGGCATTTTTGTACAGCCGCTTCTTTTGCAGCAAGATTTGGCGAAGGATTAGTGTCAAGTTTAGCAAGCCGTAATTCAAATTTTGCTAGTCGCAAATTCGCCTCTTCCATTCGTAGAGTTTGCTCAGCTAAGGTTACTTCAGCCTGAGCTTTTTGCTCCTCGGCTTTACACTGTTGCTCTTTGAGTTTTGCAAGATGTAAGTCACGTTTCAGGTCCGTAACAACTTGCTGTTGTTTTCGTAAATCATCTTCGGCCTTGCGATGTTTCTGTTGAGCTGTTTTAAGTGCTTCTTCACGCTGTTGAAGAAGTTTTTTATCTTCAATCAACTTTCTCGTGGAATTGTCGAGATTGGTCTCAGCGGTCCTTAAATTATTCTGCAATACTTTTAATTCATCATTTAATCTTTTGTCTTCAGCTTCTAGATTTTGCTTTTCTCCTTGAAGTTTGGTATGTTCTTGCTGTTTGGTTTCAATTTGTGACGTGTATTGTCTTTCCTCTTGTTGAAGTTTCGTGGATTCTTGCTGTTTAAGATTAAATTTTTGTCTAAATGAACAAACAAGAAGTGATTGTTCAACTTAAAAGAAGAAAACGAAGCGTCTACTTTGCTTGTTCGGCAGCTTCAATAGCTTTTCTCAATTCATTTTGTTGCCGAGCGATTTCTTGATTTAGTTGATTTAGCTGGTTTTGCAATGGTTTAAGTTCATTTCGAACTTGAACAGCTTGTCGATTCAATTGTTCAATCTCTTTTTTAATTTGCTCCTGTTGTTGCTGCGCTTTCTGCAATTCTTGTTGTAGGTCAGCTAGTAACTGTCGAAATTCTTCAATATTGTTTTGTTTCATATCGATGAGAAGTTCGATACGTTTGATTAAATCATCAATTCGAGCAACTTCAGTTTCTAACCGATCACGTTCGCGTTCCAAATTCACAATTGTTTGTGCAAGTTGTTCAATCTTTTGTTCAACTTCTTGCCTTTTTCGTTCGTTCTCTCGAATATCTTCTTGAAGATGTTCGATCTCCTGTTGAAGACGCTTGATTTCATTTTCAAGCTGTTGAATTCTTTGCAACATTTCTTTTATTTCTTGCTCCAATTGTTGAATTTCTCGTTGCAATTCAGCTATTTTTTGTTCAACTTCTTGTTTTTCACGTTCAAGTTCTTCTTGGTGTTCTTCCAAACGTTTTTTCTCTTCTTCAAGTTCATCCAATTTGTCTTGTAAAGTTTCTAATAAATCGATTTGTTTCTCTAATTCTTGTTGTTGTTCTTCACGAACACGCTCTTGCTGTTCGAGTTCTTCTTCCAGATGAACGCGCTGAGATTCCAAGTCGTTTAGTTCTTTCTCAATTTCGGCCAACTTTTCCTTGTGACGCTTGACTTCTGCATGTAATTCTGTCACAAGAGCTTCATTTTTAGTAACGTCGCCTTTTAGAGAACTTTGCTCAGCTTGAAGCTTTTGTATTTCGCTGTTTACTCGTTCCTTTTCTTTTGATAATTCTTCTATTGTGTTGTTCAATTGCGCAAGAGCATCTTCCTCTTGTCGCTCCTGTTCTTCCTCATCAATAGCGTCTTCATCAGAATCGTCTTCACTCGACGAACTATCGGACATGGTTTCCAGTAAACCAAATAAATAGAAGGATCTAGAAACAAAAAAACGAAAATAGTCTGACTGATTCTTTATGTGCAACAACAAAAACTGAATTCTGTCGATAACAATGTGATGGAGTAGGACGAGAAGATTATTGGTATTTTCCCATCCTACGATTTCAATGAAATGAAAACGATACAACAAACTAGCCTATGTCTTATTACTAAACATAAAAAACACACTGTTACCGATTTCTTTCTTTTTCCCCTTTCAGCTCGTTGTGTGTTTTCTTATTTACGATAAGAATACCTCCGCAATTGTGCACGAACGCGGCAGATAATAAATAAGTATTATGTCACTATGGAAAAAAAACCCGCAACCAATGTAGTTGAGGGTTTTTTCTCTTGAAATGGTTTTATTTTTATAACCCGTAATGCATTACATGCGATAGTGTATTTTAACTTTTATCTCGTTCTTTGGGTTTTTTCCCTGCATGAAGGAACCTTTTGTTTGCTTTTTTATTTTTTAGTCCATGTAAGTTTCATTCATTGGATGCTTTTAGTCAAACGATGCTTTTTTTGTTTTCGTGGCAACTATCTACTAAAACAATATTTTTCAAGAAATACAACTATTCAAGTGAACAAAATACTATCTGGTGATTATGCTACTGACTTAAAAGACAAGAAGTCTTCGTGTCGAAGTCATAAATTCAGTAATATATAACAGTGTTCTTTGTGTTCGTAAAACAAGTAACACTAATTACTCGATTGGTAGGCTAAATACATTTCGAAGGCGGAGAAGAATTGATTATAGGACGAATATACGCTTTACCTTTTTTTATAGATAAAAACATTGCATATAATCGTATGCAGTAATTGAAAGGCTTCTGCATGGCAGGACAATCTACAGCTACACAAAATTTTCCCACTCGGGAAATTTCATTGAAGTTTAAAAACCTATTCTTCAGTCGTAATCCAACATTACTGTCGAAATCACTTGAGGAGCTACGCAAATTTTCGCAATCGAATGTAATAAAAGCACAAAAAGCGGAATTAAAATCAATAGAAGATGCATTTAAAACGTTGAAAGAAGAACTAGAATATGTGAACCAAACTGATGATGATATACTAATAGTTTCAATCTTAATTAGTGCATTAATTTTACCGTGTTATAGATTTTATTCCACACATGAAACATTTTCATCCGATTTTTTCCAAATATTCAACCGATTAATTGCTCACAGTTCAGTGCTAGAAGATGAGCATTATTATTTCTCAATAATTTCTATTGTTTCTCGCTCGAAACTTTATGCTCCGACACCAGTAATCACAGTTCAAGCGTGGTCAAAAGAGAAATGGTTAGGAGAATCACGCGGCGTGAATCCGTCGACAATGAAAGAAAAATACCAATCTAAAAGAGCATTTCCATTTTCTAAAGACTCAACAACTTATGAAGCCATTTCAAATCCGGTCACATATCCAATTGATATAGCTGAACAATACGCTGTTTTTCTTGAAAACGCTCGAGGTAAAATATCGCGGAAAACCGACGATGAACTCATCAATCTAGAAGAGATTTTACTTCACTTATGTCGTACAGATTTTATCAAAGATGCTTTGATAAATGATAACCATTGTTTATCATTGATAGTTTCATTTGCTTTGCAACGCCATCGAATAGTTAAGATCGAAGTTATTGATAAAGATAAAACTCAAGACGAAGGTTTGTTAAAATCTATGGAAAAGCAGTTCATCGAACAACTTGAGTACAAGCCAAGTCGGATGGGCAACAATCATCACACAAATCAATTGATTTCCGTGGACTGTAAAGTCAAATGGACAGACGAATGTGAATTTTTCTATCGTAACAATAACATTCATGCCCGCCCGACATTCTTGGCACCATTGGCAATGCTTTTATTCTATGCTTTACAACACTCTGAGAACTCCGAGGAAAGGTCACAATGGAATTTCCTTTTGGAAAAGATTCAACAGATTGCATTGGATTATCTTCGGTCTTCATCAAGATTTGCTGAAGATGACGTGAAAGAATTTTTTCTGTTTATGTTCAATCACAATGACACGGCGATTCGATGGATGAGTACAAATTTAATCTGTTCTTTGATCAGCGACCTCGAATTATCCGACGAGGTTCTATTGACACCTGTAGTTACACCGAAAATTATAACGTCACTCATAGAAACACGGATTATCAAACAAACGTTTGAAATCGATCCAGTTTTATTAAACGTCTGCCTGAAAGTTTCACAAGACTGGCAGATTGAGGAAGTATGTCATTTATTGTCAATGCTGGCTGCAAGATTGAGCAAAATTCCGGGAAAAAGTCACGAAATTCCTCCGTATTATCAACAATATTATCAGTTCTTTGTCGATTTGATACACCGGAATGTTGATCGTTTGTTATTACCCATGACGAAAACGACAAATGACTTTGAAGAATTTTGTCACAACATTCATCGGTCTCTGTTTCTTTATTTGTTGTATTCGAATTTGAATCATTCACAAACATCACTGGAGTTTCTCACTCAATTTTACGAAGATGATTCAACTGCAATGATGCTCGAGGTTTTATACAAAGATCCAAACAATCAACAGATTCAAATGTCGAGCATTCGCTTACTTGAAGTTTGTCGACTCCATAACTTTCATCGATGGAAAATTTTGACGAGTTTACCGGTTTTTTTCGACTTAATTGGAATTTATCGACAAAATTACCGTCTATTGAATGAATTGTTGCAACTACTACAAAAAATCTTTGAAACTCAATCAATCTCAAAACTTCATTCGGCAACTTTAGATTTGAACAAGCTTTGTCAATCGCTAATCGAAATTCTCCGGCGAATTTTGAGCAATGACAAGGAAAATACATTTCTAGATGATTTTGCATTTCGTCGACGCTTATTATCAACAAGCGCATTGCTCCTTCTTCAATTTATCAATCGAAACCTACTGAAATCATTGACGTTCTCCTCTGATGAGATGAAAATCATCGTTCAATCCACGTTATTTTTTTCAGTTGAATCTAAGGAAATGTTCAAATTCTGTGCTTTTCTTGCAAAAACAAAACAACACGATCTTGTAAAATATTGGCTAGAACAATTACTGTTTTTGTCACTGATAACCAACGATAACGTTCAGGACAGCAATAATGAAGCTTCGCAGAACAACAGTAACTCATCATTTTCCTATTATCTTCAACCGACGATTGCCGAGAGTTATTTTGGCATTTATAAACACGAATTAATCAAATTTTTAGAAGAAAAACTTCAGCAAACAGTTCATTTTCTTCCACTGCCAAGCTTCCAGTTTCTCTCACTGTTCGTTCAACAGTCGATTTCGATGTTCTTCTCTTCACTTCTACATCAAGAATCAACAATTCGACTGGCTATTGCCCGATTGCTAAGTATTTCATTAAGTATTCAACCAAATGATTTAACGAAGTTTTTAACAACGATCAAAGATAAAAATTATGTCAACCGTCCTATTACAACAGATTTTCAACCAGTTCAGGATGAAACTTCTTATTCAACATATCTTGTAGAACGCGAAAACTTTCGTTCCAATTCGAAACTCACTTTTTGTATGGTCAATCGAGCCGATTTTCAGAATTTAATCAAAGATTTAGAAAAATCGCTTGTTGACGAAGATTCATCGAAACAGGACGATTCTTCTTTAAATCCAATTAAACAATCTGTCAGTCCATGTCCACCAGATATGGAATGCCTCATTCCTAAACGTGATGCGCTTGCACAATTAGTCCGAACGAAAACAATGCTTCTCAATCGCAAACGTATTCTCGAATGTATTCGAACACCAATTCACTTATTGTTACAAGGTGCAACAGGTGTTGGAAAAACAAGTCTAATCCTTGATGTTGCCGCTGATCTCAAACGACCTTTAATTCGTTTTAACTTATCATCAAAAACTGATGTCGCTGCTCTATTTGGTTCAATTCAATTTCAACATAATAATTCCATTGAATTAAAGTTTGAAGAAGGTCCATTTACATATGCATACAGTCACGGCCTTTGGCTTCTATTGGATGAATTGAACTTGGCATCATCAAATGTACTTCAAGCAATAGAACAAGCAATCGAATCAGGTGTTTTGATTTTACCTAATGTTGAGAATGAAGATGAAACTCAAAGTGATGTCAACTATCGAACATATAAAATGCATCCGGATTTTCGTCTTTTTGCTACGCAGAATCCTTCGATTGGTCGATATAAAGGTGCACGAGATGAACAATCGACGGCTTTACTCAATCGTTTTAGCATTTTTATTGTCGATGCTCCTGAAACTGACGAATTAACTGAGATTATTCAAAGTCGTTTAACTCTTGAAAAAGTCCTATTTGTTGATCTAACGAGTTTTATGATAAAACTACATGAGAATTTGATGGATTTGGTACAGAATACGAACTTCCCTGAAAATAATCGAAATTATGGTGAAATTACAATTCGAGAACTTTTTCGTTGGTGTCAAAGTTTGTGTAACTATGGAAAAGTGTTTGCTAACACTTCACAATCAGTGGAAAAACTTCCAGCAAAAGAATTTGATAACATTGCTACTGAACAGGCTTTCATTATCTATGGAGCACGCTTTCGTCAACAGATTAGTCAACAAAAAGTTGCAAAAGAAATCGAAAAAGTTTTCCATACAGATCCATTGTTTAATCGAACATTGACAATCGATTTTCAGATGCGCGATAGAATTGGATACCGATTAAATCAACGTTTATTACTACAAATTTTGACGGTCTCAGTCAAACGTATTCAAGATGAATGGCCATGCCAGTTACGTGAACCACATCGCCCCGAAGAATTAGAAAGAATTGTTCAAATACATAATTTCGCTTTTCGAACACTTCATGAAGGAGACAAATTTCAGCAGATTTATGACTGTTCCTACGAACTATTATGGTCAGTCCTAGAGAAACACTATGGAGAAGACACAGCGGTTTTATCAAGATTACTCATGGAAACTTACAGCAATTTATGTCGCACTCTCACACAACGAAACAAAATTATTGATTATATTGTTCGAGAATATTCCAGATCTAATATTGATATTAAAAAATCAATTCCGCCACTTTCAGCAGCCCGCCCAGCATTTTATCTTGATAGTGAAGCAAGTCGAATTGTTCATTATATTTTGTCTTCAACTCCAACTCAGCCAATTTTGATTGTCGGCCCCGAAGGATCAGGAAAAAGCCACCTTGTACGATCGATTGCTACAACTGCACAAGTACGCTGTCAACACCTGTATATAACACCACAAACAGAACCATCAGCTCTAGTTGGTTCCATTGTCCCACATCCGCAGTCTCCTGAATGGCAAGATGGAGCGGTGAGTGAAGCAGCTGAAAAGGGTCATTGGCTAATTCTTGAAAACTTTTCTGAAGCATCATCAGCCGTTCTTGAACGACTCAACTCTGTTCTCGAACAGCCAGCACAATGGATTAAGGTTGAAAATAATGAAACAATACCAGTCAAAATTTCACCTCGTTTTCGTATCATTGCCACAATGTCACCACCAACTGAACGTTTACAAAATGCGTCAATTGAAACAAATCATGAATTAACACCTGCTTTATACAATCGTTTCCTCATACTTTATTATCAAGGTTTGAATCTGACATCACTTGAAACGTATCAAAATCTCTTTCGATCGTATTTTCCTATTGACGACAACGAACCACTGATTAACTATCTTTATGATCAATTGAAATCTGAACCACTAACAATAGGGCAACTTGTACAATGGTTCGATTGTGCTTTTCAATTGAAACATTCAATATTCACGAAAGATCTTCGATCAAATATCTATTCGATATTACTCGCTGGTTTAGAATTAGTCATTTCAAAAGATACTCCAATTTCTACGAATATTAAAACTTATCTGAGAGAAAAAGCTCGGCCTACAACAATAAATTTTTTCGATGTATGTGTTTCAGCAGAACAGCGTAAACGACATAGAGAACATATCATTGACGGTACTCAAACACCCGCACGCTACGAAGCAGCAAAACGGCTCTGTGCATCAATTATCTGTTCTCGACCAGTTCTACTCGAAGGTCCAGCTGCTACAGGCAAAACAAGTTTGATTGAATATTTAGCACACTGTCAAAACAAGCGTCTCTATCGTGTTAACAATACAAAAGGAACAACTGTTCAAGATTACTTTGGCTCTTATATGCCAAATGGTGAATTTCTGCCAGGTGCATTATCTTGTGCTATGTCTGAAGGTCACTGGTTCGTTGCTGATGAGTTTGACTTAGCTGAACCAGCTGTCATGAATGTGCTTTACCCAATCCTCGAAGGTCAAAAACATTTGACTGTGCCAAATACAGGACGCGTTCTTTTCGCTCAAGATGGTTTTCGATTTTTCGCCACTCAAAATGGTACAACCTATGCTGGACGTAAACAACTTCCAAAAACTCTACGTTCGCGATTTCTCGAAATCTTTTTTGAGAACTTCTCTCGAGATGAATTAACTTTTATTATAATGCAAAGAAAACTACCTGGCTTTCAAGGATCAAATATACGTTTGGCCGAATTCGCTCCACGTATCGCCTCAACAATCACAATTGTCAATCAATTTATCGAAAATAAATGTTCTGGTTTATTAGGTGCACCCAAATTAAAGTTAACAATGCGTGAAGTCATCAAATGGATTGGTCGAAAACAGCAAAAGCCAGATGTTTCATGGGAAGAACACGCACTAAGACTATTGGAATCGAGAGTACCAAAGCAGTATCATAGCGATTTGCTTGTTTGTCTAAAAGATCGACAAGCTTTACCAGATTTAATTGATGCATCAATTCAAATAAGAATCGATGAACAGCAAATTTCTCTAACTCGTCCACCTGACTTGACTATTTCATATGATTTTTCTAATCGTGAAGCTGTCAATCAACTGCAGCTATCCAATGCACCTAGAAGTTTTCTTCTTGCCCTTTGGAGAGTCTTCGCCGCTGCTGAACAACATGAACCTGTTCTTCTATTAGGTCCAACTTGTTATAAATCTCATTTGATTAAAGTTTGGGCGCAATTAACGAATAAACTGTCAAATCTCTGTACAATCACATGTTCAACAGCAACAGAAACTAATGATCTAATTGGTTCAATCAGGTAAAATTGTTTTCTAAAAATTAAATCCATTCACTTCTAATTTTTCTTCTCCCATAGACCTTATACACTTGCAGACGCGTTGAACCTATTAGTTAGCTCCTTAAGACAATTTCACAATCGTGTCAATAGTTGTGGTCATTTGATTTCACAACCAAATTCTAAAGATTTAGATCGTTTTTATGAATTATATATTGAACCTCTCGAACGAGGTACAGACAAATTTATTCAAGCATTGAAAAAGCAAGCACATGAAACAAGATCAAAACGAGCAACATTACAAGGGCCAATTTCCGAAACCATTTCTTCAGATCTCTCACTCGATTCCATTGACGATGAACTTCTACCTGATCTAGTACATGCGGAAAGTCCTCATTCACTAACACCACCGAGTCGATCGTTTTACAAGTCTGTGAAACATGATGATGACGATGTTGATCGGATTGAAAGTGTGGAGCAAATTAATGATATTGTTCGAAGTCAACAAAAAGAAAAACAATCTTTCGATCCGTTTGCAGCTCCCGATAATGATGTTAACAATGAAAATACACAAAGAGCACCAATATCTCAATTAGCAACTACCACAGCACAAGCGAATAAGATACGCGATCCTTTCGCAGCTGATAATGACGAAGAAGAAGAAGACGAAAGTGCGAATGATGCGCCGACTCCGCAATTCACAATAACAAGAATAGTACAACGAAAAAAAATTCGCGATCCTTTTGCAGCTGATAGTGATGACGATGATGATGATGAAATCGTTCAAGCAAATGCTTCGATTGGTGCACCTACTAGCATAGTTTCGGTAATTCAAAAGAAAATAAAAGACCCATTTGCTGCGACTGACGACGATGATAATGATCAGGAATCGTCACGAAGCCAAATACCGATGTCAAAAGAAGATAAACTTTTAGCATTTGTTCATGATACACAAGCACTTTCGGATCTCTCGAGATCAACTTCGGTATCTTCATTCAACACTCTGACTGATGTCAATCCAATATCTGAAGCTTTTAAAGTAATCGATGAGACATTACAACGAACGATTAAACAGTTGAATTCCGTATGCAGTCTTGTTCAACATGAAAATGGTGTGAATCTGATCAAAATTCGTTGTGAAAAAATAATAAAAGAAATTCAAAAAGCAGTTCAAGACGGAAAGACGAATATTTTCCTTTTCCAAGACGGACCTGTAACAAGTGCCGTGAAAGAAGGACAAATTTTACTTTTAGAAGATATTAATGAGCCATCACAAGCAGTCATCGAACGTTTAAATAGCTTGTTCGAAACCGAACCATCATTTACTCTCTACGAAGACTTTGTCAGTGGTGATTCAACGAATGACAACCAAGCACATCGATCAAAAATTCCAATTCTCCCAAGTTTTCAAGTATTTGCAACTGTGCATATTGATGAACGAAACGAACACCGTTTGCAGATAAGTGCAGCTACTCGTTCACGAATGACGGAAATTCGTGTCCAACCATATGATAATATTGAAATGAAAGAATTAGCAAAAAAGATTGAAACAAACGTCGAAAGAAAAGCGGAATTTGATGAAAAAATTGAAACATTTGCTCGAGAGCTTTCACCGATCATTTCACAGGCGATGCTAATCGATGAAATAAATTCTCGACATTTCATTCAGTTCGCTGAATGTTTACATTTAAATCAACAATCAATGCCGACAGAGATAGCAGCTGCACTGTGTGTGAGATTTCTCTTTCTTGACAATATTGCTCAAACACAAAAATCGATTATATCAAAATTTCAATCAGCAAATGTTGCTTGGGGGAAAGTGCTAGCAGCATTCAAATGCTCATATGATTGCATGAAGTTGGATGAGCAATTCGATGAATTAGGTGTTTACACTGAACTTGATCAATGGTGTAAAGTAGAAGAGGTAACTTTGCAGCCTAATACACCAAGTGAACGAAAGCATTGGGCTTTGATATTAAAATCTAATAAATTGATCGCTCCGTTTGCTCCTCAAGCAAAACCTTTGTCAAAAGATTACCGATTTCCATTAGCAGTCACAAAATCTGTTCTGAATAACTTATCAAGAATTGTATTTTCTTTGCATTCTTCTAAAAGACAACTTCTTGTTGGTCCACCTGGTGTGGGTAAAACAAGAATTGTCGAAGTTTTAGGCGAAATGTTAGGTTACGATGTTGTTCGAATCAATTTTAGTAGTAACACAACATTCGAAGATTTGATCGGTTCATTCGTTCCACGTGTTATTCATGGACAACGCTCATTTGAATTTCAAGAAGGTCCTCTTTACCGAGCATTGACAAAGAATCTTGAAAATTCTATTCTCCTATTTGATGAATTGAATCTAGCTAGAAAAGAACTTTTAAACCAACTGACGCCATTATTTGCAAACGAAGACGAATTATTTATTCCAGCATTAGCAAAACCAATTCGAATTAAAGGTTCAATTGTGATCGCTGCAATGAATCCATCATCGATCGGTGGCGGAAGAGAAAAACTACCTCGATCAACTCAAACACATTTTCTTCAAGTTCATTTGGCTCCATTCGAATTTCAAGAGTTCGAACAAATTACTAAAACGATTTTGTATCCTCATCTAGTTGCGGGTTATCTAACAAGTAGATTAATTAGAAAGATCAATGCATTTCATTTTGAAATCAATGAAAAAGCTCGATTAAGACAAATTGGTCGCATCGGTGGACCGTATGACTTCAATTTAAGAGATATTGAAAAGCTATCAAATCTCATCGACGCTCTTTCAGTAACACATCGAGCTCATATGAATCTTGCTGAACAGACGAGTTCTTCTTCAATGACAACGTCTATGATTGCTGATGACGACGATGATGACGACGATAGTTTCAACAAAATAGAAGATCAAAATCTTGTTCGAAGTCTTCATGTATATCTGGACATTGTCTATGCATCTCGTTTTGAAAATAGTCATGATCAAGAACTTGTTCGAGATGTAATTCGTCAACATTTTCCTTTGAAGAATACAACTCATCAACGCCAAAATCGACCAACAATGATTGATACTGATTTAAATCTTCAAGGTTACGTTCGCTTAGGTTTTGTTTATATTGAAAAGAAAGAATATCCATCGCATTATCGAGCTTGTGTTCATAGTCAACGAACATTAGAAAAATTACAATTACTCGCTGCTGCAACAGTCAGCAAAGCAACCGTTCTAATTGAAGGCGATGATTGTGCTGGAAAAACAGCCATTGTTTGTGAACTGGCTCGACTTTGTGGACGGCGTCTGCTAGTTTTGAATTTGACTCATGAAACCACCACATCTGATTTACTCGGCTCATGGACTATTATTAATAAACAATCGTACGAACAACGCCGAAAGCAAAACAGTCACGCATTTCTGAATGATGTTGTTCGATTTACATTAACAACTTTAATACCACTGGCGCAGAAATCTCAAGATGCAGAAACTTTGATACTCAACATGAGATCAATTCTTTATCACTGGGAAAGTGGTAAGTCATTGTTCGAGTAATGTATTTATTTAAATTTTGAATTTCTTAGATGACATTGAAGAAAGACAAAAGGCTTACAAGCAATGTCAATTGATCTTAGAAACTGGTTTGAAACATTCCAGACAAACTCAAGAAAAGTCCATTTTAGATGAAATTGAGAAATACCTCGACGCACTAGAACAAACAGAAGATGATTGCAAATTAGCACAACGATTAAGTGAAGGTCTGACATTTACATTCAATAAAGGACCTTTGGTCCAAGCGATGGAACGAGGCGATTGGATTTTATTAGATAATATCAACTGTGCACGTGGTGACGTTGTTGAACGTTTGAATTCCTTAGCTGAAACTGAACCAACATTAACCTTGTATGAATCAGCTGATGCGTATCAATATCGTCGTGGCCATGGAATTCATAAGGATTTTCGTTTGTTTGTTATCGCAAATACTAATCGAAAAATGGCCAATAAGTTATCAAGTGCATGGAGAAATCGTTGTTTGATCATTCGTATGCAAAAATTAGATAAAGAATTAACAGTTGATAATGTTGATGAACATGATTTGTTTGAATTGATCAAAGGTGAGCTTCAAGGTATCAATGCCGGACAAGAATTAACTTCGACTCTTCTCAGAGTTCATGCATCATCACAGAAACTATCGAACGAAAAAGAACTTCAACTGATTCCATCGTATAAATATTCGTATCAGAATTTAAAACGTGCAACACGAATTGTACAAACTTATGCGATGAAAGGAGATAATCCAGTTCAAGCGTTACAAATTTCAATCTTTCGAAGCTATATCGATCCAATTCTAGACAAACCGGGAAAACTGGCTGTAATCACATCATTCATTAAACATTTGAAACATCGCGACATTCATAATAAAACAAGCTACTTAACATTACCAATGTTAACATCCATGTCAGCAGCCGAAAATCTCGAAGAACAAATGGAATGGTATGGACCATCGAGATACATCCATAATTTGGCTGCAATCATTGAAGAATCGATATTAGAACTTCATTTACGCATGATCGAAACAAGTTTTCCGAATGATTTATTCGATCGAGAAAATTTTCATGATTATGTTCTCGCATTATTCGATTTCATTCAACCTTTATTAAAGATCAAGCATGAAACTTCCGATGAACTCGATATATCTCGTATTCGAACACAACTTCTTACTTCCAATCAGAAGCCAACATCATTCGCATCTGATCTTAAAGAATACCTCATTAAAGTTTATAGATATTTTAAAGCAATTAAACTTCTCAATCCATTCGAACAGATAGAAGATACATTAATTCGATTGGATAATACAATAACCGAATGTTTGAAACTAAGTTTTGACTTTATTCGACAAACTTCCTTTCTCGACGCGCAACACCGACTCAACGAACTACAGCGACTAACGTCGACGGTACATAGTTTAATCGAATTAGCGAAAAAATTTCAATCGGTTTCCAGTTCGTCTCGATCTTCTCTCGTCGAACATTATAATTACATGATCGAAGAAGATTTAAATCGTTTATTAATTCTACAAACCTATACCAAATGGATTTCATTTCCTTGTCAACCAACAGCTAAAGCTGATTTATACATCCTTTCTCAAACTCAAGAGTCATTACGACAGCAGAATTTTACTGCTAATGGCAATGAATCGAATGAATCAGCATCATCATTAAATTTAATCAATGTTCATCTACAAAAGGTTCAATCGCTTCCGATCATATATTCAGCTGATCAACGTTCGGATATTATCTTGAGATTATATCAATATCTATCGAAAATGAATGAAAAGAAACTTATCCTGATCGCTGCATCAAAATTGGAGTTAAATGTCGCCTGTAAATTAACCATGAATTTCCAAATAAAACCAGAGTTTGTTGATACACTCGGCGAACAACAACCTCTGCTGAATTTTTCGAATTTGTTGACGTCTTTGAATCTAATTTTTTGCATTCAAACGATTCTTGAAAAGATTTTCGAAGAAGTTGAATCACGCAAAACTGAGCTCGACCGAGTTAAAGAGAAGTACAATGAATATCAAAGTGCTTTGCTTCCAAATCCATCCGAGATCGATGAGAAAATTCGTGCTATTCATCGAACAGTTGACCAACATCTTCAATCCGGGCAGTCACAAGATAGTGAAATTGAACACAAAATACTTGTTGCAGGGAAAAAAGAAAAGGAATTAACGGACGAAAAATATCGTCATCTAGCTGCTCTCGAAGCATTCGAACAGTTACAAGAAAGGATCTTTGATCAATTTGTTCCACTTAAAACATGCTTAAAGCAATACGAAGAGAAAGGCTGGTTTGACAACATCAGCAAATACGCTCAACAACGGCAAGAAAATCACGTTTACCAACTGATCGAAACTATCTCCGGTATCTATCTGAAAGAATACAGCTCCAATCAAATCTATTCGTTATATACATGTCTTGATAAAGATACAAATCAGTTGAATGGTGAAGTTCTTCGACGAGAGATCTTCCAAAAGATCAATTTTAGTGATATTGATACACCACACGGACGTTCCGCTCTCGCTTTGATGCAACTGGTTTATCCCAAACTATTCCAGCAAAACATTCTTCTCTTTATTTGCCAAGAAGACAATATGAATTCCATTATACGGAAATCGCTGGAATCGAATAATGATTTTGATATTGTTATCAACGTTCAATTGACAAACTTTCTAATTATCGATAAAAGTTCGTTCAATCGGTACTTGATCAATGGCGAAGGTGTGGCACATCTCAATGACAAAGTCTCCGTGATTCATTTCATTTTTGCACAAGAAACAGAAAAAGTGGTGGTTGAAAAAACTCTCGTTCAATTTCTAGATCGTCTTGAAATTGAAATTCATCAACGATCGGTGACAACACAAGTCGAAGTTAGTCAACGACGTGTTTCGACAAACATTAAGAAAGATTTGGCTCATTTTCTTCTTCCATTTGCCATCAAAGAATTATTTTCCAAATCTCAACTAATTAAAGATCAACCGCTTCCGATCGAACAAAAATATCTCGAACAAATTCGTTCAGATATCCTCAATTGGATTCACGATCAACGACGTTCAGGAGTCATTCGCAACGATCAACAAATCTGTCAATATCCAATTGATATTGAAATACAAAAAGACATTGAATTCTTTCTCAAAATCATCCAACAAACGAAAACCATGCTTGAAAAAGTTTCATCAGCAAAAACCCTTCAGCTCGATGATTTAGTTCAGTCGCTTGATCAACTGAGAAATGATCTCGAAAGACCTAAAATTGAAAAATTAGAAACAAAACTGAAAAACACATTCGCACTATGCATACCGAAAGAATCCAATGCAAAAGCTCGACTTTTGTCGCTTGTTTACGAAAAACAAGTACAATATCCTGTTCTGAATCAATTAAAAGCACACTTAGCCGACGATCAGACGAAATTTCACGTGTTTATTTCCACTCTCATCAATCGGTTACACCGAATTCAATGGAAACTCTTGCAACTGCTTCTACGAAATCAAAGCAATATGAACGATATTAATCTTTATAAAACCGCTCATAAGACTTCCGATTTACTCATAGCAATCGTGAAGTTCATAATGGATCAGGTTGATACATACAGTTTCAAAACTTCAGTCGATGAATTCGAAAGAAAACTGACTGAATATCACGAGCAAATATTGCAATCTGCAGCAATGATACAGCTGAAAACAGCTGATCAGTTAACTCGGGATGAGACGAAAGAATTGGAAATTTTCACTGCAGCTGAAATTAAAGATATGATTCAAATCAGCCTACCTGTTCTAATCAATTCTCAAGAACGAACTTTAAAAAGTCGAGTTGGACGTACATCTTTCAAGACAGATGCAAATGAAGATATGCTTCAAGTGCAAAATATGGAATTATCCAAAGTGGAACAGGAACTTGAACAATTGTTACAGGTGACAAAACAGAAAGAATTGCCGCGAATTCAACATGCGATTGTCATGTTATTGATGGAATTGAATGAAATCAAACGGAATCGAACGCCATTGACGGATGTGGCTCTATTAGAGTGGAGGAAATATCCCAAACAAATACAAAAACATATTTCACATGAAACAATCAAGCATAAGAAAGTGGATATTTTCAATGTGAAACGATACAAACAGGAACAAATTCTGGATCATTCAAACGATCTGCTCAGCAAAACTGTTCAGAATTCGTCGACGTTGTTCGATGATGAACGAGATGCACTTCTCAACTCGATTAAATCATTGTTGGATGAAAAATGTTCAACCGACGATTCGGCATCGACATTTTTACTCGATTATTTCCGTCGTCAAACCAATGAATTACGATGGAGAAAAGTCGAAACTTTACTTTATCAACTATGCTCGTCGAACGAAGATACCGATTCATCAGTTGAATCCACTACAGAGATTTTGAAGTCCTTAATGAGCACATTCATGCTTGTCGACTGCAGATCATCAGCTGAACTTTGTCGAAGCTTATTACAACTATGTCAAGAACAAAGTCAACAGATGTCGGATTCCTTTCATTTACCTAAAGATAAATTGGACAATTTTCAAGAGAGAATATTAACTAATCTTGTCCAACAACGGTACAATGAGTTGAAAACAATGAATCCGTGTGATAAAATGAACCTTCTTCTGGTTAAAACAAATGATAAAGATGTCGATTCCTGTAAATTAATCCATGTCTATCCTCTTCTTGTTCAACTCAACAAACGACATGAAACATTAACGCAAATCCTACATGATCAAGCAAGTTATAATCAACATGCTGGCATTCAATTATCGTATCTACGTCTATCGGATTGTATAGCTCTTCTGTTTCCTGATTTGTCAACATTCTTTCTCAAGTCGATTCCATTCGACACATTCGATTTTCAAAACTATTCCGAATTAGAAAGATATTTCGACGGCGAAATCTTCTGCAGATCCGTCCAAAAAATATATGACAATCAATTAGTTTTAAAAAATAAAAATAGTGTATCTACAATACCACTAATGTACGATGGTAGTACAACGAATTCAAATAAACTTACGGAATTATTAAAAATATTTACCCGCCGAGTAAAAGAAGTCGGAGAACAAGTCCAGATTTTTCGATACGGATATCGGCAGTTGTCAGAATGTAATGAATATCATGCATTCTTTGCTCTTCAATTACAATTCCTATTAAATAAGATCTTTGCTGAACTACGACCACGTCTGAAGACTTTCGCAGACAATTTGAAAGAATCCGATTCAGTTCTGGCGACAGATTATCTGAATTTTACCTATTGTTTGATGAACGAAAAAGGATATGAGTTAAAAAATTGTCAAACACGAAGACAAAAGATTGAATCACAATTGAATTCTGCAATTCTAACTGATCGTGATCGTCAAGAATTACAAAGGCAAAAATTTGATTTCGATCTTGAATGTGAACGGGAAGAACGCAAATTTCAACGAGAACTCAATAACGGTGCCGCTTTTCGAATTTCGAATTTGTTAAACCTTAGTCAAGAGTTACAAACAAAAAGCAATGGTTTATCATGTCGTCTGATTGATTCGCTTGAAAACCGTGCTAACGTAGTGAATGATGATCAATTACAGTTAAGAACACCTGGAGAATTCTATGATTATCTTTTCAAAGTCAAAGACAAGATTCGTGAACTCTCCGATGAAAATTTCCAGCAATTTTCTTCTCGTGTTCAAGAAACGCTTACCAAATTAAAAGAAGAGTTTGATAAAACTTCGAAAGATTATCAAAGCATTTCCAAATGGTTAACGAATGATGATCGATTACATCAATTCTTGCAACGTTGGATGTTAGCTTATAATCTAGCATATATGCAATTCATCAATTCAGTACAGAATTGGCTTGCCGATCTTCGTGGTCAATTCAATCGACATGTGAAATCAATTGAAAGTACACTTGATGAAACACGTTCAATTGTTAATAATACAGAAAAATTACTTCAATCGGTTGTTAAAGTATCCGATCTGTCGTCAATTACTTTAAATATCGATACAATGCCGCAGACTATTCAAGAATTGACTACAGTTGCTCGAAAAATGGAAACGTTTGCTATTAAGGCTCGTGGTTATTATTCAGTAGAGAACTTATCAGTTCTTCTCTTTCATTGCTCAAGTCTTTATGCTCGTATTGCAGTTTTTCTCATTCAATTGTGGAAAAACCAAGAGTCAAACGCTCTAAACTTAGCTGAACTACGAAAATCAATCGTTACAGTCGGAAATGAATCCATCGAATGGGATGATAACATGAAACAACTGATAAAATTGAGTGGTTTTCGTGAAAATTCTGATGTACCAGGCACGAATATTCCGACTGATGAATATTCATTGAAAGAATTTCATCAACGTCTACGCCATGATTTTGCTCTTCTACAGCATAGTCTTCAATTCCATTACACACATACATTTAGCAATATTTGCCATAATCCATCCGCATTACTTGATGATATCGAACGACAAATGGGAAAACTTTTAGGAATAGCTAATGTACCAACAAAACCTAGTAGTCTCATTCAAGTGAGTTATGTTCTGAATATTTTCATCAGTAACATTCGAGATATTTTGATGCGAATACTCAACCATTCCAATGATATATTAGAACCGGACACAATCAAAGCATACGAAGCATTTCAAGAAGATTTTGTCACTATTATGGATTTTCCATGTTTACCAATTGAGTCCGTTCGAAATAAGATTTTAGATTATATTCAAAAGGATAAATTAGATACATTGGCCAATCAAGGATTCATTTTTCTGAAGTTTTTACAAAAAGAGCGATCAAAATTGAGTGACTCTTTGAACCATTTAAGATCAATCTTAGAAAACTTCATTGACGAATTTGTTCTCTTTTTCCTTCAATCATTTCAACAATATCAACAAAATGAAATAGAAATTTTGCAAGCGCCTTTTCGTAACGAAAACTTTCAACGTTTAACCATCGACGAAGTCACTTTCATCGAAACATTAATGCCCGCTAACTTAGCTCGATATTCTCAAATGATAAGTGATTTCGATGCAGGTATCGAATGGTATACACAATTAGCACAATTTCTCGTGCAAGGTTGGACGCAAGCAGCAGAAATTCTTCGTTCATTCGCTGGTTCGATAACGTCGTCTAAGAAATCAAAGGACAAACAATTAAAATATTCTGTAGTTGTCAATTTATTCTGTAGAGAGGCGGACGATATTCGTCAGTTTCTTCAACTACCGATTGCACAATTCAACAGAAGATATTCCGCGAAAGATCTGATTAATGATGAACCAATTGTTGTGTACTTGACTCGGTTAACAAAACTATTTCGTTTTGAATCCTTGCGTCTTGCAATGAGTAATTTACAATGTTTGAAAAGTGGGATTGAGAAAAACTATTTTGAAAAGTCTGAGAACATTAGAGAAAACCTGATTTCGATTGTGCAACAATGGAAAGAGCAGATAAATCAATTAGTTGATCGGCGAGAAGAACTTAATAAGAAAGTTGCAGAACAAATCGAAGCCGATTATGGTCGACGCATTCAAAATTCCAAAGAAAAATATCGCAATTTATACAATCAATACTCGGAACAATGTAAAAAGATACAGTCAAACATTCAACAAACGAAATCGAGTATAAATCAAATATTCAGTGATTTGAAATTTATCGGTAGCCTATTATCGGCTGCAAAAATTCCATCAAATCATTTTGCCATTGATGACCATAACAGATTGACCAATGAAGTAGTAAACGTTGTACAACAACTAGTCAACTTGAACGAAGTTGTTCCAGTTGAATGTCAATTAAATGAAGATCTTGAAGGTAGAGAACTAGCGAACATGGTCAAGATTGATTCAATTCAAGTGGTTGTCAAAAGAGTTGTTTATTGTGTAGACTATTCCGGAGGCAGAGCTAATCGAAATATGTGGAGTACTATGGTTCAATTCGTTTCTGATGATTATCGTACTGAATTTAACTGTCCATCGAAACCACTGGTAAGAACGGGATCGATTTACTGTGTAGAAAACCTTGGGTACCACGCAATAAATCCATCATCAAATGTTTGGTGGTTAGTTTTACGTGTACGTTACGAATATACCAACGACTGGACCGAAATAGTTCGTATACCTCTTGAATATCCACAAATGTGTCTACAAAATAATACCAGTATTCGTTATGATTTTGGACTCTGTGAAGCACGTTCAATCATTTTAGAAATTCATCATAATCTATCCATTAATTTGATGGAAACGATCAACGTAACCGGACACCAAACATCGACAACAGCAGCAATTCATACTATAGACCATCGGTATAGTGAAATGTATACAAAATATAAAGCTTTACAACCATGTCAGAGATCTAAACAGCTTAAAAACTGGATTTCAAGCCTTGAAAAACAATGTCATTCGAATCAAAAGATCCGGTCAACAGTATATGAAATGCCTATTCCACCGGAATATCCTCCTCCGCCAGCACAGGAGGATATTCGTTCTCTGGCAGCTGTTGGCCGACAAAAGGACCTTCAATCTTTGGATCAATCGGATCCGCCCACCCATCACTATCTAATGACACAATCATTATCTCAAGACGAAGATTTCAAGAAAAATCTCACAGAAGTAATACAAAAATTGAATACGATTATTAACGATGCTGAACTTTCCTTGTTCGCTAATAATAACATCTTGGAATTTAATTCAGCGGAATCTCTCAAAGAAGACTTAAAACTCTTTCAAGAAAAATTTCATTTCGACAAACTTTATCAAGGCCTATGCGAATTGCAAGTAGCGTTCATTTCCATACAACAAACAATTTCATCATATGACAAGTTTAAAGCGCAACTATTGGGTTCATTAAATAACATCGACAGAGTAGTTTGTACTGTTCGGTTAGTCGATAGTTTTGGTTACATATCGACAGAAACTATTTACAAACTGCAAACGCCCGAAATGTTGGGTTTAATGAAAAATGCTTTAAAAATCATGACGAATCATGTAAGTTTAGCTGTACGAATGAAACAAGACGTAAGATATGTTGAAATACAATTTATGCAATTGATTCGTTACTTTTTGGAAACGAAAGATCATTGTGAGAAAACTTTAAATCTGGTCAGTGAAATAAAAGAATCTTGGTTAAAAAAAGATCAGATATCAGTTCTTACTGCCGAAGAAGTCGAGACATATTCGTCTACTTTTGATGAAATTATTACTTCGATTCAAGAACGTAGAAAGCACGTACGTTCAGTTCGTCAATCAGTTTGTGACGTTGAATTCCGTGCCATTCAAAGTGCTATAAATGGCAAAACACTAACTACGTCAACTGGATCACCAGAGATCAGTAAAATAACAGTAACAAAACGGCAAGGAATTTATTCGTCTTCTTGTTCATCGTTGACTATTCAAATGAAAGAAGTTATTCAGCATTGGTCACCCGTACAAATGAAAACGAAAACCATTGAAATTTTTAACGACAGTGATGATCAACTTCATTTTACCATTTCATCAACTGCTTCAGCAAATTCGTCCACTTTATTTACAATTCAACCATTGATACTTGTTGTCAATCCACAAAGTACTAGCTTAGTTAAAGTTCTACTTGATAGGTCAGTTCAAGAAGGTAAACATGGTCAAGAATGGCAAATGAAGTTACTTAATCACCCATTAACGATTCCTCTTTTTCTTCGTTGTGAAGTTCGACAATTTGCTATTGATATTACTTTACCTCAGTGTCAAACTACAAACGAATCTCCATCAACGAATGCAATTTCAACATATTCTATGGATTTTGGTGTTGTTGCATTACGTTCAGCATCCCATATCACACGATCGTTTATACTAACAAATCCGACATCAATCGACCTTCGCGTGAAAATTCGACGAGAAGGCGGTGCGACAGGTCGATTTGAAATCGAAAATCGAAATCCAAATTTGCTTCTATTGGCTCACGAATCACGGACATTATCCATACGTTGGAACATCCAAGACTTGGTACAGGATGTTACATGTACCTATGAAATCTACTTCCGCAAAGATTTCAAATATCGTATTCTCTGCGTAGGCAAAACTCGTCGTATTACTTATGAACTGCTTTACCGATCTCAACTGCTGACTGGAACGGAACACACCGTTGAATTAGAACCTTGTGTTCCCAATACAATTCTTTCAGAAGAACTATTTATTCGAAACACAAGTGAAATACAAATGGTGCTGAAAGCCCAGACTAATTCTGATTCGTCTACTGTCACTACACATTTATCACATTCAGAAGCACTCCTAGATCCCGGACGGTCATTGCCGTTGCAAATTCAATTCGATCTCAAATCCGTTCATCAGTCATTGATTAGTACAGTTGAACTTTGTTTTATTCATGCAATACAAAATCCTCGATTCAGATTGAAATTCAACACAACAGCTGATTGGCCTAAACTAGATTCTACATTACTTCAATCTCTAACAAACCTGAAAGTACAAGAAAGCCAAGACCAGATTAAAGATAATATTATCATCTCTAACAAAGGTCCGGTGCCAATGATTGTCGATCATATTCATGCTACATCAGCGTATCTAACCATTCCCGACGAAGTTTGCTTCCCATTAAAAATTGCCGCATTTAAAGAATTTCGCTGTCCTTATATCTATGAAGTGCAAAAGAAACTAGCATCATTTGATTGTAACTTAATTCTCGAAGGAAATTTTGAAGAGTCACTTATTCGTATACCTTTTCATTGTAAACGTATGGTTCCAATAATTTCACTTGACCCACCGTTTATTCATTGTGGTACAACAGCAGCAAATTCAAAATTAGGTCTGTTTTCAATTGTGCTTCACAATACTGGCCACGTTTCAGGCCAAGTTAATCCAGAGCCAATAGAAAATAATACTTTTGATTTGAATATATCAAACTGCGATCGAAACGTCATTGTTTCTCCAGGAAACTCTCGAAAAATCGCATTCCTCATTGAAATCAAAGAAAGTGCAACCAATGGGAATTTCAGAATCGATATTCCATTTCTAACTCGATTTTCGACTTACACAATTCAGAGTAATAAATTAATTATAGCAGGACGCATTAAATCCGCTGAGAATTTACCAACGCGAACTAATTTGGTTGATCTTCCCACACCGTGGAAACATTTAACGAATTCAAACATTGAACAACGATTGAAAGCTCTTCTCGAAGACAGCACAAAACCTTATTCCCAACGAGCAGCAACTGCCATTAGTCCAATTATCATTGTTCTCACCGCCTTGGCTTATTCGAACTCAAGTGAACCAAATCAGGCTTATTTAGATGCTTGTGAATCGATCCTAACAGCAATCGAATCACACTCAACTCAACATCAAGCTTATGTAGCAACAATTCGACAAAATCTCCTTCAAGCATTAAGTTCTATTGCAAGTAATGAATGGACTGAATTAAAACAAAGATTAGAGAAAATCTTCAATGATTCTTTATCCCGTGTAATTTCTGGTGCAAAAAATGAAACAAATAATGAAAGTCTTGCGTTCGCAGTTTACTATGCTGAAAGTTTAGCTGTTCTTTTCGAGGAATATGCTCAAGTGCCTGGCGAACAGATCTTAGCACGTTTAATTGAATACGAACGACAAAATCATCTCGATCTACAACGAGAAGAAAAGGCAAAGAGGCGTCTTTTAGATTATACAATTAATTTGATCAGCTTTCAACCTAATAGAACATCACTGTCAGGAAAACAACGACAACAGTTGAAAAACTTTGTTGAAAAAGTTCTCGATACAATAACAATAATCGAACAAACTAAAACACTTTATCAGCCGATAAAACATCTCCTACTTCAAATGAGCTCGGAATCGACCCAAAATTCCTTGAAATTTCTTGATTATTTACTTCAATTTGCATTCAATTCGCAACCAATCATTGAAAACCAAATTGTTCAGAAAGCTAACGAATTCAACTTTAACTTACCCGATATTGATTTGATTCGAAGACCACCGTTCAGTACTGACGGTTCTTTATCAACCCGATCGATTTTGAATTACATTCGCGAGCAAAGAAATGAATACAAAAATATTATTGAATTTGTTGAATTAAGTGAAAAATTAATGAACAATGGAACTACTTTGAGCATCACCGATTTCGTTTCCATTGCCTTCACAACCATATTTCTGTCGTCGACATTTGACAAGGAGCTGAGAGACGCATTACATTCTCTATACTGTCTACTGTCAAATATCAACGAACGACTTCAAACTTCAAATCAAATCAGTCAAAATTGGCCGAAGATAGTCATTGATCTCTGTTCATCATTGAAACCATATTTTGATATAAAAATGGTTCACGGTTTACAAACCATTGTTTCTGTTATTCTCATCTCTGATCAAACATCAGTCTGTGGTAAAAAAATGTATTTCAGCATACTAGGATCAATGTTATCTTTTGGTTCTGATAACTGTCAACGTTTATCAAAAGTATTTATAAAACTAGCGGACGTATCATCACAAGCAAATTTAGTAGAATATGCATTTCAGCTCACCTATTACTATCATCAAATGCCGAGATTAGCTTCAGAAGGTTTAGAATATGTACTCAAATTGGTCGAGCGTTCTCGTCAACCTTCAAGTTCAGTATCAACTGCAGATATTCTTGCGGAATGTGAAGAACATATCGCTACAAAGTTCAATATTCGACATCGAGATCGATTAACCATTACTTTACGAGAATTGTTCGATGCAATTACAGCGAACAATCTGTATGCAATGACACTTCACCTGTCAATCTTATATGGTGTTCTTTATCCATATAGAAGACAGTATGCAAACGATTTGTTAGAAATCCTTTCATTAACAGATTCGAAAACACTAACACCATTTGATGCTTTACGATTGAGTTATCAGTTCTTGAGTTCTATGAAAAATTCTTCTTATCTTGAGCTCCATCCCTTGGACAAAAGCAAAATACTATTTGTAGATCGATCAGATTCTATCATCAATTCAATTGAAAATCTTCGAACAGTTTCCAATGAAAAACGTCCAGATTTAGATATGCATGTCATCATTTTAGAAACAATTTCATGTATTCCTAATCTTCAATTGAAAGAATCTCTTCAACCTATTGTCAAAGCCATGCAACCGTCGTCTATGATGAACGATCAAGATGTGTTCATGATAGACAACGTCTTATCTCTAATTTCGGATGAGAAAGCTTCTGATAACATTCGTAGCACATTTCTTACTCTTCCAACGAACATTTCTGACCTTTCAAGACAACAAATTTGTGAATGGAGTGAACAAATTATCGAGTCCGAACTTGTCAACAATGATAAGATTACTTTAGGTGCAATTATGCAACGTGGTGCCAATGAACCCATTACAGCTTTGAAATATATTGCACAGCTCCTCCCAGACAATATCCGAATAGATTTTAATGAAAGAATCGAACGATGGGCTGCAAACACAAAACAGAAAGAGGATGTGCTTTTGAGAAGGATATATGACGACTATGGCATCGAAACTAGTAGAGCATTTTCAAAATCATTGAAAGTATTGAATCTACTTCAAACCAATAAATACGAAGCATTGCGAAAACTCTCTTCTCTATTATTAAATCAACAAAGATATCGGCAGATATTCGAATCAGTTGAAAGATTAGATTATTCACAAGATGTCACACGAAAAAGCCTTATTCCAGTCATCTTAGATTTAGCGTCTCTCATGGCATCGGAGAAACTATCTGCAACGCTTCAAGTTATTTCGAAAATCTATGTGAATTTACAAAATGATAAGAAAACACTAGCTATTTCGCAAGCTACTACGCTCTTTCCTTCGATGAAAGAAGAAATTTGTCAAATTGTCAACATTTTAGACAGTTTATCGACACGGTCAACGATAACGAAAGATTCTCTTGAACATGCTTTTGAATTGATTATTTCTTTGAATGATACGCAAACTGCCCGATCGTTGACATTGATTTTACAATTGATCCAACATGTTCAAAATTATGATCGAGAAGCAGCTATTGTTTTAGTTGCATCTGAATATCTTCAACGTTCACCAGAGCACGCTGTACCGTTCGTTAGCGACTTATCAAAAGTTTTCTCTCAAACAAACGATCAATTTGAAGTTTTGAAAATACTATACGTCAAAGACGAATTAAAGACAGATTTATCAACTTATCTACGTTCGATTTATCAGCTCGCAAAAGAATTTGAGCGCACGAAAAAGAGTACAAATAAAGCAAAGATTAATCTACTAAAAACTACCTTAAACATTGTTTCATCGTGTTTATCAAATGAAGTTTTGAGAAACAGACTTGCAGCGATTTATGATTTAATTGCATCAATCGAATCAAATGATGTTCAACGAGTATTGAATCAATTCCAAGTAACTCTGAAAACTTATCTTCCACCAGGTTATTATGATCATCTCGAATCAATATTTAAATTATTGCATAAGAAACTCGATCGACAATCAATCACCGATGAGTCAATTCTTTCAATTGCCAATTCATTATTTAATAATGAAGAAAAACAAATCTTCAAAAATACGAGTAGGATCATTAACAATTTTCCCACTGAGAAGACGCTCTCAGAGGATGAATATCTGGCGATTTCTATTGAACTCATGTCTCTATTTGGCATTGACACGCCGCAGATCCATTTATTCGAAACAGGTAAAAACATAAGGAACGCTGTTATGAGATTGACAAGAATGATTCAAACATTTCCACCATCAACAATGAGAAATAAACAAGCGGAACAGCTTTCTTTTCTCGTCCAAACAGCATTCGATTTGATCAGCAGCAGTCGTCCAGATCATCCTGATGCAATTCGAGCAGCGTTTTCCACAATATCAGGCATCGCGATGTTCCTTAAAGCAAATAATACAATCACATTGGTCTTAGAAGCTATTGGACTAGCAATCAATGGAACTCAGGAAAACCTTTTCAATGATACAACACACATAGTAACTCGAATCGAAACAAAACAATCGGTAACTCGTCCTATGCTTGACAAAAAAGAAGAGCTAATTAAACCATCGATTTCGTATACTATGACCTTAGCACGTCCTGTTTCCACCCAAGTAGAATTGAATCGAACTGCCGACATACACGATGTTTCCGTTTCACATGGAATTTTAGATGAGAATCCAATCACTCCTGAACCGTCATCACCAAGTAATATTTCTCTGGAGAATCGAGTCGTCGCCGAAAAGGAAATTCGAACATTAACACAACAAATTGTTCGTTTAAATCAAGAATCTGACGAACAAATCACCAGTATACTACAACATGATGATTTCGATCTTTCGCAAACAATAACATATTTGTCAAAAGCGAGTCAAATAAATAAAACCATTCAATTAACAATCAGCGCTGTACAACAAATGGCAGCAAATAAAATGCGTGAAGAAATAAAAAAGCTCGCTACATCAGATCTTCCACAAGTGTTTTCCGTGTCATTACACTTATATAAACACTTAGAATGGATTGATCGATATACATATGATATCAGTGGTCATATCAAAGACAAATGCCATGCAATTCAAATTGATTTAACTCAAGTATTAGATAAACTTTGCGAATCGGAAGAACTACGTCGAATGTGGAAATCGAATAAGAAAAGCGAATTCTTGGAAGACTATGATATACCTGAAGATGGAGACATACCTGAGATAAAACATTCTGAGCTAAGTCAACAAGCACAAGAACGTATTGTTCTCGATCAAATTCAACAATTAATGCAAACCTTTGAAGATTCGAAGTTTAGCGAAGGTACACTGTCGGAAAAATCCGCATCCAGTCGATTCGGTGTTCAACTGGAAAATCTACTTTCCAACTATGACAAAAATGTCAATACAAACGACGATGATGATGACAGAGAAATGAAAAATATGTCCAATCTAACTGGAGCAACATCACTGAAAACAGAAGATAGTTCCGTCGTAGATCGAGACATTATTTTAGAAATTGATGATCGAGGTTCTGTTCAGTCGAATCTAGGTGGTACTCATTCATCCACTGAAACGCATCAAAAACTTTTGAGTAAAAAGATGCGTGTGAAAATTATTGACGAAGTTGAAGAAACGTCAAATAATTCAGAAGCGAAAAAGTATCGAATGACAGTTCGTAGAAAAGATTTAAAAGAACAAGCAAAAAACGCATTCAACAATTTATTGAAATCTGTTAACAAATACGACATTGGGCAAATCACAGAAACGTGCGACCCGGAACAGTTACCTAATATTCAATTAAACAAACCACGGTACGCTCTATTAGCTCGCCTAACACGAAATATTCAAACAATGTTATTAACACGTTTACGTTCAGCTTTGGCACGTGTCTACAATCATCAACAAAGTGATCTTCAGTTTGAGTTTATCTTCTGTGTTGACAATAGTGGAAGTATGAATGGAAAAAAGATTCAAGAAGCTCTCAACACCTTAGTAATTCTCATGGAAACATTTCATCGACTCGAATGGAAATTTGCTGTGTTAAGATTTGGTGGTGAACAGAAGATTCTTAGGCCACTTTCATACATGTCAATGCATGAAACCGTTGAAATCGCATCCGATGATCAAACATCAAATCTTCAACAGAAATATTTGGCACAAGGACAATTCATTCTCGAATCATTTACTACAGATGAAAAGACTTTACCAGCAACAGCTTTAAGACAAGTCGCCGTGAATAATCAACTGTTTGGTGAACCGAAAAAGGCAAATGCGAAACGTTTTATTATCATGATCACTGATGGAATATCACCACAAACAGATCCAAAATTATTTCATACAGAATTAGAACAAGCAGATGCGAAACTCTATATCGTTTGTATTGTACCTCCGTTACCATCCAGAGGAAAAGATGTCGAACAGATGACTGACTACGAAAAACAAAGTCTTGCACATGAACTGAAAACAAAAGAATTTATTACGAGTGTTGCACCTGGACGGAATCAATTGATCGAAATTGGTCAATTAAACATATTAACAAAAACAGTTGTCAACGACTTGGTTAATCTTATTGAAGAATCAATATTAACTCATCTTAAACCAAATATTAGTAATATGAAAACATCTCTTTCAATGAATCTGACTAAAATCAACCGAATCATTCCATTTATTTTATCTCGTTTTGAAGATGTAACAAGTTGGAAACATCCTGAAATTCATTATACAGGTCGATCATACATTAGTGATTCAAGACGAAAACTTGAACGACAAACAGCTCAATCACAATTTGACATCGATTTATCACATGCTTCAAAAGAATTTCATGAACATTTTGATAAAATAATGACTGCGCTAGAACAAAGTTATTCAAATTTAGAAACTCATGAAGCCATTCTTATGAATACTGATAAGATTTTACAACAACTTGAACAACAATCTGAATCTTCGATCAATGATTTAGTTCGAGCTTTAGAAGATAATATTCTTCCAGCATATAAACCAACACAATCTTTGCCTGATACAAGAGGAAATCGACTGTATATTCCAGGCATTGTTCGATTTATTTGTACACAAGGTCAATACAATCGCATTTATTTAAATCAAATTGGTGCACCGAAACCTGAATATCGTATTGCTTTGATTCTGGATCAATCAGTTTCAATGACAGGACCAAGTTATTTTGCTGCTGTTGACATCTTCTTATCATTTTGTGCAGCATTGAATCGCATCGGTATTGAAGACTTCAATGTCTTAGCATTTGGACGGAAAGTCGAACTAATAAAAACTTATAAGCAAAATTATGATCGATTGTTTCTACATCATTTTCTAAGTGCATTGAAAATTGATGGTGAATGCACATTGTTAAGTGACGCCGTATTTGCAGCATCAGAATTACTTCGCCAACAATCAGCTGCGAATAGTAACAATGGTCCAATGATGATCTTTGTCTTCACCGATGGTTATGATACACGTGGAGCGTTTATTCAACGAATGATTTCTTATGCTGAACAACAATTAATCACGGTTCTTGGTTTAGGTCTCGGATTTGAATCAAATGGAGTCAGTTTAGCATTCAATGATTGGATTATTACACAAAATCCATCTTTACTTTCGGACGCATTGATTCAATGGTCAAATGAGCAAACCGATGGACAAACACCGAATGATCTCTTGTTTCATGAAGAAAATTTGTCAGCAATTCTTGGAGAAAATCAAGAACATTATTCATCAACGGATGATATTTGGAAAGATGTGAAAATGCAAAGATATTTTGATTTAATCACAAAAAATGCTCATGATGCGATTGAATTGACATTTTCCAACAATGCATTTGATAATCCACTGATTATAGAGATTTGCTTCGTTATGGATTGTACTGGTTCCATGGGGCCTTGGATTGAAGCAGGTAAAACTCATATATTATCCATTGCGGAAAATATTCAAAAAGAGACGAAAGATAAATTTGGTAAAAGCTCGATTTTACGAATGGCATTTGTTGCATACCGTGACTTTGCAAACAACGATCAACGTTTTGATGTGATTGATTTTCAAGAATCAAAAAACTTCGAAGCAGTGCGCGTGAAAATAGCAAGTCAAAAACCAATTGCAAATGATGATGCATGTGAAGACGTTCAAGGTGGTTTGGAAAAAGCTTTAGGATTGAGCTGGACGCCGATTCCAGTAAGAGCTGAAAGAAATTTCGTTACGTTTACAGAAATAAACAACTATTTGATTTTTTTTTAGGAAACTCGTTCGTCTGTTCGAAACCCCGATCAACCTTCATGTGCAGCAAAGATGATCGTTTGGGTTGGTGATTGTCCAGGACATACTAACTTTTGTCACAATAAAGGTAGTGCTTGGGACAAGTATTTAAATGGTTTACCTGATGTTCGATCAATGGACAAAATAATCAAAGATATAAGCGATCGTGGTA